CTGTAAAAATGTCGAAGTATTGCTCTCATTTTCGATTGCGCAAATTTTCGACTTCCGCAAATTTTAGAACCTTACTAATAGATATTCAAATCGAAATCCCCGGGTCATCCCTTTTTCTGACCCGAGTCTGTCCAGCTCTACGTTGCGGTATTCGACCTACTAGCCCTGTACCAGGATCGGGCAATTAGAACACCCATTTTTTAAACTTCGATAAAACAATATTCTTCCTGATTTTGGCTCAAAACCTGTAAATAAAACCTGAGTCAAGTTTTCAAGGTTTTCTACAAAGGTTACCGAGCCTTGCCCAAAAAAGGTGGAAAATATGAGTAATAAATATTCCTCCCTTTGTGAAACTCGTGGAGAAAAGTGACCTCATGCATAACTTTGCCACATCGTTTCTAGTTGTTGTTGACGCCCACAAAAAAACTTCCGTGTCTCCAACTGAAAAGGTTAATTACTTTGGAATGTGGGCAGCTAATGTCTTTAATCTTCAGAGAATGCGCACCTACAAGTTCAAGTTCGGATTTCTTGCGAAATTTTCGTGAAGCAAAACACCAATTGACTTTTTTCGCGAAAACGAAAGGGTGTTTCTTTCCGAGTAAAACCGGTAATCGCGTCAAGTTCGAGTTGGTCTTACCGCCTCTACCGGTTAGTCTTTTATTCTCTTTTCACACTACAATTATGAGAAGACGGAAAGGAAAGACATTTTTCTTTTTGATAAAAAAATTTTCCGTTGAACTAAAAGTTAATTTAAGAAGATGAGTAATCAAAAATATAAATTCAAAATATGCGGTTTTGGTTCCTTAGCTCGCTCTGATATTCAAAAGAGCAGCATAATTGTTGGGTTAGAATGCACCCGTTATCTGACCCAACGAAATTGCATTTTTCGGCCCTTCTCTGAAGGATCATAAGGCTGCCGCGAAATTCATGAGCTCAAGTATTTTTGACGTTTGTAATCTGTGAGAAGCATTTTTTAATGAAAGGCAATTGAACCGCTTTCTGAGCCTGATTAGTGAGCCAAAAAGGGCTAGAATGCAACATTTTTCACGATGCAAAAAGTTGGAGCGAAATTGAGGAGGTGGCCTTTTTTGAGCAGAGCGAGAAAATTGGCTCTTTTCGGCGAAGGTTTAATTTTTTATGCTTTCTTTTTTTTAACAAAAATATAATAAATAGTAAAATAATAAAATAATAAATAATAAAGAAATAAAAATAATAACTTATAAAATAATAAAAATAATAGAATAAAAGAATAATTTAAAAATAAAATAAAAAGTTCCGAGCTGGTTTCAGAAACCTGCGTAGAAACCTGAGTCAGGGTCCTTAATTACCCTTAAAATTCGGTAACCGGTGAAAATAATTCGTCGGAACGAATAATTCGTTTTCCTAACGAATAATTCGTTTTCCTAACGAATAATTCGTTACATACCGAATAATTCGTTGTTTCCAACGAATAATTCGTTTTTAAAACGAATAATTCGCTTGTTTTTGTTTTCAAGCCTAACCCTAACCCTAACCCATAAACTTAACCCTAACCCTAACTTAGCATAACTAATACCCAACTACTTAAATCAGGGTATATATGCGCTCCGCGCCTGATTTCAGAGATAAATAAAGAGCTGTCTTTCTTTCAGCCGCACCTTTAGTCAGTTTTTTTATGAAAAATTGAGTTGTGAACCAAGGGGAGGACAGCCTTTCAAAACGAATAATTCTGTAACCCTAACGAATTATTCGGTAACCCTAACGAATTATTCGTTTTAAACGAATTATTTTTACGGAAAATAGCTGTTTTCCCTTGAAAATAATTCGTTAGGGCAACGAATAATTCGTTGCAACGAATTATTTTCACCGGCGACGTAAAATTCTGCGGCTTTTAGGGCCTCTTTCAGGACCCTGACTCAGGTTTCGACACAGTTTATCCAGCCCAAGTTTTCATATTCCAAGTTTCCGCTAGCAGGGGGTGCATCGTTAATCCAAATCCTCGGTCTTCGGAAATAAATGCGGAACTAGAAGTCTGGGAGGGTTCAGAAGTGGCTTATCTCCAAGATCTGTTCGCTATGTTTGATCTATTCCTGATTTCTTATGCCTAAGCGCCTCGGCTTAGAAATCCGAGCGCAACCCTACATGAGTATTTTTCGGGGGTTACGTGAGCAGAATAAACCGACTTCTAGCAGGCTCAAGAATCGAGAAAGCTTAAACGATCGTCGATGATCGGGAAGGGCGAACTTCATAATCGAATTAAAACCACGTGAGCAGGAACACAAGCAATGAGGTTAACTCGTTCACGTTTAGGTGGGGTCAGAATTTGATAATATTTTTTTACAAATTACCTCAAAAATTTGAATCTTGAACTTTAATAATGAAGATTCTGAGACGGAAATTCTGGAAAATTCTGGAAAAATTTCTGGAAAATTCTTAAAAATTTTGAAAAATTCTGGAAAATTCTTAGAAATTTTGAAAAATTCTGGAAAATTCTGGAAAATTCTGAAAAATTAAGAATTTTGGATCATCAGATGGAGATACAGGGCTGGTACAGGACCAGCAACACATCCACTAAACGACCCTTATAAACGAAAAAAGTTCATTCTCTAAATTTTAAATTTGTCAAAACTGTCCGAATCCTGGCAAGCAGCTACTTCCGAATTGAATATTTTCTACCCTTCCGATCAAAAAATGAATTTCCAAACAAACAAGCCTTCTTTTCGACCTCTTTCCTGAACATGAATTTTTCGTTGGACAATTTTGATTTGAAATAGCCTCTTTACGGGGGTTATCAAAAAGACAGTTTTTTTTTGTAACTTGAAACGAGGGGAGTAAGCTTTTCTCTGATTGTGTCTGATTTCTGCCTTAAGAAAACAACAAAAAAGACGTCATGATTCTTTGTAGCAAGCTTTAAGAAAGAAGGGAGGCCGCGGAGAAACAAATCTGGTTTCGGCTAATCTCACTGTAACCTTACACTGAAGCCCGACCCGTGAACTCGCCTTCGCACTAAACAAGTATCGAGATCAACGTGAAATAGCCTTTGAGAGCGGTTGCCTAACCGAGATTTATTAAACCGAAGCTCCTCAAGGGGGTTAAAATAAGGGGATCGACTTAGAAACAAGATCGTTGCTCCGAGATCCGGTTCTTATGCAACAAAAAGTAATTATGAGAAAACCGGAGTCAGGATTTGAACTGCCCAAATGAAAAGCCGCGCAGCGGCTTTTTTTAAAAACGAAGCCGCGAAGCGGCTTCGCAAATATTTCAAGATTGAAATGATTAATAAAGAAGCCCTTTCGCGGCTTCGTATTTAGGCTCTTCAGAACTTGACTAGAGTCATCGAATGAGTCGATCCCGTCATCGATGGAGTCGATTCCGTCATCAAAGAAGTCGATCTAGTCATCAAAGAAGTTGATTCCGTCGTCGAAGGAGTCGATCCCGTCATCAAATTTGTCGATCACAGAATTAAACTCGACTTCATTGATCACTAGATCGACTCTTTTAATGACGGAATCGACTCCATCGATGACGGGATTGACTCCTTCAATAACGGCACCTGGAGGTTTTCTAGGCCGGTTTTCTGCCGAGACCAGATTTTGATACTGAAACTTCCGGCTTCGATCGCCAAAATCAACTTGTGGGCGAAAATTAGAAATTTCGGTAAACTACGACTCTTGTGAATTTTTGATGAGAAAAACGCGTGATGCATTTTGGGCACATGTTATCCGAGCACTTTGTTTGCTTGCACGTAGTTTCATGATATTCCTGATAACGTCATGTTTATCCTCCTCTTGCTTTCGCTCTAGATTCTAGAGTTCTTGCAGAAAAAACTAGCAAAGAAAAAAAGCTTCTTTCTAAGAAGAAAAAAGTCTGGTTTTTGTTGAAAAACAGACAAAAATGGGAAAATAAAGAGCTGGCGGGTTCCGTCGCCCGCGTGAAAAATAGGATCAATGCTTGGCTGAGGGGTTCATCGCATTCGCAGCGAGGTTTTGAGAATAATCTCTTTGTCCTCTCTTTCTCTTTCGCTGGAACGAATCGCTCTGTGTCAAAACGAGAGTCATTCTAGCGGTCTAAACGGGTTAAACCGTGCCAGACGATGGGATAATTAACGCAATTGGCAATTGCCAAATCGCGATCCAAAACGAATGAAAACATCCTGACAACAAATCTTTCTTTTGACTCAAAACTTTTCTTTTGAAACTATTTTTAGCTCGATTTTAATCAAGATCTCCTTAAAAATACGCTTAATTGGGACTAAACCAATTTTTGGAAGTGGATTTTTTAATAACCAATAAGATTGCTGTATTTGGCCAACCGGCCAATCAAATCGCTGATCAATAAAATCACCTCCATAAATTGGTTTTACCCCTTTATTGTTTCTCTCTTCCCTTAGTCTAGGACTAAGGTGCTTCCAAAGCGAAATAAGGGTGTCACAGCATTAATTTGAAGGTCAGTCTTCACCTTAATCCGACTTCAACAATCAAGGCCTTCTTCTTTCGGCAGAAAGTGTTTATCATATACGGTATCCTTTCTTGTTCAAATAATGAGCGCTTTCGAGCTGCTTTCTCTGGTCCGGGTTAAATTATCACGTGGAGTGTACCGTATCGCGTAAAGCTAAAAATGAACGTGCGCTTCGGATTAACCTTACTCTGACCGGTTGAGCTTGATCCAATTTGACCAAAGCTCGACGGCGCTATTTTCAAAAGATGGGATCGAAGGAGCAAAAAAACATCTGGTTGTTTTGAGGCAGATGTAAATCGAGGAATTCAGGGATAAGGAATGATCTTATCCAACCTGATTTGATGAAAAATATAATCCAAAAATCAGTTTTTTTTTACTCAAATCAAAAAAATGCGACGAAAATTCTGATTTTCGGAACAATTTTTTTCTGAAATCTGATTGGCTGACCGGCTGATAGGTTAAATCTGATTGGTCTAAAATTGAACCACAATTTTTAAGAAAACCCTTACCCTAACCCTAGGCCTAACCCTAATCCTTGTTTCAGAAAACAGCAGAAACCAAAGATGATAGCGCTCATATACTTACTGATGATAACAGTACCTCCTGGCGGCGCCTCCTGTCCTCCGCCTTCAGAATCAATCAGCTTGGAAAACTTCATCCTCGAAGCGACATCTAGGGCGATCTTTCAGTACTGCATCGCCACGACGCCCAGTTCAGAAGAGCTGGTCCAAAGTGAAAATGAAATTGGAACTTCTCCAAAACAAGTTGCCGCAAAATATTGCCACTCGAGCGGGCCCATGACTCGATTAGAGGTAACAACAGTCTTTTAGACGCGTTTTTCCGCAATTTTTTCATGATGAAAATTTATTAGAAAATTTTCTGCACAGATTTCCTAGCCGAAAATGCAGGTTATTCCAGGAAAAAAAAGCCTCGAAACCAGACCTTCGAAGCTTTATAAACAATAACTCGGGTAGGCTGCCCGAACATTTGGAAAGCCAAGAAACCGAACTCTCAGCGCAGATTAGTAAAGCTGTCTTTTTCAGTCGTCGGTGATTGATATTCTGGACGCTGCTGATGACTTTCGACCGACGAAAAAAGGAACGCGGTTTTCAAAAAAAATATTTTAGACCTGATTTTCTCGAATAAAATAAGCCCATTTCTCTGGGTAGCAATTTGTAACCGTTGCCGAAGCGGAGCTTGAAGGCTATCACTTCATTATGAGCTTGAGTGAGCTCGTCAAAACTGGTCATTTTCGATCGGCGAGAAAGAACATCGGACAAGCCCTGGCCAAAGCTCACCGGAAGTTTGTTGAATGCGAAGGAATGGAGTTTGAACTTTTTATTTCCAAGGAAAAATTAAGAAAGAAACAGGTTCAAACTCTTTCGAAAGACTCGACTTCTCTATTCCGAATTTCCGAAACTCTCTTCGACCAAGTGCGAGCTACAACTGGCAATTTGAACTTCGCGCATCTAATCGGCATTCGCTCCGTATGTTCCCTCCTTCCATTTCCCTCCCTTATCAATTTCCCCTTTTTCCAGGTCCAAACACCGACCATCGTCCTCAATCGAAAATTGATCGGCAACAGTGGAATCGAATCCGTGAGCAGAGATGTGGTTGAAATCACGACGGCGAAACCAGTGGCGATTTTCAACTCAGCGCTAGAACATAGGGTGAAAGCGATGGACTTGGCAGTTTCGAATCACGTGGACATTTCGCACTCGATTTTGTTCAGAGAAGTCATGAGAGATGCACAGCCTGGATCAACCGTTTTCATTGGTTAGTAAATAGAGGCTTTTGATTGGCTCAAAAATCTTTTACCGAATTTCTATTGGATAAAACTTAACTGGATAAAGAAAGATTTCAAATGACAATGAAAATGAAGAAAAAAGCCGCAAGCGGCATTTTGAAAAAAAGTAATTGAAGAAAATATTTTCGTCTCTATTGAACATATCTTTATGTTTCCACGACATAAAGTTCCGAAGCAATCGGTTTTTGCGAGGAATCCATTTCCTGGCTTGGAATTTCCGCATGTCCGCAAAAATCACCAAGGGCAGAAACTCAATCGCCACTTGCGTAATGGACAGGATCCGATTGTTCTTGACTTTCGGATACTCAAATCTTTTACAATGGAAGTTGTTTCTAGTGCCAACTGGGGGGTTATTGAACGGAAAGCTTCCTGGACAGCTCAGGGAATAAGAAATAACGATTCGTTTCAGTGACGTCTTCAAGAGTTCCCTCGATCAATGAAGATTTCATGTCCGCGATCGGCGCTGCCCAGGCTAGTAAAATTAAAATTTCGATAATTGCTTTAGATGACGAGCAGAGCATCGGCGGCCGCTCCCTCGAGCTCTACCGCGTCCTGGCTAAATTTACGAACGGGCGGCTCTACCGCATCGCCTCAGCCGATTTATCGCATGTCGTGCCCTTAATCGAGCTCAGCTTGACAGAGGGACAAGCATCTGTCCTCTCCCGAGCCTCGAACAAAGATTCTGCCTCGTACCACGTGTCACTTGATTCAACCCTAAAGAGTTTAACCATTGAAGCTTTTTGTATCGGCGGCGGGTCGCCTAAAGTCGTTCTCGAGTCGCACGACCTTTTACCACTAGTGAACTCTGATTCCCTCGATTTTTCTTTCTTTCTTGTTCGGGAAATCAATATCGGACGGTACGCCCTTAATATTACTTGTCCATCGAAAGGGGTAAGCGTAGAAGTAAGGGGAGAAACATCAGTTCAATTTCGAGTCATGAACACTGATGATTCCGGTCTCGTAGTAAAATCTCTCTCGCTCGAGAAAAACGCGAAAATCGAGAAGACAACGATCAAGCAGGGCCATACTCGCCAGCATTTTGCTGTTCTCGAAGATTTGAATCAATCCGTCCGTCTGAAGAAATCCGGCTCTTTGATAACCCTACCAGAGGAAGACGACGATGAGCTACCCTTTTTCCCTGATTTCATTATTCCCAAAGCGCTCGACTTGTCGATCATTCCTCAACTCGCGCAGGTTGATGCAACGGGAGATAATGGCGAAGAAATTCATCGAGAAGAGAAGCAGTTTCTCTCGCATATAAAAGTAGAAGGAGATGTTACCAATATGGACTTTCAGCCTGGCGAAACTGCGACGATAAGACTTCGGTATGAAAATTTCATCTTTTTACTTGTCAAGTCTTAGTTCTAGAATCTAGATTGTCAAAACCATAAGGGTCCCTTTTTGGTGTCAATATATACAATATAATATTCGGGTTTAAGTGAAATAAAATTAATAAGATTAACACCGCAATTATTACGCTCCTGACTAAACCGACAAATATTATAAATTTTAAGATTTCTTATTTTAATAATAAATTATTGAATATTCAGAGTTCACAATCGGAAAACCCTCCTCCATCTGACCGCCACCGACTTCGAAGGCTGGGTATCTTCCATCACGCCGACCTCAACTAGTCCTGAAGATGAATACACCTCCGTTGAAATCCTTGTCACCGCCCCCAACGACGTCAAAATCGGCTCCGAAACTTCCATCACCGTTACCGCTCGCGACGACTTCCTCATTTCCGTCGACTCTTCTAGCTTCTCCTTGTCCGTCGGTCAGACAGAAAATCCTACTGTAAAGAAAATGGTGGTCGATACAAACATCGACAACCGCTTCGGCCGGACCATTGTTCAATCCAAAGTGCAAAACTCTCATCCGACACCGAGAGATGCTGTTTTCTCCGTCTTTCTTCCAGATAGCGCGTTTATCACGAGTTACAAGCTGTACATCAGAAATCACACGTATCAAGGAGAAATTATCGATCCAGTCCATGCGGATAAGAAGACTGACTGGCTATCGCCCAGTACAGTTGTACCGGACAAAAATGATGATCACGAGTGGAAAGTCAAGGTTAGTTGGAACATTTTATTGAATATACAAAAAATCATAAAGGAAATCATTATTCAATATTCGAATCATAGGGAACTACAAGACATCGAAAGTAATGTTGTCATTTTATAAAAATAATATTACTTAAATTGACATTTCTGCTTTATCTTTTTGATTTTTCGACGAAGCAAAAATCATAATAGAAAAGGTTGAAACAACAATTATATTTCATTTTTTGGGTACGGAATCCGTACTACGGATAGAAAATGGTTCGCCTTTTATGCCCTTTTTGGCACCTTGATTTCAATCTTTCCACTCTAGAACTTTTTTGATTGAACAGCTGACCGCTCTTTATTGTTCTTCTGATCGTTTGATACCGGTAAATTGGACGAGAAACACTTAAAATTTTAATCCCATAGATTAAAGAAAAACGTGTTCAACCCCGTCAGAAGTCAGGCATAAAATAAACGAAAATAAACGGATTTTTCTATTTATAGGTTCGAATGGACTCCTGGGACGAGGCGCTGTTCGAGCTTGTCTACGACGAACCCATGTCCAAAACTGACGGCAAACATCCCTACCACGTCAACTTACAGGTCAGTACTCATCGAAATCGTCGACTTTGATGGACAAAAATCCTTTTTTAATCTCTCAAAAAGATCATTGTTCTAGCAAGCGCTAAGGGTTTAAAATCGAGAACCTGACTTAATCAAAAAAAATTAACAGAGTGATACCCTTATTTTCGTATTAAGCGATATAATAAGAAAAAATACTTGAAAAAATCTTCTTGAAGGTTCTCATTTCTCTTTTTTTTTATCCATTCAAACTGATTTTTTTAGGGAAAACAACCAATCGAAGAGCTCGATTTCAAAGTCTCCTTGTATGATTCTGACGGTATCGCCGACGTCCACGTGATCAACACAGAAGAGGAAGAAGACTCCGACCAAATAATGAGCCGCACTCAAGTAAACCGCCCATTCGGAGGCGGACTGAGTGGATTTGGACTCGCGTCAGGTGCCGATATCAAAATAGACGAGACGAAGAAATCCGCCAAAATCAGTTTTTCACCTTCTGCTTCGATCGCTGGCTTCTCTCGTGGACTCGCAATGGGCGAAGGAACGTGTTGGAAACATCTTTTTACACGAAACTTAATCGCGGGGGTAAAACATAACAGCTTGTTTTTCAAAATTTCGCATGACGATTTTGAACAAAAAATTGAAAAAAAAATCGCGGCCCAATTTTCGGGGAGGTGTCAGAAACCGACAAAAATATTTCGACAAATTTTGCGTGGAAATTTTCAACCAATCAGAAGCCTGGATTCGGCAAATCGGCCAATCAGCAACCGAGTAGCCGTCCACGCAAAATTTGTCGAAATTTTTTTGTCGGTTCCAGGCACCACCCCCAATTTTCGAGCCAGTATTCTAAAACCAAGATTTTTTTCTTCAGACATTTGTTATACATAATCTCAATGTCTAGTGCGTTGAGCAAGATGAAATTCTAGATCGCTCACTTGTCAGATAAGTCCCCGTGTCGCCGCAATTTTCAAGGATTGATTGGGTTCTAAAAACATTCATTTTTTTCTGCAAGTTTTCAAAAAATTGGAATTCATAAAAAAAAAGACTTTTTTCGAAACCGCATTTAGGGGCTTTTTGAACATTACCAAACACGTGTCAGGTTCTTCAGGTGGTGCTGGAGGGGCAGAGTCCTTAGAAGGAATGGGGCTAGCTGACACTGTAATTAATCCCAAACACAGGCTGATCCGACCGCCGGGTCGGCTTCTTGTGGTTCTTTACCGCGTGATCAGGCAACTCTAGAAACAACGTGATTAACCTTAGTACCAAGTCGAAAAAAGTGACTTTCGATCATCATTTTCGAGCTCAAAACTAGCCTCAAAAAGGAGCCAAATTTGAAATGGAATATTCGACCGAAACAAATTCTGCTGAAGATTTTTGCACTATCACCGCCGATGGAGAATATTTCGTGCAATTTTGTGATCCACCAGTGCCAAGCTTTGTCAATGATTCTTCGTCGATCGGTTTGTTTTCAAGATTTTAGCTTAAAAAAATAAGCACATTTTGATTTTTCTGAAAATTTTTTTATCGTGAAAACTCATGAAAATATCATCTTCGACGACGGCACTGAAAATGTCACGAATATCACGAATGTCTCGAATGTCACGAAATTGACCACTTTTTAATTCAGGAAAATACGACTACCACGTGACCTTTGTAATCGACACTTCTGGTTCCATGTTCGGCGAGAAGCTCAAGGCCTCGGTCGATGGTATTCTAGCGGCGCTGAGAGGATTGACCCCAGCTGATAGGTTCAACATTGTCAGGTAATTGTTCTTGAGAAGACTGTTTTTGGGGATAAAATGGACTATCTTTAACTCAACACTTTTGACTTTCAAAACGTCAAAATTGACCTGTTCGTTATAACGAGGCTCAATTATCTTATCTCCTTAATCCGCTCTTAGTCGGTATGGATTTTAACGTTGTGTAAACGTTCCAGCACGATGCGGAAATTATTTAAGGGGATCGCTGTTTGTGGCAATTTCGCGCAGACATGGCAACGTGTGTCACGAAAAAAAGCTTGTTCCCACATTCATAACGGGAGGAGCAATATTTTTTATCAAAACTCGCATTTCTAATACGATTATGAAAAACTTGATTTATTACGAAACCCGCTCTTTGCGTCAATCAAGGTTATTAACATCTTAAAATCATTTTTTTTCTTCACTTAAGGGTACTACCTTCGATTTCCAAAATGGGCTTTATCTTTTAAGTTCATAAAAATTGGTATAAAAAAATTTATCGAAGGTAGTATCCTTAAGATTAAGTAGGCATTGCCTTAATTCGAAAGTTAACGTAGTGACACCCTTAAAATTTTTACTCGAAAACATTTTAAAAATTAGAAACATTATTAAAATCACGTTTTCATTCGAGATGCGAATATTTCAATCTAAACAGACACTTTCACATCCTCCCGCAAATATGATTTCCCATGTTTTTGGTAAAAATACTCAAACTAGGAATGGATGTTTCGAAACTTGTTGAGGTGTCATTTTTGATGGGGGTAAATACTCAATTTTTCATAATCATTTTTGGCTACTTTAGACGCTGAATATTCCATATTCTCTTTTCAGTTTCTCACGATCAGAAGATCTTTTCTCCGAGTCGAGTGTTACTGCAGATGAAGATTCAATTTCTAGAGCCGCGGCTTGGCTCATGTCACTTCGTCGTGGTGGGGTTTCGTCTATTATGGTCAGTCGCAAATCCAATATTTCCATTCTTGATCCTCTTTTTTGTTAACTTGTATTTTGGGCTTGCTGGAACGGAAATCCTTTTTTTAAACAAAAAAAATTCTTCTCAAAAATTTTTAAGTCTGGTGTCCAAAGCGCCATTGCCCACACCTCAATGGAATTGTCCCCTTCACACATCCCCTTGATTGTAATTGTGACGGATTCTGTGTCCGACGCGACGGAAGAAAACTTCCAAATCGCTCTCAATTCCATTTCCAATTCCGCCGCCGAGCAGATTTCGATTTCATCGCTGGCAGTTGGCTACACTGACACTTCTTCTTGGCAGTTTCTTCAGCGGCTTTCGACGAGAAACAGGGGTGTTGCGTACAGACTGTTTGATCTGACCCAATTTGAAACGATGATCCCGGAGAAGGTTGAAGGAATCAAGAAATTTGCAAGGAGCGTTCTCGGAAAACAAAATTAGCAGTGTGATACCCTTAGTCCGAAACGCTCAGTTTTGCTTGAAATATCGTTTCGACGCGCCAAAAATGATGATAAATTTTCAATTTCGACCTCTTCGACCCGCTAAAATTGCCAAAAAAGCGTCAAAAACGTAACTGTGAAATTTCTCAGATAAATTTTGATCCCTTTTGATTCCTCTCATTTTATCAATTTTCTCAGAGATCATGGTTAGATTTCCATCCGCACTTGACTCGGCTTACTGAAGTCGTTTTCGAAATTTAAGAAGAAAAAAGAACAATTGAATTTTCAAAATATTCAAAAAAGACAGTAGCTCGAGAACGCTTGCAAGATCGTTGCGTGGCCTGACTGACGTGCACTTTTCATTCAACAGCGAGAGTGTGAGCGACTTGACGGATACTTCCTTCTCGCATTTCACAGCTGGGGAGGATTTGGTTGTTCTGGGCAAGTTTGTTGGCGATGCTCCTGAATTCTTAGGTAAAAAAAATTTTTAAAAAGAAAATATAGAAATCATAACTGCTGGTAGTCTTCAATTTATAAAGATTTTTTTGATATGAAATCTATAGCCAAAGAATCCGTAGTAATAGACTAGAACTCGACAAGGAGGAAGTGATCATTTGTATTTTCCTTTAGATTTCACGATCGAATACCGAGATGTCGAAGACAATCTGATCTCCTTCACCAAGTCCGTCGGCGTCTCTCAGCTGGACAAAACCGGCGATCGTGCCGAAACCATCGCCAAATTCTCCGCCGATCAATCCGACTACAACCCGATCCGGCAGCAATGGGCGGTAACCGCCGTTCACCAGCTTTTGAAACGTCGCGCTCAGGCCAACAATCAAGTCGACTTCGACGAATTGACAAAACAGGCGGCAAAGTTGAGCAGAAAGTTCAAAATCGTCTCTCCAGTCGTTTCATTCTTGGTCCGAAGACCGAAATCAAGAGCGAATCTGATCGATCCGGCCAACGAAAATGGCCTCAGAGAGAAACGAAGCGCGGAAATTGCGGAATCGCACGAGATCCACTACCAATACAGAAAACTGTGGTGGAGAAGCGATGAAAAAGATGAGCTAGAGAAGAGCGCAGAGGAAAGTCTTCAAAATCAACATCTTCAGTTCGCGGCGTTGACTGGTTTCCCTCTTTCTTTCTCGAGGAAACTGGAGAACTCGGAGGAAAAAGTCTGCTTAGCATTGCCTGGAGGAGTCGTTAATGGAAGAGTAAAGCTGGCAGAGAACGAGGAGTACTCGATTGTTGGCGATATTCGGAAATATAAGCTGATGAGTCTCAACATTAGGTTCGTACTCTTCCTTGATTTCAATTCGAAAAAAAAAGAAACATGAAAAAATGACGTTAAAAACTTCCTCTTCAAACAAATTTAACACGTCTTGGAAAAAATCACTACTAAGGGGATTTCCGGAGGGTGCTCCACAATCATCTTACCAGTAGAAAGTCGTTTTCCGAACCGCTTGATTTGCACGCCTTCCCGGATTTCACGCTCCAAACTTTCAAATTCTTCTTTCAGTAATTAAATCATCTTCTTTAGAATCAACGAGGAGACGATTAAAGTGACGAATACATCGATAACCATCAATGGCAAGGCTTCAACTGGGCACCCAACCTTGAGAATCGAAGATAATCTGGTTCACTTTTCCCCGAAAGAAGCAAAATCTAGCTTCACGATTCATCGGCTTGGACGAAGACTAGATCTATCAGCGGAAATTGATCTTGAAGAAACGAATGGATTCCTCCCGAGTCTTTTGGAAGTCGAAAGTCTGCTGCTCGAGGAAATCACGGAAAAACACAAAACAGCGATGCTCTGGGTTCATGGCAAACACTTGCTTGCTCACAGAGAGGAAAACTGCTGGAAACTTGATGCTGAGCAAGTCGACTCGCTTTTCGCTTAAAAATCCAAAAATTCCAAAAATTCCACAAAAAAATGCCGCTGAAAAAAACGCTTCACAACTGTACAAAACCTTTATTTCCCTGTTTACTAATCCCAACTCCTCCTTCAATTCTTGCGAGATCCCGAACGAGAGCTTTTTTTTACAACTTTAATTTTGAAAAATTTTGATCCTTAAATTTCGCGATTCAAAAGATAACAGCTAAGTTTTTTTTGCGATTATCAAAACCGGTAGAATGTAAATATTTTTTTGTAAATTATGAATAGAAACTTTGCTTCGAGATTTTTGAAAGGTCCAATGGATGGAACTTTTGCAGATAAAGATAACTTTTATTTGGGAGCTTTTGTTCGGAGACCATATCGAAGATCTTTTTTTATAATAAACATCAAAATCAATATATTTTCCTTGTTGATTTCAATTTATTCAGATCACCCAATTTTTGATCAGAAAGAACAAAAGCTTAAACATAGCAGTAGTCAGAAGAGCAAAAGCGCTTGCATTCATCCGGAGAGGACAGGAAGAGAGTTGGTCTGTAGCAGTCTCCTGTATGTTCAGTCAGATTTTGGGTAGACGTGACATGATTCCCATCCCACTCAACTCTCTCCACCATGTTGCTAGAAAAATCTCGTGTATTGACTAGTCGATGCATTTTTGTACCTTTCGCCGCCATCGACAACCAAAAAGCCGCCAGCGACAATGATCATCGATCCGTATTTGTACGTCTTTAAAAATTTGAAATTGATGAAATGTAAGAGTATTAACATACGTTTGATAACTCGCCAACTTGACTCCATGCACCATTTTGCAAAAAGAAAACATCTTTGATATACTCATAATTCTTGTACCCACCAGTTGTTATGACTCCATCGTCGATTGTAAGACAGGCGTGAAACTGTAACCTCAGGGGGTGACTTTCTTTGTAAGCCCAACCGCTTATTTTGATTAATAATTTTTTCATTTTATAATCTTTACTTTGTTCCTAGAATTTCGACGTAAGAATTTCCGCCGGCAACAATCAGCGGTTTTCCATCAAACAATCCCATGCAGCCACTTGTATGAAGGTTTTGCGTCCGATCTATTTCTGAAATCGACAAAGTCCCTCTGTGTTCGAAGATTTCTTGACAATAGCCATAATTATTATTGCCGGAATACAGAACGATCTCATCGGATGTCGATCTAGTCAGGCCGCTTTCAGATGGAATAACAACCAGACTCCCCATATAAGTGTACTCTCTGGCAAGCCGCATTGACATTTGTTTAAATTCGCAATCTTGGAGTTTTGCGATCTATAACAAGTAAGCACTTTATTTGTTATAAATATGATACAACCTGTCTGTTGTCATATTGTCCACCAAAGAAAAACATCTCTCCATTAACAAGGGCTGATCCCGACCCGTAAAGAAACGGAAAATACCCATAACCATAATAGTAATCATCCAAAATCGCACGAGGCGTAACAAAATGACGATCCTCCTTCAAGAGCGTTAAAACATAAGATTGTTACTATAAATCAATTTTCAGAAATACAAACGTCAAGTGAGTCCATGAAACGCTTCCTGGAAAGAACCATCGACTGAAATAATGTAGGAAAAATTCGCCGGATTTTCATAATATTGATTGTCCATGTTGTAATCGCCCATTTGACAAACCACCATCACATTCTCCTGACAGAAAGCATCATTGTCGCATGGACATCCCCACTCACAGCCGCTCATACAAGGGCAGCTTTGCGAGGTTTCTTTGAAGTCGTTGTAACAATTATCGAAGCATTCTTCATCGGGTCTACAATTCTTAATGCATTCGTCAAATGATTTGGATGATCGGTCGATGCACTGCTTGTAGCCATCGTTGTCGATTTGGGCTTGATCGCAGACGCAGTATTGGCTCGCACAGCCATCACAACCTGATGGGCATTCATCGAAGCATGGGCAACTCACATAACAGGCTAAGTACAAACAATGAGGAAGAAAAAGACAATGTTTAATCTTACAAGTATAATCATGAAGACATGTCCTTTCACAAGAAGATGATTCGCAGGACTCAAGACAAGTCATTAAACTCGAATAGCATTGTGAATCGCAAATCAATCCGAGCTCTTCGTCTCTAGAAAAGTGAATTTCTGCTGAAAATCACTGAATAAACTTACGGACATTCTTGATTGAATATATTGGGCCTCTCGATTAAACCAGTTAATTGACCATTAATAGACAGCTGATCCCCTTTTAATCCGTCGGCGAAGTTATCAAAAATTAAGAAAACAAGGAGAAAAATCATACTCTCTCCGTATTACGGACTCTGAGAGAAATGAAGGTGGTTCTTCCTAAAGAATTGCTCAATCGCAAATATCATGTTGGAAACCTGCTATTTGCCAAGTCATAATTCTTTCGATAGAGATCAAATGGATTAAACTTTTACAGATAAAGATAATTTTTATTGAGAAGCTTTTATTCAGAGACCATGTTGAAGATCTTTTTTTAAAATAAATATCAAAGACAAAATTTATTGTCGTTAATGTCTAGGAAAGCCAAAATGAAAAAAAAGGTAAAGAGAGTCAGAAATAACAAAAATCATCAGAGCAAAAGCTTTTGCATGTTCCAGGCGAAGTCAAAAAAAGAGCCGGTCGATAGCAGTTGCCTGGTTGCTGTGCAAGATTTCGAGTTAAAACCACTCGTTGTCCGTCCCATTCAACTCGCTCTATCATATTGCTAAAATCTTTTGAAAGTGGTTGTTGGGAATGGTTATACCTATTTTCCGTCGAAAAGGGTACTCCGTCAAAAATCAAGAACCCGCCTTGAACGGCAATCATTGATCCATATCTATATGTCTTAATTTATTTTTAAATATAAGCGCTAAGCAAAACTTGCATTTATCAATTGACCAACTTCACTCCAATCTTCATCTCGAAACATATAAACGTTTGTGTTTTCCGAGACTCCACCAGTTGTGATGACAGCATTCTCGACAGTCAAGCAAGAGAGTTCGGAAACTGATTGGTAGTAGCTATTTTTATAGACCCATTCGCTAAAAATGTGAATAAACTTTTCCTTTTCGACCATTTTACCTTGAGTAAAGATGCTCTACTCGAGCTGTGCCTCCAGCGACAATTAAAGGTTTCCCTTGATACAGCCCCATGCATCCACGTTGATGATATGATTGTGTATCTGCAATTTGTGTCGCTGTTCTGCGAAACTCGTAAAAATCTTGGCAAGAGTTACTTGTACATAAGATGACTTCGTCTGAAGACAAGCGAGATCCACTATTGTTTGGGATAACGACGAGAGTAGATGTGTAATCGTAGTCGTAGATGAGTCTCATTGACGTCGGCTGAATCTCGCATTCGTCTAATTGAGCAACCTAAAGAATTATTATTTGTATTATAACTTATAATTTATAACTTATAAATTATAAGTATAATGAAAGGCTCTTATTTTCCGTATTCCTACCATTTTCTTGTCATATTCACCGCCAAAAAAGAGTATCTTTCCATTGACTAGAGCAAATCCCGATCGATGAAGAAACGGAACTTTGTTGTAATAATTAGATCCTCCTGCAGGAGGCGTCGTAAAATAGCGATTCTCCTTATTTTGAGCTCGCTAGAATATAAATCTCATTTTTATACCTTCCTTATTGCCAATAAGTTATTGGCTTTGAAACTCTTCCTGAAAGAGACCATCAGCAGAAATAATGTAAGAGTAGTTCGCTGCTTTTCCATCATTGAGACTATCAATTTGACAAAGGCTCATAATATGCTCTTGACAGGTAGAATCATCATTGCACGGACAGCCCCACTTGCATGCGCTCATACATGGGCACTTTCGAGAAGCATCCTTGAAATCTTCAATGCACACATCGAAACACATTTCGTCCGGTGGACAGCCCTCGACACATTGATTAAATCTTTGTGAAGATTGACTGATACATTGCTTGTAATCATCATTGTCTGTCTCCGCATTTGAGCAAGAGCAAAGCGAATTCGGACATCCATCACAGCCATTCGGACAATTTTCAAAGCAGGGACAATCAACATAGCAAGCTAAGCTTCAATTTTAGACCAGACAAAAGTACCAAACACAACTTACAAGTATATTCATAAAGACATGATCGCTCACAAGATGATGTTTCGCAGGACTCAACGCATTCTTCGAAACTCGAGAAGCATTGAGAGTCGCAAATTAATCCAATCTCTTCGTCTCTTTATAATGATTTTTAAACCAATTTAATTTGAAATCTTTAGCTTACGGACATCGTCGATCGACTATCTTCGGTCTTTTAGCAATAGAAGCCAATCGATTGTCAGGAGAAATTCGGCCCTTCTCTAATCCTGCATCACAGTAACCAATAATCAAGAAAACAAGGAGGAAAATCATGCTCTCTCCGTATTCCCGCCCCATTGTGAAGCTTTGCCGTTGAATTGCTAAATAGCAAATTTCATGTTCGAAATCTGGTATTTGCGTAGTCATCATTCTTCCGATAAACTTTAGTAAAGGTCCCACGCCCAATAAATTGTCCGAATGAGTTTTTTCATGCGACTTTATTTGTGAATAAAACAGTCAATGGAATTTAAACACGCATTATTTTTTTTAGATCTGAGCTTATGAGCCGTTTGGAAGTTGCTTTATCGGGGGCTCTTTTTCAGGAAGCGCTATTCGAATTGCATTTTTGATGTCTCGAATAAGATCTTGAGCGTTTTCAAGCCCTACGGAGAGTCGGATCATGCTTTTTGTGATGCCGATTTTTTCTTTGTGTTCTTCAGTGACATTCGCATGTGTCATTGAATACGGGTGCTGGAAAAGTGACTCGTAGCCTCCCAAAGACACTGCAAGCGAGATGATTTTGGTCGATTGTAGAAATTTTCTGGTTTCGTTTTCGGAAGCTTAATATTTTTGGATATTTTTTCTTTGGTCTTTTGAGCACCTTTCAAAGTGAAAGTTATCATTCCAGCAGCAGTTTTGGAGAACTTCTTGAGCGTCTGAAAATCTGAATGGGATTGAAGACCTGGATACCAGACAGTGTCTATGCGTTCGCATTGATCCAACCACTGAGCGATTTCGAGCGCATTTTCGTGGTGTTTTTGCATTCTTAGATGAAGGGTCTTTATTCCGCGATTGACAAGATAGGCATCAAATGAAGAAGGTACGCCTCCTAGGTAAACTTGAGCCGTGAACAAGGCTTCCTTGATCGAATCGCTTTTATTGATATAAACGGGCCTGAAAAATATACGAGACTTTTTAGTTTTATCAATTCCTGTTAGTTGCGACAAGCCCGGAAAGTGAGTCACTATGGCCATTCAGATACTTGGTGGCCGAGTGAACAACAATGTCGGCTCCGTGATCGAGTGGCTGGAAATTCCAGGGAGTGAGAAAAGTATTGTCGACAATGACAAGGGTTTCTTTGTTGATTTCATGAACGGCTTTCGCGATGGCTGGCACATCATTGACGCGGAGAAGAGGGTTCGTTATCGTTTCAAGAAAAACAAGCTATGGATTCAATATGGTGAATGAAACAAGAAAAGGCTTTACTTTCGTGTTATTTTTGATTTTCTTATTCAGCTCTTCAATTTTCCTAGTATCGACCATATCCATCTCGAGGCCATTTTTCTTCGCAAAGTTGTTGAAGAACCAGTTTGTTCCTCCGTAGACGTCATCACCGCAAATCACATGATCGCCAGCCTGAGCGAGTGACTGGACGCAAGCAGTAATCGCAGCCATTCCAGACGCAAAGGCGAAACCATGCTTGGCGTTTTCAAGCTTGGCGATATTTTTCTCGAGGCTTTCTCGCGTTGGATTTCCAAGTCTATGAGTTTTAATTCTCTATTTTGGTCAATTTGATATTGAAACCAACCTTGAGTAGATGTACGTCCCGTTAGTCAGGTCCGGGATTCCAATATCCGCCATTTTGTATGTCGAAGTCGTCATGATCGGAGGAGAAACAGAGTTGAAATTTGCATCACTTGGTTCGTATCCGCCATGGATTGCGTTGGTTTCGAAGCTGTATCCTACTGATAACTCAGAAAAAGAAGTTAACCCGTTCATAATTTGAACATCCTCTGAAGCTGTTTTAGCCATTTTAGCTGATGATGATTATAAGAAAAATATCCATGACCATCATTTTTATATGATATCATTCAAGGTGGCGCTTTTTCGCGTCAAGAGGCGGGGTAAAAAATGATCGTTTGTTTCTTCAAAAATGACATTTCAAATGTACATTTGTTAACCTCAAAAACAAACCAGAATGAACTAAAACCACAAGCTAATTAACATATCGTCAGAACTAAATGCTAAGTACTTGACCGGAATATAAAGACCTTGGCAATAACTCTTTGAAGTTTTCATTTTCACACGACCATTAAAATAATCACGTCGAACAAAGTTCATACTCCGGAATGTTCCAAACAGCCTCAACGGAAAATAATTTTGGTTCGGCTTGTTTATTAAATTTGCAGGTGATCATGTGGATTTACAGTCGTGCAAAAATTTCGAATTCTTCTTCTACATCTTTCAAAAATGTTCAGTTTAACCTTCTCATTCAGATGAAGAAATCCGGATATAGTCGTCGATGTCGCAGTTAGACTTGCGTGCCCAAATTTTATTTGCGGACTTTTTGCTAAATAAATAAGTTTTTATAGGAAAAAAAGCTTGATTTAATACCTTTGCGGAAGGAGAAAAGCTTTTCGCTTCCCTTCCTTAATTTTTCATTGTATTTTCGAAGATGAGAAAAGATTATTTTTGAAAGATCGAGGGAAGCTTTCAACAGAAGAAACGCGACCGAGCAAATGCCAATAATCGTGAAGATTATTTGAATCGTATTTGGAGTGCATCTTGCAATTTGAGGCAAAAATTTAAAAGAAAAAATTAAAAAGACTTACGAATAAAGTCGGTGTTCAGCTAACGCCTGGCAGTCACAGTAAATCTCTGTAAAATTGGCGGCTTCTGGAGGCGTTGGATCTGGGATGGGATTGAGTCTCAACGAGTCCCATTCGAAAGCATTCATTGAAACAAATTCCTCGGGAAGAGATGGAGAGGCACGAGTTCTTGAGTTCTGGACGTCGATGAATTTTGCATGACTGTGCTTTGAATTCTTGAAGAGGGCACCTTTAGGGCAAAATTAAATCAGCAAAGATGGGAAAAACAAAACTCGAGGAAGATATTGAAAAACTTGATAATAGGAACTTTCATCTTCTTGTTTTCGAATATATTCGACTTTTCGCCGTCAAAGCATTGTTCTTCCAAAATTGTTTGTCGGCAGAAAAAGACACGGTAAAAAGCAAGATAATATAAAAGAAGAAGGATAAAAAAACCGATCCCTCGAAGAAAAAAGAGCATTTTCATGTTTTAAAGATGAATTTTAATTGCACGGAATCGCAAGAAATTCTGGACGGCTTCGCGAATGAGTGAGTTAAAAAAAAAAAAATTCTTAGAATCTTTAGCGCGATTATTTGTGAAATTGCTCCTTTGGATTTTATCAGAGATGTACTCAAACCCTTCGTCGATCATTTCTGTTTTCCTCCTCTGGTTTGTTCGTATTTTTTTATTATTTTGAAATAATTTATTGAAGACGATGTGTGAGTACACACTCGAATCATTGTTCAACCCAAAACAGCAAATTTACGAAAGCAAAAAAGAAACCTCACACGATCACAACAGCATGATGCTTATTGCTAGCATTTTTATCTTGAATGCTCTTTGGCTAGTTTTGTTGATTATTTGTTGCGCTAAAAACTCATCACAACAAAACCCCACTCAAAGGTATGTAACTATCATTATCAATTATTTCTATTTTGCTTGAAAATTTCAGTGTGAGAACGATTTCAAGAACATCTCAACTAACGATCCCAAATCATCACCGAACGTCTTGTTTTTCAGTGACTGTATCTCCTATCAATATGAACAATCAAAGTTAAATGATTTTGCTTATTTATTTGGCCGATGTTTCTTTAAACGCCAAAAACACAGGCCACAAAAAGTGACCAAATTTTAGCAGGCGAAAAGGTTTATTCTTCTGGGTAAACGCAGATCTGGGCCTTTGATTCACCTCCAGGAAGCTCCAAGAATGGCAGCTGGACGGGAACGCATTCGCATTCAGTCTGCACATCGCAAATGCACTTCTCAGCGCAAGTGATCAGTTCGAGCTTAAATTTGATAAAACTATTGAATGCTTTTTTGTCTTCTACCGCGAATTTGTTGATGCAGAGAGTGAGCGGGATATCGCCTTCGATGATTCCCTGGTCAAGAAGCTCGTAGCAGAGATCGGTGCCGGCGAAGAAATCAGGTCCGCAGACTTTGCCACAGCCATCTGGGCAACCGGTTTCTTCGTCCAACCAGCATCTTTCGAATTCTTCCTCGGCACCGGCGTAGCATCTGAACACTTTGAAACGCCATCCTTTGGATTCCATTTTACCTGTAGAAATCGTCAGTTCCGGATCCCCACTCGATCTGGCATCGGAAATAAGTCTGGATGAGCTCCTGCTGGCAGCCAACGAAGCACTTGGCTCCCTCACTCGCGTTCATTCGAGAGTCGAACATAAGAGTTGCGCTAGAAGCGGCGATGAGTCCTCCAAAAACTTTCATTTTCTCAAAAATATCGTGTTCTGCGCAAGTGCCCTGCTGATTTATGTAAGCGAAGCAGGTGGATTTCTCCCATGCGTGATACTCTTTCGATGTCTTAAGAATTTGGAAATTCCAGAAGGGGCAACAGACAAAACAGGAAGTTGGCGGTTTCGTAATTTTATAGACGGAAGTTTATGTTGCCCTCGCCATCTGCGTTTGGAATTTAGTATTCTAACTGAAAACAGACAATTTTGTCTTGGAAGCCTCTGTTTAACGGATCTTTCGAACCTCAAGAAGGTTCCCTTTTTAATGGATTTTTCGTTAAAAATGGACCTCTTCTAGAAAAATTAGGTTTTCAAAGATAATGACCCCTTATTCACCAAGAGTAAGATCTTAGAATGAAAGATACGAAACTCAACTTTATCCTTAGAGCACCTTACTGCGGACTACTTGGGTAGCTCAATAAAATAGGCGATGAATGAAAAAGGCTGTTTTTATTTTTAATATATCTGCAATTGATGACGAATTGACATGGCATAAGTTTTATAATTTTTATTCTGAGAGCACAATGATCGCGAGTGTAGTCGCTGATAAGATAAAATTTTATTCTTCTGGTTCTTCTGGGTAGACACAAATCTGGAGCTTTTGTTCAGGAACTCCAGTGAGCTGCATAAATGACGAACCCACAGGCTGGCAAGTGCACTCAGTCTGCATATCGCAAACGCAACCCTCGAGACAGGAGACAAATTCGAGCTAGAATCAATCAGAAGCGAATACTCTCTTACTTCTTTACCGCAAATTTGTTGATGCAAAGAGCAAGAGGAATGTCGCCCTCGATGATTCCCTGATCAATGAGATCATAGCAAAAGTCGGTTCCAGCGAAGAAATCGGGGCCGCAGATTCGTCCACAACCTTCATCGCAGCCAGTTTCTTCGTTCAAATAGCAATCCATGAAGTCCTCTTCAGCCTTAGCGTAGCACCTAAAAATATGTTATCCTCCTCTCTCCAAAGGGTTTTTTACCTGTAGAAATCATCGTTTCCCCAGCCCCATTCAGCTCCACATTTGAAATAAGTCTGGATCAATTCCTGCTGGCAGGCGATGAAGCATTTCGCTCCCTCGCTCGGATGCATTCGAGAGTCGAACAAGAGAGTTGCATTGGAAGCAGCGATGAGTCCTGCGAAAAATTTCATTTTTTTTTTAATTGTGCTGCTCATAAGCTTCCTGCTAACGATATAGAGAGAAACAGATGGATTTCTCTCATGCGTGATTAACTTTCTTATTGACGCATGATGTCTTCTGCATAGAGACAGTCGTTTTGACTGACTTCTTGCTTAGAAGTTCCTAGTCATAAACGAGAATCGCGGTATCAAATAGTCAGCTTTTTTCTTTGATAGAATCTTATTTACTCTAACTTCTGCTTTCTGAACTCAAAAATTTCTTTCTGTTCTGAAAAAATAGGGATGGAAAACCCCTCAATCCACTACAATGAATTGGCAGTAATGTACACACATGAGTTATTAACAGTGTCCTATTATAGGACTCTAAATCCTTTTAGGATACTAAAAGTATGTGGATAATAGGATTCCTATTATCCTATTATTATAATAATATCATTATAATTATTATTATAATTATTATTATAATAGGATTCAGGCTCTAAATTTTAGAGTCTTCACTTAAGTTCTCGACATCTGACATGTCTGTTGCCTGCTTTTATTCACGGAAATGAAAAAGTAAACGAGTGACTGAAACAGTTACGAGTCTTGATTATCTATTAGATATTCTTTATTGAATGGTCTCATGAGGGGAGTATCAGATAGACTATCTGAGATAGTTCATTTACTCTTCTGGTTCTTCTGGATAGACGCAGATTGCGGCAGGTGAAGTATCTCCAGGGATCTGCAAAAACGGAATATCCGCACGCATACAAGTGCATTCAGTTTGCACATCGCAAAGACAACTTTCCACGCAAGTGAGCATTTCCAACTAAAAAGATCATTGTCAAAAAATGCTTTTAAAATTTTCCGTCACCATGAACTTGTTGATGCAAATGGCTAACGGAATATCTCCAACAAGGATTCCTTCGTCAACAAGATGGTTGCACAGCTCCATTCCAGCAGAAAAGTCTGGCTCGCAGATTCGACCACAGCCTTCTGGGCAACCAGTTTCTTCGTCAAAGTAGCAAGTGTTGAATTCTTCTTCCGCCTTCGCAAAGCATCTAATCAACTAAGTACAAGGTGATGTTCTCGGTAGTGATCTGAATTACCTGTAGTAATCGTCAGTTCCAGCTCCCCATTCGATTTCGCATCGAAACGCACTTCCAATGAGCTCCCGCTCACAGTCGACGAAGCATCTTGCTCCCTCGCTCAAGTGCATGCGAGAATCGAACAAAAGAGTTGCGCTAGAAGAAGCAATGATCCCTGCAAAAATCCTCATTTTTTTTGAAAATCGTGACCTGTCTAATTCCTTCGCTGATTAAAGTAAGCAGAGCAGTTGCTGCTTTCTCATGCATTATCTCCTGCTCATGAATGAACTTTACAGCTCTTGAGAATACGAAAACAGGAGACAAAGAAAATTTTCTCTATTTATTTTTTGGTACAGGAATAAATTACTTCTTCTTTGGCTCAAGATACTGTCCTTCTTTAGGAAGAGCATGAGTTGGCAGACCGTTTTTGCCGACCCAGTCCTTTCGTGCTTCAGGGAATCCGAGTTTGTAGGCTTTGATGATTTTAAAAAATGACTGCATCAAGTTGATGGAATAACGTAACTCCTAAAGAACTCTTTTTAAAATTTTTCCTGTAATGACAACGGCAGATCCAAGACCAATATTATGTTGAAGAGCCAAATCGCAGTTCTCAACCTGTCTCTTGTCGGCTTCTCCTCGGAGTTGCCAGCAGAGCTCAGCGCATTGAGCAAGTCCAGTAGCACCAAGAGGATGGCCCTTGGAAATCAAGCCACCAGATGGGTTCACAACAACTCGGCCGCCGTAGGTATTGTCGCCAGCGTCGATGAACTCGCCAGCCTTTCCCTCGTCGCAGAGTTGGAGAGCTTCGTAAGTGATGAGCTCGTTGGCGGAGAAGCAATCGTGAAGTTCGACGACTTTGATGTCCTTGGGGTTGATGCCGGCCTGAGCGTAGACTTTCTCAGCCGCGGTCTTGGAGCACTTGTAACCAGCAATTGTCATCAAATCGGTCTTTTCCTCGTCGAGGGAGCCAGGCAAGTCGGTAACCATAGCTTGGCCAACGATCTCGACGGCTTTGTGTTCAAGTCCATGCTTTTTGACAAAGTCCTCGGAGGCGATGATGGCAGCCCCACCACCGTCAGAAGTTGGGCAGCAGTGCTGACGGGTGAGCATTTCAAAGACTTTCTTGTCCCCATCGACCTAGGAGAAATTGAAGATCGAAATCAGGGAATAGTCCTACCTGTTCCTCGGTCATTTCAATTCGGAACTGAGAATAGGGGTTGTTGACGGAGTGGCGCTTGTTTTTGGCGGCAATCTTGGTGAAGTGAGACTGCTTCGTTCCATACTTTTCCATGTGCTCCTATAAAATTGATAACTAGCGAAGCGCTGAAATCTTATACTTTTCCAGCGTTGCCGAAGAACTGTGCCGCCATCGGAGCAGGAGCGAAACCACCGACATTGATCATACATTCAGCGTGTTTTTCAAGAGGATTGGATCGATCGTCAAAGACGGTTCCGAGAGATCCAGGCTGCATCTTTTCGAAACCCATGGCCATCGTGCATTCGGCCTGGCCTCCACGGACCATGTCGGCAGCCTGAAGAAGGGCAGTCGAGCCGGTTGAGCAGTTGTTGTTGACGTTGTAGATTGGGATACCGGTGAGGCCGAGTTGGTAAACCGCGCGCTGGCCGCAAGTTGAATCACCGTAGACGTATCCGACTGAATATTTTGAAATGCAAGCTCACATTCACAACTAGTACCTGAGGCAGCTTCGACCTTTTCAAAGGGAATACCAGCATCCGCAAGGGCCGCTTCTCCAGCTTCTCGTCCCATATCATGATAGTCAAAGTCAATTCTTCGTCCTGGCTTCTCAAACTTAGTCATACCGACTCCAACGACGTATGCTTTTCGCTGAGCACTGGCGCATCGCACCACGGCTCGTCTCAACTGAGCGAGGTTCAGCATCTCTTTGGCAAGAAAAAAGGACTCTGCGCTTCGAGGTACTTCGCTGAAGTAAATACCAAGAAAAAAGCACAGCGAAGGAATTGCCAAAGGGGCGTGTTGGCATTTCTGGTAAATATTTGCGTCCATGGGCCAAAGATTGCTTTTTATAACAAATCTTGCTTGCTTTAGTTTAAATTTGGAGGCGAAAATATGAATGAAAATGGCATGAAATTATTCAAAATTGAATTTCAAATAAAATCATGCTGTTAAAAGTTTTCAGTGACTTTTGAGCTGTATTTGCTTATGAAAAAAAAAATGAAAAATAATCAGAAATACGAAGCAGTAAAATCATATCCATGAGGTAGGTAAAGATGAGCAATTTGAAGAAGTATCAGAAAATGGAAAATAAACATAGTTGTTCAAAAGGCGGTAGGGATGAGTAATGGCAAATCTGTGTACTGTTAGTTTTTGCTGAACAATTGATTTTGAACTTTGTTTCAATCACTTGGTACTGGTAGAAGCTTCGGCTCAGCCGAGTCCATTTTGGCGAGGTGCTCGGCGAAGGGAAAGGCGATGAAGTTATGCTACGAAATATTCAATAACGCAATCGAAACAGTAGAAAAGCTTACATTCACAAGAAGCCTCTGGATCTCCAAAACTTCGGGATGCTTTAGCGTGTCTTCATACATCTCCATCATCGACATATTCATGGGTATTTCTTCATTTGCAGTCCTGCTCTGCGCCCTCTCCCAACGATTGATGAAGTTATCGAGAATAAGAGCAACAAAGATATTGAGAATGATGACGGAAGACGATAGCCACCAGAGCACAAAATAAACCTAGATAAAGATCATTATTGTGAGAACGTACCCTTATAAAGTAATCTTTACAAAGTATGGATCAATGTATTTTTCCGTGATATTCTTCAAGGAGAAAATGATCACTGGGTTGGAACTTCTAACAAAAAAAAAGCTTCACTTGATAAATCACGACAGAAAGCTGTGTAAGCAAAATGAAGACCGTGAAAATTATCAAACCAAAAGTAAGCTTATAAACTATCTTGGAAAGCTTCGAAAAAATTCTAGGGGGAAATAATTTCTGACGGGGTAAACAAAGCAGAAAGGATGATTGTAGAGGGAGAAAAGCTCATTTTAGATGGGCCTCTTCCAGGAACGGTTCAATTTCAAGCAGACGATTCGAAAAAATAAATGTATAGAACCACAAAAAGGACTTTCTGGTCAATCAGTTGTTGAAACACGAGATGCGGTTTCTTCAAGGACAGGGACGCGAAATTGTATATACAGAATCCCGTCCAATAAGTCGAGTCCCTCGTATTGCAGTACGACCAGGACTGAGGAAGACATCAAAAAAGTCGCATCACTGCTCTTGAAACAGCCAGAAATGCCGTCACTAGTGGTTCCTGGGCCGATTCCGGAGGGCGAACTCGTTGGTAAGATCAAAAAATACATTTCTGGGTGATAAAAACTCGAATTAAGCGATGAAAAAGATCAAAAAAGCGGCGGAAAAGATCATCGAAAACGATAAAGAGTACTTAAAAATGGATGTTATGAAGGTATGAAATCAAAAAACAAATATTCTACCGACAAAAAATAAATTCTAGTTCTCTCAAGCCGCAGGACAATTACGAGACTTTGTCCTTGAAAATGAAGAAGATGATCCTCTCCTCAATTCTAGTGATGTTAATCCATTCACGCCTGATACCCTCTGCGTTCGATTCAAAAACTTGTTCTGTGCGAAAACTGAGTAAAATTTTACCTGAGTCCAAGTTGAGATTTCGGCAAATTTGTGAAGAAAGACGTGCCAGTTATTGACGACGAGTAGGTCCCATAGAGTCACTACTGATGCCCAGAAATCGTTAAAGTTATTACTAAAAAGTATTAGCTCGATCTTAAGGGACCCCGCCGACCGAGCTCCGCGCGCGCTTCTCGCTCTTTTTCACTCTCACTCTTCAGCTGGTTTAATTTTTTCGATTATCGTGATTTTTTGTACATGAACTAATCTTTTTATGCTCTTTCATCTCCATTTTTTAAAATTTTCATAGCTTATTGCAACGCTGAGTTAGGGCGAAAACATGGGCGCTCGATTTCAAGTGTACATAAGTACTCGAATTATTTGAATTGACACTTCGAGACTGCGTTCATTGAAAAGCCCGTGCCTTCTTGCATAAGGTTTACTTATTGAGATTTCCCGGAAGAGTTTACTTATCCGATTATCGTGGGATTAATGCGGGTTACCTGGAGCGCTCGGCGTGAAACACGGGCATTTTACACTGTTGGCGCGGGATTCCCGCTGCGCTGGTCAGAATAACCTTTAATTACCGCCCGATTACGAGAGCTGCATTAATTATAATTTAATCTCAATAAGTAGGCCTTATGCAAGAAGGCACGGGCTTTTCAATGAGGGCAGTCTCGAAGTGTCAATCCAAATAATTCGAGTACTTATGTACACTTGAAATCGAGCGCCAATGTTTTCGCCCTAACTCAGTGTAGCAATAAGCTATGAACATTTTAAGAAATGGAGATGAAAGAGCATAAAAAGATTAGTTCGTGTACAAAAAATCACGATAATCGAAAGAATTAAACCAGCTGAAGAGTGAGATTGAAAAAGAGCGAGAAGCGCGCGCGGAGCTTGGTCGGCGGGGTCCCTTAAGATGCTTCTTACCTGTAGTAATCTAGTTGTGAGTAAGTTCCACAAGCGGTTTCATTCTTTAACAACTCCTGATGAAAAGGCCCGAAAGACAGGTTGCCGACAATAGCGAAAAGGTAAAACGCAGCCACTAGAATTCCCGCAACATGTTTTAAATTCTTCAAGGTATCAACGAGGGAGGATGTGACGAGATTTAGGACTTTTATCTTTGGAAGAATGCGCAGTAAGCGAATCGTGATGAGAATGTTGACGATGCGGGAGAAGACCCACAGCAGTTCGGTTGTTTTGTTTGTCACATTTGACTAAAAAGAATATAAGGAACCATTTTCTTCAAAATTGATGAGAGTAACCTTGTTAATTTCTATTTCAAGAAGTGTCTGAATGATGATTAGGGATGCGGCAACGAAGCTGTCGAAGAGAAAGTCAAGTCGTTGGCAGAAAATGATGCCATAAGCCCACATTTTCAAGAACTGTTCAAAAAGATAAAAGACCGAAATGGCGAGGTTGAAAATTCTGAGCTTTTTGAGCGCTTCTGTTCCAGGATCATCTACGTTTTGATGCTTTCTTTGGGGATAAAGGGCGATTTCGACGGACTTGAGAGGGGTTAGGAAATGAACGGAACGAACTTATTTACCAGAGAAATAGCATTGATGATCGCAATCGCGTTTCCAATATGATCAAAGTTTGGATGGGTAACTTTTCGCTGAAGCGGTAGCAATCGTGGGTAGCGCGTCAGGACTGGTACCGGTGCATCTCTTCTCGTCTTGTAGGAAAGCTGCTTGAGAAGTTGCTTGTATTGAGAGAGGGTCAAGCGATCTTCGTTGTCCAAATTGCGGAGTATTTTTGGAATGTTTGTAAAGTTTTTACTGACCAAACTCAAGCTAGAATGATGATAACACCTCATTAATTGAAGAACAGTAGTATACCTGGATTTAATCGTTGAATACTTGATATCAACATGTTCTTTGTCTCGATTAAACTCTTCGTCGACAATGTTCTCCGCTTCTATCAGTTTGCAAAAGCTTCCAATAAATGCGAGTTGCCTCCTTTTCAACGAATTCTGCAGCGTTCTTTGGAGAAACCCGCGAAACTGATTGTAAATGACAGCGGTGAGCAAGTTCATAATGAGAAAAGTGCCGACAAAGGAAAAGACGATGAAGAAGATGGAGCAGAAGCGATTTTGCTTGTAAGAAGGCATCATTACATCTGGATTGTTTGCCGTAGTTAAGAGAACGAGGAGGGAGATAATCGCCGTATCAAGCGCCTCAAAACCAGTTGGATTGGCCAGCCAGTCATTTTCGGAGAGAGGGTCGTTTGGCGAAGGAGGGAGAATGAGCATTCCAATCATTGTGAAAAAGTAAAGATGGAATCCGAGAAGAAGAAGGACGCCAAGAATTTCTGGGACAGTCAAAATGACCGATTTTAGCAACTTTTTCATCATCGAACTTGATTGAATAAAGATAAATGGCCTCAAAAGCCGCCTAAAATGATTTGAAAGCAAGTTTTCTCGGGAAAAGCTTACCTAAGTCGATATGTGTAGGTAGGAACGTGGAGGGAAATGATGATGTCGACGATAGAAACGAACACAGAGATAAGGACAAAGATCATCCAGGGCTTCTTTTTCATCGTTTTGATACCGACAAGCCAGGTTTCAAGGATCCCAAAGGCTCCTATCACCAGCAGACAGAAAATTTCTAGCGCTTCTGTCATCCCTCTAAATGAAAAAGAAAGAGAGAGCTTGAAAAGAGTTCTACGAACCTAGGAACTTCTGGTCGAATATATTTTGGATTTGTTGGATCCGGCGTTATCGTCAGAGAGTTGGGGTCTTCAAGGAAGGCGAGAAACAGAAGGGTGAACATGATGAAGCCCCGAAAAATCTTCATGCCGGTGGAATGAAAAATGCGGTAGAGCTTCATCTCGCTTTCAGTCCCCATCTTGTGCCCCATATCGCGACAGCTCATGCCGTCTTCTATCAGAAGAACAGCCTTATCGAGGGTTGAAAAATCGATTTTACAAAGAGAGTTGTCCTCATTGAATTCCAACCTTTTCCTGATTCGTCAACAGCTCATATCGTTCTTTCGCGGTCAATAGGCCCGTCGGGCCGCTCCGAACCGAAGTTGGGTCCGAAATCAGCGACTGCTCGGACATGGACGTTTGACTTCGTATCCGACTCATAGAAAATTCGCAATCATATTTTTACTCTTCTGAAAAGTCCATTTTTATCAAGAATTTTAAATAATTAGGCATTTTTAAAAGTTTTGAAAGTCGAATCAAAAGATCAAAAGCTGATTCAGGGGCCAAAATCGCAGAAAAAATAGTTCACTAGTCACTGAAACTGGGGCTACAATCTTTTCATGGGCTTTCAAAAGGGGCGCCATTTTATCTTAACAAGGGACGGTTAAACACTTTTAAAAAGGACTCAACTAAAGTAATAAAGAGCTATCATCTCAGTATCATGGACTCGGCAACCGGTGCTGAAAACCCTGAGTCAGGATCTGAAAGAGCCAAAGCGGCCTCGCCAAAATCATCATCTCTATTCAGGTAAAGCTGCTTCGCGGCTTATTTTCAACTCTTTCAGGCCCTGACTCAGGCTTTGAACACAGGTTGCCGAGCCCATCGTCTTACTAAAGACTGATCAGGAGCGTCAATTATATTTTTAAAAAGGTCTTTTTTAGGTTTAGTGATTTAGAGCCCCTGCCCATCATCGTCGACAACGTAGACAATTTCGCCAGTAATCGAGTCCATAATCGCCCAAACAGCGCAATCGCCGATAAAACCGATGGAAGAAATATTCATTGAAGCCAAATCCAGAGCTGCGAAAGTCGCGTTCATTTTGTTCTGCTCGCTTGTTCGGATGATTTGATTCTTTCCATTTAAGATACTGAATGTTTCTTACTTGATTGAAAAACAGCTTTTTGCAAACCTGTTTAAATTTGCATTTGATTGAAATTGATGAGTACTAAATCGCATCGAGCTTTTCGCTTGACAGGAGAAATCTTGAAAAGAAGTCGATTTTTGGGCAGTTTCGCTCTTTTTCATCAAGTTTGGGACGAAAGTTGTGGTTGATCTTTTGACATTATCAGCTGCTTGCTAGAAAGAAGGTTGAGGGAGGGAATGAGGAGAACGATTTCTTACGAGCTGAGAAATTGATCGGATGCTTCGGACGAAAGTTGCAGCGTTGCGAATCAACCCCATTTTTTTTTCTAAAACGCAAACGATGAAAAAAATTCTAAATGACAAAGAAAGACAAGGTAGTGAAAATCATAATTTCGTTTATTTTAAAATTATTCATTACTGATACAGGAAGACGGTTCGATTTTGGATCATTTTATTGATAATAATGTTTTCGCAGCCTATTCTTAACAGATATAGGATCTCGGTACGGTTTTGCGTCATTTTATAAGTAAATATTGCTTTCAAACAGACTGGTATAGAAAACATTAAGAATTGTTCAAAATTTGATTATCAAAATTATTTGTTTTATAAATTTCTAACAGACAATGGAAGCCGCTTTTTAGTTTTTGCTTTATTTTATAGACTTAACTTTAGTCACTAAAGTTTAATGGTCTGATTGTTTAAATTAAAACAGTTTTTTCATAAATAAGAATGAAACTTTTTTAGACAGACATGGGCTCAAGGTTTTTTGTTGCATTTCATAAAAAAACTAAAATAAATGGAAAGATCATACAGTTTTTTTAAAAACGGATATTGGTAGTCGACATGTTGTAGCTTCTTAGGTAGCATTTTAAAGTTTTTCAAATTTGAGACTTGGCAAAGCGCGATGACTGTACCCTTAGACTGGAATTTGTTTCATTTTATTCTCATTATGGTTTCTCAATAATCAAAATTCTCGAAGTTGCCATGGCGAAAGTGGCCAATCAGCGCGCGATCTCCAGGTGCGCCCTTTCTTGATTTCCACTTCTCGAATTGTAAATTTCGTTTCTTTATTCTTCAAAAATGAAAGCGAGAGATACCGGTTGTTTTTTGTTTCAGAAGGAGAGAAAAGAATGTCGCGAGGAGGTTTCAGAGGAAAATCACAATTTGACCGAATGATCGACGATTATGGTTTTGGAGGAAAAGTTGTCAAGGTAAAATTATCGAAGAAAAAGTCTTGGGGCGAGCTAAAGATAAAAAATTAAATAAATTTATATAAAATCGCGTAAATAGCGGCTAGAATACTTGTCCCTCAGAGCCGCAAGCGGCTTATCGTCTTCCCAATTCAACCTCAAGCTGACCTTATCATAACTAGAAGACAATTTATCACTTATCATAAACTCACAAAATTACGACGCTAAACTCATTTAAACTCAGCCTTTTCTGCTTTCAGGATATGAGTTTATATCCACGCCTCGAAGTAGCTCCATTTCCGTTTCCAAAAATCGACGAGTACGTCGACTACCGCGAGAAAACATGCTGCGAGATATCCGCCCTGATGACGGACAGATTTCGCGATTCGCCAAATTTCCATGCCCGGGAGTCGCTGGAAACACCAGATGTTGAACGATACAATGAAAATATTCAGCTCAAGTCAGGAAAAGGGAAGATTTATTGATAAAAGATGAACTGATTTATTGCGGCTTGGGATTCGAATTTTTAAATTTTAAATAAGGAATTGAGGGTACAAGGGAGTAGAACACAGTTTTGGCTGTAGAATTGAAACAACAACTCAGATCTATTTTTAAATAAAACTAGGCTCCACAGCTTGAGTAGAACATACTCCTGTCCTCATTTTTAAAAACTGTTATGAAAGTGAATCGTCCTTCAAAAGTCTTCAAGCCTGATTACGACCGAATCCCGCTGGAGCTTCATCCCGACTACAAAAAGATCCGAGCTGCGGAACGAAAGAGAAAGGCCCTGGAAGAACGAAAGGCGGCAAAACGACTGATGTTGGAGAACATCACGACTGAAGGAAACGCTGGAGAACTGACAGAGAAAGAGAAAGAAGAGCTACTGGGATTTGGAAACGCGCAGGTGGAAGATGTGGATGTGAAAATGGGCGAAGCGCACTACACGGATGATTCGGAAGACGGACATGTTTCGGATGATAACTTAGAGGATGATCAGGGAGATTATGGAGGTAAGAGAAAGAGGGACGAACTGGGCTGGGCAACCTGTGTAGAAACCTTGAGTCGGATACCACGGGGAGCAATGGTTAGTAATAGTAACTGATTCTTATTTTCAGATTCGCATTTTGACAATGGAGAAGAAGATACGGACATCTAACCGGTTCAATCGAAAGAAGTTCGAAGTTTGGCCTATCTTTTATTTGCTCAATAGACACTCTTTTCACCTGCTTGCCCCTTTTTCTGTTAAACCACCTTTCATGACCACTTTTCCAGATAAGCGCTTATCAGTTTGCGCCAGATCCAAGACTCCTTGTTTTCAACCTCCACTTTCAGATCGAAATAATCGACAAAACATCAATGTCACCCAGAATAACTTGAAAGCGGCTTGCTTTTTCGCTTTTTTCTTTACTGACATCGTTCAAGAAGGACTCATGAAAGTCAAGCCAGAGAACAAGCAAGAGAATCCGCCAAGAAAGAATGGATTTCACTGTCCTTTAGGAAACGGCTTAATGGGAAGTTCAAATAACATTGGCTTAATATATCCTCAACGCTTGAATCTCTAAAGATACTCAAAATCTAGCCGCCAAAAAGATCCAAAACAAGTCTCATTATGGATCGTTTTCTTTATCTTCGTCACTTACACCTTTATTCTTGTCATTCCTGTATTTAATCTCTGGTACATTCCCTTCTCCTTCGAGGCTCTTGCTGTAATATGGTAAGAAAACCTTCCGCTATGGATATTTTTACTGATTCTTAGCTTTGTATTCTTCACCCTGCGCACAACATGGATCGACCCAGCCGATTTCAGCGTCCGTTACCAGTCGGGCGACCGGCCACAGTTCAAAAAGACGAAAGACAATCCCCATGTCATCAGGAATCTGTATTGCCAAATTTGTAAAATTAATGTAGACAAGTAAGTCCCCATCTTTTCTACCATAGCCTACCCCTTCATTTTAGTCGCACAAAACACTGTAGAAACTGTAATAAATGTATATCTGTCTTTGATCATCATTGCGATTGGCTGAATACCTGCGTTGGGGTTAGAAATTATCGGTAAGTACTCGACCTTTTAGGCCATTTTTAACATCTCCTTTTTAGATATTTCATTGCCACACTGATATCAGCTCAAGTGATGCTCTTTCTCACCTTTCTATTAAATTTATTGGCGGTGGTCGGGCTTTCCGTTGAATCGAGACCGATGCTGGTAGACTCTCATCCGATTTTAACCGGCACAGAGCTTGGTGTCCTCATCACTTCTTCAATTATCTGCGTATTGATACTCGTCATGCTCTTTTTTGTCGGCCAGCTGTTTGTGTAAGCATTCATCTTCGTTTTCCTAGGATAATTGTTTTTAGATTCCATTTGAAACTAATCAAAAACGACCAGACAACGTATGACTACATAATCGCAAAAAGAAAGCTCAAAGAACAGCGAGAAAAAGAAGCGAAAGAAAACGCAGCTCAAAAAGCCCAGGACAATCAAGCATTCGAGGTCTGTTCCGAGCCAGGAGGCCTTCCTGATGAAGATGAGATCATGGACTCCTTTGAGGAGAAGAAGAAGCGTGTTAAATCTGCAACGGAACGGGCTAATTCTCATTCTTTTGACCCACTTCAGGTTATTTTTTCGTAGTCATCGATGTCAAATATGTAGAAAAGTTGTTGGATAGCCAAAACTTTTGGTAAAGCATGAAATTTGAGTTCTTTTTTTCTTTAGTTTTCTCGTTTTGTTTTGTTTGAATTTTTAATGAGCCTTTTGCACAGACAGTAGCAACAATCAGCGACGTTCGTATGGACCACCCCGCTTCCGAAACGTAGGATCCCGCCTTCAAACTTCAATCCTTCAAAAATCAAATCACCAAGCCTTCAAATTAAATTCACTGCTGAAACTCTTCACTCTACTGTTCTATTTTACCAGTTATTTATCTAAAAAATATCCCTACTTTTTACACACTACTCTGTAAACGTTTCGACCGTTTTTGTACATAAAAAAGTCGTATTTATTATTTTCTTAAAATAACCTGAGAATAAATGACAATTTATGAAAAAAGACCATCTTTCTTAATTTGATGGGGAAAAATACGGTCCTTTTTATCCTTGTTTACGAGGATCAGGAAAGAACCCGGCCCTGGGCGTGTGTGTTTATTTGTGCAAGTCAAAGTTTCATTTGCATCCTTGAGCATTATCAACAAAAAATACCGGCACCAGTAAACATGGCAATAATTAACTAACGCAGGGGCTCTTGAAAATCCAACGTTGCAGGCCTCATTTCGAGATACCATGAGACAAGGGTAAGAACTAGACAAGAGTATAGAGCCGAAAGGCTATCATTTTCTTCTTTTAGTTGGTCTCTGTTAGCCCTAGCGGGTCTAGCAGTCGCCTCGCGATCATGGGGATCATACCCCACATACCGAAACGCCGCTGCCTACAGCACTGGCTACTCCCAGGCCGTCAGGATCACCGATGCCGGCTCTTTTGTCCGCGAGGTCACCATGACTGACGCCGAGATCTTCTGTACTTGCGCCGGCGCTCCCCCACCACCAGTAGTTGAGAAGCCCGTCTTCTACCTCTACGTCATCGCTCCTTCCACCGACAACAGCGACCGAGTCTCCGATTGGACCATTCAGTTCATGAAGGACTTCGCCGCCAACAACCAGCGAGCCCAGTACGACATCAAAGTCCTCCTCGTCCACAAGAACGATCGAGGTGACAACGATGTCCGATACACCTGCACCGCCTCGTACGACTACCAGGTCACCGAGATCTCCATGAACATTGCCGCTCAAGGCAGTTACGCCTGGGAAGATGATGTCAAAGAAAAAATCTCGAAATTCGGCGGAAACGATTGCCACATCATCGCTCAGAAGGTCATGATCGACCATTTCAACAGCCAACAAGAGGAGTCGAAATTTGCCCTCGTCTACACCACCATGGAGAAGCTAACTGACAACTACGACAGATACTACCTTCAGTCTAATGCTCGCAAGGGCATGAAATTCTTGGCTTCTCAGGGTCAACGAGATGCGTTCTACAATGCTGTCAACACCTTCAACCTTGCTGACTCCGCTTTTGTTGTTGCTGGCAACAATCCAATCAAGGATAAATATCTCGCGGATCGACTTGATGAGGACTCTCAGCTTTTCCGAGGATTCCTTGCTAAATGGGCCAACGCTCCAACTCTCAATGTCAACCACAACTGCGACTACAGAGGTGTCACCAGCAACGCTGAATGGAACCCACAGCGATTCCTTAACGTCGCTAACCGTCAACGATGCCCACTTGTCGATAATCCAAGCATCCAGTCACCCGACGCAGCCAGATATGACAACTACATGACGGTCACTACCTCTTCCATTGTTTCTGGATTCCTCACAACTATCGACGCCATCAATGGCCGAGCTCAGAGCAACCCACAGCCTGTTCCTTACACCAACTCATGGGACTTCGGCTCCAGTGGCAAAATTCAGACTCTCGAAGATGGCGTCAACTGTCAGTATGACTTGATCATTGCCATCGATCTCGATTGTGTCAACGAGCAGGAGACCCCAGCCATGCAGAGCTTCGCTACCGAGTTAATCGACCAAATCTTCTCCCATCGAGAATACGTCGAAAAAGGCTTCATCCGAGTCGGAATCATTGGTTTCCACAATTCTCTCCACATTGGAATGCCGCTCTTTGAAATGTCTTTCGTTAAGTTCCAACAGAATAATGAAGGCTACAAAAAGGCTACTCTTGCGATCAAGACTCTCATTTCAATTGCCCGAAACAAGGCAAATCAGGAATCCGCTAGCTTCACCCAAATGTTCTCCCTCATCCCAACCCTCTTCGACGCCCGAAACCACAAGAGCCGACAGCTCATCATTGTCACCAACGCCGGTCCAGGCCTTCGATACCCAGGCTGGAGCCAGTACGCTCTTGCCGATCTTGAGAGAATGCGAAACGAGCTCTACCGCGGTATTCAAGTCACTGCTATTGCTGTCAATGCTGAACCTTGCCGAGGCGGCTACGGCACCTGGAACGAAGATTGCTTTTTCACCGAAGCTCTTATGAAGATCGATAGCTCTTTCAACATTCGAAGAAGCCTGATGGGCGCCCAAAAGTCGCAGTGGGGCACTTTCTACAGCCGAATGATCACCAGCATGCACAGCGAAATCGGAACCATCATCGCCGAGATGAAATGCGAACCTGCCAAGCCTGACCCTATTCCATGCGCTTGCGCCGCCCGAGCTGAACTTTGCGCCGACATCGACAAATCTGAACCCGGACCTGATGGACCTCAAGGCCCTCGAGGAGCACAAGGACCACCTGGGCCAGCTGGTCTCAGTGGACGACCTGGACCCCCCGGAAAGCCCGCTGGACCCGGACGACCTGGACGACCCGGCCCACATGGTCCACGTGGACCCCCCGGTGCTCGAGGAAAGCCCGCTGAAGCTGGAAGCCCTGGTAAGCCTGGTGTTCCCGGCAGTCCTGGTCTCCCTGGACGCGCTGGTGAGCCTGGCGCTGACGGACCTCGTGGATCTCCAGGAAGCCCCGGCCTTCCTGGCAAGCCTGGTGATGCTGGACCCCGCGGACCCCCTGGAAACGCTGGCCCTCGAGGACCTCAAGGACCATGTGGACCTGCTGGTGAGCCTGGCTCCCCTGGTGCGCCTGGTGCTGACATGACTATTGCTGAACTTGAACAGATGGAGAGACAAATCGAGGCCGACATTGAGCAACGAGCTGATCGCTTCTTTGCCAATCCTGAAAATGTTAAGAAAGTCAGCGCTATCGCCCGCACTACAACTATTGAACAAGGCTGGTGCAGCTGCAACAGTGACAATTGCTCCTGTGGAACAACAACTACTACCACAACCACTACGACAACAACCACCACACGTGGACCAAAGACAGAGGTATGCGTTGACTGCACCAACCGACACGTCATCGTCTATGTCGACAACTCTGAGTCGATGACTGATGATGAAGAAAAGGTCGAAACTGTCAATAACATCATTGGAACATGGACTCAATCTTCATTGGAAGAATTCGATTCCAAGACTGGCGATAGCTATCAGAGCCCAGAAGTACTTGTCACCAAGTTCAGTGGTCGTCTTCAAGTGAATGCCCGCGTACATGTCGCCGGAAATCATCAAGCTTCATTCAATTCTCATAACATGATGACTCCAAAATGGAGATGGGGACTTGACAGGCCTGAATCTCTTCCCATCAGCCGTGTTCGAGATCATACCATCCAATTCTACAAGAATGGTGATAGCATTCCAAATGATCTCCAATGGGATTGGAATAGAAAAGAGTACCAATGGCAGAGTCGCAAAGCTGAGACTGGAGTCGGAACTTCTTACTTCTACCATGGTCTTTATGATCTTCACAATTTCCTTGCTGATCCCGCTACAAACTGGAATGGAGACCTCAAGGCAACAATCGTGGTCATTACCGACGGAGAAAAATTCGATGATACTCCAAAGGTCTGGGCTGATCAAGATGATGCCGACTGGGAAGAGCTCATGGGTCAAACCGATCGAAGACTTCGACGACAGCGACGAGTTGTTCCACCAATGCAGGTTAATGAGGTCTGCACCCTCTTCAGCAAGCTGAACAGATATGTCAACAAAATGATCTTCATCCACGCTTTCGACGAAGACGTTAATCTTCACAATGGTGAAGCAAAATCGCACTTCGTCATGAAACGATTGTTCGACAAGCACTTGGCAACCTGCAGCGTAGGATCCAACAATATCCAATTCGAAATCAACTTCCCGCAAGTCAAAGGAGAAAGTATTAACCAGCTCCAGAAGCATGTCCAGGGACTGGCTGACTGCAACTTTGGAATCGACTCTCTCGTTTGCTGCACCAAACTCGATGTCACTTTCGGCAATCAAGTAATTACTCTTTACCGACAGCAGGGTGGTCAATGCCGAACCAATGTCAAATACAGCAGCCGAAGCGGAGAGTACACCCTTCGATGGTATGGAAATGATCCATATTCCGAGGGCTGGGTTGTCGAAAAATGGATGCCTGGACGAAACTGGGAACCTATTGATTCCTGGCGTCTTGCTGGCAATCATGGTAACAGTGTCTCGATCAGAGATCAGCAATCCTGCTGCCCGATCAACAACGATGAGGGCAAGGCGTTCTTCGCACGCGGTGTCACAGCTGAATGCAACGCTCAACGAAGTGTCGACGAAACTTATTGCCTCAGTCAGTTCGTTGAAAACTAAACGCTTCCATGAAAATTACACAAAAAATATTCCCTTGCCAAATTCTTCTGATATATCTTTATCAAATAAACAATTCGGTCTCCAAATTCTCCCGCATTTTCTTTTCGTAATCTTTTTGAAGACAAAGACTTTATTTTAGTTTGATTTGTTTATTCACTCAGATATTTAAAGCTCATCGTGCTTCTTTGATGCGTGAGGCTTTCTATACACGCCATGATTTCCAGTGACATAGATATATCCATCTGAAGTCAAAATTATTTTTTGCACTAACTGATAAAGAAAACCTGGGCCAAGAAGAACGTTGGAAGTAGCAATTGTCTGGAATTTTTCAGCGCCGAGAAAAACGCCATTTTTGCTAAAAAAATATCATTTTTGATAGACCATTCATTTCTTACTCGTAGACATAGAGACCTCCAGCACTTGTTACCCAGACATTTCCGGCTTCATCAATAGTAAGTCCATCTTTTTTGGGAATAGAAAATATCATTTCTAAATTCTCCTCTATGATTTCTGTTCTCTCCCTGGATAGCCAGCTCCACCCATTACATCTTTTCCGTCGATGAAAACGGTCTTCTCCCCTGCAACTGATCCATCCTCATTCAATGGCCATTTCCACCACTGCCAGACAGTTTCGTTACAATAAGCAACGATCAACTCATTGTCTGGTGTGACACCGATACCATTTGGTTGCTGCATTTCATTGTTGATCAATGTTGTTTCTTGTGTTTTTGGGTTGTATCTAGTTAAAAAAATTTTTGACTTCATCCTGTTTTTTTCTACCTGTAGACTCCAGAAAAGCCAGGTGTATCAAGTTCTGGCGCTCCTCCCATATTTCCTCGGATCAAGTTGTGATTGATGGTCTGTTTCCCGAAGACGGGATCAGTGAAGTAAATGTCTCCAGTTTTCGTATTGACAGCAACATCGTTCGGCGAATTCAAGGGGCCGTAGGGAGTTTCAGTGACAAGTTTACGAACAGTTCCGTCGGGAGAAAGAGAGGCCAGAGCTCGAGAACCGTGTTGACAAATGATCAAATCGCCGGTAAGCGGATTCGCTGCAAGACCGTTGCTTCCTGGTTCCATCCAAAGATGAGTGTCGATAACGGGGTCGATTCTAGCACAGCTTTTGCATCAAGGAGAAAATCAACATTCGCTTACCCGTAGCCGGCTTTCTCCAACACAACATCGGTCAACTTCGTTTTCGGATCCCAAGAGTAGATCTTCTCCAATCTGGTGTCGGAAAAGACCAGTTTGTCCTGCCACCAAGTCGGTCCTTCGCTCCAGACCATCACATTCAGGATCATTTCCCAATCCCCTTTCCCGACCAAAGACTCGTATCGTTTATCAGCAATCACCTGTTTTGTTGGAGGACTTTCATGGGTTAAAATTTAACCGTTAAAAATTTTTTGCTTTCGAATCCGTTAATGAGTTTCTAACACAATCCTTGGCATGCCACCTGGAGTCATGTTTATCTCTGCAGAAGCGCATATTCCAAGAAGACTAAGAATCCTCATTTTATCAGATGAAAAAACGGGATTAATTGTAGTCTCTATCTGTTGCCGTAAAAACGAGAAAAGCTAACCCGGGGCGGGGTTATGCAAACAGACAAAATGCATGTAGAGCTCGAAATCTTCGAACTCTCAAATAAACATCAACTCTGAAAGCCAATATTCTGGCTTTAGTGACTGAAGTTCATTCAATTTAAATTCTGCTACTGAAATATCTTTTTCATTATAAGAACCATAATCATGCGAATTTAAAATCGTTTTTATATTTAAAAATAGTCAATTGCTTGAAATTCCATGAGGACGCTTTATTGACGTTTCTGTATTAGTAGGGAAACTCGATGAAAAACGAGCTTTTTTTTGGGCTTAGTAGGGAGGGAGTATGATACAGTTTTAGAAAGCCCAGGAGCTGGGGATCATTTTGACTATTGATAGTAAGGGGTTTAACATATGCCCTGGGGCATTTTTGGCCTTCCGAAGGGCCAAATATCTGGTACTCTCAGGATAGGGGACCGTAACTTCTAGTACCCCGGGTCTATTGAAATAAGACTCATACTGGGTTGTAGAGTAGGCTCTGACAATTCAGAATATATGTCAAAAACCATCGTTATGCCCACTCTGGAGGGCGCTAGAGGCTCTAGAACTTAACCGCGTGGGACGAATCCGCGCGTATGAGCGCGGGACGAATTGTACATTCCATTGTAGTTTAAGCGAAAACTTGAATAACTCGCGACTCGCTCATCCGATTCCCGCCAAATTTCCAGACAATACTAAATCGAATACAGGCTTTCATAATTTCAACTTAAATTTTCGTTTTCCTGTCTGCAAACCTCATTCTCATATTACTTGTAGCTCTTGTTTTGACCGTTTGAGTTGATTTCGCATTGAATTTTTGTAAATATTATTCAAAATTCGAAATCTCCAGTATCGAAAACCTATATTTTCATTTTGAAAAAAATAAAAAATCCCAATTGAGACCTGAATTACGAGTGAGAAAAGGAGCACAGCGCGAAGTAGGTCAGAGTTAATCCGCTGCAGAGCGCTGGTGGTGCGCGATAATTCGGTGAAATTTTAAAGAGCGAGAGATTAAGGATGTGCAAAGGCGCATTTCAATTTTCAGATCTATACGATCAGTAGTTTTTGAACTAGGGCTCTTCAAAGTCTTAAACTACATTGGAATGTACAATTCGTCCCACGCGGTTAAGGAAGTTGGCCGAAAATTGGCACTCTTGGCCCAAAAAAGTACGAAACTGTTATTTTATTCGACTGAAATACGTTTAAGGACGTTTTAAATCGATAATAATATGTTGGAAAAGTATTTTGGGGTCATTAAACGTCACTTGGTGTCATATTTTACAAAAAAAAGAAATTTTCGTAGTAAGTCACCCCGGAATATCTCATATGACCCATAAAATACTTTTCTTACATATTTTTATCGATAAAAAACGTCCTTAAACGTATTCCAGTCGAATAAAATAACAGTTTCGTACTTTTTTGGACCAAGAGTGCCGATTTTCGGCCAACTTCCATAAGTTCTAGAGCCTCTAGCGCCCTCCAGAGTGGGCCTAACGATGGTTTTTGACACATATTCTGAATCGTCAGAGCCTACTCTACAACCCAGTATGGGTTTTATTACCACAGACCCGGGATACTCGAAGTTACGGTCCCCTATCCTGAGAGTACCAGATATTTAGCCCTTCGGAAGGCCAAAAATGCCTCAGGGCATATGTTAAACCCCTTACTATCAATAGTCAAAATGATCCCCAGCTCCTGGGCTTTCTAAAACTGTATTATACTTCCTCCCTACTAAGCCCAAAAAGAAGCTCATTTTTCATCGAGTTTCCCTATGTATTAGGCAAGAAGTGTGACAGAATAAGACTTTATTCTTATTGAAGCTACCAGGAAGTCGGAATCCCTTGCGAAGGTCAGATGCCCGTCACAGGGTTTACTTCAAATAAGTTGATGATGCTAAATTTCAATCAAAAGTCGATGCGATTATCAGGAAGAGTCCATATTTTCATTGAAATCTTAGCCAATCATAAGTCTGTATTCGGCCTACCGACCAATCAAAAGTCGAATTCGCGCCCATTCAAATGTCGTCGCAGTTTTCCACTTTTTATGGCGTCATCCATTTTCTAGACTCTAGAACGTCTTGACCTGAGAGTCATTCTAGAAAATTATGTTTATCAACATTTCTGAGCTTTCACGATGCAAATCTGACATCGAAGAATTGTACCTAATTTTACTCGACTATCTCATCGACGGAGCAATTTCCAAGTTGGCGGAGCCGCCTCGGGCAAATTCGGGATCTGGCGCAAAGTCGCCCAATCGCCGCGCTTCTTTATTTGCCTTTCACCGCCACGTCACCACTATCAATTTTTTAACAAAAAATCGACTTCTTTCAACCTTTTTTGACTTCCCAAAGAGATTTCCAAGTCTCAGAAGACCCTCCCTTATTCTTCGAAGAGAAAATCTTTTTAGAAAAATTGTGATTTCAAATTTTTTTTTCCCTTTTTGCCTACTTAGTTCTAGAATCCGCGGTTTTTAAAGGTCATATCAGTTAAGAATGGTAGATCAGCACCTCCTGATCCAGAATTTGGAGGAAAAAGCAGAAGAGCTTGTCCGGAAGACGCGAAAATATCTTCCTCACATTGGCCGATTTTGCCTGATTAGTACTTTCGTCGAAGATGGATTCAGAATGGTCAATCAGTGGGGCGAGCAAAGAGATTATATTGGTAAAACAACGAAATATTCCTCCCTCTCTAAAATGTCTTTCAGAATCGGTTTGGAACTGCGGCTGGTTCTTGGCGGTCATGTTCGTTTTTCTCAACCTCGTCGTTCAAATCTCCGCCTCGTTCTGCGTCATGACCCGAATCAGAGTAAAAGAAGCCTGCTACGCGTTATTCTTCATTATATTTATGCAAACTATTGGGTACTCGATCCTTTGGGATCCAAAATTCTTGGCTAGGTAAGATCTCTATTTGACCTTTTTGCGCAAAAATGCGGGAGAAGGTTAATCTTTTCTTATTCAAATTTTTTGTAGAAATCTTGCTCTTGTTGGTGCTGTCTTGTTACTGTATTCTGAATGCTTGACCGAACAGAGGACGCTTTTTGCAGGAGTTCCTTCTTTTGGAGAAGATTCAAAGCCAAAGGTACAGAAGAGTTGATTTCTAATTAAAAATAAATGAATAAGAGGCTTTTACTGTTTCTATCATAGTAGAAATCATTTTATGAAATGATTCTTTTTCAACCTCGAAACCAATTATATAATGGTGAGCAAGGAGGCCAGATTTTTATCTATAATAGATTCTATTCCTTTGAAATTGAAGGTCGATAAAGATCGTTTTTTACATGTCACGAAATCTTGCCTGCCTTACTTGCCTGAAGATTTTATCGATTTTTATCGCTCCAGTTACAGTCTATCCTCCCGAATATATTTCATGTAATTTATCGTTCTCTCTAGCAATATATTCAACTCTCTGGCCGACTTCTGATGGTCTTGATGTTCATGACTCTCATCAAATTCAACTGGGACACGCAAAACGTAAGCCTTCCCCCTCCCGTCTCTCGCCTACCCTTTTTCTCAGGTTATCGCCATCATTTTCGGTCTTCCACTGGTGCTCATGGTCGCTGCTGGCTACAAAACGAAACTCGTCTCTGTTGCTCTTATCTTCTTGCTCTTCGTCCACAACATGAGATATAACAACTTCTGGAGACACAGGTACGTTTATAGACGAAAAAAGCTGTTTTCAAGCCATATTTTAGCGTGAAAACGTACATTTTCGACTTCAAAAAGTTCGATTTCTTCCAAGGACTCTCCGTTATTGGCGGAATTATTCAATTGATCGTCTACGGCCCTGGAGGACTCTCAGTCGATGATAGACTAAAGGCCGAATAAACGAAAACAGATCAACGCTCTTTGAGTAAACCTACAAATCTGCCCAATTCCCCCCTTTTTCGCAAGATCCCAGAGAAGCCAAGCTACTGTAGAAATTACCTAATTCTCGACGGTTCAAATTCAATTTCACAAATATCGATCTCGCTTATTTACAAGCACTTTTAGCCGAATTCTGTTACATCCCTTTCAAAGTAGTTAAAATATTCTTTAGTCAACTCAAAGTCTACACTTTTCTGTTGCAAAAGTTTCTCAAACTGTTCCCAATTTCCACATTCTGTTTGAATTTCTGAATGTTTTCAGACGTTTCTTATCACTTTTAGACCAACTTATCAAAAAAAAACAATTTGTGCAATTTCAAAAACTCCGTTCATTATTGTAAAAATAATACATTTCGAATATATATTTCAATCATTTCGACGATTCTTTTTGCAGGCTGAGAATTTCGATAGCCTTATTTGCATGATTTGTTGGAAAAGGTCAATAAGCATCTTTTTCTTTGAAGAAATGATATGGGTGACGAAGTCAAAATCGTGATCCTTGGGGATCGAGGCGTCGGAAAAACAACTCTCATTCTAACTCTCGTTACTGAGGAGTTCTGTAGCAAGCCGCCAAAGACTCTCAATCGAATCGGCATCACTAGTGAAGTTTCGAACCATTCTAGCGCTGGATTGACTTATCTCGTTGATTATTCGTAAGAAGATCATCCTAGAAGGGTTCTTGACGGATATTTCTAGGGAAGCGAATTCCGAAGAAATCTTGGAAGATGCCGATGTTGTCTGCTTGTGCCACAACGTCCTCGACATCGATTCGCTCTTTGAGTCAGCAGAAAAGTGGCTTTCGATCGTCAGACTTCAGGCGTACAAAAGTCCGCCTGTGATCATTGTAGGAACGAAGTCTGATGAAATTAAACAGTCAAGGAATGGTTTTCTTAAAATTTTAATAATGGAAATGATATGGAATTCTCAAGTGAGGAACCAGACAAAGAAATGCTTTTAACAGTTCTTGGAACGAAAAATGCAAGGCGCTCATGTCCAGATATCCAGAAGTCGCAAGTAAGAAAAGCAACAAACTTTCGCCAAAGTACTTAGAATTCTAAGTTAGAAAATTGAATATTATTCAAAATGTGATAGAAAGTTTCTAAAAGAGACCATAAGAGTATACTGAATAGTGATAAGTCATGAATTAAATTGCTCACGAAGTTGATAAAATAAATCACTAGATTTGAATTTAAAATACATAGCATCGTCATAACTTATAAGTTATAACGGCTCTATATAACGTTCTTAATATCTATAGACGTGCTTTTTTTAAGGTTATGCAATTTATTTCACCCACTTCCTCATTTTTAGACCCAGAACACCATACATATTTGGAATCAGTGGAGAAAATCTAAAAACTTGACCGTTTTAGTTTTCCGAAATTCACTTCCGGTAACGATTCTAGAGCCGGAAGTAGGCGAAATTTTGGAGTCATGGTAAAGTGTGACCTATCAAATTGATGCGCAGATGATTCTCAGTCATCTCATCATCAACTTATTTGAAGAAACAGTCTTAAACGCGGTTAAACTGACCGGTAAAACTATGAAAAAAGCATGATTTAATGAGAGATTTTCCAATTTTTACCGGTCGTTTACCGGCGTTTTTTGACCGCGGTTGGACTCGGTTCCGGTCATAAATGACTGGATTTGTTGTAAGCTTTAATTTGATAGGTCATATGTATGTATTTCTTATAAATTTCGTGGACTTCCGGCTCTAGAATCGTTACCGGAAGTGAATTTCGAAAAACTAAAACGGTCAAGTTTTTAGGTTTTCTCCACTGATTCCAAATATGTATGGTGTTCTGGGTCTAAAAATGAGGAAGTGGGTGAAATAAATTGCATAACCTTAAAAAAGCACGTCATAGTAGTCTATTAGACACGAAACATAGTTCTGAATCAGATACTGATCTTGATAGATAGAACAACTTCAGGCGCAATGGAATGCTCTTCAAAACTCAACCTCGGCGTGCTAAATGTCTTCGTCGACGCCCAGAAATGTGCACTCTACCCACTTTGCCCAGTTTTCAATGCCCGTTCGGGTAAATTAACGCTTGAAGCTTCAAGCGCTCTTCGTCGCGTTTTCCACATTGCAGATATTAACTACGACGGAGTTCTTGATTTTGGAGAACTTGGCGAGCTCCAGAGAAAGGCTTTCAACACGCATCTTGGAGATCAAGGTTAGTAAACTCTTTATTAATTGTCCTGACATTCCATCTTTCCCTTGAAGGCTATGAAGATATCCGACATCTGATTCATTCTTCAATCCAAAACGGAGTCGTGAAACAAGGAATCACCATCGAAGGCTTTTTCGCATTACAAGCAGAGCTTTGTAAAAATCTCAAACAAGAAGTTGTCTGGACGCTTCTCAAAGCGTTTGGGTACACTTTGAAATGCGGGGAAGTTCGATTGGAGCTACATCCTTTTCTGAGGTTTGGCAATCATCATTTTCATAGTTGAAAACAGTTTTAGTTCTCTGCGCTTGAACCCTGATCCAAAGAAAAACTCCCTCTCCGATTCTTCGATTGATTTCTTGAGAAACTGTTTCTCAAAAGTCGACGCTGAAAAAGAAGGAATAATTGACTCCGCAAAGATAAAGAAGATCTTCTCTGGTTGCGAGTGGATTCCTCGCGAATTCGACCTGTCTTTAGATTCAACGCCAGTTTATCTCGTCTCAGGAAGACAGGTGATAACGATGGATAGCTGGATCGCCCGGTGGGAGCTTTTTATGCTCTTGGATTGTGAAAAATGCTTGACGACGATCATTCTTCTTGGCGTTGTTCACTCGTCTTTTGGGCTCAATGAAAAGGTTTTTTGGCGATACTGAGTGCTCTTTTCTTTATTTATTTTTCAGCTTACAACTTCTGCGGTTCAAAAAGTCGTGAAAATCGGCGCCCAACTCCCTTCGAGACCCATCGTCGTCGCCGTCTGTGGAGATCGAATGACTGGCAAATCTTCAGTAGTCAACTGTCTCGTGAAAAATAACAAGTTCAAGCAATCAATCACTTCAAAACGAATCAACCTTGATGACCTCACAGTAAGTAAAAAACCATAAAAGCAGCTTTTGCTTGAAAATGTATTCTAAATGGATCACCATCGTGAACTGATAAAATGACCATCTCGTTCATAGGACGGATGATTACATAGGTAGCAAGGTAAAATTTAGATTTCAAATACATCGTTTAGTAAACCCAAAAATACGTTTTAGATTACGCTAATTCTTCAAGAAGTTCCCCTCGACGAGCTCGACTCAATCTGCGCCGATGCCATTCTAGCAACTTACAGCACTAGCGCCGACTCTTCCCAGCAAACTCTTCTATCAAAACTCAAAGCACGGAAAAAACTACGAATCAACGTTCCTGAAATAATTCTATGCAAAACGCGAGCCGATTTGCGCTCTTCGTCGGCGTCTCTTTCTGATGAGGTGAAAAAGAAAGGTCTTTTTGTGGCTCATTTTCTGTTTTAGATTATAAGAGAGTTTTCGAAATTCAAAGGAGAAGTTCTCTTCTACGGCGAAAATACCTCGGAGGAATTTTACTCAAACCTTGTCGAAATTATTCTCAAGCAAAATGGAGTGTATTTCAATCGACCCTGGTCTCGCTTCATGCGAAAATCATGCCTTCTTCTTTCTCAGGTGCCATCTTTTTCGCTACTTGTTCTTTATGTTCTTCTAGCCTGACTGGATGACGCTCTCAATATCATTTGGCGTCGGAGTCGTCCTTCTCGCTGCTTATTCCAAGATCAAATCATGATGTTTAATGTTACAGTGTTCCTTCATTCTTGCTTTCAATTTGAAAATTTTTAACTGTTTGCCTATCCTGCCAAGACATTAACAACAATAATGCTACAATATACATCGTTCTTGTCTACATAGAATGCTTGCAATGCGAGTACCATTTTTTGGGACTCAAAAGCGATTTCTGTCATTTTCAAAAGAAATTCGGGCAAAAGCTACGAGTCTCAGTCGAACAGATGTAGAAAGTGGCTCTTGGGTTTGTGTGACGAAAACTGCTCAACGGGAGCTCGCGAAAAGAGGGAAGAAGAGAGTGGGGAGACTGGAGCTGGAAAAGTTTCGGAATGAGATGATGTTCAATTCGGCACTTGATTTCAGAAGGAGAACAATAGGTTCGTAGTCGAGGATGTGAAATTTTGCCCAAAGGTTTGACCAAAGAACTTATCAACTTCAATTTAATGCTTTCATTTTTCCGATCCATGATAGACCTTATTACTGTTTTCACATCACATCTACATCGAGATTATGGTCTCTGTATCGAATCTTTCTGCTTCCGCAAATAAAATCATTCTTAGGTCTTGTGGGCATGGGATGGTTTGCTCTTACTGCAGTCACTTTCCTTCACTTCAAAAACGCATCAGCAGAAGAATCACGCGAAATTATTCAAATTTACATGGCTAGTTGTTTCATTTTTGGTATGAAAGATTCGGCATTGATTCTTTAATATCGATTCCACTATTTTCAGTCGTTTATCTTCTTCAACAATTATGCCGAGGAAGAAGAGTTGGCTTCGTAAAAAATATTTACGTCAACAAAAATGGCGATCTGGCGCTTCTGACTCAATCTTTGACTACACGATTTCCGCAAGGAGCGGTTCACGAGGGAAAGTTCAGGGATGTAAAGATCTTCGTCAATATTTCTTCACAAGACGGCGATTTCACGGTGATTCCAGGAATGGGTTAATCTCAAGTCATTTTTGATTGATTGGCTATAATTTATAGCCTATAAAGATAATTTAATTATTAACTTAGTTATTATAATAACTTGGTATATACCATGTCTATCAGTGACTTTATCATAATTACAATATAAATTACTTTGTCTTGATTTCATAGATTATTGTGGTCATTAGTAAATTTATAATTTATACTATTACATACAACTATCGGTGCAGACTCCGTGGAGCATCCGACATACTATGAATGTACATATTGTAGTGTTTATCATTCTATTAAAAAATTCAGTCTCCCACTGACCCGGAGAGTCGTTTGCGGATTTCTTTTATGGTCTTTGCCATTTTAGCCTTATTCCAACCCATCATAAGCAAATGCCTCTATGCGTGATCAAGTGGAAAGCTTCAAAAAGTAGCGTAAGCACTACCACTCGTCCTCCTTCGAATCTGATCTTTTCAGCCAGTTGAGCTTGAATGGCGAGCCTTCCAATTTTCTTGACAAGATGGCGTTTTCGATGATCTCGGACATGGAAGTTTTGAAAGAATCAAGAATTCCTCCAGAACCAAAACGAGGGGCGATCGTTGTTTTTCCTCCTGGACTTGAGTTGTCCGAGAACTTGAGTAGATTTCACACATTTGCTCTTGTCATAAGCGATGAAGACTTGAAAGGAAACGGTTCAATAATTCAATATAGATAGTCAATCTCAAAACGCTCTTCTTGGAAATTTAAAGACGCTCAAGTTAAACCTGCCAAAAGATATTGTAACGTACGCAGCTGACAACCCTGAAGTGATGAGCCGCAGCTTATTTATTAATCAGCTTTTAAACTGTCTCCAAAAATGAACAATGTTCAGTGAACAAATTTGACCTCAACTTGAGGTCCTCAAGTTTCTTTCAATAAAAATTTAAAATATATTTTCAACATGAAAACATCTTGATCTTTAAAATTCTAAGTGATGTAGGCATCTATCAACTGCATTTCAGGGGTCAGAGCAGCTTTATTTTGGCAGATATTAAATATAGCAAACTTTAGGAAAAATATAATAAACCTCCTTATTAACGCCGAAAATCAAAGTTCCGCTTATCCGGCGAAAATGAGACAAAAGAAACTTTTTTGGTACTTGATCGATAAGTAAAATCTTGCCAAAGAATACATCTAGTGAAACTAATTCCTGGAAATGAGGTTTTCGCGAAAATCACTGTCCGTTATTAATGAGGAGCTTTAGATGGCGTTCTTTATTAGGTGTATAAGCAGTGGCGTGCTGCAATTGTAAATGAAAACGCGCAGAGCTTTCAGAAGCTTTTTCTGACCACATAATGAAGATTTTATTGACCTTTTTGGAAATATATTTTGTGTTGGCTGATAGAAAATTAGAGGATGCTCACAAGTCGGCTCCGGAGATTCTAGCAGCAGGTTTTTCTTTATCAGTTTCTATATAGATATTCATTCAGTCTAGTCAGTTCTTACTTGAGTAAGAATAAGCCTAATCGTCATATATGTCCTAAGTACTTTTCATAGCAATTATCAAATGTACTTTTGCCAAAAGTACAGACTGTTCATCATTAAAAGTCATTTATGGGTTTCAATTATTTACTTTTCTAGCGTACAAGCCGATGATCACTGATGAAGGCCGTCTTGATCTTTCAAACCCTTATGCTCGCCTCTATCAGTAAGTCTTTCAAAAAGGATTTCTATCATGCTCTTTCTAGTAAATTTCATCTCCTCAACCACGGTCAAAATATGTTTTACCACGACTACTATCATTATTAATCTGCAATAAAAACACTCTTTTCTTTAATTTTTCTTATTGCTAAAATGCTTTTGTTTATTTTAACGAGTTTATAAAATATTATAATATGAAGAAAATGGTGATTTTGCACAGGTGTCTGACTTTCTTAAAGATACAAGGTTCAAACAGATGGAAGACTTGAATATTTATACAGTTCTTGATTTTCGATTTCAATCATACGGCGAATACTCGTCAGGCTTAAATTTTTGATTAAATCTTTTTGTGTCGGAAAAAAGAAGCTTACCTTGTCAAGCCATTTGTCCGAGCTCCGTCGACGGGCATTCATAAAGAAGTTCGATACTGTACTTAACTCCAATCCAAGCTGCGCCGCGATTGTCAGCTGAATCTCCTTTGATGGGCGCTTATTCTCTTTAAAAATCTGGTGCAGCGTTCGACGCTGATGGTCCGTGAAGACTAAGCGCGGCTTTTTCGTTGTGGATTCTGAAAAAAATATTAATTGAATGAAAAGCTCTCCAGGATTTAAAAGGGAAATTACCATTTCGAGTTCGCTCTTCGTCTTTTCTTCGGCAAGCAGCGAGTCGGAGGGAGCTCATTCGCTGGAACTCGGGTTCTTGCAGCCAAGATTGCATCCGGCGGAAAGTCTCGCGGCCGGATTTAAGCTTCGACCAAGGCTTTGGGTTGCGAAGCAGATCGGAGAGGGTACCCTTTGAAAAACCGTTGAATGAAAACAACAAGGACTCTCTCTCTCTACCTGGCTTCGGCAAAGAACTCGTTGTGCGAAAATTGCCTGTGGAATCGAATATCGCTTCAGCTCGGCGGTAATCTGTTGAGCTACCAGCTTTGTGTTTATTTCATCAATCCCTGTAATGGGCTCGGAGACCTTCGATGTTCTTTTGCTTTTGTTGCTTTGCTCCTCGACGATTTTTAGTTCCGGCTGAAGGCGATAGTATAACCGTTTTGATTCAAAACTTTTGAAAGTAAAGATTTGACTTACAGATGCCTTGAAAATGTCGTATTCGCAGTCGGTCTCGACAGGCTGCGCTTGAAGGACTGGGATGTGAATATCCTGGCCTCTTTCTTGTTGGCATCTGACTACTGGTGCTACTCGAGTTGATGAGCTACGCTGCGGTTCGGTCCTGTATTCGGTCTTTATATTGCTCAGAACAGGGCTCTAGAAATTGAATAAGCGCTATCTCGGTATATTCAAACTTACCAATAATGTGGAGTCATCATTTTGGTCCATGATCGTATCGAGTTCATCAGTCTGCTTTTGCTCTTGAGACGTTTCAATCGCACTTTGCGGAACGACTTCTAGAAACACCGCGTTTTCCGGCACCCCGTGAAAGGCTGTGGTGTTGATGATGTTGACTACCCCACAGTCGCGTTCCAATACTCCAGTTGTGTATCCAGTCGTCCAGTTTCCATTGACGGTCGTGATCGTCATTGGTTGGGAACCACTGGAGACATTTATATCCGAAACTATAAAAATTATGTTTTTGAAGAACCTTAATACTTGAGTCTATGGGCTATCTATTAATTTTTCACGAACTAAAAAGCTGGATTATCTCCTTCTTCTACAGCAAAAATTAAGCGCCTACCATTGAGCAGATTTTCATACCTGGAATCGCCTGAGTTTTGGCATCAAGAGGAACGACCATTGTCCCCGAAAGTGGAGGCAGAGCATGACCCATTCCATTGATTTTAGGAACTTCATATGTATCAATACTCGGACAATTAACAATCGAAAACGACCCTAAAAATGAGGTTAGCGTTGTTCTTATGCTTATGAATATTTAAAAGAGCTTATATAAGAGTACGATTGATTGTCAAAGAAGAGAAAGAAAAGTGAATCGAACGACGAGAACGACAAGAGTTATCGATTATAGAGCAAAGACAACTTGATCGATAAGGTCCAATTGACCTGAGCCTCATCGGCACAGTCAGATCGCACTCAATACGAACGCTCTTGTCAGAGATCTGTCGCGCGCAGAAAGTGACTTTCAAAGAAAGAGAAGCTTGTTTTGTCTTTCATCGTAATAAAGAGGCATAAGGATAGCACCTGTACCTGATACGCGGGATGAAGAAATAGTCTGGATTGGCGGGAGCTTTGTTGAGTCCGTCAGCGTAGTCGTTGTTGTTGTCAACGGAGTTAGGGTTGTATACTGACCCTGAAAGAAGAGATGTTTGATTGTGATCAAAGAAAATATTCCGAGAAATTAAAAAAAATTATCGTGAAAAACGAGGAGCTGTACCTGTTGATTTTCATCGTCACCTTCTGTCTTTGTTATAAAAAAATTCGTGTCTTTTGAAGAAATCAAAATAAGGATCTCCTTGGAAGATATTTTGATATCTAAAATAGGGCTTTATAGAATTTTTTTCAAAATGCCCGAACAAAAGCCCAAACCTGACTCTTTTGATTCCGCCATAAAAATATGTAGCAAATGAGCATTCTAGCGCAAAAGAGGTCGTTTTAATGTATACTTTTATTGATTTCGAAGCATTTCAAAAATTGTTATCATATTTTTTTTATAAAAATTTTGGTAAAAAAAAAATTAAAAATGATAATTTGATAAGATTGTTGATTCCCGTTGCCTGATGTGTACTGAACATAAGATTCATGAGCTCGTGCCTCCATTCAGATTACGATAACCTGCAATTGATCAATTATATTGATATTCTCTGTGTATTGATTTCGGTGTATGCGGGGCTCGCTCGGTTCAATAAAACGAGAAGTCGGGAGGAGAGAGCGTACGCCGATGGGACTTCGGTGCTCCTCGCGCTGCAACAGGGGATTCGAAAAATCGATCAATTCCAACGATCCGCCAATGCTGCACGGCGTTGAGACACGCACCCAAGCACACGTCCCTCGGGGCAGATGTAACTTGAGGCTGCATGAACCTTCTAGCCAGCACGAGTCTTCTCGTACTTTTTTTTCTCCATAAATCTGAAAACTCTCTAGAGTCTAGACTCTAGACCAAATCGAAAAACTAAAAATTTAAATCATGATTGAAATTTGAGATTTCATATCTAACATTTCGGTCTTGCTACTAGAAAATCCAAATCGCGGTATTTCTCAGTCACAAAATCCCTAGAAGGCGGTTCAGAATCTGAACTTCAGATTAGCGTGAGGGTTCGGGTTTGGGCCTAACCCTAACCGTTAGGGTAAGGATTCAGCGACTCATTAGCACATTGTTTCGTAGAGTTCAAATATAGAAAGAGAATATTTTCAAATATTGAATTCTACATCGGAAAATATGTCATTTTATCCGATCCTCCGTGCCCGCAACTAGTGACAACTGCTGCGATTTGACAGACTGTCATTAAAAGAATTATTCCAATGAAAATTCAAGTACCTTGTCATCCACAACATCGCGAACGCGCTTTTTTCTTATCAATATTGCATCTGGATTTTTAATAAGAAATAAGGCAGTGTTATTTATGCCGTTATCAATTTGATAATCACAGATTATTCGAGAAAACATGAGGATTCTTTTGGTACTTTTCTTTCTTCATCAGGCCATGAGCTTTTCTTCCCCTCAGCCAAGACGACTTAGGAACTTGTTTGCGAAACGATCTCCCTTGGTAAGAAAAAAAAGGATTGCCTGAACTAAATCGCTGATTTTTAGACCTTCAAAGTCACGAATCCTTGGCTAAGCGCCTTGAGTTTGCAAGACCCTCGACTTGAAGATGAAGAAGAAAATATGTCTTCAGCGAAAAAGACCTTTATTGAAGCTTTGAATTCCCTCGGATAATCGAATAAAATTGACCTTCTTTGTGCTCCTTCCCCTTTGCCGACGCGAATCGTAAAATAAATTATACGAAACAGATTTACGAACAAAAAATAAAAATAAAAACTTTACGGTTATGTAGTCGAAAGCGAGAGCTGCTCTCTCGATCCGCGCTCCGCCAGAACCTATTTTTCACGGAGCCGTAAAATCTGAACGGATAAAGATTTTTTCAAAATTCAAAAAGATTCTGAATAACCAAAGTAACATCTATAAACACAGCAAAAATCGTAATGATTGTCAAAGAGTAACTATCTGAAAATTGCCAGTTTCCTTCAAATGACATTTTCTTCGACATTTCTCATCCAAAATTTGCAACAGAGTAAGTTCGCGGGAGGTCATTTTTGAAAAATCATCCTTCAAGGTTTGCGAAATTGACGCCAGATGATTATATGTTCGACCCGGAAGATATCTGGGATAAATGGATCGTTCACTTGGAAGAATACTGGTCGGGCACTCCTCCGGGATTTGTAGCAGACTTCCTTTTCTATTGTCGCAATCCGTTTAAAATGTTTAATGCATATTATTTCGACGATTATGATTACGATTTCACCGGTGTTAACATTCAAAAAGCTTGTATTGAGTGGCTTCATTACATTTATTTTGAAATAGAGGACTACGAATACAATGGCGACTGTGAATTTGGCCAGATAGAGGAACCTTGGGATGAATTTTTGTTTCCCTTTTCTAGTACAACGCAAGAAACGACAACGACCAAACAAGCTTGGATGATATATTTTGCGGCCTTAGAATTTCTGATAAAGAAACCTTAAATTTCAGTCCTTAAATGATTCCATAACCAGCTTCTAACGATCTCAAACCCAACACGCGGCTTTCTGATATAGAGAACCTGGATGTTTTGGAAGATCTTCTCATGATTATGACATCAGAGCCAATAAAAGTAGATGTTCAAGTGGAATTGGTGAGCTTGAATGAGATGAACTTGGCGGATAGTTACATGGATACAACGATTGTTCTTTACACTTCCTGTGAAGGTATCTCATTTGACAATTCAAGGTGCATAATCTTAAAATAAGATCCAAGACTGAAGTGGTATCGAGAAGAGTTCAACAACACGCAAAAAATCATCATTGATCCCAATCTCGTCTGGACGCCGCCGATTGAAATAGTTAATCTTGTTCAATGGGGAAATTACGGAATAGTAAGCTAAAGATGCTTCAATACCATTTTCATATTAATTCAAGGTAGAAGACTACAGTTGCCGTGTAAATTATCGAGGCAAAGTAAGCATGGCCCGTAAGCTTTCGATCGCCACTGCATGTGATATGAGTCCGGCGCTCTATCCTTATGATATTCAAGAATGTCATATCATGATATCCACCCCTGGTTTTTCAATGGATTTATTTGAGATTTTCGTCAACAAGTGGATACGCAAAAATGGCAAAACTCTTACACAGGAATGGATAAGTGAAAAGAAACTGGGCTACAATGAGACGAAACTCGAAGCATTGCAAAATGTATTTTACGATGCGAATCCGGAGTGGACCTTTCTAGGATACCAATTCAATGATGCAGCGATTACTGGAATTAGCGGGAAGGAATATTCTAGAGTCGTAGGCACAGGCTCAATCCTTATTCAGGATGTCCCGTAAATGTATTTACTCAAAAAAAATATTGATTCGAGTCAATTAAAAGTCTCTTTCGCGATTGCCAGAAATACCGCTTTTTACCAGCTGACGTTATTTTTGCCTATTGTATGCATCAGCATCTTGGTCGTTCTTGGCATTTGGATGCCGGTTGGGGAGCAGATTGGCTTCCAAGTTACAATGTTGCTAACAATGGTTGTCTACCTCGATGTTCTAGCTAGGTACAATAATAAATAAAGCACCAGAACTCACGATGCTTTCAAAGTTCCGTCCCAATTTTCAAGGACATATCAATCGCGCCACGATTACTGGTCATGTTCGTCACAATAACTCTTGGAAGCGTCGTCGCTCATTTCATCACTAGTATGTTTTAATTAATTTCTTTTATAATTTCTTGATAAAATCAGCGATCAATCTTTGGTGCCACGAAAAATCATCTGACACTGTTTTCTCTTTCACCCAATTTCGGGCAAAATTTGCCTGCGGACTTGCGAAGTTCTTCGAAATCCTGAAACAACGAAAATACAGACTTCCGACCGTCGTAGCTAAACTGGCTAATGGCGACGAAGTTGATGACAAAGAGAACGAAGAAGCGTTTCAAGAAGCTTGGGCGTTTTACGGGAAGATGTTTTCTCATTTGTGGGGCTTGATTCTTTCTGTTCTTATTATTTTTGCCATGGTAGTGATTATCATTGATCTGCATGTTGAAAGTGCTCAAGCAAAAGATAAATTTCTTTTTCAATAAATTTTTACCTTTTTCTTCCTGCAAAAATACTTGCAAATAAATTATGACGCCTGATCTTTTCTTGATGTTTTCAAAATTGTTGAGCGCATGATCGATTGAAGTAGCAAGTAAGCACTTTAGCAATACGAAGTGGGCTTGGACAAATGGTACTCCAAAATCTGACGCCTTCTTGGCGTGAGAAAAAGAAAGAACGCATAAAGAGAAAAAGAGCTCGACTCCTGAGTTTTTTCATTATTTTGTTATTTTAGCCGGCTTCTTTATTTCGATTCCAGCTTTTTCGACTTGAATAGAACTGAAAGTGCCAAAACAACTGATCTCCGAGTCGAACAACTCTTAATGCTAAGCCATAGGCAAATAGAAAGACGCTGTTGCCCGAGGCGCGTGTAAGCCACAAATACCATACGCAGAACATACACGCGGAAGGACTCTGGCATTTACAAGTACACAGGAGGAGAGAAAAAAGAAAGAGATACCGGATGGAGCAGTTTTTGAAGATCCTCAAAAGCCAAACAAAGAGAGTCAAAGGTATTGAATATTTCTGTGATTCCGGCTTGATTTAAATTTATAACAAGATAAATCATATGGTCAAAATCAAGGTGAAGATTTCATTTAATTTTGTATTTAATTATTTTTAGCCTAGTCGGTCTTTTTTTATCAAAAATCAACGAAGAGGCGAAAATTTAAAAAATAATTCTAGAGTCCGCGGAAGGAGTCACGCTCAGTGACTCCAAAGAAATCACAAAAGTCCACCAAAAGAACACCATTCAATCCGTCCCTAAAGGACTGAACTTGACGGTTCGGATCAAAAAATCAAGAGTCTTGGAGTCTTTCCAAAATTTTCTAAAGAAAAACTTATTCTTACATGCGATTATCTGATCCTTCAAAAACAGCTGACTCGAACAAAAACCCGCGAACGAAAGGAACGACGCATTTTTGTCCCAAAGGAAAAAGCCCGAAATCCGTCTGTCGATGTAAGACTTCCAGAATTTTCCGTGTTAACATGTGGATAAGGATTTTTATAAGACCGTAGATTTGTACAAAACGAGAAAGATTCTTGCGAGCTCGACTATGAGGCTCCTGGGAGAGCAGATAAACGCGATTTTACTATATCTTGATAGGAATGGATTTTCGGATTTTTGAGAAGTGAAGACATGGAGGATAATTTTTTTTAACTTGAAAAAAACTTCAAAAAGCTGCTTCCCTTCTGGACATTTTTTGTCAAAACAGGCGCCAAGGGATTCCCAACGCCCTACTTGAAAATCCAATTTGCAGAGTCGAGCCCCAACTGTACTCTTCCTACTGGTTCAAAAAAGTACAAAACTCTCTTCTCAAGCCTTCAAACTCGACCCTGAAAGAAAGAACCAACACTCCGCTCGCCCAAATACAGTCAGAATTCGCAGCCGACGTAGCTGGATTAGACGAAGTCGAAAATGTCGAGGCAAAAATCAACAAGAGGTATTTCAGCTGTCATGATAGTGAGCAAATTTTTGCTTATCACTAGGGGAAATCACTAATAATTGAGCTTTTTTTCTAGCTTAGTAGGGTGGGACTATTATACAGTTTTAGAATCCCCAGAAGCTGGGGATCATTTTGACTATTGATAGTCGGGGGTGATCTCGTACCCTGAGGGCATTTAGATACCTCCGAAGTCCCAAAATCTGGCCAACTTCGGAAATTGTAATTTTTGAAGCCCTAACTAAGCCTTTTAGAGGCTGCCCACTAGTCTAGATTGTAGCCCAGGCTCTTACGGTCATTTTGAGCTCAAGAAAAGTAGTGAGGGTGGGGTATCTGGGAGCTAGGAGCTCTTGAAGTTTGGGATCTCGACCAAAATTAGGTACTTTTTCACAAAAGTACACGATGTGTATCAAAAATGCCTCCCAAAGAATTTTTGAGGATGTTTCTTCATTAAAAAATGTGTCTGAAATCATTTGAGGTCATCTGAGGTCATATCGGGTCACTTATCACAATTTTTCAATTTATCACAATTTTTGACCTCGAATGACCTCAGATGACCCCAAATGATTTCAGACACATTTTTTAATGAAGAAACATCCACAGAAAGTCTTTGGGAGGCATTTTTGATACACATCGTGTACTTTTTGTGAAAAAGTACCTAATTTTGGTCGAGATCCCAAGCTTCAAGAGCTCCTAGCTCCCCAGATACCCCACCCCCTCACTACTTTTCTTGAGCTCAAAATGACCGTAAGAGCCTGGGCTACAATCTAGACTAGTGGGCAGCCTCTAAAAGGCTTAGTTTGTAGTGGTTTTCCTACTGTTTTCGCTTCGAAATATGGGATTCTAGCGCGCGTGGTCGACGTAATTATGCTCAGTGAGCCGTGACGCGCCCAACGCCAAGGCTTTCACTCCATCATACCTTGACAGCTCGCCCCTCTCTATTCCAGCGTTGGCGATATGGCCAACGCCGAGTTCATACGACCAAGTCTAAGTCCGTGCCACCGATGGGTGGTGTCCTACACTATAAAAACGACTGTACCTCTATAATTTTATCATTCTTTTCCCTGACTTCACAGGTATAACATAAAATATAATATATATATTTTATTATTTTCTGCTCACACCTATCAGGGTTAATAAACTTATTCGAGATTGATTCCCGTGTTCCAATTATATTCAGTATAAAACCACCATATATTTTGGTGACTGAATTAATCGGTACGCCCAACAAGAGAGATAAAAAAAAGATACAAGAGATAAAACATCCGTAAATTTATCAATGACGATCCGTGAATACATACTTATTTATCATTTTTTATTCGATAAAACGGGCATTGTTTTGAATCCTTAGGCAATTTTACCCGATTTTCTCGATTAGTATGATAATAAGTTTTACTTCCGGAATAAAGTTGATATTTTTTTAATTCGAAAAACGGAATCTCATTGCTCTCAAATCCGAAAATCGAAAAAAATCACCTCAACCGGAAATCAAACTGATGATCAAATCCCTGAAAACGACAACTTAAAATCAATGTGTTCTTCATGATAATTACCAATCAAATGATCGCTTATCTCAGAAGAAATCATCAAGGTCGTCATGTTCCAAATCCTGAAAGAAGAAATTCAAAGTTCCTTGATTTTAATTATCATTCCGGGAAGACTTTAGATTCGAATTCACATAGAAACTCATTCCAAAGAGGTGCCGAAATTCGTGTACGGTTCTGCTATGCAAATGAACCTCGGCCCATGGAACTGGTCAAACGGGAAATAATATTGCTCAATCTTCGAAATATTTCTCAGCGTGCTACAGAATGATCTATTCTCATTAACAGAATATAATAGGCGCTAATGATCAATCAAGAGTTTAAAGCTCAAAACATTCACAGCTCTGCTCGAAGCTCGAAAAATCGTCTTTATTGCATCTAATGATATAAAAAGAAGATATCAAAAATTATGAGACGAAGAATTAACCAAGAAATGATGAAGAAAAATGACGGACATTTCATCACAAGCGCAATACAAATTTGGTTTAAAACAATCTTGCTTAATGGACTCCGATATGCTGCTCATCAATTTTGGTTGCAGTAGAACAAGCATCCGCTCAGATGTTCCCGCTCTTCTACTTGCACCTCTTATCAAGAACCGTCAAATGTGCCACAAAAGTGTGCAAATTTCGACTCACTCATTGAGGCCACACTTCAATCTTCATCACCAAAGTAAAGCTGAACCTGCTCGTCGTTCAGAACCTCACATGTCCAATAATGTTAACAATCCCTGCTCATCAGATGTAATCAGAACGGAAAAATTGAGACTCTGGTAGAAATTATTATCTTACGTATTAACGGAAAGATGATCTATGCTCCAAAAAAATGCCTTTCCAAATCTAAGATCTTTAGCTCTTTAAATAGGCAAATTAATAAGAGTTGATTTATAAGTGGATCAGAAAGAAGGCTATCTCAGCTCTAAGAAGCTCTTAGATAGAAACTGGACATACAAATTATGGCTACTGCTCGCAATGCCTGTCTACTCACGAGAAGTTTTTAACTCAAATATCACAAGCTATCTTTTCTCGTGATCAACTTGTTCTCCAATAATTGCACGTTGACGATTGAAAACGATACTTGCACATTGCTCACGCTAGAAATCATTAGCCAGTGCAACTGCTCAGAAGGTTTTTCGTCAATCATGGAAAGAGTCAGAACAATCACCTGCTCGTGTGATATACGCGTCTGATTACACCGCTCAAAGAACTTCGTCGCTCGCTCATAAGGACAGAATATTCGCTCAATTACCCTTAGAAAAAGTCTTCATATATCAAGTCGATTATGCACAAACTGATTGCAATTAAATATCCATTCACGAAGAAAAATATCGGCGTCATATCAGTCTGATTCGACCGCTCAAACGAAAGACTGCCTTAAGAACAGAATTTATCAAGGAAGATGACGTGGCCGAATCACAAGGGAAAGTCCTAAAAGACGAAGTTAAGAACAAGTCTAAAGTTAACTCTCATAAAGATCAACCGCTCCTTGTTGATAGAGATGAGATCATTCCTGCTCAGAAGAATGAAAAGTCAAAAATTAGCTCTCATAAAGATCAACTGCTCCTTGTTGATAGAGATGAGATCATTCCTGCTCAGAAGAATGAAAAGTCAAAAATTAGCTCTCATAAAGATCAATCGCTCCTTGTTGATAGAGATAAGATCATTCCTGCTCAGAAGAATGAAAAGATGTTAACGAGTCATAAAGATCATAAAGAGCCAAGTGATAGAGATGACTCAGCTCACGACAACAATTGGAAAGATCGTCTCCGCTCATGACGATAGTGTTGTCCTGTGATTAGCTGCTCGACTAATCCTTATAATGGTCTAGAAGTTTCGCTCATAACTCGACCTGTTCACAGATAGCTGCTCGACTATCTCGCTCTCAAATCGTCACATTTTCACGACGTGGTGGTGCTCAGATATGCGTTCCCATTATCTAGCCACCGTTCACTCATATTTGGATTGCTCGCTCACTCTGTAGTCTAAAGACCTGCTCTCACGACATGCATGTCAAAGGTTTAATTGGTTCCTCACAACTTCGGCGGTTCAATGCACAACTGGAAATTGGCTCACTAGAATATTAACTCCCCCGATCAAGCTCAAATGGGAATCCAGCTTACTGGTAATGCTCAACCAGACCGTTATTACGAAGTTTACATGCAGGCCTCTGTGGATTTTTGTTCTCATGACCCAGCTAATGTACTTATTAATTGGCCACACGATAAGTACCTCTTTTCTGAACTTTGGTCCAGCCTTCTGCAGATGTTTGGCAATGGGTGCAGTTGCCAAAATCACACACAGAAAGTCCATTTATGAATAATTAGGCATCTAACTCACAGGTTCCGCTCAAAGCTTTGCTCAATAGCTTTACATATTCTTAAGAATAGGGTTACTACTCTTTATCAATTCGTATTCACGCCCTGCTCGTAGGCCATATAAATCCCTATTACAATACTTTCACGAAGTTAACCTTGCTCAAGTAACCTATCGTTCTGTTCGCAGCAATTTTGCTCTATTGCTCTACTATTTTAATCACATGCCTAAAAGTTTATTGGAAGCAATATCGCTCACTTGCTTCAAAGTTTATCACAAGAGAGTATTTGTTATTCACATTTGCTTAAATATTCTAATCACAAGCAAATTATTCACAATCTCACAGCTCTGTTCACAGCTTTATATCACTCATAATGTAACACTCTCTTCTTGTTGGAACTCGCTCTTAGTTCTATATATAGTCTGTTAAGTTCTACTAGATTACTGGTCCGATAACAGGTACAAATTAACGATCACCTGCTCGTGATGATCAAATGCTCAATAATTGGCGCTCATTAACGATCTCCTGCTCGTGAAGATCATCCGCTCAAAAATAAAAAGGGGAAAGAAGTAAACAAAAAAATACCCATCACAATAGGCCCAATTCACGACTTTGACTACTTATCACTGGTCACAAATGTTCACAAGAAAAGACATCGGAATGATCTCACAACGTCCGGAAGAAACACTCGATGGCGCATTCTAGCCTTAAAAAAAATGGTTCTGAACGGAGTACTGGTTGGTCCAATACTCATTTTTAAAAGAGAAAAAAATCAAAAATGACCTCTCTTCAAAATGATTTCTTCGTGCTCAACGACGCCCCTCCAAAGCGGCTCATTCAACGCTTTATCATTCCTGCTCTCTTTGATGTCACCATTCCAATCCACTTCTTACCGAACTCAATTTCAAAAGAAAACTTGCAATCGCTGCTCGACTTTTTGCAAGAATTGAAAAACGAAGCTAAGTCCCTTAAAGATCACTTTCACTTTGATATCAACCACCTCCAGGAATTGCTTTTTGAAAATCATGACAGTTTGCTCAACTGGATAAGTGAGACAGCAATTCTCTATCAGCTTTTGGTCGATAAAAACACTCGCATCGAATTGATGAGACAATTTCAAACAATCTATGAAAAACGATATTACACCTCAAGGATCGCTTTCAAATTTCTAGAAGCCGATTCAAAATCGTTTTCCGACCAGCTCGAATACGCGAGAACTCACATCAAAATTTTCACAAATGATCTTGCTCACAAATACTCGACTTACCGAATCAATCATGCAGAAACTTCACATTCGGAATCTCTACAAGTCGTAAACTCCATCCAGCACGACTCTCTACCAGAAAATGTTTTCGACTTCATCGAAAATCACTAAATTTCTACGCTCAACGGACGCTTCGCTTCAAAAATAAAAAGGGGAAAATATGTAGTGGTTTTCCTACTGTTTTCGCTTCGAAATATGGGATTCTAGCGCGCGTGGTCGACGTAATTATGCTCAGTGAGCCGTGACGCGCCCAACGCCAAGGCTTTCACTCCATCATACCTTGACAGCTCGCCCCTCTCTATTCCAGCGTTGGCGATATGGCCAACGCCGAGTTCATACGACCAAGTCTAAGTCCGTGCCACCGATGGGTGGTGTCCTACACTATAAAAACGACTGTACCTCTATAATTTTATCATTCTTTTCCCTGACTTCACAGGTATAACATAAAATATAATATATATATTTTATTATTTTCTGCTCACACCTATCAGGGTTAATAAACTTATTCGAGATTGATTCCCGTGTTCCAATTATATTCAGTATAAAACCACCATAAGTTAGGGCTTCAAAAATTACAATTTCCGAAGTTGGCCAGATTTTGGGACTTCGGAGGTATCTAAATGCCCTCAGGGTACGAGATCACCCCCGACTATCAATAGTCAAAATGATCCCCAGCTTCTGGGGATTCTAAAACTGTATTATAGTCCCACCCTACTAAGCTAGAAAAAAAGCTCAATTATTAGTGATTTCCCCTACTTATCACGAAGTTTCGATTGAACGGAAGTTGTGATGGTCGCGTTTTGTTTGCATAAAGGCACGGACTGGAATCTCTGCTTATTCTTTTGCTTTTGATGTTGTTTCGAATGGGTGAAGTCTGTCTTGCAGTAATTTTAAATTTAGGGCGATTGAGATACAGTCGATTGTTCCAGACACTGTTCTTCATGATAAGCTACAGTGGATTCGAGTCAGGTAATTATTTCTTATCAATAAAAATGAGCAAAAGAGAGCCTGAAATTTTTATTAATCTACTTTTTTTCAGTCTCCGACAAAGAATACTGAACACAAAAATGGCCCTGCTAAATCTTGAATGCATGCTGGATCTTGAAGCCCCGATGCCTTACGATGCTGACGATGTCAGTTTCGATCAGTCCCAACTGTCTTCCGAAGACTACACGATCTCTTTCGATATTCACTCCGAAGGAAAGCGTTCAAAAATCGACGTTGTCGACAGTTTTTTTGACGAATGATGAAATAAAGAACGTCAAATACAGCTTTGATATCGTCGACAAGTGAGATGTGTATCGAATGATTGCGCTGCCAAACGCCGATCAAACTGATGATTGCTGAAATTTTGAAAACCATGCTCGTTCAAGAAAAGTACACCACTCCTAATAGCGCTTGTAAATAAAGATTAAAGTGACATGATTTGATAGTCGAAAATCAACAAGTTTGGCTGCAGAACATTGATTTCGTAAGCATACCAAGCTGTTCAAAGAAAACAGTTTTTAAACAAAACCAAGGGTAGATTTTTTGCATAAAAACCTGTCAATAAGCATCGACTACTGTAAAGAAAGCTTTAAAAAGTCCGAATACGTCCGGTTTTGTGGACTTTTTCTTTGATTTTTGGATTTCTCGGCGTTTATTTTCCGTTTGTGAACTGAGTTTTTTTCGGTTTTTGTCTTACAGTAGCAAAGATTCACAGTAAAAAAAGTCAGTCTGTTTGTAGTTTGTTCTATGTAAAGAATGATACACGGTTGTTTGTATACATATTTAATATATAAAAAATTGTTCATACGAAATAGAAAAAACGATGCCGCCAATAATTGCGTCGAATGTTTCTTCATTTTTCAATTTACAAAAAATAGCGGTTTCTTTGATAGCAAGAATTACGAACTTAAAGTTTCGGTTCAAGGAGTGTATGAATGTGTTTTAAGTAGCCTTTTTACCTTTCGGAAGGGGGATTTTGATTAATTTTGGTCTTTTTGCGCGACTTTGCCTTTACTTTTGGGCGATCTTTGATCTCGTAGCTTGGCGAAAATTTCGGGTGCTTGAAAAGGTCCAAATCAGCGGTTTTGATTGGGATTTCGGCGTTGAGAGAGCTTTCGTAGCCGCGCAACTCGTCAATGCCGCAGCAGTCTATCAGTAAACTTCGATAGCCCTAAAAATTTCTGTTTAAAAAATTCTTCGGGTGATCCTTACTCTGATTTTATTGAACAAATCGTCGAGTTGTTCTCTGAAAAGGCGCCTGAGCTCCTGCCAGATCGTTATTTCCGGACGGCCGCGGTAGATTTCGATCATTTTCTTCAGACCAATGTCTATTTCTATCGTGCTTGTTTCTTCTTCTTCTTTGTAGACTAAAAGTGGAGCGCCTTCTTTGTACGCTAGCAGAGTTAAACACAAATCGTGCATGCCTAGAGAAGGGGAATTAGGCAGGAAGCGAAGGGACTACCTACAGAATTCAACGGCTCGGCGAAACATGATGAGATTCGAAACGAAGAAATTCGTAGAAGGGAGGAGGATGCCGTCTTCGACTAAGCTCATTTGAAGCTTAAAATCGTTGTCGTTCTGCTTTTTCATTCGACGGATCTTTTACTAGGGCTAGACAAACTTTGCTTCTACGAGAAACCGAGAAAGCCGAGGCAGAAAGCCGCGCTGTCCCTGGAATCGAAGCCGCAAGCGGCTTCTGGATATGAGGGTGTTTTGAGAAAAATATGAGCCCGCTTTCCGGAATATTTGGTAGATTCTCGTGTTCATATCCATGAACGCTGGATATATGATCTATTACCAAAGGTATCGCTTCTTCAGCAGGTATTGTGTCGTGGATATGTCCGGGGATGTAGCGGCCCAGACTTTTGAGACAGTATCTCAAGTGTTCGGGATTTAGATTTGTGACATCATCTAAATCTTTTGCTTCCATTTCGCTGAATGATAACGATTATTTTCAGAAGAAAAAGATGAAATAAGTTTTATTATTCTAAATTCAAATTTTGAATGAAATTAATACAGAATTACTACATCGGACAGTCTGTACAGTACAGTACACTTTGAAAACAAAATTCAAGTGGGCAGTAGGGAGGTTATCAAAAATTCTAGCGTCAGTTTCTTGGGGGATTGTTTATTGAATTATGCGGTGTAATCTTTCATTTCAAAAGCAGTTTCATCATAAGTCTGGGCGTTTATCTTTCTACCAGCAAAAAATCGACCGCCAAGTTCTTTTTTCGCCAATTCTGCGCCGTCGGGATCCGCGAATTGGACGAAAATTTTGACTATTGGTTCACAGCCTTTCAAAAGTTTGACTTTCTTTACTATTTTCCTAAATCTTTTACATACGAGTTACATAAAATGCCTTCATCTAAAATCTGACCCTTTTCTTCTTAGTCACGTTAATTGGTATTAACTCCTTTACCTCTCTTTTATGTAGAAAACACTGTTTTTTGATATTTTCATGATGCCAAATTCTGAAATGATCGTTTTTAACGAATCCCAGGGTTGTACACAAAACTAAATCTAGAGACAATGCTCCAAAGTCAAACTCTTTCCTGGCGCAAATCTGTCAACTTCTTGATAGATCACCACTCTTTGAACACTGCCATATTGCGAGCATTCTTGCGTCACCTCGGATTCCACCTCTTCGTCGAGTTCGTCCGCCGTCAGCATATTCCTGAGGACGATGACATTCGATCGCCGCGTCATGAGCTTTCGCATGATCATGTTTCGTTGCGCTCCGCCGGCGATCTTCATTTGGCCGCTGTCGTCGTCGCAAGTTGGGTTTCGTGCTTTCTTGTTGAGCTAAAAACAGGGATTATATTCTGTTCTAGCATTTCTTGGATTATCGACTGCATGGGCCTTAACAACCGAAGCTGCAAGCGGCTTCTCAATCAGAAAAATCTTAAAATTTATAAACCTCTTCTCTAATTGCAAGAACATCCGCCATCGAATCCTTCGGCGGGCTAGGTTCACCAGACTCTTTCTTCTTCTTTCTGAGCATTTCCTGCACAGCCTTAGCCCCACTGAGCGCGGTAGAAGCGTTTCCAGGAGCGACTGTGGGAATATTGTGCATAGAAGGAGGCACGACGCATGGGCCGACGCGAATGCACTGCCCTCCAAGATCGAATCCATTCATGGCGGAGATAGCTTCTTTCATAGATTGAGCGTTGTCGTACTCGACGAAGCCGTAGTGCTTGTGTCGCCCGGTATCGACATTTTTGACCAACTGACAGCTAAAAAAGAGAAATGAAGGCTTTGGGATCAAACTCGAAGTTACCTAAGAACGCGGCCAAAGGATTCAAAGACAGCCTTGATATCATCGTCGCAGATATTCGCGTGGATATTCGCGACGTAGACACGATGGTACTTCGCGGCTTCGTTTCCAAACTGAGCGATAAAGTGCTGCGCAGCGACTTGGCCAATGTTGCTCAAACGGCCGACCTAAACGGGAAAGGGAAATGAAGAAAGATAGACGGACAAGTTTACCTTGACCGCGCGCCCGCCAATAGTGATAGATTGCATGTGCTCCAGCGCGAGAAACGCAGCTTCTGGACATTCAAACTCGAGGAAGCAGAAGCCTTTGTGACGATTTGTTCCCTTTTCATGGCTGCTTACTTGTCCAAATTATATTATTAAGGACCTTGAAGGCCTTTCCTGATCATAGCTCATATCAATCGAGCGAACCGGTCCAAAAGTCTCGAAGCTCTGTCGAATCGTCGCTTCTCCGATTTCGTAGTAAATCGACCCGACGTAAATCTTGCACATAATAGCCACAGCGCGCTGTCGCTGAAGCTGCTGTGCAGCCATCTTCGTGTTCTTTTCTTGCTGCTTTCGTTGCGCAAAACGCAGGGCGATGTCCATCGCGAACTTTCGCGCTCGTAGGACGTTTCGGTGCTCATCTGGAATAAAAATTAAGGAAGGGAAAGAATGGGGGGCTGATTTACCGCGGCTAATCTTCGAAATTGTGTCTGGGATCACATTGTCATAAGCAGCTCCTGGCCCAGAAAGCGGCTTACTCTGGTTTTTCACTAGAAACTCAGATACATTTCCCAGAAGTGGTTTCCCTAAAATTATCGTTAGTTCATCCTTTGTTCGCTCTTTCTAGCTGAAGAAATAGCCAGAAAGAGCGCGTTTTTCGCCGCGACGATGCTTTTTGCCGGTGATATCCTTAATTAAGCGGTTACGCGATCAAACTTACTGTAGCACGATTTGTATTGTCACTGTTGACAACAAACGTTGATACAGTAATACAGTAATGCTCTCAGTAATGGTTGTGTTTGGCTTTTTTCTCAAATCTTAACTAGACGGTTTAAAAATCAAAAAATAGAGCGGTTTTTCGACTTTCAATCTTTCGAAATTCGGGATGAAATTCAACTTGAAAGAGACAGTTGTAACTGAAATAGAAAAGATGATAATAGTAATGGCTGAGTAGAGTTTTCTTTGAGCTTACCTGTTGTGAAGGAAATTGGAATGTTCGGGTCTTGGGAGACGGGGAAAGGAAGCATACCGGTCGACATGATTCTTTCTATAAAGATTTTTCACAAGCAAGAGAATTTAATAATTATGACAAAATCTGAAAAATTGTTGGGGTTATCGTAAAACCAATAATGAATGGGCGAACGGGCAATTGACGGTTTCCTCTTTTTTCTCGTTCTGTGGTCGGAGGACCCCCTGGGAGCATATTGAGCGGAGGACCTTCGCTCCGCTGTTGATGGAAGACCTACCGCACTGGAAACTTGGAACTTTTACCCGTGAGCTTTGCGAGTGCTAAAGTTTAGTACTTTTGGTATCTTTTAGTCTACTTTGAGTAGCATTTACGAATTCAGGGATAAAAACAGGGCAAACTACTGTAGTACAAGAAATCAGAATCTGACACGAAGTAATTTAAAGTCATTTTCTTTCTGCGATGATAATTTTGAATAGCTGTCAATCTTAGAAAGAATTGAAACGACTTCTTTTATTTCGTTCTGATGAATCGTAAAGGAATGCCGTCTCTGGCCCGGCATCGCTCCGTCGCTCGTAACTTTTTTGCTCAAGTTGACATTTTACGATATTATATTATACGACGAGAGTTCTCCTTTCTCAGAGCCAGGCCTCATTCAAATAAAGAAGTAGTTTTTAGCGTGAGACAGAGATTTTAAGTACCGCGGATTAGATCCATTCTTGAGAAAGCGAAAAAATGGGAAACAAGTGCTGCAAGGTAAATTTCTTTGATTTCAAGATCGCCTAAAAATCATGGAAGAGAAGTTAGAAATTCATCTTTTATGAGTCGAAGAAAAACAAGCCTCCTTGATTCGCCTAAGGGGGTTTTAGCCCCCTTGATTTGCCTAAGGGTTAGGGGCGGCGGGACCGATAAGTTATCGGCGATAACCCCCTACTACCATAATAGGTTCAACTAACAGTGAATACAAGGAACCTTTTTGAATTGAAAATAAATTTCAGAAGAAGACAGTTGTCGAGCCAGTCGCCGCCACGAAACCAGAGTCGTTAGTCGATAATTACAAGTCAGAAAGAAACTTCCCATCTTTAAACAACCATAAACCTTTTAACACTACCGGTAATGACATCTTTTCATAGCCCCCTCCCAGAGCCAGTCCCACAGAAGAAATCGAGCTCTTCAAGTTCATCCAGCGATTCTAGCCGGGCTCCGTAAGTCAATCATTAGTAGAGTTGAACTAATGGAATGTCAAAGGTCGCCAGTTCCAGCGCCGGTTATTGAAGAAGAAAAGGGGCCAGAAGCGAGTCATGTTCAAACCGTTGAAATGGTGAATGATGAGAAAGGAATTGGTCGTAAAATCGCATTAATGTACCTTTGGTCGAAGAATTTCGAGAAAAAAGACTCATTCCAAAACTCAATTCATCATGATCCCTTTTTACGATTTAAACGGTCGATTCATAATCACGTTTGTTTTTTTGACCATAACATAAGCTCCTTCATCTTCATCGTCGTCCTCCTCTTCATCTTCAGAAAGGTGGGAAAGTTCTTAAATATGATTCTTAAAGTCCGTTTAAGTGAAGTAAAAATCTCGTCTGTAGCCGAGCCACCTTCTGAAGTCGTTGAAGACAAGGTCTCGTCGGTAGCTGAGCCTCCAACTGAAGATCAAACTGATGTATCCTCTGTTGTTCCAGTTGCCGAAAAGAAACGAACGAGTTCTTCAAGTTCTTCAAGCTCATCTAGGTAAACTCACCATTTTGGCCTTTTCCTACGATCAAAATTAATTGAATAAATACAGTCGTATTCCTAGAGTAGGCATTTGAAGAACATTTTTATGGTCATACGCCAAGGCTTAGTGTTGTTCCGGAACAAAAGACTTCAGACCCGGGACCTAAGGCGTTCAGAGCGGAGCCAACAGGCTCAAACGAGTCCTCGGATTCTTGAACTTTTGCCAAGGATCACATGAAACGTGACTTTCTTCTCTAGCGCAGGGACACCATTTTTGACTTTTACGACTTCAAATCTGATCTGATCATTTTAACCTCATTGAGAACAATCTCTAGCTACTAATTTATAGTAAGAAAACAGTCTCATTTGCCAAAACACCAAGTAAAGAAGAAAGTGTTTCTCTCACTTCTGGTTCAAGTTGTTCAATCTCTGGTGAAGAAGTATCTACCAGTAGTTCCAGTAGTGCCCTTTTTTCCAAAGATTCTGTAGGATCTGTGTCAGACACAGAACTGTCGGAGTCAGACGGTCCTAAATCTTCTATTGCAGATCCCTCAAGGTTTCGTATGAAGCCAAATGTTGAACAATTCAAAATTGACAGAGTTTTGAATAGTTTCATTGATTGCTATTGAATCAAAAAATCAGAGAAAAGCGCAAGAAAAACTTGCTCTTTCAAAAATTTGAATTGATCTGAGGCAAAAAATCCCATTTTTTTGAAAATATGGAAAGAAAAAAGACAAAATCTTGAGCTCCAACATTTCAGTTACAGACAACCCCTTTTAATTCATATTTTTAGCTCCAGTGAAGAAGAAGAAGTCGAGTCCGTAATCCCCAACGCGGCCGAAGCCATTTCTTCCGTCGGTGTCCCACCCAGCGACATCGACTCATCCACCGAATAACTTTAACAAGACTCTTAGACTACCGAAAAAACATCGCGCCATCAATAACTTTTTTTAACTGCTGGCACGTAAAACAAATCATTTCCTCAAAATGATACTCTCAAAAATTTATTATGTTCTGCCTCAATTTCAAACAACAAAAAAAAAACGAATCTCAATCATCATCACTTGTCAATAAACAAAAAAAAATACAAGAGGGATTTCTATATGCACAAATGATTATTTTTTATTTAAAGAAAGATGGTTTTTTATGTTTTGTAACAGTTTTAAGATGCATAAACGAGTCACATCGACGTCAATTATTTCTTTGCTCTTTATATCTTCAATTTTTCGCTTTTACTTTGATCCAGGTTCACCTTTTTCCGACTGCGAGTCTCGTTCAACTCAGAGTCGTTAAAAATTTGGCAAGAAAGGGGGAAAGTTACAAATGGTATTGAAACTTGGCGACCGATCCTGGGGAGCTGCCGATGAAATCGTAAATGACGTCTTCTGAAAAAAATGTTTAGATATAATGTCACATGTTTTATTTACCTTCAGGCTCAGGAACAGGCGGTGGTGGTCGAAATTTTGGGCGAGCGATTGTGTTGTTTGTTTGAGAGTTGTTGTTTGGAGGAGGGTTTTGGTTGGGGATTCTTTCGTAAATCGTCTCCGTTCGTTGAATGATTGCAGTGGCTTCGCAGGGGACCTGGTCGTAAATTGGCTCCTCGTTGATGGTCGTGGCTGGAGAGGATCGGTTGGTCATTGCGCTTGGTGGTGGTGTTGCTGGAGGAGTTGGCTAGAAAGGAGTTAGTGATGGAAAAACTGGGGAAAGCCCTTACCGATTTCTGGAAATCGAAGATTTCTTCTTCCTCATTTGGCGATTCTAGCTCCGGTTTTTCATCCTTCAACTGGTCCATCACCGCCAAGACGGATTCCAAAATGTCGACATTGCCAAATTCAAAGTTCATGTTCCAGCTCATCACCGACTGTCGCATTTTCGAAGTGAGATGAGAGTGAGCAGGTCTTGAAATCAACAATGAGAACCGGGTCAAAAAAGAACGAGGAAATACCTAAGGCGGACAGAATCGACATCGCTATTTGCTGAGTCGGAGTTGGTGTGATTCAGGGTGGCCCCCTCGCAATCTGAATTTTTAAAGAGCGGTTAATGAGGTGATAAGAAAGAATCAAAAATGATACTAAGAGGGTGGGGCCAGATGAGTAGCAAAAGGAATTTAGCCCAATCGGTCGGTCATGGTTAGGTTGAAGTTTTGGTAACATACCTGAGAATTTCGCGCTATTTTCGGAAATAGCGATTTTTGTCATATCTGGAGAGATTTCCCCGAAACAGTCTCCGCCAGAGCCTTTTTCGTTTTCGACATGATTTCTCAAATGAACAATATTTTTATCAAAAGAAAACGATTCCTATGTGTGCCATGTGACTGTAGCTCTCCAAAAGTGGTTTGCCTAAAATATCGTTATTTCCCGAATTCTACAAAGCAATCAATTTCGTTTCAAAATTCGCAAATTTGAAAACGCCATGCGACGCTGTTTTAATTTATTTACCGATGTCATCCTTGCATAGCTTTCGCCGTTGTTTGGACTTGTTTCGCGTTCGTTTGTGTTTTTGCTTCCGTATTTGTTTCTCATCGGAAAAGCCTAAGAAGGTCAAATCAAAGTGAGTTTCAAGGCAAAGGCGGATTTTGGAAACAGACATGTTACAAGTTGAAATTTTGGCATGCGATGAGCAATTTTTGAAGCAGTTTTTGTTATGACTAGAAATTTTCAAGAGCGTTTTTTAGAAATTTTCTCTTTACAAATCAAATTTTCTTTTGCAAAAATATAAAAAAAAGACTCTTGAAAACTCGATATTTCAAATATCATATTTGGCTGTTTTTTGAGTATTTTTTTACCATAAGACTGTAATTGATAGGAAATTGCTGAGACTAAAAATCACCAGGAAGAATTGTTGATTCTAGTTTTTTTTTCACCTAAGAAAAAACTTTTTCATACCTGAATCTAAGGACATCCTGGACTCTCGAGTCGCCATGTTTGTTTCTGAAGAAAATATTATATTTTTTATTTTGATATTCTTGTTTGGAAACTGTATCACTCTGAGTAGTGACGTCTCACAGAGCGGAGGACCTGCTCATTGGGCTTGTATCGAAGCGATAAAAATCTGTGAGAATATGACGCTCCTGCAGCGACTTCTGATAGTAGAAAAAATGTTATGAGAGAGTAGCCGGACATGTTTCTGAGATCCTTAGTGTCATTCTTTTTGAAACTGTTAGCAGCCACGCTCATTGCTTCGAAAATCTCGTAACAATTCTTAGAACCCGTCGAAAGACAATATTTCTTTGTCATAAGGTGCCCAAGCGCGAAAAAAGCGAAGCGTTGTCGGAATCTGGGTTGATGCGCCGTTGTCACATTGTTGGCAGATTTATGGCGATCCCATGAACTCGATTTGTGTCCATTCCTCCTTTTCGCTCTCACTCCCCACGTCAACCCCTGGTTACCATCAATTCAAGTGCCCATTAATACAGTCTACAGAAAGGACAAAAGAAACGACTTCACCTACTTTGTAACCTTTGCGCTCAATTAAGCCGCTTCAAAAAAGGATTTAGCTCTGCTTGACACACATCAGCTCCTGTTCTTTTTTTTTGTTAAAAACTTTAACAATGGGGGAAGTTTTTTTCTTGGCCAAGATTGAAATTTCAATCTTGAGTTCACAGATTGAAGTCATTCATTGTTGAGCTTGATCTTGAGCTTGGGATTGTTTTGTTCGGATTTTGAAAGCGGAAAGATTTAAGGTCACGTGATGCAGATTAAGGGGACCAAGGGCCTTTCAAACTTGATTGTTTCAAGGTAGGCGGAATTCGGCAACCTGTGTAAAAACCTGAGTCAGGATTTGATAATTCTTTATGAGAACACAGCGGCAAAAAACTGGCAAAGCCGCAGAGCGGCTTTGTTTTTCTTAAAGCCGCTGCGCGGCTTTTTTTATAGTTCATCTTCAAGTACTTATTTGACTTGAAATTTTACCTCCTTATTTGACTATTTCATCTTCATCTTCTTTTTTTTCGAAAATCTCTTGCCAGAAAAAAAATATAAAAAAAAAGTTCAAGAAGAATATCAATTTCTTAGTTCAAAAACGCCTTGGAGGAAGTTTCAAAGACTTCGTTTTTGTTCCAAGACCCCTTTTTTGTTGTTGATAGTGCTGGGTGATTTTTATTTTGAAAATTTTGGACCTTGCCCAAGAAAGGGACAAGGAGACCGCGTTGGGCGACAAGGGCGAGGCGGAAACGCGAATTTGCTCAAAAAGACAGAATTTTAATCTTGCGGCCAATATCTACAATCAAACTTCCAATGTTTTGACAAGGAGCAAAAACTGGCGTCGAAAATGGGACTCTCTCATGTTCGGTGGATTTCGATAAGAAGATGAAGAAAAAGCCGCTTGCGGCTTAAATGAATTGAAGATTTTAAGCCGCCTGCGGCTCAAATCGGCACCCTGTGTAGAAAACCTGAGTCAGGTCTGAAAAGCTTCGCGGCTTCGTTTTTAAAAAGCCGCGATGCTTCTTAACCTGACTCAGGCTTTCTACCCTTTTCAAACCCTGAGTCAGGCCTCTACGAAGGTTGGCTCAAGTACAGATTTGCTCCTCAAAGCTATTATATTCCTTCAATTTGACTTACCAAATTGTTGAAATCAAAGAAAGCTGCTTCAAATTTCAGGCTATTCTCTCAAGCTACAACAAAAATCTCAGGCAAAGAAGCGATGATTTTCCTTTTCGGAGAATGTTTTTTTATTGCTCGTTTTTTTCAGAGTTCTCTCAATTTCTAAAAGCTTCCGCCGTCGTTACTTTTTTTCGAATTTTTTATTTCTCCGAAGTGGAAGGCTTCGCGAATTCCGCTTTGGCGCGTTTTCGCGCATCAGCGGCGGCGTGAAAGAGCGCCGTGATCGCGCCCTGTCCGACTTCTTTTTTTTTGTATTTCCGTTACGCTCCTTGAGTAAATAGAACTTGATTTTTTCATCTCAACGGGCGTTTTTACGCTGGGGACCAGGGCTGCTGAATTCGGAGCGTTTGCGTTTGCCCGCGATTTTTTGGCGGAAGATCCGCTGATTTTCTCCGTTTCTCCGCGCTATTCTCCGATCGTCCGATCGTCCGATTTTATCCGCCGCGCGGATCGTCCGCGATTACCCGCTACCCTATTTCTCTAGCCAATCAAAAGGGAGGAACACCGTTTAAATTCGTCTTTTCAGCGGAAATTTCGGCGGATTATCCGCGATTCTCCGCTCCCTTTTCTCCGCTTGAAACCGGCGGATCTTCCGTGAAAAAAACTGCGGATTTTCCGTGAAACAGCTGCGGATTTTCCGCCAAAGAAATCGCGGGTAAACGCAAACGCTCCGAATTCAGCAGCCCTGCTGGGGACGACGATTTGTTGGAAGTCTAGCTGGGGAGGACATTTGGGTTATTAGGACACATTGGCGGGGGATCATTGATTCGTAAATATGCATGTTTCGGTTTTAACGGGGTCAGATAGACTATCTGAGATAGTGATAAGGATCAGCATTTTTCTCATCGAGAAATCTGTTTTTTTTTGGTTTTTTTCTTAGGAGAATCCATGCTTTATCCTTCTTGAGGGTTAAATGAATAAATTCCAGAGCTTTTTCACCAAAATTAAAGATAAATATCTTCGTGAAAATATTTTTGAAACTTGAAATTTCAAATTTCGAAGGAAGAAAATAAACATTTGAATTTTCTTCTATCGAAATACAATGTTTGAGTTACTGAAAACGGGGAGGTGTCTGGAATCGACAAAAAAATCCCGACAAAAATTTTCAATTTTTTCATGTTAATTTCAATCGCCCACCATTATCTGGTGCGCTAACAAAAATTTCTCGAAACTGCCTAGAAATGTCCATTATGGCCTGAAAAAGCCATTTCTGCATAGTTTTCAGAAAAAAATTTTCTCAAAAAATTTTAAGAGTATTTTTTCTGAAGTGTCATTTTTTTCAAAATTTTTGTCGGAATTTTTTTGTCGATTCCAGACACCACCCCCTGAAAACAACATAAAAAATCTTTTTATAAGGAAGATTCTTTATTTCAGCCCTTATTTTAACCCGAACCTTACCCCCTTTAACCCAAGCCCTAACCCTAGCCCAAATAATGTTGACGAGGAGTAAATACGCTTAAATATCACATTAAAATTATGCCAACGTGAAATTATTCGATAAGCAGCTGACTGATGTCATGCTCCTTAATCCCCTTCTCAAAGTCTTTTTCTAATGCCGATCCCAACATTTTCTTTTTGTGTTAAATCGACCCTATCTCAAAACAGGCAATATATTTATCTACATGTATTGAATAAGTTTTTCCACAGCCACGTGAGAAACTAAATCAGTGTTTGCGAATTTCGAATTGATGCAGATTTCAGCTGAAAACGATAATTCCTGTTGCCACATTACATAACTTCATTTGAAGCTGATTTCTGCATGGCGGATCAAGCGAGTCAAAATACGTAAGGATACACTTTCATCTTTCCCGGCACTTATCGAGTGAGCCACTTCAAATTTCAGTCGCTAATTTCAGTATTTTTCAATGTTGCGTTCAAGGAAATTTTCGCCTAAGCTCGGAAATCTACGCAGAAAACCTGACTCAGGATCCTGAAGGATTTTTACACAGGTTTTCTGACCCTGACTCAGGATTTCAACACAGGTTTTCTGACCCTGACTCAGGATTTCTACAGAGGTTTTAAGACTCTGAATCAGGACTTCTACACAGGTATTATTAGTAATAATTTATTAATAATTTATTACCCTGACTCAGGATTTCTACACAGGTTTTCTTACTCTGACTCTCGATCCCTACACAGGTTTTCTTACCCTGACTCAGGATTTCAACACAGGTTTTCGAAAAAAATAATTTATTTTTACTTTTAGTTCCATTCTAGTACCGCTAGAATAGCATTTTTCCTTCGAAAAAGAAGTGAGAGCGAAAGTCCCTTTTAGAAGAGAGGGTTTAAAAATAGATTCGCGTGAATCAAAAGATTTGTTCCAATCAATCTCCTAACCCCGGCTTTGATATTTTTAATGGCGACACGTTTCAGGCTTATCGCCAGAGACCGTAGATTATTGCTTTAAAAAACGCTTCAAATGAATATTTTTTCAGATTTTTTTTCATGAAAACTCATGTTAAGTAAATTGAATTTTTAAACGCACCTTCTTCTGAAATTCGATTCTCTTGATTCTGCGGCTCTTTTTCTTTTTCATCAACAGATTGACAGAGCGAAGTGAATGAAAGAAGCTGCATTACGAAAAGAGACTCTCGAGTCGAAAAATTAATTAACTTGCGAGTTCAACTCCTGTCTCTCTAAGTAGCTGCTCATGTCAGAGAGATCCTCTTGGCTGAGGAGAATTTCTCGTAAATGTCAACGCTTTTTTCCAAATCAGAAAAAGCATAAACACGTTGTTGTTTTTTCGGGGGTTTTTAGATGCTGAAAATGTCTATGCTAAAGTAAGGAATCAATGATGAAGGCTTCCTGCAAATGAACCGTACTGCTTTGGCTGCACAGTATTCAGTACTTGAGAACTTGAGAAACCGGGCCTGTTTTTGTATTAATTTATTAAGCTCAACCATCTGCCGGAAGAAGGTGACGGTCTACTTGACCTAGCTGTCTATTTTTCGAAGCTGTATCCTCAGAATATATTATAGAGTATATTATATAATATTTTAATAAAAATATCAAGATTTTCATCAAAGAGGTAGTGAGACTATTTCAAGTAGTGAATAACACCGGAAATAAATTTAATATAACATGGGCGTTTTCCGCTCATTTTCAATCATCTTCGTAGAAAATGACAAAAATCGTTGATTTGATGAATGCGATTATTGAGATCTTTAACGATCACGCTGGTGAAGACAAGATGCTTTCGAAAGAAGAGCTCATGAAGATGATGGACGAAGGTAACAAGCCAAAGAGGCAGCGTTTTCTTTAAATATCTGTTTAGAAAAGGATGAGATGTTTTCGTCGGAAGAGATTTCTACTGCGCTTATGGCTGAGTTGGACAAAAATCTCGACGGCAAAGTATCTTTCGACGAGTTCATCAAGTCCATGGCTTTCATCTGCGCACTCGTCAAAGAGGGACAAGATGATTCTACGGATATACCAAAGTTCAACTTCAACGGAGATCCTACTACATTTCCACAACAGATGGATATGCGAGCGAACATGAACAGAGAGAAAAGCATTGGCCGGAAAAAATATAAATTTTCAGCCTTTGAACAGCCATAACTCACGTGATACTCTTTGAAACCAGATGATCCAAGTATCAATGGAAAGCTCAGATTCTGAGGATAGGAGGAAAGCAAAAATTTTTCCAAAAATCGGTTTTTGCTGATTGGCCAAAAATTAAAATATTAATTTTCGTCATACAGAATCGATTTTTTTCAAATTTCTTTTTTTTGCCCCAATCCCTAGAAGCTAAGCTTTCTAAAAATATATCAATCACGTGATTTCATCATCTGTCACGTGAGATATGGCAGTTCGTAGAAAATTCATGAAAATGGCCTCAGAATCGCCCCAGGCTATGAAAAAAAGTTTTTTCCAGGTGGTTTCTAGAGTTTAGACGATGACAAAAACGGTCAAGATAATGATTTATCCCCAATTTGAAATTTTTGTCAAAATTGAAAATTTATATTTTTTCCGACCATTGATATCGAAGCAATTATGAAGAAATTAGGAATTAGATTAAAGAAGTAATTCGGAAAGTGATTTTTGCGTTATTTTTACTCAATCATTATTTACTGTTTGACATTAATAAATACCCTCGAAATATTTTCTATTAGTTAGCAGTCTTCTTAGCCGTAGAGAGGGGTTATCATTCGAGCCTATGATACGAGCCATCCAATCTCTCTAGAATCTGGGCTATTGGTTAGGGCTAGGGAGTGGGAACTCTTAAGGGGGGTCCCGGGGGGCATTGCCCCCTGGGTTAGGGTTAGGGGCAGCTCGAATGATAACCCCATACTACCCTTCTTAGTCGTCTGAAAATGTCCTTAGAAATATCGATAAATTTTAAACGGTAGTAGGGGGTTATCATTCGAGCTTCCCCAAAACCTAAACTTTACCCGGGGGCTCCAGCCACCCCACCCCCGATAGCCCCCACCTAAGGCTTTAACCAGGGGGCTTCGCCCCCGGACCCTATTGGATGGCTGGAATCATAGGCTCGAAGGATAACCCCTCTCTTCGCCTTTAACTTTTTGTAGAAAGAATTTATGTTGATTTCTGTACCGGCTTCCTTAAATTCATTCGCAAATCTTCTAACTGTAAATTATTTATTGCTATTCACAAATAAACAAAGCTAGGCAGAAATTTTTACATAGATGTCATCCGTTGAAACTTCATCGACATATTTTTGCGCCTCGCGTTGATTTCAGTTGAAATGTCAGGAATGTCCAAAATGCTCGCTCGCTCCGGCGGGAAGTCTTCAATACCCCTAAATAAATACTTTTTGGAAAAGGCGAATCTAAAATTGTTCATTTTAGAGCTCTCAACAAAGCGATTTCCTGAAAAATATATGCGCCGGACTAAGTAAAGGCAAAGTGAATACTGAAATTATTCAGTGGTCTGCTGACTAATTTATCTATTACCGATGTCGAGTTAAAATTTGAAACAAGTCATGGATCGATTTCTTGCTTCCAAAAAATAACAAAGATAAGACAAAAGTGGAGATTTTGAGTCAAAAAACTCTTTTTTTTTTAAAGATTTTCAGAACATTTATGTAATGGACTAAAATTTATTTCTCACCGAACTCTCTCTCTAAAGTTTTTTAAGATTCATTTCAATTTTTCATTAATTTTTGAAGTTCAAATGCTTCAATTTTTAATCGCTGTGAAGGCAAAAGCTGTCATTTTATTTTTATAATTTTTTGCAAATATGAAGTCGTTTTTATTTGATTATAAGGGCGCCACCGTGTGGTAATCAGCTGTTTTTGGGTAACAGGTGTTTAGTCAGCGTGTTGATTTTTATCAATTATCTACCTCTTTCTTTTTACCTTCTTGGTAGGATTCAAAGTTTTATGAAAATTTCGAGCCTCTTTTTTAAAAAACGACAAGAGGAAAATTTTCAATTTAGTATATCTAAGTCCTCCTTTATCGGCCAAGTTTTATGGAGACTTACATTAACGCCCTAACAATAATCGTCAGCAACCAACAAGCAATAATGAGCAGCCACCAGGCGGTAAAATAAAAGCAAAACCACAAGAACTGAAATTTTTAAACCCTCTCAAAATTTTGACTTTCCACCTCTGGCTCCGGCTCCTGTTTGCAGAGATCAAGGAAGACTTTTTGCGGGACGGCTAGTTTTTCCCAGTTGTATAGTCTCGGTGGCATCAATCAGCAAAATTCTCTCCAGCGAAAATCATAGAAGACAACGCTTTTTTGAATAGAAAAACGAAAAAGAAAAAGGAAAAATCAATGAAGAATAAGAAGCAGATTTATGAGCATGTTTTACCGACCGGGCAGGTGATGGCGCTAGTAATTCAACGACCAAGTTTGCAAGAGTTTGGAATAACAATGCGGTGAATATTTTAACAGACACTGATTTTCTCGAGATGATCAATTTTAAAGATACCGATTGTTAGGGTAAATCACTAATAATTCGCCTTTTTTCTGGGCTTAGTAAGGGGGACATATAATACATTTTTAGAAAGCCCAGGACCTGGGGATCATTTTGACTATTGATACCAGGGGGTGATCTCGTACCCTGAGGGAATAAAGGTACCCCCGAAGTCAGAAAATCTGGCCACTTTCGGAAATTCGAATTTTCGGCCGCCCAGACCGCCTTTTTAGAACCAGCGGCAATGCTAGAATTGTAGCTCAGGCTCTGACGGTCATTTTGTGGGGTCGAAAAATACTGATTACCCCCCCTTCCTGAGGCGCTAGAGACCCCCGAAGTTGGGGGTCTGGGCGGCCGAAAATTCGAATTTCCGAAAGTGGCCAAATTTTCTGACTTCGGAGGTACCTTTATGCCCTCAGGGTACGAGATCACCCCCTGGTATCAATAGTCAAAATGATCCCCAGGTCCTAGGCTTTCTAAAAATGTATTATATGTCCCCCTTACTAAGCCCAGAAAATGGCGATTTATTTGTGATTTACCCTACCGATTGTCAAGTATGTTTGTTGAAGAGAGGAGATTTTAATTGGCAATTTTAGCATAGATAAAATTATAGAGCCGATTGGCGGAGGCCGTAGCTCCTGGATTACGCCTAGGGTAAATGGACAGTAGGGGGTTATCATTCGAGCTGCTCCTAACCCATAATTTAACCCAGGGCCCCCTTTAGGCCTTAATCAGGGGGCTTTCTCCCCGGACTCCTCCGCTAGGAGTTCCCAGTCCCTAACCCTAACCACTAGTCTAGATTCTAGACATATTGAATGGCTCAAAATGATGACCCCTCCCTACGGGCTGGTAGAAGCTCGAAGAAGAACCCTTTGCCATTTCCGAAAAAAATCTGATTACTGATATGACTATCGATAAAAGTCCGAAAAGAAGTGGACACTTTTGAGAGCGAAAATAAGTCTAGTCTCCTATTCGCAGCGATTTGTTCTGCGGTTTGTACCCAGTTCATAATAAATTTGTGAGACACTTTAAACTGCTCAACATACTCAATGATTGAAGCGATCCAGCTCATGTACAGAACAACGTGCTTGTACCGATCTTTTGCGGTCAGTTTAGATATTCTCCTTTACGCACTCAGAAATTCATTGTGACCTCAAATCAACATGACAGTAAAAATAGATTAACCAGGTTTCTTTTTTCTTCGAAATATGCTTTAGTCATCCGGAACGTAAATACTCTATTTAAACAAAAAGAGCGGCTTTCAAAGAGCCATTTTCCGTTCGAGTTGATCTATTTTCGAAAAGAAACTCAATAATGGAATCTGAATATATGATATCAGATCACCCAAAAGAGCTCGACAGGGCGACGATTCATAAATGGCTAGAGAAAATTTTACCTAAATTAAAGCGAACAACGACGAGAACATCTCAATGCAGACTCATCTCGAGCTTTGAAAGAATCAAGATTGACTGGAAAACTGCTGAACAAGATTGGAGATACTGCGAGGCGAGAAAATCTGAGGGGGGATGGACGAGTGGGATTGTTCTTGACGATGAAAAGGAATCGTTTGACATGCCATTTGAATTGAATGATTTGCAGAGGGAAATTTTAGCAGATGATCCTTCTCTTTTTAACATAATAATTGATCGATGGAAAATCAAAGAAGAAAATGGAAAATGGATTCTGGATGATCTTCTTGAACAAAAAAAGCTTTCTGAAGGAGGAGAAGCGCTGATTTTTCAAGAAAAATTCGAGAATTTAGAGACTGCAGTTAGAGTTCAAGCCTTTGAACCTTTTCTCTTCACAGAATGCTTCAAAAACGAATCGCTTACTTGGGAAATTCATCTCGCAGAAGACTTCGAAAAAGCAGAAGAAGGAGATGAGGGGGAAATTATCCCATTTCATGAAAACATTGTTCGACATCATGTCAACGTGGAGTTTTACCATAAATCAGACTCTGATAAGACTGATTGTCTAGGTTGGCTTACAATTATGGAAAAATGTGATGCCGATCTTCGAAAATTTTTGCGGGAAGAAAGTTTGGATCTTGCAGAAAGAAAATCAATTGCTCATGGCATTCTCAGCGGGATCGAATATTTATCTGGAATTAACATAAGACATTGGGATTTGAAGCCTGATAATATTTTACTTTTGAATGGAGTCCCGAAAATTTGCGGTTTCGGACTCGCGTCTGCAGGGAGATTAGGGACAGAAGGAACAACAGGAGGAGAAAACTGCCTAGGTTTTGAAAAAATGGGGTACTCTCGTAGGGGAGAAAGATTTCATAATAATGCTCGTGTCTGTAAGTTTCGCCGTAGTTTCAGATTGCTTTAACTTCTTGTTAGTGGCTGGAACGCCGGGGTTTGCAATTCTTCAACAATTCTGCGTTTCGAGTGAGTATATTGTTGGGATGAACATTTTTTACTTTCTTTTCTGTGATTGGGTGTCATCATGGACACTTCTTTACAGGCCAATAACTTCTCAAACTGAGTTGGATATTGACGAAGAATTGAAGGTTTTAATTATTATTCAACGAATTGATTGAAATTTTTCTTTTAAGAAATGTAATGCCCTGTCTTTGAAGCAACTCATGACAACTACTGGCGACATTTCGAAAATTTTGAGAATATTACGGGAATAATTACCCTGGCCGACAATGAAAAATTCTATGATTTATACATGGACGAGGAAAATCAAAGCTACTATGACCTGTGGATTGACGACGAAAATTTAACGACATCTTATCAGTTGTCCTCCATCAAGCAAAGAATGACCAGAAGTGTCAAATTTGAAATGGAAAACTTGGAAGAATACATTCTCGATCAAAAAATCAGCCAGTTGTGTGTTCCGATTTCGGTTACAACTCTCCTTCGATATGCAATGCGCAGTGACCTTGATTATTTTCCTGAGGGCAACAAATATACTTTTGAGATGATACTCACAACTCTGACAATGATTGTTTATCCAAGAAGCTTGGCTGGACTCAATTTGAATCCGAGAAAAAAGGAAGTCGATAGCCAATTTTCTTCAGAAATTGGTCTTTTGCTTGATCGGCTTTGCCATAAAACTTATTTCATGAAGTCAGGTTGGGAAATCATAAAACAAATTGGTGATGACAAAGTTTTTCAAAAGCGTCCAATAGATTGCAAGTGGACTTTTGGTAATTAGCTAAATTTTCCGATGACATAATAAGAATAAGTTGAGCTGCATGAAAACTTCGAATTCAGCAGACCTTTGTCTGTAACAGCGGTCATCTTATTCGACACACAGCCGAAAATGCACCAAATGACCATTGATCGAGTTGAAAATGGCGAATACGTTCTTCAAAACACTGAATTCAAGTATTCAGTAGAAGAGGACGCATACGATACTCCAGTTGTGAGAATCGATATGAAAAAGCCTTACTATCATGGAGAAGGGAATTTTGTGGAAAATTTGATTTACCAAACTGGTCAGAATGTTCATGACCTCAATGGAATCAAGCGAAAGTATGTTAATGAAATGGCCGGAAACATGGACTTAAGAACTTGGTATCTACTTCCGACTGGTTTTACCATTCAACTCAGCGATCGAGATTTTATTATTGCAGATTTAGATTGACCTTTCTGTGACTACGCTATTAATCTGATTAGATTGATAAAAAAGACTTTTGTTCTGAAGATAAGAAGAGTATATTGCATCGAGTCCAGGTTAAAATAGGCAGATATGGTAGAATATTTTGCGAAAGAGTAGAAGTTACAGAAGGATCTGGTTCTGGAGGCCGAGCTTCATTCCATGAAGTTCTTTTCCAGGGAGAATGATCGCATTTCGAATGATGGTTTCGTCGGGCGTAATTGTATCTCGACCAAGAATTGTGATGGCTAGAAAAGTGGATAGAATTCGTTGTAAGAGGGAATACTACTTGGGAGAAGTTTTCCATTGTCATCGAAAAGATAGAAATTGTCAGTTGTGGCGTGAGGTCGATCGGGGTGAAGTTGCGTCGGGGTCCCTTCGACTCGGGTCCACGAGCCAACGGTGCTCTGCCATCCAACGATACTTAGAGAACGCTCGAGTGGATGCTATGTTTTCTAAAAATACCTGTTTAAAATGCAGGCGTGCTTTTTGATAATCGTTCCGTCCAAAATGATCGAGTTCTTTACTCGAGCACCCTCTTCAATCACGACGTTGGAGCCAATGGAGACATGAGGGCCGAGTTTTGCAGAGGGATGGACTTTTGCGCTAGGGTGGATGTAGACGTTTCCTTCGCAGTTGGAGTCGGTTGAGAGGCGGTTGGGGTGGTATTTTTTGTACATCTCCATCATTATTCTTAATAGAATATTTTTATCAATACTCAAAATCTTAGAGTCTACGTAGATGACATCCTGATTTACTCTACTTTCATATTTTCAAATAAAAAAATTCCTCAAAAACGGATGTCTTAATTTTCTGAGGCCAGTTATGGTTTTAAGTGTTTCTCTCCGAATCCTACCTTGATGCATAAACAGCTGATCCAGCAGACTTGATCGACATCCAAAAGGCTTCATTCATGAAAGCAAAAACTTTTCCTTGCCCGGCTTGTTGGCTCAAAATATCCGACTCAAGCGAGATCGAGTCGTTTCCTTAAAAAATATGTTTTTGATTACAACTTTCACGGGCGCCTACCAGTTCCAACTCGTTCGGCGAAAATCTTTGAGATGTCGTCAAAGACTTCGGTGGAGAGAAGATAGACTCCGCCGTTGATGTGATTGGACACAAAGCTTGATGGTTTTTCGATGTAATGAACGACCTCGTTTGTCTGAGAGTTGACGCCCATGCATCCGTAGTTCATACTCTGCTCGTTTTCCACCTTGAAAGCAGTTTTAATTACAGGTGTTTTTGAAGTAACTGACCTGGACGCCCATAACAAGGTATTTCATCCACTTTTCTCTGAATGCGATCATGTTGGAAAGGACCCCGCGGAGGTCGCAGAAGATGTCGCAGAAGATCAAAAAGAAGGCTTCGGTGTTGGAGGTCAGGATCAGATCTCGGAAGAGGTAGATACTTCCTGCTGTTCCGAGGAGCGAGTATTCCTTGAATTACAGTAAGGTTTTGTTTAAAAAAATATTTTCTATTGAAATAGATCTTGGTTCAAGAAACTGTGTATAAACCTGATTCAGGCAATTTTAATAACTAAACAGGTTTTTCTCGATATATTCTAGATATCGAACTGCAAATTCAAAAGCAAAGGCAATAAAATAATATATTTTTCTAGCAACTCAAATTTATAATATTGATTGATAATATTGAATTATAAAATGAACGAAAACTAGTGCAAAATTTACCAATGTCGGAATAAGAAAAGATTTATCACAGACTACTCAAGTCAAAAAAAGAACTTTAACAACCTGAGGTCAGGTAACCTGACTCAGATTTCAGTATCTACATATGGATTTGCGATTGAATAGTACCTGAAGATATCTGATATTGAGTTTGTATTCATCCTTCATTTCTCGAATAAATCGATTGAGTTGCTCGGTCGGTTGAAAGTATCCGATGAGGATGATCTCCTTGATAGTGTCAATCGAGGCACAGCTCTCAATATGATGCTGGACAAGCGGAAGGCCAGCAATGGGGAAGAGCGGCTTTGGAATATCCAGCGAAAGTGGTCGGAATCGAGTTCCCTGAAAAGAGCGATAACGAACTGATTAACCTTGGCATTTAAAATTGATAAATAAACTCGAAACACCATGTTTTTCTTAGAGCCAAAACTAAGTATAGCAATCAAGAAATAATTGATTATTTATTGAGTATTTGACTGAAAGACAAAAACAATTGCTGTTTACAAATAAAAGATGACAAAAATTAAGATTTATCAATCAGAAACAAGCTTACCTTTCCAGGGCCTCCGACCAAAATGACAGCTTTGCTCACCATCGTTTTTTCTCTTTGAAAATTTTGCCTGAAAAAAAGGAAACGGTCACGAGTCGGCTCCAAAATTAATTTGCGCCGGAGTCTTTTTTTACTGCTAAGCTCTTAAAATGTGCTGAGAGGATATTTGGTGCTCAGTTCAGAAAGTGCTCCAGGGTGGGGCATGTGCCGACTCCTCCATAAACTTTTTTTGATTTCTCGAGTTGAACATTTGCAAATGCGGTTTTGGGACGTTTAAAAATAAAGTTAAAACTAACCTTTGAGAATTATTAAATAAATTTTCAGTTCTCTCATTCATCATTGAAGAAAAAAAACCTATTACGGTTGTTTTTGATATAAATTTGACAGGCGAAAGGAGTCGGGATCAACAGGATCACGAGTAGTATTTACGACCACAATAAAGATTTCTCTTTTGTTGCGCCAAAAATTGCCCCTCCGGTGCCGCATTTAGGCGTTGAAGATATTCAAGAGCTTGACAGATCTTTTTCAAGATTTTTTTTAGCATTTATTGAGGGATTTTTTTTTATACAGGGCGGCCAAGAAGTGTTTTTGCTTGCAAGATTTCATTCTCAACTTGAAGAAGCTCTTGTTTAAGATTAATGATTTCATTCTTTTCTTTCTTATTTCGCGCTGTTTTGACATCGTCGTTGAGGGAGTTGATTTCGTTGGACAAAATTGGCTCGAAGGAAAAGAGGTTCGCGATGATGTTTCCGTCGGGAAGGGTTTCGAGAAATTTGTACTCCCCGAAATTTTCGATGATTTTTGATCCTCCGTCTGAATTTTCGTGTTCAAGAAGCTTTGGTTCGTCAGGGCAGGAGCGAGAAGTTTCCCACTTGCAATTTCGTCCGCGCTTATCACCGTACTCCGAGCATGAGCACGTGAGCTCAACGGAGATGGATGGGTCGGAGGAGCAGGTAGAAGTGAAGCAGCCGTAGTTTGGAGGATACTGGTTTTCTTCGCTTTCAGGACAGGTTGTTAGGTCGTAGGTGAGATGATCGGGGCGATTTTGACAGAACTAAAATATGATTGATTCTTGTCAAAACAAGAGCAGCTTACATCTTTGCCATGCCATTTTCCTCTTGAAGAAAGATCTGTCTCCTCATCAACAATTTCTGCTGCTGAAATGCTCAAGAAGTAAAAACTCGTAAATTTCATATTTTATTTTCTGTGGTCTCTTTCTTAATTTGATAACCGAGTCACTCACGATTTCATTTTAAAGTGAGCTTTTATAAATAGATTGTGATATTTATGGCGTCAGCGCTAGAAATTGATCCTTATTTTGGGGTTTATTTTTACGCTAAAAGAGCAAAATCTGGGTTCCTCCGTAATAAATTGACATTCCAATGAAAAGTTTTTTCATGATTTTTTTGTAATTTATTTGTTAAATTTTTTGAATCATCTGTAAGTCAGCTTCGAACAGGTTCATTTTCTGGAAGAGCGCGCGCGGGGGAAGTTGTTATCATCTTTTAGAAAAATTATAAGTATACACAAAGGTCTTTAAGAATCCTAGAGCTAGAAGATGGTCAGTGAAGCAAGAAGTAAACATATGCTAAGGATTGTCTGGGAGCCGGAATTCCACGTTTCCTCCGTCGTCGTTTCTGGTTCCGCAGCTTTTGTTGCTTAGAAAATTTATTGAGTTGAGTAAATTTATAATAAGCTTACTTTCAGGTTCAGCAGTAGTTCCAAGAGAAACTGACTGGGTTGAGTCCGATACTGTCGTCGGCTCAGCTGTTGTTTCTGATTCGACAGTCGACGTTGATGTCGACGTTGATGTCGACGTTGATGTGGTGATTTGCTCTGCAGTTGTTGTTGTATTGTCATCATTTATCGGGAAATCGCCGTTTGGTCCTTGATCCTCATAAATTGGGAAATCATCTTAAAACAATCAACTTCATTTTCCTAATATAAGTTACCGGGAAGCTCAAAAATCGTAGTAGTTGTTGATTTTGTTGTTGTGGTTTGTTCGGTTGTCGTTGTGTTTGGCGGTGTGGAGCTATCATCAGTTACAACCGGGAAGAGACCGTCCACGTCGACAGTAATTGGTATCTCATCATCGTCGTAAATCGGAAATCCAGCTAAAGAAACACTGTTTAAAGAGTATAAAATAGATTTTTCTTCTGACTTGGAGGGGTGCCAAGATTCACTGTGGTTGTCTTCGTCGTTGTTGTTTTTGTGGTCGTTGTTGGGGCAGGAGTAGTTGTTGCAGGATCGGTTACGACTGGGAAGAGGCCGCTGTTGTCGGAATTGTCTTCTATGATTTCAATACTATCATCTTCGTAAATTGGGAAGTCTTGCGGCTGCGTTCCGCTAGGAGTTGCGACTGTAGTTGTTGTTGTTGCTGCTCTTGTTGTTGTTGCCGGCGCTGTGGTTGTTGTTGCGATTGGGAAATCGCCATCAGAAGTTTGGTCGCCATAAATCGGAAAATCTGAAATTTTGAAATTCGAAATTTAAAACGACGATTTCTTACCAGTCGGGACTTCAACAGAAGAGCTAGTAGGTGTGCCTGTTTGAACTGTTGCATTACGGACAAAAACGCTGCCGGTACTTGCGCTGGCAACGACCGCATTCATTTCTTGTTCGACTTCTTGGACTGATGAAAGTTCAAATTGAGGCACGTCCGGGTTATTTTCGATGATGTTCAATGTCGGGGTGATTTGAGTGTACACAGTTTGACTTGCTTGCCTAAAAATCATTCGATTCTTACTTTTAGCTTCATTGAAATCACCTTCTTCGACGAGCGGAGAAACTAGAGCTGTCAGTGCTAAAGAGAACATCGATTGATATCAATGTTGCACTAACTCTCGCTGCTGCCGCCTCCAGTCCTGGTTGCGTCTCGTCAATAACTCGGTCTCGATTCGTTTGATATGTATTTGAAGTTTTGTCGAGCAAAAGAGGGTCGTAAGTGATTTTCGTTTCAGTGACTTTTTTGAGGTTTTGAAATGGCACTACTGCAGGTCTGCCAGTCAAAGAATTTTCAAAACCTTCCTATATCGAAACTCGTCGTTACATTTCGAATACCACTTGAAGAGCCATCGCCAGATTGTGCTCTAGAACTTCCGAAAAAGACCAAGATGCCAAAGAGCCAAGCTATCATGACGATTGTTTGAGTATCTCTTCTTGTAAACTTGTTGTTTTCCGCTCTAGTTCTTACTCTGCTTCCAAACGTATCTCAGCATGAAAAGCTTACTTGGCTAATGCGAAATGATTTTCATGGCTGATGATTTTGCACCGCTGCCGAGGATAATTACGAGAGAGGAGGTTTACGACCCAGGAATTCATGCATGCCTCGCTTAGCGTTAAACACTAAGTAAAAGACGATTTGCCGACGCCGAACCATCAAAACGACATCCGTTGCAAATTGCAATCAAAAAAGAGACAAAAGGCAAAAGAGCGTATAGCGCCGTGACAAGTTGCTCCGGCAGTTTGAACTCGCGGATTTTAGTGTCTTATTCATCAACAAACGCAATTCAAAACGCAGCGGTGACGTTTTACATTCTCTTTGATCATGCTCAAGTAATTTACTGTCTTTCGATAATACGGCAAGATAATGCTGATAAAGTTTATTAAACTCTCGAAATTTAAAGAAAGGATATTTTAGTTCGTTATTTTTATTGATCAGGGGCAATGCAAGCGCTCCATCGTGGAGAAAAGCTCTCCAATCCAAAGGGCGGATTGATTGGGTAGCAAGTGCAGGTGCCGTTTGCCTCGTACTGGTCACAGAAGCAGGTCTCCACACAGTTGATCATATCGGCCGAGATTTTGTTGATGCAAATGACGTAGCCGATGGTGTCGAGCGCGCCGGAGTTGTAGAGCTCGTCACAGGTATAGTAGCCCTCCTTCCATGGTGGGATGCAAAGCTTGTCGCAGGCATCCTGGGGACAGTCCTCGGCGAAGCATCGCTCGAACTCGGTCTCCGCTCCGTCGTAGCATCTGAAATCGACGTCTATAAGAAAATTTTTAATAAAGGTACCTCCAGAAGTCATCAGTTCCATAGCCCCATTCCAAGGAGCAGCGGATGTAATGGTCGAAAAGCTTTCGCTGGCACTCTAGAAAGCATTTCGTACCATCTCCCGGTGCCGTTCCAAACTCTTGAAAATACGGCGTGAGAACCGCATAGCAAGAAGCAAAAAGAGCAGCTGAAAGTTTCATCTTGTTCTTTTTTCGAAATAAGTTCGGGGAGGAGAAGTGCGCTTATATTAAGATCAGGTGGGGTCGTTCCCAGACAGACAAGGAGAAGAGGACAAAGTTTCATAGTGAAGCAAATGGTACGATGCATGATTTGACATTTGATTGATCTTAGATTTTATTGAAAGCGATGTTAACAAATTACGCTGAACTTGACCCTACAAGGAACAGTAATTAACAGGAGATGCAAAAATAATCGGCTGAGTGACCTTCCATCTCTGATTTCCAACAATCTCAGTTCTTATTATTTCTTCGTCAGAGCCTGTTTTAAAGCTTTCAATTAAAATTTGTTTCGGATATGCGATTTAGTGACATTTTTTGTCCCGAAATCATCAAAAATCAGCGCTTACAATAAAGTTCAGTTGAAACTCTGGCCTAATTCGATCCGTTGAATTAAGAATTGAAATGTACCGGATGTTCCAGGAAATACGTAAATATTGTCTCCAAATAAAATTGCAGAGGATTTAGATAATCTCTTAATTGATAAACGTGTAAGTATAAGACTGTGAAATTCACAGTGTGAATGACAAAAATGCATTGAGAAAAATTTTTACCCTTGAAAGAGCGCCGATTAACAACCAATCGTTTTTATTGAGCTGCCAAATTTCATTGAGTTGCATCCAAGTGTTATCATCTCTTCCTCCAATTGTCAAAAGATTTCCTGAAGGCAGTCCGACAGCAGAAAAATCAATAATTGTTCTTAAATTCTCCTGAGAAAATTTACGTTTTTTTTGTTTACCTTGGATGCTCTGTTAAAATAATCCAACCATCTTCTGTCAACATCTCTGTTCAGGGCAGGGATGTCAATCAACAAAATTATTTTTTTCGAAGGTTGATTTTTTTAACCGCTGATCACCAAAAAATTTGGCTATGTCAGACGGAAAATTTTTTCGATTTACATCCCTGAATCCACGTGCTGAAAATCCCCCTATTATGGTAGGATGATTGTTGTAGAAACCTAACTCTCCTGCCTGATGGCCTTGATGAGTTTTAAAAGTTGTTTTTACTGAGAATCCATTGAATATCTGACATTCTTTCTCGAGATGGAAAGCAGAACAGATAAGAGCTTAAACAAACATTTAGCTTTTATCAGTATTTTTTCGACAGACAAAACCTTTGCTCCCTTTGTCGATCGATAAAGCTGAATGTTCTTTATAAAAGTCAAAAGAAAGTTTGACAGCAAGCTCTGTAAATTGACAGCCATCAAGTCGGGCTATCTACAAGTATATGAAAAAATTCAAGCTTTTTTTCATGTTGAATTACTTTGAAGAAGCCCGAGTCTCCTCCAAAAACATGCAGCTGATCATTAACAAGTGCGTGTCGCGAGTAGGTAAGATATTGAGAAATGTTGGCACTGAAGTAAAACGGAGGTGAAAATGATATTTTGTTTTGAATCGATCCGTCCGGTAATAAAGCATAAGGCTGATACGAATCAAAGCTTGGAAGCATCACACTTATTTGAGAAGTGGTTTCGGAAGTGTAGAGAAAGTTTTTAATTGCAATTGTCCGATCTGACTTGAAAATTCGGATTTTGCTGTTCTCGACACTATCAAGTCCGGTTAATGCGATTTTTGAGACATTTAGGCGCTTCTTTCGAGTTCTTTATGAGTTTTTAAAAGAAATCGAAAAAATATATTCTCGAGAGTAATCGAACTATTCCTCATAAACTTCGATAAAATACGATTCTGCAGAGCTGTTCGATTTCAAGGAAAATCCGATTTCTGTCAATTCTGAGATATTTGAATTTAGCCAAAGCAGGTTATCAAAATAATCTGAATCCATCCAAATCGACCCATTTTCATTAATTCCCAAATTCAAAAATTTCGTTCCATCAAAAAAATCGAATTCCAGAATCTTAGCATTTTTGAAAGAGCTTGGCGCTTGCTGAAAATCTATTTCGAATTCAAATTTCTTTGTTCCGTTCAGTTCCAGCTCAACAGTCGAGATATGATTTAACTCTTCCAATGTGTAGAAATGAGAATCAGGAATGATTGTTTTGTGATAAAAGCTTGGCCGCCGAAACCGAGGCTGGGCAACTGCATTTTTCGCAAACGCTGGAAAAACATCGTCGTGAAAAGAGAAATAGGGATTGCTTGTAACGAGCATTTTCTTCTTGTTTGTTCTTTGCACGAATTCGAGGTCAATTTTATCTAGAAGGATACGATTGACTTCATCAAAATTAGCCGTAATAAAAGTTATTTCATATCCTTTCCGAAATGAAACTCGATCGAAAAAACAAAATCGAAAACATAATTTTGAATGATAATTTTTTCATCGTAAATGACTCCATTTCCAAAGTACTCGCATTCATCGTTTATCAACCCGCCCGTATTTGTATAAAAAGGATCGTCTTCTGCAAACAATTTTGAATAACAGAAAGATTTTTCTTCGTAATGAACAAGAGAACCGATCCACTCGGTTCCGAGGGTAATAAATTTTCCTTCGGCCTCAAATAAAACGGAGTACAGAGTGTTTGAGAGTGCAATGCTTCTGGAAACAAGAATCAGCATTAGTCGGCCAACATCGATCTTTTGTTGAGTTCAAAATTTAAAAATTTAAGCATTCTTCAATGGCTCATTGACAATGAGCACCCTGATTAGGGTTATTACAGTAAATACAGAACTCGTTCCAGTGGTACGACATGAACCGGGTCCAAGTCTCTTAATTCTGCCGGCAGCCCTAAGTCGCTTTTTCTCCAACCCTTTTCCAATTCTTCGCTCTTTCTGATACGATTTAGAGCAATTGTTGTTGAAAGTTTTATCCATTTTTCGCCCAATCGAACACTCATTAGGTAGAAACGTCCTTTGAAGCTGACAGATGATGTTTTTGCATTGAAATGATTGCTGGCAATGTAGCCCTGCGCTTCTTCGAACCGGTTCAAATTGTAATTGAGAGCGTAATAAAAACATTTATCGGGCTTTCCAGTCGGAGAGCTGTACTGCGATCAAAAATCATAGTAAACTTTGATTTTTTTCTAAATATTTTGACCATTTCAGATGACGACGACTGGAAACACCTTTTTGTCTTTGTCTTTCAAGCGAATTTCAATGTAATGGGTTCCGATTGAAGATCCAAAACAGAGTTCGAAATCTATGGGAGTAAAATTGGGAGCTCCCAGAATACATACAACGATGGTGTTGCTACTTAGAGTTTACTTAAGGGATCCCCCCCCCCGTTTTTGCCATTTTCAACGGCAAACTACTTTTTTTTGGGCTTACAATTTCAAGCGTGCAATAGCGCAAATGAAAGCTCGTTCATAGCGGGTAATTCTCTAGTACAGAAATAAAATTCCGTATACGCAAACCTACCACATGGGGGCGCTGAAGTTAGCGTATTTTGAAAAAACGCCGTTTTGGGCCATTTTCAACGGCAAACTACTTTTTTTTGGGCTTAGCTAGAATAAATCTGCGACTAGATTTAGAAAGAGTAGAGTTTAATCTCAAAACTCTAGTACAGAGAAGTCGTTTGGTCAAGTAAGAAAAAATTTTTCTTAGGAATAACTTTTTGATGCCATTTTGGCACATTTTTGACTTTTAATTGCTCTCTAGCGCCGATTTATGGCCAGAAATTCTAGTGCGGTTCTCATATTCTTATTCAGTGCATCCTAAGCTTTCGATAGACCCCTAATATGACTATTTTCGATCACTTTGAAAAGTCGAAAAAATTGCGATTTTTACGTTAAGTACAATTTACATGCATTTTTGCAATTTTTGAAGGCCGAAATTTCGGGGATAGATGTTCGTAAAGGGGTCATGTGACACATAAAAATGATCCTCAGAACGCGAAGAATCTAAAAATGTCAAATATAGACCCGTATCAAAGACTTACAAAAACAGGGGGGATCCCTTAATAAATAAAAAACTTTCGAAAATTTTTGAAATTTGAAAAAAGGGAGCAAAATTGGGAGCTCCCAAAGGGAGCTCCCTTTTTTGGGAGCAGGGAGAGAGCAGGAGCACGGGTTTTTTACGAGGGAGCTCCCTTTTTTCAGGGTGAGGGAGCAGGGAGGGAGCGGGAGCACGGATTTTCTACCAGATTTCGAACTCTGATCCAAAATGAAAGACGAAGAGACCTCTTATAATAAGAAAAATATAATAAGAAAATAATTAATTATTATTGAGGGACTTACATATATTTAAGCCGATTCGGAACATAAGTCGGAGCATCACCGTTTTCCTTGACTCTCATTAAATTTCCTATTGCATCGACCAAGTAATGCTCCCCATTTAGAAAAGTTGCTCCTGTTGACTAACGCGTTTTGAATGATTAATAAGCTATCAATTATATATGGTACATATGATATATAATATATCATATGAAATATCTGAGAAGATTCAAAAGTACAGAAAAACTCTTCATCAAAACCGTTCATAAGAAAACAAAAAATCAGAAGCATTAATGTTCTGTGCTCGCGATTGGCGATTAAGATCGCCAAGAAAAATCGGAAAATCTTCTTTTTCAATCTCTCGGCCAATCCAGCGACCAGTTATCAATTCAATATCCCCGTTAAACTCTTTTTCGATTCTGTCTTCGGAATGACTTTTGGGAAGAGTCGAATTCGAGTCGCGATCTTCCGATTTCTGCAAATCAAATACAGGTACTAGTCTCTGACGGGACGTCAATTTCTCACATTCGTAAAAAGAACAAGGACATCCACCTGGACAGTATTTTTGATAAGGACAATTCTCGCCGGCAGAATCGGAAGATCGAGTTAACTCAAAGCAAAATGATTCACAGGGTGAGATCGAGCTTCTCCTTGTTGATTTCAGTACGAGCGTATTTGAGCAAAGATGGCGACAGATTTTTTGGTCGTAAAACTTTTTCTTCTGGCATCGAACCAGATTTGCTTCGTTTTCATCTTTTGAAAAAATTAAGGGTGCGGGCTTGGCTTGATCGATTTTAGAAACTGGCTCAGGAAGGATGAACTCTTCAGTTTCATGGCATTGCTTCATCAAATGCCCACAGTAATCCATCGTTGCAATTTGAACGCATTTTTTGTAGTTTCTGTGGCAGGTCGACGTCAGAAAAGTAGTTACTCCTCGAGACTTTTCAAGAGAATACCAGTTCGCTGAAAAATGTAAGTGTAGAAGAAGAAGAGCAAAACGCACTGATGAGGATGATGGTTATCCAGAATATCGAACCAGTTCCAAGATAGAACTGCTGCTGAGAAGGCGTTGAAAAGCCATGTCCAATGGGATTTAATCTCCTCTTGATTAATTTCCATGTTGGTGGTTTTTTGTAGTCTTGTTTTTGCGTGCGTATACTTCTCGTCGTTAAAACACTTTCTGGGAACAAATAGACGGTATCACCTTTTTGCTTGAGAATACCAATACATTGGCAATCCAAGCACTTTAAAATTCGTCTCACTCATTATTTAATATTTTTCTGTTTTACCTGAATTTTAGGTTGCTCCAACGCACTTGCCTTAGCTTCTCTTTCCTCCTCAATAACCATGCCGAGTGATCTCTTCGGAAAAAAAACAAACTCTGACAAAAAAATGCCAATTCGTGAGAAGCGTCGTCCGACTGCTTGTCTGACACTTGGACAGTATGTCTCCGGTCTTATGTCAGTTTCTTTGCTTCACCTTTCCCAACGCTTATTTTTATTAGAGTAAATTGTTGTACTCATCGACTGGTTACGAAGCCGTCAAGCTAGAATTGTCTTCTATGATTTCAATACTATCATTTTTATAAATTGGGATGTCAGGTGTATTAATACCTCTTAGAGTTGCAAACGAGAACTACCTATATGAACCCAGTTTCTGTAGTTAAGGGCTCAGCACTATTGGAACAGAGACTATATTTTTAAAACTTCAAAATTTCTTATAGTTTATTTTCGTTTTTGAAATTTGGGTCCTCCGATCGTGCGGAAACCTAGTTGTTGTTGTTACTTTTGTTGTTCTTGCCGGCGATGTGATGGTCGTTTAGATCGGGAAATCAATCCGAAGTTCTTTCAGAGGTTGATTATTTTAACAAAAAAAAATAGGTCAAAAAACTCCTGATAAGGAAAAATTATTCTAGCTTTCGCGTAATAAAACAGAAAAATGACGGAACATGGCACCCAGCATCACCGAAAGTAAAATAAACGAGTAGCTTTGTGATAGCGGCGGCAGCTTTTTTAAAATATCAAGCGTATTTTTGACACTTTCTCATAATTTGACTCTGTCAGTTTTTACAGGATTTTATAATAAAGAAAAATCCTGCTCCTGAAATTAACTCAAAACAATAGAAGAGGAAGCAATTTTTGTTAAAAAGCATTTTATAAACAGGCACAAGCGTTAACTAAACAGAATAGAAAAAATATTACAGTCCGAAAAGAAATTCCAGCGAGTCTTCAAAATCATCCATCGGGCATGTTTCTAGGCAACTACTGGTTGGTTTTGGAGGTTTCGCAGAAACAGGCGGGCTTAATTCTGCAAGCTTCTTTTTCGCAAATTTCGGGCTGTTCTCGGGTGATGGCGGTAATGAGCAAATTGAACTGGTCGTTGAATGGCCGGCAGAGTCCAGTCCGGAATTGGAACCATTAGGAACCGGGGACGGGATATTGGAGAAATACTCTGAAAACGAATCTTTCGTCTCCAAGGGTTGATATTTTGCCGGCGGCGAAATTGGTTTCTCGATGTATTGAATTTGAGGATCTTGATATACAGGTTGAGTGTGAACGAGTGGTGAAACTGGTTGAGCTGGATGGTTTATTGGAGCAATAGACGCTGGCTGAGCTGGAGGTGGCGCGACGAGCGGCTGCTTGAGGGGTTCTTTCGGTTGATTTGGTGTCCTGAAGTATTGTTGAGGTCACGTATTGATGAAAGTGCAGTTTTAGGAATAATAAAATTAGTTATTCTTGTTTAGCTAAAGCTTGAAATGAGAGCCGAGATGATATATATTTCTTTTCTAAATACCACAAAAACATGTACTAATGGCAGGGGTAGTAAGATAGACTTGCCCTAAATTCACCAGTGATGTGAAATTCATAAATTATCCCTTTGCCCTGTAGCTATTCGCTTTAACCAAAGGTAGTCGCTGTCTATTTAACGCTATCTTTCATCAACAACATTGTCACTGATTATTTTTATTGTCAATAAATCATGAATGATGAAAATTTTCAAACTCAAGAAAAAAAGTCAAACCTTGATGTGTATTTTTCAATCAGCGCCTTCAATCGCATATTGATCGTCCTCTGAATTTCATTTTCCAATTCAAGTTCCAAAAATCGCCTCTCCAAATCCGCTTCTTTTTGCTTTGCCCGTTTGCGTGCTTCTAGCGCTGAGGCACGATTCTTCATCTTTTTTTCGAGCTCTTTGGGCGACGCGGCTTGAATCGGTCGACCGCAGGGGACGACGAATAAATTACCATCTTTTCGTTGCTGTTTGACGGGAGTGTACTGAAGTAAACCTGGTTATTTGCTCACGCAAAAGAATGCTCTAAATAATCAGGGAGAATTTGACCCAGAAAATGGGCAAACGGAGATCAAAGGGGTTTTTTTCGAAGATTCATAGTGGGAATCGACTTTAATTTGAGGGGTTTCGGCTCGAATCGACATAAAATGTCCGAAAAATAAGTCAATTTTCGTGACAAAAAAGCGAAAAATTAATTTTCAAAATCGTGGCAATTTTTCAATCAATTCCCGCCTGCTCCTTATTTTTAATAATCCGTATTAAAATTCTTGTAGTTTTCAAGTCTTCAAAATTCCATCAGAAATAAACCTGAGGTTATTAAAAAAGACCAGAGGCAGTTAATGATTACGTCAAGTCGCTATAATTGGTACAATAGTATTTGACCGATGGTTACCTGTTTCAGCTCGCCGGTATTTCTTTTCAAATATTTCATTTTTTTCGATTTTTTTACTTTTTTCGATTTTATTCTCTGTCTTCTTCAAAGTGTCTTTGTGACTGTTAGAAAATGTAGGTCTATTGCTTTAATATCTATGTGCGTTCTATGTGTGTTCCGCGTTATCATTGAACAAGCGCCACCATGCGCCGCGGCAGTGCTAGAATCGCTGAAAACGCACGCGCGGTTACGTGATACCAGCGTGCTACCACCAACTCCAAAGCTTTCTTCAAACTGTCGCAAGAAGGGGTCAAGTTTTGATATGCACTTATTATAGAAAGAAGATGGAGAAAAAAGTTTTTTCTTCATGTCTGTAACATTCATCCTGATTTGCAAAATAAGGGTTTCGCTTCAATAAGGTTAAGATAAGAGTAGAATTTTAAAAAAATAAAAAAAAAACAGAGCTGCACTATGCCGGCTTCACGCAGTAAACAGCGTGAATGTCTCTCATAAAATCTCGCTGAAGGCCCTTGAAAAAAACAGGGATCAAGTTGTTCAACACTCAAGTTGATTGTCTCGACATAAGGTGCCCTTTGCCGGTTTTCACGCTGTATGACATTCGATATTTCCATACTTGAATTTCGAAACTCTTCACTTTTTTTTTACCTACGTTAGTTCAAAATTTACCTGTACGGCATCAATTATAGTAGCGATAGCGCCAATTTTTAACATTTTCGGGCATTTAGTTTCTTACAAGAACAATAATTGGTGTGGTGATTAACGATTAATAAAGACCTTTTAGAATATTATGAAGTGGTGAAAATCTATCACCAAGAGAGGATGCAAAAAGAAGGATTGAATTCGACACGGAAGCTCGTTTATCAATCGCGCGTAATGAAGAAACATAGATTTATAATGGGATTTCAGCGTTTTCTAAAGGTCGAATCAGCGCGCTAGAATTTCACGACAACCGTACCACTTCAGTTATCGTCGATTAACAAAGAGGTACAGCGCTTTTCTGTCGATAGTATCGCGCTAAAAACGAGTCAAAAGGGCAAAATTTATCGCGAGAAGAAACCATAACTAAGTTTATCATCTAATTTTTAAAGAATTTTTTTAACAGGACCATCTCGGACGAATCCTTTTTATTAAAGCATTACCATGGTAAAACGTACTGTAGATAGAGACTTTTTCATTAATTTTTGACAAAAATAAAATGACGAACTCGGCTTTATAAAAACATGGAGTTTATTTCTATATGTACAAAAATCCAAACGTCGCCACGTTTTTCAAAGATTAAGGAATTCCTCGGAGCAGGGAGCAAGTCCATCAACAATTTCTCCATTTGCGCAGCAGCTTAAAGAATTATCTTATTTAAAAGTTTAAAGCCAAAACTTAAAAACTTTAAAAACGCAAAACGTAAACCGTCGAACATGCTAAAAATATTTGGCGTGTTTGTGAAACAAACAAGTTTACCGTTGTCCTTCGCGGTAGTATCTGAAATCGGGTGCTTCTCCGCAGCATCCAGCTATTTTACCGTAAACACTCAGTGCTTAGATGATGTTTTATGAAGTGTTTTCAATAACAAATACGCTCGTCTAAGCAGATTATTTGCGGTTTTGCTTTTTTTTGAGAAACACGCTGTTATCTTCTCAAAATTCAAATTGGACCAATCAGATTGCCGCATTTAGGCGTTAGGCCTATCAGATTTCAGAAAAATCTATGACAAATCAGATTTGTTTTTTGTCGCTTCTTGAAACCCTAATCCTAACCCTAACTAACTAGCAGCGAAACTAAAGTACTCGTTAAAACAGTTCCTGGCTGATTAATCCTCTGCGTCCTGCTCTGTATCATATTCGCCAAAGCAGGCGGCCCCCTCCGGCTCGCGAAGCTAGAGCCACTTGAGTGATTTGCATCTTCCTTAGGAGCTGCCAAGCACCGTTCTTCCCTGTCAAAGTCGCCAAAATTCCATTTGTGATGGTTTTCGACCGTCCACTCGTTTTCGTGCTCAGCAAGTTTTTCAGAAAGCGCTAAAAACAAAACTTTTCGCGAGAAACGTGGCGTACAGCCGATTTGTCTGCTAGACAATTATTTTGACGATAAATATTTTGACTTTTCATGAATTTACCTTTGTCACATTCGCATCTGTTTCTAGCGCATGTTCCAATTGGATCGCGGCAGTAAAGAACCGTGCGACCGTTGATATCCTTTTCAAGTTGAAAACAAGCATTTTAAGGGCGTAAGCCGGTTTGTTCGCAAATTTGCCTTTTGAGTTCGTTCGAAGAGTTTTTTTTTTAATTTTTTTTTATCAATCGAGTTTACATCATTGTTCGGTTAACTTGTGCGAGACAAGATAAGATAGCGCGTAATCAAAACAGCGCTAGGTTCAACCGATCCTTGGAACCGCGAATGCTGTAACGTGTCTTGATCCCTTCTTCTTCGTCGCAACCCATTCCGCGAAACGGCGCTGGGTTGTATAAACCTGAATGTGTGTTATCGCTCAAACTTTTTTTCAGTTTTACAAAAAGTTTTAAGTATTGATGTTTCAAGCTGATCTCAATGTTGATTTCATGAAAAAGGCCGCGCTCAGCAACCTGTGTAGAAAACCTGATTCAGGATCTGGAAGAGCTGAAATGAAAAGCCGCGCTGCGGCTTTTTTTTAAGAATGAAGCCGCAAAGCGGCTTCGCTAGAATTTTTTCGATGTTGTAATGGAAATATTCGCGAAGCCGCTAAGCGGCTTTCATTTCAGCTATTTCAGACCCTGACTCAGGTTTTCTACACAGGTTGTTGAGCTCAGCTCTCGGCTTAAGGAAATAAGTAGCTTCTCAATCTTGAAAAAAGTCGCTAAGGAATGAGAAAATTTACTTACAGTTGTAGCACTTGGTGTACTCCTTGCAAGAATTATCAATATTGTCCACCGGCTCTCCATAAGGAATCAACCCAGCTCCGGTTGGCAAACACCAGCACCCATAAAAACAGTATTTCCCGATTTGCTTTCTTTTCTGCAAGGCCATTATCGTGTACTTCAACTGTAAATACTACTTTCAAGCTCTAACACGAAGAAAACCATCCGGTCAACACAATTTACATTGTTCTTTTTGAGCTTTTCTTGAGCATGTGAAGCTTGTCGTCGGGGGACAAGGAGACGGCTCCAGTTCGGCGAGAGATTTTTGAGACCTTGTCTGGATGATCCCTTTTTTCAGGTAAGCAAAATTTTTTAATAATAAATCAATTAATAGATCGAACTCTCGTGCCACGATTAATTTCGGAAATGGCTTGTGTGTTTTATCATCAAAGTGAAAGTCACTAATGATTTTGACCATAAACGAACCTAAATTAGACGGCAGTTGTTCAAGCTCGTGTTTTCTCCCAAAGAACGTATGTTTTCCATTGGGTTAGAGCGGTCTAAGAGCCCCTTCCACTGAAATTCAAAAGCCGAATAATTTTATCTGCCCTAAATTATGGTGTCTAATTTGAACTGTCGTAATTCATGGTCTTGAATATTAAAATCCTCACAGGTCAGCATTTAGGCTAAATATCTTTTCGGCTTGTACTTTGGGTTCAAAAATATCTCAATTTTGAACTAACAAAATACTGAAAAATATAACAAGAAAAAAATCATGAGATTTCACGAAAACAAAAATGAGATCATTTTTCTCGACACAAATAAACTCGACCTTGCCGCGACCTTACACGTTAGTAATTTTACTATTGAAATATCTAAGCGATCAAACTCTAGAATTTCAGACTAATCGCGCGTATTTACTGGCAGAAATTCAGTAACAACCGTTAGCAGCAAATTTTTAACACGAAAAGACTAAAAACTGTTTGGGATTCAGGTGGTTTCGTCTGCTAGACAAAATGCCAGGTATGTTTTTTTCAGCGCATATTTCGCGGCTCGCTAATTCTATTTAGTTTGTATGCAAATACGAATTCGTATTGGTAGCGGGAACTATTTTCTTTTTTTGAGAAAAAAATGAAAATATCATTAGCACTCTTTTTTGTCAGTCTAAACAGGGCTCACTTGAAAAGGGGAAATAAACTACTAGCTAGACGGATTATGATTAGCCTCTCTCGCTATTGAGAAATAGCTCTCGCGAGCTGTCTGCACGGCAAATTTCATGTTTAGAAAATTCCCCGCTTTTTGATTCTTGCCGACCTGTGTTCCTTTGGTAAGCTTCGAGGATTCCGTGAAAATGGTCTTCGGTGTTGAGGTCATCAAATTCCATGCTCTCCTGTTTTTGGGTTTTTGAAAGAGATAAGCACTTTTTAAATGGACGAGAAATGATAAACCAAGGTTTAAGAGAAGACACTTGAATTATGTAAAAATGAGATAGAAGAGATAAGTCCCTTAAATTGTATGTTTATGCTTACAAAGCACTAGTTTTAGCACAAACTTCAGGCAAAAATAAAAGAATCAAAAGTGCTTGAAGATAAGATCAATTGCCCTAAAATTGAATAACCACGTTTTCCTATACATTCTAGCGCTCCTTATCTTTTGAATAATTCAGTCGAGATTCTAGCGATAGCGCTTATCAAAGAACAGACAAAATCTAAAACCCTTTGCTTGAGTCCTTCTTTGACCTCATTCTCAAAATTCTTCCAAAACTGCTGTCCTCCCAAAATCTCGTATTGTCCAAAAACGGACGTTAAAAAGAAAAGCTTCAATTTCATTTTTTATCAAAATCAATTTTGAATCAGAAAGTCAATGAGAAGAAAAAGAAACGTGCAAACGTATTTATAGCGAGACCCAAGCGATTTAGGTGTTTTGAAAGGGCGCGAAGCCAAAAAGAACTCTCACTCCCAGAGAAATTGATTTCCAGGGTGGAAAAGGCTAAGTAAAGATAAGGAACGTGTTCGGTTTTTACTCAATTGATTTTTACTGCCTTTTTAGAGGGCGAAAAAGTACAAATCAACGAGTTTTTCTAGCCAACATAGAATTATGTTTCATTTAAAAAAAATATTTTTATTAAAGAAAAATAATTTGTATTAAGATATTTTTATTTTAAAATTGTTTTAAATTTAAAAAAAATAATTCAAAAAATACTTTTTTGTTTAAAAAAATATTTTTATTGAAAAAATTTTTTATTTTCGATTATTTGTCTTTGTTGAAAAGATGAAGCTGCAGCATAAACAAAATTGGTAAAGCATGCGATGGGGTTTATTGTTCTGCAGGTTGAGAATGAGATTGGTAATTTAAAAATTTAAATTGTTAAATAAGGACTGCCGCGGAGACGGTCCACTGCCGGCGCGCGGAAATTTCAACGGGAAGAAAGTGCCTAGTGCAGCTTGAACCACGAATTTTGTAAGCTGGGCAGTTTTTTTCAACTTTGAATTCTTCGATACATTCTTTTGGATTTTTTCTTGAAATACTTTCTACTGTTAAAATAACAGAAGGAGTTTTGAAATTCTAGTTTTTGGAGAATCGTAACAGTCGAGAAATAACGCCGGTCACGTGCTTATCGTTACCTCACTGAAAAAAAACGTAAATTTTTCTTTATCAATCGAGCCGGGCTACTTCATCCCACTTGAGAAAAAACAGTCTGGCAGCAAGAAAATGCAGCGCGACGCTAATGATTTCATTTATCGTCGCGTTGTTATCTCCGCCTCGGTCATTATTTACGAAAGTGTGATACCGCGTAAGCCACAGTTCCACTTGTATCATTTGGGTTAGCGGCAAGAATTCTAGACAAAAGCGTTTTACAAGGCACTTTTTTTTTGACAGAGTTTGTGTCTGTTAATACAAAAAGCCTTTCCCCCGAAGAAAAAAAGCAGAGAAATAGTTTTGTTTTCTGCTCGGCGGATTAACGATTGTCCGATCTGCCGGTACTTTGCATTATTGACCGAATTAAACAAAGGAAGTAACGTTACTAATCATCAATTATGAAAACTTATAATTATGAGAAAAAAACTTGCTGATCTTGCGAAACTCGAAACTCAAGATCACTTAGCAGAACAACGTGTCCGAACTTGGACTTTGAGTAAAGTCGTATCCTTAACTGCCGGTCCGTACGGAAATTCTTTGGCAGATTCTTTCACCCAAATCTGTAGTGCCCCCCTGACAGAACGTTTGAACAAAAGTTAACTCCATTACTCATTCTGTTTGTTAAAAAACCAGCGAAAGTTTGAACGCGAAATTCTAGTGCAGGGGTGCACGAGAAGTTCGATGACATTAGGAAGGTGATTTTTTCGGCGGAATTGAATGAAATCGGCAACTGGTCGGATGGACGAAGGAAATGTCAATTAGCGAAAAAACAGGGGCAACTGGAACAGACCTGAATCTGCACTTTTGGAAGCTGAAAAATGCGGTTAAATCCGCCGGGCTGGATGCCATCGATTCTCCAGTTCACGATGCTTTTTGATTGAACGACTCAATCTTCGATTTTTCAACCACGAATGTTTTGAAACAAGTCATCAGCGCCTCAAATAAGTCCCTTTCACGTTTGCATTTGTTTGCTTTTTTGTAGGCCAAACCACGTTTGAGATAAAAGTGGTCTTTTAATTTTTCAACGATAAGTTGAAGATTTTTCGTAAAAGTGGAAATTACTTGTATTCTTTGAGAGATAAGAAAAAAACGAAAAGAACTGAAAGAAGAAAGTTATTATGAAACTTGGACTTTTCTTTGCAGGTAGATTCAGAATTTCTTTGTCGTATCGTTTTTTGATTGGCTCATTCTACGAATACTGGCTTCTGATTGGCTTAAAACTATTTTCTTCGATCAGGGGTTAGGGTTTGAGATAAGTTCGATTTTCTTTCGGATATTTTGAAATACAGCCACTAGGGGGCGCTTTATTCGGTTTTTAGACCAATCAGATCAAAGTATTTTCTGTCCTGTCGAATTATCAGTCTTCTATTCGCCCCAAATAAACAGTAAAAAATTAAAATACATTCAGTTTCATCATCAATCAAGCAAGTACAAAGCCAAGCCGGAACCGACTACCAAACAGATTTCGATGATTTCGGCAATTACGGCGACGAGGAGCTTGGTTCTGGATTTTTACAAGATTCGATGATCAACAAGCGTCTCGCACCTGGCTCAAATGTCAACCCCTTTTTTAACCTTATCCAAGAATCGGACAAGGACACGGGCAATATTATGGAAAGGGCTAGTTTCCGGGAGCTTCTTGAGGAACGGATTTATCAGAAAGAAAATTTAGATATCAAATCTTAAAAATTGATAAAACCAAAATCAGCAAAATAAAAATCTCTTCGCATCATCCCAAAATCGACTCCAAAATCGTCCAAAGAAAAACCGTCGTGAGAAGAAAGACAAAAGAAAGCGCAAAGAGAAAGTTATGGAACCCATCATTGTGAATGAATACGGAATTGCCACAAATTATGTAGAATCTCCCTCTGAAAAAATGTCAGGCAAGGCTTTTCGAAAGAAAAATTAAGAGCTCAGAAAGCGGGATTGTTGATAAGCCAGTCTATAGACTTCCAAGGGCGGCTAGAAGGATTCAACATCAATAAATATAGCGACTCGCCGATTGTTCAAAAAATTCGACAGGCGACCATTGCCAAAGAAGTGACGATTTCAGACAGGAATCGCGAGCCTGGCGCTGGACTCAGCTCGATTAACTCTGGAAAAACAGGTTTGATTTACCCCAAATTTTTTTTTCTTCAAAATATCCCTTTTTCTAGGAGAAATCGGCAGCGAAGAACAAGCGAATGCAAAGAAACTAGAAGTGATTATGAAAATGACGATGTTTCTCCAAGCGTAAATCGTTTTTGGACTTGCTTTTCGTTTAAATTGGTTATTCAGCGATCCGAACTTCGAGAAAGTGTACAAATACGGCTGCTGGTGCTTCCGAAACGGTGAGAAATCTGTTTTAGGTGGAAGTGGCAACACTATCGATGGAGCAGATAGAGCTTGCAAGGCGTACCAGCAGTGCCACAAATGCATGGACAATGACTACAACGATTGCCCAGCTTGGGTGCCCTATCGCTTCGAAGGTATACAATAATCCACGTCAAACGAAAACCCCTACTTTTAGGTAAAATAAACGATGATGGAAGAAAGACGATCACATGCCTGAATCAAGAAGGAAGTTGCCGTCGAAATCACTGTGAGTGCGACAAAAAACTCGCCGAAGATCTCGCTCTTCATGAAATGACCTTGAATCCTTTGAACAGACGAGATTTTGGATTTGAGCCGGAGCAAGCTTGCAAAAAGTAAGGATCATAACTTATGATTCATAAGCGCAAGAAATACTGATTGATCCAATTTTGTAGAGCTGATTCAAGAAGCATTTCCACCAGCCATGCGACGGAGACAAGTTGCTGTGGTGTTTATCCGAACAGATTTCCGTAAGTATCATAAATAACAGTCTTTAAATTGATTTTAACTTGAATTAAGGGTACTACCGTCGATTACCCCAATGACCGGTTATGTTAAATTTTTCATCGGAAATGAATTCCTCATAAAATTTTGACCAAAAAAGGTTCGAACGTTTCATTCATAAAGTCAACCGTTTTCATAATAATAAGAGTTTTAATTTATTTCTGTACTAGAAAGAATTTTTTCCGAAAAAAATTTTGGTGTCCGATACTTTCAAATAAGGGCTCGATTTGAAGCTTAGAACAAGATGAGGATTATGGTAAGATCATTAATTCTTGAACTAAGATATTTTAGCTTCTAGAGACAAAAATGCGTCGCCAAATTTTGAAAAATGCTCAATTTTAGCAAAATCATAGAGACACAATTTTCAAAAAATTAATTTTGGTATTTTTCTTTTTTCAATCAAGAAAACCTTCTGTCATTTTTAAGATGAAGGTTCAATTTACATATAAAAAATAAAATCAGGCTGAGTTTTCAAGCTACTTTTCGAGCTATTTCGCCGTTTATTCAGTCTATTTTTGCAACAATGATATTTTTAAGCGAGAAATTAGCCGACTTTCTATTGAGCTATTCAAAAACGCCTCTGACAGATTAAAGATCTAAGATAGTTTAACTTTTAGAGGCCATATGATACCCGCTATCCATGCCATGTAAAGGGTTATTCAAGGCTAAAGTTGGGGAAATCGAAGGTAGTACCCTTAAGTAGATTTTAAGTAAATTTTCCAAGATAGAACCTGATGACCGGGAACTACTTGCTTTTAAAGTTGAACTATTTCTATCATCGGCTATTTGAATTAATATCTATTTAAAAACTAAAGAAAAAATGCTTTTATTGTGTCCAGAAAAAATCGCTGTTCTCTATTTGAGTACTTTAAGTAGCCATCTTTTTCTAGATTCGTCTCGAACCGAAATCAAGGAGAATCCCTCCGAAAATGCTGCTTGAACAAAACCTACGATCCAAGAAAACTCGCCTGCTGCCCCGGCCACGAAGTGAAAAACCACGGAACTTGTGGGGTTTAATCGAATTCGCCAAGAAAAACACCATCGCTGAAAAATTCAAACGACGAATGCGAATTCGATGCTTCTCGAATAGAGCGAGTAACTAGGAGTCGATCTATTCCAGAAAATTAATTTTAATTCGAAACATCAGATTTGCGACTTTGAAGAAGTAAGCCGCTGACTGTAAATATGCATTTTTTAAGAAGAACCCTGAATTTGGGATTTGTGGACGAAAAATGCTCAACTTGGCCGAGTGGAAGCATTTTTCTCCCTGAATAAATTTTCATACAAAATCATGCTTTTTATTGAATAATATTCACACAGGCAATTTCCGAAGCTTCTGTTTCCGCTTTTCATCAAGGCCAAGAAACCACTTCGGTCCAATCCCAAAAGCAAATGGCAAATTCAAAATCAGAGGCTAAAAATTTGATCAATTATTGAACTGCAAAGTTGACTTACGAGAGCTCGAAAAACGCCAGAAATCCAAATGCTTAGCTTCAAGGCATCCAAGGTCCCAGTTTCTTCCCTCTTCGTCACCTTCTTCGTCCCCTCTTGCTGTCTTGGAAAATTTACCCTTTGTGAAGGTTACGATGATGCCGTAAATGATCATTAAACAACCCGCGAGGGTGGAACCAGACTCCTCGATCAACTGTCGATTCTGTTCTATAATTGATCGATTATTTTGTTGACTGCAGAATTTTAACTACTGTACCGATAACTTGGCTCATTAGGGCTAAAAGATTGGTAATTATCAATTTGCCGCTTGAAAAAGCGAAAAGTGCTGAAAACCAATTTGGATTGAGTAAAACTCTCATCTTCGAAAAGAACCCTTTGCAAGAAGAGTCTTCTATGATTTCATCATTTTCTTCTCGATCTTTCTCGATAAGCGGCAATTTTTCTTTGAAAACAGCATCAAGGAGGGTTTTTCAATTATTCTTTTGTCAATTAAAATATAAAAAATTCAGTATTTAGTTTTCATTAAGGAGGTCGTCCTCGCTTTTTGGGATTTCGGCACTTTTTGAACAACGCTCACACAAATTTGGGCTTATCAAGGAGGATAAAAACTTCTGTTTTAAAAAAGACTCTCCGAGGTCTAGAGTTGCCACTCCACAAAAGAAAATTTAATTAATCGCGTAAGGAGTTAGAAAGCAATTTACTAGCCTATATGCTAAGTTTTTCACGCTTGGTCTTCCAGCAGGGTGAGTCCTCCGGGGGTCCTCCAAGGTGTCATGTGATCAAGGAAATTCCATTAAATTATTTTTTTACAATTATATTTATATGCTCGAAAATGTTTTAAAATTATTCTTCTTCCAGCAAGATTTTGTCTTCCACCAGTATTAAATGAAGGTCCTCCGGGCGATTCCTGATCGATCAGAAACCCTAGCACTAAATTTTTTTCTTCCAAGATGATCAGAATTTCAAGGCGCATCGATTGAGAGTACTTTCGTCCTCATAGCTCGGTGCGTTCGGAAAATGGTATTTTCGGTGAGTTTAAATGGTGCTAGAAATTTACCACGTGATCATTGGGAAATTTTTCTTTCGAAAATGTCATCCATGTGTCTTGGACACATGTGTTACAAATTTTTAGCCTCCCACGACCATCCATTAAAAAGTTGATTTTTTGTAAGTTTACCCTACATATAGGGTGGCGCGCAAAAAAAAATCAACTTTGGCATCATATATCGTATAGGGATCATTTTTAGATATAATAGGACGGTGGAAATTCCGAATCTGAAAAAAGAAATTTTGTGCGACCTCAGAAAGTACTATTTTTTAGTACTCGAAAAGCTATTTTCTGACCGCCTGCAGATAGAGAAAAAATTTTAGGCTCGTTTGGACACTCGGGTGGGGAAACACGGATTGAGTTGGCCCACTCCGCACGTGGGGCTAAGGCACAGAAGGTGTCAAGCCGAGAGTCAATAGATGCAAGGGACCACGCCGCCGATGCGAACTCCTGCAGAGTCCAGTTCGGGGCCAAGTTTGGAGCAAGTCTCGGTGTGAGACCTTGAGTAAACAGAATCAAGGGTCACATTGAGCCCGAGATTAGGATCAAGCTCATCCTCGGATCAGCCCTAAAAATGAAGATATAGATGACCGAAAAATAGAATTTGATGAAACTACGCCCAATAGGGTAATCAGGGGCGTAGAATCCGAATCTTTGATCGAAAAAGACTTTTAATGACAAATAAGCCACGGGCAGTAATCTTTAGAACAATTACTGCCCTTAATTTCTGAAAGTATTTCCTAGTTCCGGAGAGGCTCATTTCTTATGAGAGCAGTATTTGTTGTAAAGATTACTGCCCTTGGTTATCTAGTATTTTCTGGATCCTGAGCGTCATTTTTTTGAAGTTCTTTTATTAAATCTTTTCCTTAATTAGTTATTTGTTCTATCAGCTGCTTGATAAAAGTTTGTCAATCTTAATTGCTTCCGATTTGAAAATTAAAAAGACAGTTGCGACATATAACTTGCAGCTAAAGACTCAAACAGAAGGCAGAAAAAGGGCAGTAATTGTTGTAAAGATTCCTGCCCTTGGCTCATTTGACATTAAAAGTCTTTTTCGACCAAAGATTCGGATTCTACGCCCCTGATTACCGTCTATGGCGTAGTTTCATCAAATTTTATTTTTGGTCGTCTTTATCTTCACTTTAAGGTCTTATCCGGAGATGAGCTTGATCCTGATCTCGCGCTCAATGTGACCTTTGATTCTGTTTACTGAAGGTCCCACACCGGGACTTGCTCCAAACTTTGCCCGGAACCGTACTCTGCAGGAGTTCGCCCCGGCGGCGTGGTCCCTTGCATCTATTGACTCTCGGCTTGACACCTCCTGTGCCTTGGCCCCACGTGCGGAGTGGGCCAACTCAATCCGTCGTCTGCCCACTCGGGTATCTCCAACATATCCGAAAATGAGATATCTAGCTCTTTTATATCAAAAGCTGAATTTTTTGCGTGCCACCCTACTAACATATCTCTGCCAAAATCGTCATTTTGACCTATTTTTGAACACGCGTAGAACCACCAAAACTCAATCGCGAATTCGAACCGTAAATATTTTTGAAAGCTTATACGCTGGTCTAAAGTTGCCATATAAGAAAATTTGAAAATTCAAAAAAAATCATTTTGTAATACAATCGATCAAACCTTGAGTCTCAAAAACTTGAAAAAATGAGTTTTTGAAAGAAGGTTTATCTTATATAACCTTTACACAAGAAATACTATTTATCATTTTTATCTTCTAGAGACCATCATAAATAAAAATAAGGCAATAACTTTCGATGAAAAAGTCACAAATTTTCGAGTTTTTCAAATTTTTCATCAAAATCTCACTTTTCAAGTGCGATTTTGGGGGCTTTCCTCTGGCTTTTTAAAAAACTGATCAACACAAACTTTGCAGCTCTTTTATCGAGCTTTTAAAATCTGGAAAGAAAATTTGAAAATTCCGATTTTCTCAAAACCGAGGACTACCTCCTTAAAACCGTTTCTATTAGACTCGTAAAAGAATCCTTCGATTCCAAATTGTACCAAGGCATGAAGAGGAGTGAAAAAATTGTGGACAAGACCATCATTCCCGCAAAGCCATGCAAAGCAAAAGAGCGGAAATCGTTAGGCTCGTCATATTGAAAAGTCGCGGAAGTTGAAGGTAGAATAAAAACATTGAGATTGCTGATCCGTATTGAATGGTCCATCCGTAGAGCAAGTTATCCGACACGCCTGGCTCTGCAACAGCTAGAAGAATGTACCCGACAGTAACAGAGGATTTAAAGATATGAAGGCCTAAGCCAAAGCCAAGATTGTCACTTAATAAGCCGGCAATCATCAGAAAAACTCCTCCAAGGGCGCCTGAAAGTGACACGATCTTGCCAAGTTGTGCGGTTTGGCTTGGGCAAGGCTGGTTTTCTTGACACTCATCAGCGAAGAAACCACTTTTGGAGTAGATTTCGTCGAAGGTACTCCATGCATAGGGTTCGCGCCCAAAAATTAAGTGCTCGAAATTCAAGATTATTACAAGTCACAACATAAATGCAAACCTTGTTAAACGTGCTGACATTGAGGAAGTCCAAATAATATCAATTAAAAAATCTGACTGCAGAACCGGGCTGCCCGCCACCCCTTATAATTCATAAATAAAGGTGAAACGGGGTCATATGTTAAGATGGCTGACAAGAAATTCAGCTGAAAGCGATGGTTTACTGCTTTATTAGATATATAAAAAAGACTCCATTCTTGTTGAGAATGTTATTTAATTATCGAAGAATTATTTTCAACTAAGAGACTCGAACTTTATTTGGACAATTCAAGAGGGAGTTTTCCTCTTATAAGAATTATAATAATTTCATAAACGGCACCGATTTTTTAATAATTGGTGACTGTCTCATGAATCCAGGATTTGGCGACAAAAACAGACGAGTAAATAGCAGGAAATCCTTCTGCAGCACATATGAATCCCCTAGAAACAACACCACTAAGCGTGGCTCGACCGTTGATCGGACAAATAAGGGGTCCACCAGAGTCACCCTGGCACGGACTCTTGCCGCCATCAGTAATATTGTCACCGTTGAGATCGGGGACACCAACGCAAATATCGTCCGCGACCAACCTCAAGATTTTTCCATAATAACCTTAAAAATATTAATCTCACGGATGAAAAGCTCTCAAAAAGACTTACTTTTGTTGGTGCAGTATTCTTGGCTCATTATGTTAACTCCAACAGATACTAGTTCGTCAGATCCAGTCGTTCCTCCTTATTAAATGAAAAAAATAATTATGTTTTTCGATCTCTTACCAGGAGACGTAAGGCCCCATCCAGCGGTCCAACACGCTTCCCCGTGATCCGGCTCAGCGTCTGGAAGACAAGCGATTCTTGTTTTTTTTTCTGGGTCTGCAGCAATGATATTATTGTCAAATTTGATCAGACACCAATCTGAGTTAGCTCCAGTGCCGTCTGACATGTTGCCATATTCTGGGTGGTTGTAAAATTCGGTTGATCGGAGAAAATACTGGTCTGAGTCATAAGTGTCAGAATCGATATCACCAAATGTCGCGTAGATCTCCACCATGTCCTCGCAGCAATGTGCAGCACTCAACACCCAATTGTTGTGGATGATAGTGCCACCGCATCCACGTCCACCTCCGCTACCAATCGTTTCTCGTAAGAAAAGTCGAGTTATCCAAGGCCACGAGTTCTCACTAGCTGCGACACCACCGACAATCCTCGACATTTCCCCTGTCTCTGTTATATTGCCGGAAGGAAAGTTGACGTTGTTGGTGCAGCTGTCGAGGTCGACAGTGAGAATTTCAGTCAGGGGCTTAAACTCCGAGGCAGAAGTTGTTTGTGCCTTAGTTGATGTTGTGCCTGGTTCAGTTGATTCCTCTGTTGGTTGAACAATTGGTTCCTCGGTTAGCGGTTCAGTTGATGGCTCTGTTGGTGGTTCAGTTGGTTGCTCTGTCGGTGGCTGAGTTTGTGGTTCTGTCGGTGATTCCCTAGGTTGCTCTGTCGCTGAAGCAGTTGGTGGTTCTGTCGGTGGTTCAGTAGGTGGCTCTGTCGGTGGTTCAGTAGGTGGCTCTGTCGCTGGTTCAGTTGGTAGCTCTGTCGCGGGTTCCATAGGCGACTCTGTCGCTGGTTCAGTTGGTGGTCCTGTCGGTGGCTCAGTAGGTGGCTCTGTCGCTGGTTCAGTAGGTGGCTCTGTCGCTGGTTCAGTAGGCGGTTCTGTTGCTGGTTCAGTTGGTGATTCAGTAGGTGGGTCTGTCGGTGGTTCAGTAGGTTGTTCTGTCGGTGGTACAGTTGATTGCTGCGTCGGAGGTTCAGTTGTTGGCGGATCTGTTGGTGGCTCTGTCGTTGGCGTCTTCGGCGGCTCAAATGATGGCTCTGTTGATGGTTGAAATGGTGCTTCCGTGGGTGAATCAGTTGGTGGCTTTGTCGTTGTTGGTTCTGCTGGTTGTTGGATAGTCTCTGCATCAGGTACCATGCCGGATTTACGACGGTCAAGTATCTCTTTGAGTTTTTTCCGCATGTAACGAAAAACGATCATTTGCTTTATCCATCGATGTAAGGCAAACTAAATATAAAACGTTGTTATATGTTTAAGGTTAACCCTCAAATAAAGATGAAGGAACCATGATTTTTTTATAAAATGTATTCCTTCAGTCTGCTGGTGAATGCGGATTCTTAGAAAGTTAACTCACTTGCCGCGATCTTTGATTACTTTGTTGTTGAATAATCCCGGCATAAGCGAATGCAAAGATAACAAGTATTGTAATTCTCATAACGATATTTTATCGTTCCATTATATTTTTGCTCTTTAAATACTATCAGTAAAAGCGAGACTGATGGCGAGCAAGAGCTAAATAAAATTTCAAAAAATTGACTTTCAAATCTGAACTTATATTTCCCCCTTAGCTAGAGTGACAGATCTTGTCACGGACCGAATGTATCGGAAGCATAAATTGACATATTCTGAAAAGTTTCAAGTGTAGTAATATATCTCAAAGTCATGGCATGACTAATCCGGAATCGCAGGAGATACAGACTATAGAACTTGTCTTCATCCACGTTTTCTGTCGCAATTTTCACATAAAGATTTTTGGAAGAGAATTTATTTTCATTCTTTAAGAATAACGTTTGACAAAATTGCAAAGTTTTTGAATCGCATCAAACATTGTTTTGACTTCTTTTTCAACAAAATCTTCCGGGAGCGATTTTTCCAAGCCAATTTTTTCTGATGCTTTCATGGCATCGCCTCCGTTGAAATCTGAAAAAAACAATCGTCATTTTAAATTTAACTTAACGAAACCAATGTAACAAAGTCGAGAAGTTAGCTCCTCTTCCGGCCTAAGAAAAGTCGAGCCACCAGGCATCAAGGCGACTTTCTCTTCTTCGAAAAGAAGATCGCACATATCTTGGCCGGTCTTGCAGCTTTTCTCAAGAAGCTTTGCTCGGCAAATTTCGAAATCCGGGAACAGATAAAACGCAGCAGAAGCTACAAAGAGGTCATCAGTACTTCAACCAAATTTTGAGTTAACTTTCGACGATTAATTTAAATTTTTTTTCCGTCCTTGATTATTTCGACCCATTCCTGGATGGCATTTGACTCCAACTTTGACAAGTTCTTTGTAAGCATAATCAGCTACTGCTCCAAGAATTCGCTGGAAGTGCTTATTGTAATTTCGCATTTCTTCTTCGAACTTGTACAATTTCAATTTTCAGATTTCGAGCAGTTTATTTCAGATATATGATAGAAAAGGGCAAATAAGGAATATTTTCTTTTAAAATTTTTCAGAACTAAAAAGGGTTGAAGAGAAAATAAGCCCCAAAAATGGCATAAAATGGGTTGAGCATCTTAGTCAGCCCAAAATTTAAAATTTCAAAGAAGGGGATGATCAGTAGAGTTTTCTGATCATTAATTGATAAAAAAATTTTGGGAAGCATCTACGGTTTCCCTGTAATGTAGATATATTTAACCTGTAAAAATTTGAAAACAATACGAATTGTCTATCAAAAGATAGATTTTTTGGGCGCGAACCCTATCCATGCAAAAACGAGGACAGCGTGGAAGCTAAGAATTTACTGACTTGATAGGTAAAAAGGTACTTACAGAAGATCAAAGGTCGCCCAACATAAAACGATCCAATTTTTGAGTTTCAATTTTGTCTCTTCCTTCATCTTGGTAAATTAGAAAAAAATGCCGAACTCGTTTAACTTCTTGATGAGAAGATATGGAAGATTGGCTCGTTAATGCGGACTTTAATGGCTCTATTTTGCTCGCTCAGACGACATTTCGCAAGAAAATATTACGACAGGATGTAAAAAAGCCATTTTTTATTTGAAAATTGTTCAAAGCGCGAAATCCGAAATAAAATAACAATAATTTTGAGAATTAAGAATACAATTGCCGAAAAATAGAATGAATGATTTATAAACCCTTCAATGTCACTAAATTGAATTGTTTTCATCCCTTTGACGGCGGGGTGCTCTTTCGTCTTTGTGGTGCTCATTTGAATGAGCCCAGACTTTTGCCTTTTTAGCGCTGATTTTTGGATAAACCACTTTTCCAGGAAAAGGGATTTCTTTTTCATTATATAAATTGAAACTGGGAGGCTTCTTTTTTGCTTCGAAAATGAACTACAGTCACTGTTGTTAGAGAAATTACTGATATAAAGAGATTATGATGAGAAATTCAGCTTAATTATTCAAAGTAATATTGGTGGGATCTGAATAGATACCCTTGTTAAACATATAATATACTATCTGGCATATGCCGAGCCAGAGCGCATTGACTATTCAAAGTATCCTGCTGCTACCGACTATTTAGCAAATTATTACAGTTCGCGCTCGTTAAAAACCGCCCGAGATTGGTGTAATCCGCGAAAAGTGGCCCGGATGAAAACATGAATATAAATCATCCCTCTTCGAAGGTGCAAATAATTGAATCCGCTGAGCCGCGGCTTGAGCCGATTCCAGCTAAGTTAAAAGCAAAATTAATAAACTGAGAAGATCTCCAAGAGCCCGGATCGATATTGGATTGATAGTCGACTCCGCTAGCACACTCCTCCATTATTTTATTTTTCAATCATCAACCAAGCGAAAACGAAGAAAAAAAAGAGAATTTTAAAATGGCGCAAGATCGCTAGCAGACAGAAAAAAGAAAATGAGTGAGAAGAAAGAACAGGGGAAAGAAATGATCAATGAAGAATTGTACAGGGGCTGTCTTGTCTGGAAATGTCACGGGATATTACAGTAAGTGACGGTTTATCGACAGATAATTTAATGAGAATCGTTAATTGCCAATTAGTTTGAAGGTCGTTTAATAATTTTTTCGAAGGAATAATGAAATCGATCAATTTTGGAAAAAAGAGTTGAAAGTCTGACAGACAAAAAACTAAAAATAAATATTCGCTTTTGTGAAACATGAAAATATAGCTAATAAAATTGAAATAGAAATTTCGGTGAATAATTTTGATGAAAATTTTTAGTCGAATATGCCGGTGCCGGAATGAATATAAAAAATGGGGATTGTTCGACTCGACGCTTTTATGCTGCTTTGGTTGGACTGAAAATAACGAAGGTGCGAGGCAACCGCAACTGTGTCAGCCCGAGCAAATCTACAGAACCGTTGTGGTCACGGAGCCGAGCAGAGACCCGAGTGAATATGATGAGGCCGATTTGGAATTCATGTGCCAGGTAAACGACCAAAAATAACGGAATGCAAGAGCATTATTTTCCTTTTAGCGGGATATATCAATCGACATGGGCGTCGATGACGTCGAAGAAACAGCAATCATGGGACTTGACAATGTTGACGTGCTAGACAATGGAGTAAATGAGACTGCTGATTTAGAATATGAGATGAAAATGTACTGCCAGGTCGATGACGCAGGTTTCAAGCTCGATTAAAAACCATTCGTTCTAAATGCCACTTTCAGGCGATACATTTGGCAACGACTATGATGCAGGCGGCGGTGGAGATGATTATTATTGAACATAGAATGGTACAAAATACTGCTGCTTTTTTTATTTATGGTGCTAAATAAATTGACAAGTTAAAAATTCTAAATTTTAAAACAGTGAAAATCATATTATTTGCCATACTAATCGGTCGGAAGGACCACCCCTGCTGTCGGAATATTCTTCGAGAGTTATGTCATCGCTTTTGTCAGCGTACCAGGCTTAAAATATATTTTATTTTTTGAAAAATAAATTTTTGGAATACCATATTTCGTTTTTTCATCTGGTCTTATAAAGTAGTATTCTTTGCTATCACTCTTTTTATAAAAATCAAAGAACCAGATGTAGCCAAATTTATCAGAATCTAAGTCAGCGAGTTTTTTGTGGTTGACAACACTTTCGTTTGTTTGATCTTTCATGAAGCTATTCAATGTAAGTTTCTATTTATTTTTTTGTATTCATTAGCTTTTCCTTTTTTATAAGCGGCAACACAACCAGCTTCTCTGTTGCAGCCATGAGTCTCGATAATGTATCGATGTTTCTTTTCCGTCGCGTAGAATTTTATTTCATGGTGTCCATCATAAACGAGCATGTTTTCACTCCGAAGTCCGCAATATGCATATTTCTAAGAAAAGATTTTACCGTAAAATTTTTACGATCGTTGAATTCGAAATAATGCTAGTACCTTATCTTTTTTATTCTTGAATCCAATGTCGTTAGGACGACATTCAGCATTGCCATTTTGATGGAGAAAACAAACTTCATCATTTTTGCAGTGATTTTCAAAGCAGGAATTATCAGACTGGCATTCTGAACCGTACCAGCCCTCCTGACATTTGCATTTGTAAATCCCCCCATCAAGCTCGCAGTCGCCATGGTCGCTGCAACCCGTTACTTGGCAAGATCCATGCTCGCAATAGTCGCCACCAAAACCTTCCGGACAATGGCAAATTTTGTCATCAACGCAGTGCCCACCATTTTGGCAAGCGAAAATTGGACACAAGCCATTGATTGCTAAGCTTACTGTTGTTGGAGTCTCAATGGTAGTTGTTGTTTCGGCAAAGGTCGTTGTTAGACGACTCGTTTGAATCGTTGGCAGGTTTGTTGGCGAGTTTGTCGTGGGATTTGTTGTTGGATTCGTTGTCGGTTCCGTCGTTGGATTTCTTGCTGCATTTGTCGTGGAATTTATTGATGGAATCGTTGTTAGGCCCGCTGTTGTTTTCGTTGTTGGATTCGTTGATGGCTTAATCGTTTGGTCAGTTGTTGAGTCCGCTGTTGGATCTATCGCTTGATTAGTTGTTGGCTCTGGTTTCGAGTCTGTCGTTGGATTTGTTGTCGCATCTGTTGTCAGGTCTGTTGTTGGGCTCGTCGTTGGTCTTGTTGTTTCATTTGTTGTCAGTTCTGTTGTCGTTGAAACCTGACTCGTCCTGTCTGTCGTTTTACGATTCGAGCTAAAAGTCGTTGATGATGGACTTTCAGAAGGGTTTGTTATTCGTTGAGTTGTTGATTGAATATCAGAAACCGTGGTTTGAGCCGTCGAACTGTGAAATTTCTCAAATGTTGTAGTTGCCGATTCCTCTAGCAATGTTTTATCTGTTGTTAGAATAGAGGTACTTGTCGTTGTTTCCACAAAGGTATCGTTTTCACTTATTCCAGCGTCATGTGATTTTTTCAGAATAACTGGGACTGTAATATTTATTGTCAAAAATATAAGCACAAGAAAAAGCGAAAGGATTGCGCAAATCTTTCTTTTTAAAAGTGACATAATTTCCTCTTAGATATTTTTGAAGTAATCTATTTTTCATTGAAGAAGTCTATTCCGGCTGCATTAAGTAGAGTCCGAACATGATAAGATGACAAACAGGTGGGTTTGCTCAAGAATAAAAAATATTCCATGTTAGCTTGCCCTAATTCGGATCGAAACGATAAGACTGTCAATTATTCAACTCTAGGACGACAGGTAAGCATAGACACCTGAATGATAAATATCTGATTTATTTTCTGAGTTCAGAATTCTGAGTGCACGAATCGAGTTACTCAAAGTTTCATAATTTTTGTGGTTTTAACGAAATACTGGTAATTCTCCCACTCGTTATTGCCACAGTCGAGTGTGTTCAGTTTTATCATTATTTGCTTATAGCAATTATAATTATAATTGATAAAAAAAACTGTCATTCGCCGATTTTCTAAAATGCTGGATGTTTACTTTTGCGCGCCCAGGTAAATCCAGGGGTGATCCGGGTTGATCCAAAAAATGAAGAAACTGAATCTGAGGCTAATCTTGCCCCCTTTTCAACAATTTTGTTTGAAGTCAAGTCTTGCTCAGAACATCAAACCCGTTTTTTTTATTCTTCAGAGAGAAAATTTTCGGAAATGAAACTTTCTTCTTCCTTTTTTCTATCGGTGGCGTTTGGAGAAGTTCCAGTGATTTTGACGAAGGAGCAGATTCAAGAGACGGCGGGAAAATGGGACATGCAAATTGATAAGGCTCATAAAGGGACTTACGATCTCATGGGAAAGTGTCATAAACAAGCATAAAAATGGGGATGGGCGACTATAAATCGCAATTTTTGAGGGAGGGGGCACGAATTTACATAAAGGTGCGTCTATTTTATAGAAAACTTTTATCAAATTTTCGACCAATAAGATTTTTGCATTCAGCCTGTCGGCCAATCAGATTTCCTGAAAATTGTCTTAAAAATTCAAAATATTTTTTGTACCGTTTTTGTGACTTGAGACGACATCTTTTGTTGGGATACTTTTAATAATTTTTTGACACTTCAAAAAGCCAACCAAAAATATATCCATTGCGGCTCTAATGGCGATACCATCCGTCTTACATGCCTTGACGGATATGTTGACAACTCAATGAACAAAGACAGTATCACTGCAACCTGCAGCTGTAACGAAAGTGATTGTAAATTGAACCTTAACAAGCCCTACAAATGCATGAAGTAAGTTTTAAGAGCCTACTTGCTTCTATGGCCAATTCTTTAGACAGGGAATCTGTCCGATTCCAATTTGGCAAGGCGCATTTGGCCACTCATTGAAAGATTCCGACTCCGACTGGGCGTTGCTCGATTTCAAGCTGCGAAAAGAAGCGGCTCTTTCGGAAGACATCGTTGGATTCACTTGGGATCAGGAGCAGGTTTTAAATTTTCACCAGCTAGATTAAGAAGCTTCGAAAATGTTTTGTTGTTCCATTTTTTGAAACTTGAGAAAACAGTGGTTCCCCAAAGATGATAATTTTACACTGGTGGTGGCGTGTCCCTTCAACGTGTTTGGCTTTGAGTACGCGGAGGAAATTGATATGGACGATATTGAACAAGTCACTAAGTAAGTAAGCATCTCTTCTTTCTTTATGGACTTTTGATCAATTATCATTAGTTTTGTCTTCATCATCATTTTAGTCAAGGAATGGAAATGCTCAAAACATGTCAAAGCGACGAACTGGCCCGATTGAACCTAAAAGAAAACTCTGCCCGAACCGCCCGAAAGAACAGAAAACTCAAACGCCTGGCGACTCGAGCTGCGAAAAAGGGTCGAAAAGCAAGAATGAATGGAGATTTTACAGACAAACTGTGCGAAATGGTGAAAGAAGAGCGAACGAGATTTGATCAATACTTGAAAAGAAAGAACATTCTAGTGGAAAGAAGCTCTTGGGCGAGGGAGATGGAGTACGAAAGCGAATGTCTTTGTGAAAAAGAGGTTTGGGTTTCAAGCCATGTTAAAATTCATAAAATGATCTAGAAATGGGCTGGTCGAGAGTATTACGGAAAAATCTCAACTATTGATGGTCGAGTCACATCTGCTTCAGCTGACGGTCGTCTTTGGACCATCGTTTCCAAGGGTAAAAATAGAGCAATCGACTTTTCAAACATCAAAATTTAAAGGAACGAAGGGAGTAGAGTCAGGAGCCCGCTCATTCAAAATCGCCATCGACATGCTCAACGAAAACTCACACATCAAATGGATGAGCAACAAGGAAATGAAAGCAGCCGGAGAGAAGAAACAGTACACTTGCGAACTTGGCATCGTTTCCGGCTACTACCCTCATCTTGCTCCTTGCCTCGGTATTTATCAACTCTCGTTTTATTTTAATTAAATTTTGTAGAAAAATTTCATGGGGGTGAGATTCACAAGTACATGAAAAACTACAAGCAAGCTAAGAAGCTCGGACTCATCAATAGAGAATAGAATTTTTATGACTGTAAATATAAAATAGGCATTGGTAAATAAAAATTAACGAGAATGAAGAACTATATGCAGGTTTTAAGAATATCCAATCCTGGTTGAGATTTCTTCGATTCATCAATATTATGCAGATTTTGACGAATCTAAAAGTGTTTTATGCCAAAAGGGTCATTTCCAAGACTAACTTTTGATAGCACATTTGAACTATTTCTTATTCCTTCCCAGGGCATATCTTTGAATGTTTCCCAGACGGTCGTATACGGCAGATTTTTCCAACTCAAGAAAGAGCTTCCTTGCCCATGCAACAAGGCGCACCCTCTCTCTTTCGTTATTTTCTGACAGAAACAATCTTCTTTCAACTCGATAGTGCAAGACCGAACTCCCCAAGATCGAAGGTTCCATTCGCAGGGAAGAATACCAAGCATCTCCTTATTCTCGTGGAAAAGAGCGTTCAAAGCGCACTGGTCAGCGAGAAAATGAGCTCTCCAGATAATATGACGGGTGATGGAGTCATTGAGTGCTTTTTCGTAGGAGTTCTAATAGAGAATCGATTGAGTTGTTTTCCTTGTCTTACATTTGGGTCGTGATGATAAGGAGTCCTGAAAATATTTTGCCTCAGACGATCGAAATCCCAGATGTGCAGACCCCCGTTTAGGCCATATTTATTGTGAGAATATGGTCGATGCGAATAATATCTTTCGAAAGGATCGAAAAAATAACGTATTTTTACATCATCAGATTCATCATTTTTATCCTTTGCCATGCTCTTTATGAGGATGTTCTTGAGCCATTCCGATAACTGTATTATTCGGCAAATGGTCAAAAATTTCAAAAAGCTCCTCAATCGGCCTGAGAATAATCGTATCTGCATCGAGCAACATCAATCTTTTCAACTCTGGGAAAGTTTGATGGAAAACGACTTTCAAGTGGCCACAGCCTTTGAATTTCAGAGTTTCGCGAAGTGAGTCCATTTCGGGAGACGTATTGTCTTTTCGGATGTCGAAAAATGTGTGGTTCAGATCGGGTATAGAAGTGGAGATGAAGTTCTGGACAGAAATTGGGTTGTCAGTGGCGATTCGGAAGTTGATATGGCAGTTTGTGAAAGTAAGGATGCTCTTAGAAGGAGTAAATGGGGATCAATGAATGATCTTTTCCTACCTTTATCGAAACGAGGAACATATTCAGGAAGAAGTCAGTTTTCGTCCCTCCACCAGGGCAAATTATAAAACCAATATCTAGCTCTCTCATTTTTCTCTCATTATTTTGATCTTTTCGAATTTGAAGATATCTTTGTATTGAAGAAAAATCAGCATATTGCTCGATCAGAAACGGATAGTAAAAACTTATTCCAAGCGCAGTCAAAATTATTAAAATTACCAAAATTTTTAAGAAAAGAAAAACTCTCTCACGCATTTTCACTGTTGTTATTATTTCTGTTTCCTAGGATTTTTACGTAACAAAGAGCAGCAATTAAAAAATCATAAGTTTTATGATGCGATGTGTCAAGGTTAAAGCGACAAAATGACGGATTTTGCTGATTTTTGTGTGAAAATTCAGAGTGTCGAAAATTTGTTCTTTTTTAAATCTTATATTATTAATAATCATTTTGATAAAACAATTATAAGGGAAATTCGCGCTGAAAGACAAAATCCCAATTAGTAATAAGCAATAAACTTCAAAACATCATCTCAGACGCGCGATAAATCAGACTTTGATGAATAAAATAATTTCGACTCTGCTCTCTAGAAACACAGCTTTACGCAGTTTTTATGTTTTGCAATCATGGAGGAGTTAGTGAAAATGGAGGAGTATAAATCGAGAGGAACATCTTTGAAGGCATCGATCAAGAGAAAAATAAGCTCTGAGGAGTATGTCAAGAAAGAAATTAAAATTACAGGAAACTCTCAACAAAGCCCTAGAAATGAGGACAAAATAAAAATATTTTTGAGAGTCGGATAAGTCTACGAAGAGGAGCCCTTAACCCGAAAAAGTAGCCGCACCGAAAGCCTCCCTCGAAAAACTTCGAACCTTGACGAATCCATCGACCACGACCTGGGTGGATTTATTAGATTCTGCAGCATAGGCTTGGTTCAAATTAATTTCAAGCTCCAAACCCTAACTCATCATTTTTGACCCGATTTTGAGCTTTTTACTGCGCCTTCATCACCGCTGCTCTTTTCATGACGTACATTTTGCTTTATGTCAATCTTGGCTAGAAAGGAAAGATGACTCGCTGTACATTTTCTGTATGACTGTATTTATTTTTAAACAAAGAGATTTTATACAAATTCTTTTCTCTGGGAATATTGAGATGAGTGGTAGGATTGAGCGTAATGGTGGCCGGATTGGTAGTTGTTTCGTTGAGCATCTGAAAATTTTTGAATTTCGACGAGACTTCTTGCTACTTACAGTCGACGTCGTACTCGTCCTCTTCATCATCCTTGCTGCCGCAGCAACCCATAAACATAATGATAGCGACACCGATATAAATGGCAGATGCGCACCATCCAGCGTAAATTGCCGCTCCCAGAGTCCATTGAGTTCCCTAAAATCTCCACTATAAAAAGCCTCTAGAATCGTTACTTACAGCATTGACTTGCATTCCTCCACCATATCCGCCACCGCCCATAGCAAGCATTTTGTACCTTCTAATGATGCTATGAGCGGCCCAGGAAGTAGCGGCAAGAATCAAGAAACCCGCGACGGAAAAGCAACCGGCAGCGCCGCCAGCTGCTCGATTTTTGTCTTTTTTGGTGCTGGCGATGTTGACCGATTCGGAAGAAGCGACGCCGGAAACAAATCCGCAGGTTCCAGCGATGCAGCCGAGGATGACAAGGGCTCTTAGTGGAATATAAGTAAGGGTTGAAAAGGGTCTTTTCTTATTACCGAAAACCGACTATTCCATATTGAGCTAACTGAGCAATACCGAATTGAGAAAGACTCTGGCATTGATAATTTCCAGCATTAGCTGGCTTCTCACAGTATTTCCACAAGCCGAGGGCCTTGGTTTGTGATGTCTGGATTCCTTAATATCTTCGTTGATATCATTTGATTGAATTTGAATCTGCTCACCTGCCATATTAGAGACATTTGTAGCCCAAAAAGGTGTGATCAGACAATAAAAACTCAAAAAGACTGCGCAAAAGCCGAGAAAGATGCCTACTGTTCTTGCAAACCCCATTTTCAACGAATTCTCTGCTCACTCGACAACGGAAATTTGAATATTGCGGGTGCGCCGGATTGATGAACAAATACGAATTTGGCCTCCGTAATTGGCAAGCAAATGGTAGAAGGGAAAACAAATACCAGTATGGCGGGACAATGAGAGAATAAAATAAATATGAACAACAATTTTCTTAGATTGATTCCAACTATAAACGAAAAAGAAAATCGTATGGTTTCCCAACATTCCCCAGTTTTCGTGATATTGCTTTCAAGTTCTCTTGAAATCGCTCTTTATAGCTCATTATACTTTTTTCAGCGAGTGTAACTTCGGTTAAATGATGGAGTTCTTTGAATATTTCATCCAAAATATCTGCCATTTGCGTCCGAAAGAAGGACTCGTATCTGATTATTATTTTCCCACAATCATTGTGCCATTTTCGTGCCTGATTGATCAATTGATGCGTCTCCGTTTCCCATCTTTCTTTCAGGCTTATTTCTTCGATAGCCTGGAGTCGCATGTTATCTACTTCTTCTTCAATATTTTTTTGAGTTTTGAATAGAGTTTTGAAATAAGACTCAAATCGAACTTGATGCATATTCAGATATTCTAGATTATCATCGATATAATCATTTTCAGTGATAACTCTTTCGAATATTCTTTTTATCTTTTGTCCCAGTTCCAGAATGTTGGTTTCAAGCTCAGTAGACGTTTGTACAGCGTCAGATTCTAGTTTTTTGATAACTAATTCTTGATTTTCAAGCCTTTGCTTCAGGTCCTCATTATCCGTCTCAAGCTTTTTGATCAACGAATTCTGATCATTAATTGTGTTCTTCAAATCATATCTTTCGCTTTCAGCATCCGCTATCTTTATTGTCAGCCAGTCTGTCTTCCTTTTTACTTGTCGAATTTCATCATCAATCATTTTCTGCAAATCCCCTCTTGTTAAACCTGAAGACTCGAAGTCGATACTTTTACTTCATGCTTTCTTACCTGGTCCAACTTCTCTATTTACTGAATCCTCAGAAAAAGAACTTTCACTTTGAGAGGAGAAATTTTCAAAATCATTAGTAACAGTATTTTCACTTGCCGTACTTTCGTTGTCAGACATTTTCGAAAAGCTTCTCGACAAAAAATGATTTTCCCTCAATAGAGGAGTAAAGCAAAGAGAACACCTCTTGAAAGAAATGTTAACAATCAGTATTTAAATATGAAATTCAAATACAGACTGTCATTGACATCATTTATTTCTTTTCTTATAGTTTATTACACAATAGAAAGAAATCATGACCAGTTCCATTCAAGATCCCGTCTTGACGATTCTCTTGTCGTCGCTTTTAAAATATCTCCAGGAAGAAACCCCCTATCAATCCAATCTGCCGAGAATCCAAACTCACCTTCATCGACATACTCTATTTCATTTGCTATAAACATTAAGTAGGAGTTTATCGTATTCTGCATTACCTTTATAAAATAAAGTAGCAGCGGATGTTTTATAAATTTGAATTCCTCTCCTCATTATTGAAATTTCAGCTTCTGTCGATAAATGACCGCTAAAAACATGCTCGAAACTGTAAAAATCGTCTCGTACCTTTTAATCCTACACCCAGCTAAAAGACCTTCTTTCTTGTCACCAGGGTTAACTCCTTTTTGAAACACTTTTAAAACCTCAGCTTCTCCACTTTCTTCCTCAACGATGTCAAGCGGCATTGCTTCCGCTAGATCTGCTTCGATTTCATTCATCAAATGGTAGATAACGTTGGAGTCGTAGATTTTGATGGCGTTTTCTTTGGCTTGGAAAGCGATTTTCGGATCAATTGGTTGGTTGAAATTGATAATCTGTAGCTTTGGCGTTGCTTTATGACGATTTTAAAAGAGATCTATTTAATAACTTTTCTATTGAAATCATTCCTGAAAAAGCTTCTTTTATATCAGCAGTCGAGATGGGACCAACATCAAAGTTAATAATCGACATCAAGGGCTCATCATCTTCCGGCTCGTATTTTCCAATTGCATCTCTTACTTGTTCGCAAACGAAACTCAAGAATCAATTATAAAAGCTTGCAAACCAGACCTATGATAGCTTCAACGGAGCCAGAAACATCGCCTTTCACGAGAAACTGGAAGGACTTTTCTTTTTGAATTTCCAGGGCTTCAAGTTTTTTCGCTTGAATCATCAGATCAATGTGGGTTCTTTGCTCGGTCGTTAGTCGATAGTAGCCTTTTTCGATTTTTCGTCGCATGATTTCTTTGTCGTAGTCCATATTTTCTAAGAGAGACGTAAGCGACCGAAGAGAGTGAATAAATTGTACCTGAGGAGTTGTTTTCAATGTTGTATTGCATCTCAAACTGCTTTCTCGCTTCTGCTTCTCTGAATTTCTTCGCTTTTTCGGCAAGTGTCTTCTTTGTCGCTTGAAAAAACGCACCAGGATCTGGCCGACTTTTGAATCCAACAACAAGTCCAAACTCCCCCGGTCCAAGTTTCTTTACTTTCTTCATCTTTTCATCAAACAACTGTCTAATCTTCGCCACATGCGTTCCAGCAATCACGTGTTGCCCCGATTTCAGTTCACCACGATTGATTAAAACGGTCGAGACAAGACCGAGTCCAGTCTTCGGTGCTTGTGTTTCGAGAATGAATCCTTCTGCATCGCCGGTTTTCGCGGCCTTGAGATTTTGTTCTTCAATACTTTCTTGGAGAAACAAGAGCATTTCTTCAACCCCTTCTCCTGTCTTTGCAGAGATTGGGAAAACATCCTCGCTGTCGAAATAGTTGCGAATTTGCGCCGTGACTCTCTCGATATCCGCTCCCTTTCTGTCCATCTTCGTGATGACAAAGGTGATTGGCGTGTTGGATTTCTTCGCAAACTCGACAGACTGGATGGTCTGTGGCATGACTCCATCATCAGCCGCAACGACGACAATAACACGGTCAACAACTGACGCGCCTCGTTCTCGAATCGCTCGAAAAGCAGCGTGCCCGGGCGTGTCCAAAAACGTCATTTTTTCTCCAAGAACTTTGACACTGAACGCAGCGATATGTTGAGTAATTCCTCCAGCTTCCGCGTCCGCTATGAATGACGAACGGAGATGGTCCAGAAGGGTGGTTTTTCCGTGGTCGACGTGACCCATAATCGCGACGCAAGGGATCTTTTTAGTTAGATTTTTCGGATTAGTTTCTGGCGAAGCTGGGAAAAGATCGTTGTCCTGAATGAATTGGAGTTCCTTTTCGATTTCGTACTCGTGGTCGATATTGTTTATTCTTATCGTGATGCCCATTTCTTTCGCGATCATTTGAATTATCCGCGGTTCTGGCTAAAATATGTGAAAAATAAAATCAACTTAAATTTTCCAACCTGAAAAGTTTTTTTCAACTGATGACTCTTCAAATGCGGCACATTCAAAATCCTGGCATAACTTTCAATTAACAGCAATCTATCAACATTCAAGGAATCGAAGTAATTAAACCACATCTCCCAAGTCCAGCCGATCTCCCCAAAATCACGCAACTTTGGTCCCGGAACGGTAACGATTGTTTCTTCTTGCTCGAGGCGGCGCTCAGCAGACCGGGCTTTTCGTTCGATTCCTTCGAGTTTGACGCGTTCTTGACGCTCCGATTCTTGAATGAAAGCCTTTTTCGTCTTTTCGGAGGTTCAGTAAGAGTTAAAAAAAACAAGTCATTCGAAAAAGGAGGTAGAACCTGACCATTTTCGCTTTCGCCATTCTGCCGGTGACGACACTATTTATCATCGATTCAAAGTCTTCATTTCTCAGCCTGACAGAATAACTCAGAGCCCTATTTCGCCGTAAAACGGTCCTCGCTATTCCCAATTTCGATGCAGAATTCATGCTAGAAAGAACAACTCTCAGAAGATCATTTTTCGCTGAAATCTTTCTTTATTCCTTCAATAGATACAGGTTCGTACAGGCAAAAACATTCTGTTCAGCAGCTTTTTCAATTTGAAAATGGAATAAAAATGTCGCTCGTGATTTTCTTCAAATTCTATCCTTGCCATTTTAACTTGCCCTTGTTTCCGACGATCTTTCTTGGGGGAGTCTTGACGCGTAAGCAGCTCTTGGTGGGCGTCACGTGAGCGTTGGGAACGGAGCTATCGCCTTGGTGCTTTCCCACGACCTCTGGCTTGTCCAATTTCTAGGAACAAGCGGTTAGAAATGGGAATTTACTTTGTTCCTACCTTGAAGGGCTTGAACTCCGCAATCTGTTCGCGGAACTTCAATTTGAACTCCTTCGAATAGTTCTGCTTCACCGCCTCTTTGTTAACCTTCGACTGCTTCTTTTGCTTCTTCATCAGTTTCCGCTGAGCAGCTGTGACGAAGGCAGTGCCGGATGGTTCCGAAGGTTCGTCAGCGACTTTGACGAACTTGAGGTCTTCGCCCTTCAGTTTCTTGCCGAATTTCTTGCGCGGTTCTTTGCACGCGTTCACCTTGTTTAAAATGTCAGGAACGAACGAAAGGAAAGATTTGGAACTCACCCTTGGATCCTCACTCGGTATCTTGTCGATGTTCCTTCGGATCTGTTCGGCTAACTCTGCAAGGGAGGTTTTTGCCGGCTCATCTCGCTTTTTTATTTCGAGGACGATGTCCTCGTCCTCTTTTTCGTCATCGAAGAGATTTTCATCGTCGAGTATAGTATCGTCGATGGTATAATTGGGACGTTCTGGCGAGTCCCAGGGACGAGGTTGAGCATCGGTAGTGCCTTCATACCATGGAGGCGACATTCTGGCGACATCTTCGAAGACTCCCTTAAAAATTCAGTGACTGAGATGTCTTATCAAGGCCGGACGTAATTCACAGATTCTCGAAAATTCCAAAAAAATTACGAAATCGCAATTAGAAAGAAATCAATATTTTCTTATCAGAACGATACATTTCTTTATTCATTCTTTATCTCTACATCATGCACAGAAGAATGATCACTCGTGCAGTATTTTTTCTCAATTTACCATTTTCTCGTTTTTGCTGGTTTTCTTCTTTTTCTGTGTTTTCGTCTCTTTCACTGCGGTGCGCTCAGTTGTCGCGGGCGCGGGGATAGGCGCCGATTCATCAGCCTCTAGGATTGCGAGATTCTTGGCCACTTTCCTTTTCCTCTTTAGTTTTCGAATGACGCGCTCGACTTCCGCGCTTGGTTGTTCCAACTCGTCAGTTCCGAATCCTTCGTCTTCTTCTCCAGAAGCAATTTCGACTTCTGACCACTGCTGTTCTGCCGCCTCTTTTGCTTCCTGATTTCGGGATTCAAAACAGTCGAAAATTCAAAGTACCTTCTATTACTTCAGTAGAAAAATGGTAAAGAAAAGGCTCTGATCCCTTCCCTGTTTTCTCCTCTTCGCTCTTTCCTTGATCTTCAACGCCTTTGGCTTCTTCTTCTCCTTCGGTTTCTTGACAACTCTAGAATCAATCTGGTCATCTTCGATGTCCAAAAACTTCTCGAGCTTCTTTGAAATATCGCCATCGATGGAATACGCTTTCTTGACGCCTATTGCAAAATGATAATCAATGCCAAAAGCGTTCATAACTAACCGTCCCACTTTTTCAATTCCTTCTTCGAGTATCCCTCTTCTGTGTGGTAGAGGAATTTGTCGACATCGTCCGTTTCCATCGTCCAGTCGCTGATCTCGTCCATTGGGCATTCGCCTTCGGCAACGCTCTTCAGTCGCTGGAGAACTCGATTCATCGCTTTCTGCTGCTTTTTGTTTACTAAAAGAATCATGAAAATAAATGGAAATGGAAAATTGAACAAAAAGGGGACCACCTGATTCTCAAGAACTTTCGTTAACCGTACTTATCCTCTAAATAAAAAATGGATCTAGGTCAATAATCATCCCACGAAAAAAGTCACCCCGTTCTCAAGAATGTTTATTTCGTCTCAATTCCCCGCGTCGTAAACATTAAAAATTCCAGAGCCGATCTTGACCGGGTTGACAGGTGATTAATTTTAACAAATCTGGAAACATCTTTTGCGATAGCGATCAGACTCCGGCGCTTTGAAGGAGCAGCGGAAAGGATTAAAGAAAATCTTGTAGACAATCGGAAGACAGATGGGCATAACAAGAAAGGGATGAGAGAAAAAGGATGAAAATCGGCGGAGCTGACCGGAAACAGACCATTTTTCAAATAGAATAAATTTTCCAAAATATACAAATGTACCTATTCCTGGAAAGCCAGTCAATATTAATAAACTTGTCTATAAGACAAGTTTAGTAAACTAATCTATCTTTTCGATGGTGAATTTTGCAATTCGATCAAGCTCATTTCATAACATGCCATATCCTTCGAAGTCAGGCCCCAGAAACAAAGCGGTTTCGCCAAAAAAAAACATTTCAGTCGGCTCAAATTTCTAGCGAAGGTACTTCGTCAAGGCCACTTTCGAAGTTTTATGTCACTTTTTTCTTCATGAGATACCTTCTAGTTTAGCTGGCATAAAATCGGATCAGGATAAATACTGAAGCCCCTAAAAACTATGCAGTTTCATAGTAAAAAACCGAATTGAGTAAATAAAAACAGTATAGCCGTCGTGTATAATTAACCCCGCGCCGTACCGACTTCACTCTCAAAACCTGGCATTGCTCCATAATTTCCCCCAAAAAAGCAACGAAAACAAGACTCACAACAAAAACCCCACCGAACAAAGGTCAACACAAGCGCCTGCCAGTGCCACTCAGCTTATCTTTTCCAAACTATCAATCCACAAAACAAAAGCGCGAAATTGAAAAATTTTTCATTACACAAAAATTAGGGCTTATTGGATCTCTAGCGGGGCAGATGGCAATTTTTGCTTAGAGATACTTATCGCTTGATTAGCGGAAAAGAAACCACCGTCTGAAAAAACACCGCCACGATATCCCGAGCGCCACCCAGCTGCTCCTCAAGGAACCTATATAAATCCCCAAATTTTTCAAGAGAAGCATCAAAAATCAAAAATCAACGACTTAAAAGAAAACATGAACAACCTTTCCATCGAATACTCCGCTTTCGAAAAGATGATCACGAAGAATAAGAGACGTTCTAGCTCGCCTATCCCCTCCCGCATTCGCCTCAGTTCTCCCCAGCCCCGATTCAACGCTCCTTTGGCCGTCCGAGTCCACTCCGTTGCCCCTCAAAAGAGATCTGCTGTACAGAAGATCCTGAAGACTATTCGCAAGAAGATCCTGATCAAGCGAAAAGAGTCCGCTGCAAGCATCGAGTTTTCCTACGCCCAGCGATCGCTCAACGGTTCCGAGCTGCGAGAAAGAATTGAACAAACTCGCAACGAACGACTGGAGCTTCAACGAAAACTCGCCTCGATGGAGAGTAAAGCGAAATCGAGAGTTCAAGCTCCACGACGAACAGAGTCGATTAAAGAAGCGATGAAGCAGAAAGTACTGATCCAGAAACGTCTCAAAAGAAGATCTCAAGAAGCGACTCAGAATTACCATGTTTCTGCTACTATTAAACTGAACGCTTGAAAAATACCCATTCTGTAAAATGAATAAACTGTAAATATCTCAAAATTTTAATATCTCTTCCTTAAACTATCTCTAAAATCAGAAGCAAAAAGCATGTTTGAAGCCTTACCATTTTCACTTTCTTGCATAAATTCGATCAGTTTCTGCACAAGCTGGTCGAAATCCAATTCTAGAGTTCCCTCTTCTTCCATTCCAGCGACAGTTTCCGCGATGCCCGGGTTTTCTTTCAATAGTTATTCAAAAAGAACCAGGATGCGTTAATACTCCCAGAGAGCCAGAAAATGGCAATATTCATTCTTCAACGAAAATTAATGAATAACTTTTCCTTCGCCAGCTTTTCTCATGACTTCCATGCTCGGCTCTGACCTTTCAATCAGATCCTCAAAGATCAGCTTTACAATTTTCTGCCGAAACGGTCCAATTTTCGTCTGAGCAGCGACCTTCGCCCAGCAGAAGATCAATTCGTGCGCGATTTCTGTCGGCATTGGCCCCTTCTCAGCCTTTGTTCCGCCGATTTTGATGAGTTCTTCTGTCCATATGTCGACGAAATGATAACGTAGGCCTAGGGGACAAGACGACTTTCCAACTGGTTGATGGAACTGTAGAGGGCCGGCGGAAAGGACGCCGATGAACCACTGTACTTCTCCGATTTTCCAAGAGTTGTTCGCCAAAGTTTCAAGGGAGAAACGGAGGAGGAGGCGGACGAGAAGCATGAATTTTGACATTCTGAGGCGGTCGATCCCCGTCCATTCTCGGTTGATGATTTCGAGCGCGCTAGAATAAAGAAATATGGATTGCCCAAAATAGAGAAGCCGCTTGCGGCTTCGAGACACAAAAATGAAGCCGCACTACGCGGAGCATTCTCGAGTTTAGCAATCTAGAGTTAGAAGCAAAGAGATGTACCCTTGGATGAAGTTCCACTTGCTCTTGTCATTGTCCAGCATGAAGATGATCTTCGCCATTCTTTCCGCCAGTTGCTCCTGAACTTCCAGACCGTCGGAATGCCACATCATGAAAAACATTCCTTTCCAAGCGCAGAGAGCTTCTGTTCGGGACAAAACTGTAGATCTGGAAAAAGAGGGTTAGGAAAGAGAGAAGGAAGAAGGAAGTGCTTACTTTTGAAAGACATTTTTTAAATATTTGAAGGCTCTTTCTCGTTCAGGAAGAGTGTTGGCAGCGAGATTTCTAGCGATTGTTACGTAATCGGGCTTTGTTTCTTCGATTTCGACTACCATTTCGACCTTGATCTTAATATATAAATGCAAATATTTCAAGTGTAGCTTCGAAGACTTATTAATTTTTGCAAAACATCTAAATATAAATTTCAGCAAATTTTTTGGTCCAGGCCTCTATGATTTTTCTGCGTTCATTTTATTCGTGAAATAATCTTCAATGATGTATCAGACAACAGACCCCATTTGGGAAACATGGAGAAACCATTTTGCTTCATTTTCAAGATTCACTCATTCTCTCTCTTGTGGGAAAATTGCCAATCGAGGTGGCCAATTGGCTTCGCGCGCGGTAAATTTAGAAACGAAACGAAAAATTACCATTTTCCATTAAAAATGAATGAGAAGTGAAGAATAATAAAATGAAGAAGCTGAAAGAAAATTAATACTTTTAGTCCATCTAAAACCAGAATCTTGCGAAATTTACACTAAGAAAATATGCAAAATTACTATTTTGGCATAATTCATGTCCTCCCTCTTCAGAAAAAAAAACATATAAAATGATCATAATACTTATCATGATGCTTCGAAGGGAAGTTCATCTTTTCCGTTAAAAATTTTTAAATAAAATATGAGTAACTGTTGTTAAAATGCTTTTCTTAAAAAAGAATGAGAGAAAAGTTTCCTGTTCTATCTTAAGTTTCTTTTCTCAAACATTATGTTTGAAACATACAATTAATGAACTTTTGATTAAAATAATTGTTAGACAGAAATTAATATTTTTGCTTTTTAGAATGGTGTTAAACTTGATAAATCGTGGCACAGAAGATATCTCAGATTCCGCTGAAATCAATAAAGATCTAAAAATCAAGTTCGAAGACAGCGAAATTGACTGGGAAACGCATCCGGAAGTGGAATACGGGGACGATGACAAAAATCAATTGCAGTACTACAAGGTATTTTTTCTCCTCGATTCATAGTTTGACGATTCCTCTAGATATACCAATCACGTGTGAATCGACTTCGATCGCGTCTGGAAGAAGCAGTGGAGGAAAAGTTCCCAGATACTTATTCAAAGAAACTTTATCAAATGCGAATCGACGAAAAAGCCGTCGTTTATGGGATATTCATCAAGACAATCGCCAATCAGCCTCAAGTTTTGGACGAATACGATGAAGACAGAGGTAGGAGATGCTCCTTCTACATCGTTTTCATCCTTTCTTGTAGTGCCCTATGAGGGAGATAATTTTCTATCCGAAAACGACATATTGGGCTTTGAAGATGAGTCGCAACGAATCGAGTGCTCTGGAATCACGGCGGAAAAGATCAAAAGCATTTTGACAGGAGAAGTCGTCGCGCTCTACGGAAGAGTCATCGAAACAGGCACTTTTGAGATCGAAGACTGGGTCAGGAAAGGGTTCAAAAAAGCTCTTTTTTGTGGATATATCAGAGCAATATTTTAACCAAATCAAAGTCCTGTTCCGGCGCCACCATCTAGTAAAGCTTGCACAGAAACTGTTGTTGGAATCGTTGGAGATATGAGCATTGGAAATCCAAACACAACTAGGTACTCTACCTTCACTAGCCCTTTTTGTTATTTTTAGCTCTCTTGAATATGAGTTGATGAGCAATTTCTTCACAGGAATCGCGGGCGAAGAGAATGAGCAAAAAGCAAAAGCGAAAATTTCAAGAGTGCAAATTTCCGGACTCATGTACCAGGCGGACAAGTATTTGAGGGACCGAAAGTCGTGGAAGATGAAAGGAACGGGTCCTGATTCTTACTTTTTTGAGTCAGAAATTCTGAAAGCATCTTTTGATGCAGTTTGGGATCCCTCGAATAGCTGGAGATCAGGCGTCGAGAATGAAACTGGCCGATAAATTCATCTCTTCAATTGCTAAAAACATGTCCGTCGACATTATCACCGGCGAGGGTGATGCTGGTTCTCTCCATGTTCCTACTGCTGCTCTTCATCCCCTGCTTTTCCCAAACGTTGGTTCTTCTCTTCTCTTTGAAAAGGACTCACACTTTGTTTATAGGCTCGCCACGGTGGTCTCAAATGTTTTCCCTCGCCGATTCAGTACAATGTCAACGGAACTTCCATCCTTCATATTTCCAACAAAGTCATGGACAAGCTGTTCGAATACGGCAACTTTGGGAACACGATTGAGGCGATGAAGAAGCTGCTGACTTGTTCTCATGCTTGTCCGATCGCTCCTGATGTCATTCCACTCGCGCCTTTTCAAGGTGTCGATCCGTTTACGATCATGACTGCTCCAGGTACAGTCTCTATCTTGAGCGAATAGTTAATAGGGGTTGTAGATATTGTCTGGTGCGTCGGAGACGATTTTTACCAAGAAGAATTCAAATATGGAAAGATGACTGTTCTCCTAATTCAAGTTCCCCGTTTTAAATTGACGAAACAAGCGATTTTAGTCAAAACAAAACCATCGTTGACAGAAAATCCGACGGTTCAACAAGTTCACTTTGGCATCAATTTGTAAAAAGAGCACTTTTCAATTCACGCACGTTATTTTCAAAACACTGCACTTATTTTTCACTGCCTCACTTATAGGAAATAAAAGTTTGCTGAAGATTATTCAAATTGGATTTTTGAAGAAATGAGATTCGGACTTGCAAAAAAGTTGCCGTTTTCAGCGACGCATTGCGCTCAGTTGGTAAAAAAAGCGGAGTGGGAAAATTTTATGAAAAGGGTCAAAAAATATAACAAAACTTTACTTTCACTATAAAAAAGTTCAAATTGATATCGTTCGAACGAAAATTTGACCCTTTTATGAAGTTGTATTTCGAGCGTTTCGGACATCGAAAAACGCAGAAGTCTCTTCGCTCTTCGAGCTTTTAACATCGCGATTCTTACTTCGATTGAAAAAGTCTCTCAACCGGCGTTTGCTCAAGCTAGAATCACGTTTTTGAAAACGGGCTTGGCGGATATCTACGCGAAAGATAAGGCTCACGCTGAGCATCCGATCTTGGATGAGTTAAATTTTGCTGTTGAGAAGCATAAATATCCAAAAGGTGAGTCTATCAATGAAAATAACATTCGTTTCTCTAATAAATTTCTAGCTTGGCTCCAGCGACTAATTTCCGAGCGGCTAAAGGACGACCGTCTAACAAAACAGCCTTTTGAAACCCTAAAAGACTTCGAAAAATACCACGAATCGACGACCGGTTCTTTATGGCTCCTCTCCCTCATGTCCGCCAATGTCAAAGATGTCAATGTCGATGTGGCGGCTAAACACGCGGCTAGATGTATAGCTCTGGCGAATATTTTGAGAGCTCAAGCGATTATGAAAACGAGGGAGATTTTGATCCCTCTTGAGTTTATTGCCGCACATAAAGTGGATATGAGAAGATTAGTAGAAAAGAAAAATGATGAGAAAATGGAAGAGATGATTTTTGACATCGCTACCGTGGCTCATGCTAATCTGACGAAAGTTCAGTCCCTCAGGTACGCTTTCTAAGCCTTTCGAGGATAATTCTTTTATTCAGGAGCAAAATTCCAGCGCCAGCGCACGATATCTTCAGACAACTAACTGGAGCTGAAAATTACCTGAAAAACTTGGAAGCAAAAAATTTCAACCTCTTTGATCCATCTTTGTCTGTTAGAAACGACTTTCTAGCGCTTCAACTTTTGAAAAAGAAGATGAAGCGGCAGTTTTAATTCTACTTCAAGTTTGCTTTCAAAAATTGAGAATTTTATTTTTAGAATAGATAGATGGGGCTGGTAGAGTTAGCCGTGGAAGGGAGCGGCAAAAAAGGAGCCAGGATTAATATGGGTGAGTTTTGGAAATTCTGAATTAAATTTCAATTGACTCTGACTCAATTAAATTTGAAGAGGCTCTTCTCCGGCACGATCTGGATCCGCAACCGCCGCCTCAACAATCATCTGGAATGGCAAAGAAAAAAGTAATTCAGATTTTTTGTCCGCACTCGTCTTGCACGAGCATATTGCCATATGAGCTTATACAGGAAACTATCTAACAAAAATTCTTCGTATCAAACTTTTTTCTAATGCATGTTTTTAGGCAAGAGATCGAGAGACAGTAAGAAGTCGACAGAACAGGGTTCAAGTTCCGAAGCCTAGTCGAAAGGTAGGTTGTTTATCTCTTGAATCATTTTTCTCAAAGACTCTTTTTTAGACGCCCTTGCTCAAGAAAAATGAAGAGTTGCTCGCGACTTCGTCGACTAACCCAGCGCCGAAAGGGCCCGTTGTTGCTCCACCAGCAAAGCGCTCGACCAAGTACCAGCCTCCAAAAAACAGCGTCCCGAAAACGCAATCATCGAAAACTCTCTCTAATTCCAGCTCTCTAAAAACCCTCACCAGCACTACCTCCGCCGTGTCCAACGTTTCAAACTCTCAAAATACTCATCCAGGGATTCCAAAGTTTAAAAATACGAAAACCGTTGTCAAGGGAAAACGACCTCCAGAAGTCAAAACGTCTTCCTCAACGAACGAGCAGAAATATGTGACGATTTCGGAGTCCCAACTTACGCAAATTCTCAATCTCGTCTCTCAAGGAATTCAAGTTCAGCAGAACTCCCTTCAAAATCTCCCTCAACAAGCTTTTCCCCAACCAGCTCCACAGCAGCCCCAACCTTCAGCCGTCCCAGTTGCACAACCTACAGAAAAACTTGCTGCTCAAACTACAGTTGCTCCAGATCCTTCAGTTCCACTAGAGCCAGAAAAAGAACCAGCGATCGTAACACGAGATGAGCTTTTGGAAACTACTCAGAAAGCAGTTCCTCTTGCGATGAAATCGAGCTTCCTCCCTTACGAAGCGATCCCAAGAGGCGATGTCGTCGACAAAGAAAGACGAGAGCAACAGCTTGCCTGGAGGCGAGAGCTAGAAAAGCAACGAGACGAGGATGTTATCCGAAAGAAGAAGGAAAAGGAAGAATACGAAAAACACAAGAAAATCGACCATCATTTAGACCAAAAAGCGCAGTCCGAATACAAATCGTCGATAAAAATTATTCACGCTTCAGTTCCCGACTCAGTTGCCACTGGAAGTGCGGAGAATGGTACCGGTATTTCACCGAGAATGGGTGGCACTCAACCGCTCTCAATGCAGAGTAGCTTTCATCCTTCAGCAAATGTGTCAAATGTGGAAAGTTTGGATCAACAGAGGAAGGATCAGCAGCTCGCATGGCGGAGAGAACTTGAAAAACAGAGGGATGAGGATCTAGCACGAAAGAAAGAAGCAAAAGAAAGAGACCAAAAACTCAAGCTGATCGATCATCACCTTCATCAACCAGACCAGAATTATCAAAAACCATCGATAAAGCTCATCCAAGACAATCCAAATCATCAAGGTAAAAAGATTAGTGCTTATAGATGGAACCAGTAGTTCAATTTTTATGCTATCACTAGATCATATTTCTTCGCTTGGAAGCTTTCAATCAGCGGTAGATCAGTTGCATGGAACGCATGTCGGGGACACCGGTCATCATAGAAATATGAATGCGCTGAAAGATCCTGCAGGTAAGAATTTTTGGCGTTTTTCCTTGTTCGTTCGAATTTTCCGATGGTAAACCGGGTTTATAGAGCTCGAAAGATTAGAAAAACTGCGCAAGCAGCATGCAGAAACAGAAAGAGATCTTCAACTCCAAATTGAAGAAAAGAAACGAGCCAGGCAATCGGCTCGTGGGAACGATGATGATGGCGAGCCCTGGTGGGTGAAGCAAGATCGAAAGATCGCTAATGCAAACCGACGAAATCAGGCCCAACCAGCTCCTCAAATGCCTGATCGGCCGATTCACACTCACCAAGCACATCCGCCGAAGCAAGCCGAGCTTACAGTCGACGTTCTCCACAGCAAATTCGACACGGATACCACGACGACTCAATTGAAAGGAGAACCAATGGTCGCTCCACTGAAGCTAGAAGATCTTCTTGAGAACTCAAGGCGATCTCCGTCTCCTCAAAGAAATCCACAAACAGCAAAGAAATCAGCGGAAGCAAAGCAGAAAACACTCCTAGAGCAGGGTTCAAAATCACCTAGTTTTTAGGTGAGGTGAGGTGAGGTGATGATTACAAAAAAGGTGCACCTTTAGGTGCACCTAAAAAAGTCCCAAATCTCGAAAATTTTAGGTGAGGTGGGTGAGGTGATAGATTGGAAAAAGGTGCACCTTTTAGGTGCACCTAAAAAAGCGAATTTTTGAAAAATTTTAGGTGAGGTGGGTGAGGTGATATTCTGAAAAAGGGTGCACCTTTTAGGTGCACCTAAAAAGAGGGATTTTGGCAGTTTTTTAGGTGAGGTGGGTGAAATTTAGGTGATAATTGATCAAGTGTGGGCACGGATTTTGCTCCTGACTTCGATTTCGAGTCCTTTGAAATTCCTCGCAAATTTCTTCCGGGTAATCCGCAGATTTTTCTACGAGTCTGTGCGCGAGTAAATCGAGTAAATGGGTAAAGGATAATCGCGAGCTACTCGCGAAAATTTCGCCTAGAAAGAATAAAATTAGCTCGTCTGATTGCCTCGAGAAAAAGGGTTGCGGGTAATCGCGAGCTACTCGGCGGAAAGGATAAAACTAGTAGGGCGGGTAGCCCGTGAAAAGACTCTCCGCGCGAGTAACCCGTAATATGGTGCCCGAATGAAAGCTCAGCTTCTGAGCTTTTCTAAAACTGTGTCACATGACCCCTAAACTAAGCTAGAAAAATGGACCGAATTTTCATCTTATAAGCCTACTGATATTACCAAAGGACTCGAAATCAACAGTCAAGTTTGAATTTCAAACTTTAGAAGAACTCACCGAGAAAAAAGGTGCACCTAAAATCAAAACATTCCTAGGTGAGGTGAGGTGAGGTGATGATTTCAAAAAAGGTGCACCTTTTAGGTGCACCTAAAAAAGCATAAATCTGAAAAATTTTAGGTGAGGTGGGTGAGGTGACAATTTGCACCTCACCTAAATTGAACAAGGTGCACCTTTAGGTGAGGTGATTTTGAACCCTGTCCTAGAGGAGCAAGTTCCGACAGATATTGAATTAAAAGCCCAGGAAAGAAATTTAGCGAAGAAAAAGAGGCAGATGGCGCTCTTAGAGGAGCAACTAAAGGTTTGCTTGGTATCTGTTCCAACCGACAGTGTTCATTATGTTTTTATAGGTTGAAGAAAGAATACGAACGATGCGAATTCAAAAAGAAGCTGATAAGACAGCAAGAACAAATCGAGATCAAAAGGAACGATTTTAAGTTTTCTTGACGCCCTTTGCTCTAGAATTTTCTAGAGCTCCCTCATTTAGAAATTATTCTTTGTTCGAAATCGTCTAAAAGCCATCAACTTCCCGCGAAAAACCAAAAAATCCAACCGTCCCTTCAACTGTCCGTTCAAAACATTCCAAGCAAAACCTAACACAGAAGAAAACAGCCAGAAAAGAACCCGCTAAAGACGACTCTCACAAATCAATGAACATTTCCTTCAATCAAAACGACACTGCAACGCTTCTCGAGCAGCTCACTTTACTGGAATCCGCGCTCAAGCATCGGCAGCACAAATTGTTGACCAAATAAGATGGCAAAAATCAACGAATCAATTAAGCGGAGCACTACCTGTACTAAAACAAAACTTTACTACCTTTTTCATTCTATCACTTTTTTATTTCAAATCTATTTTTCCAGTTCAAAAATTTTGAGAAAAAATTTAAGTCATTTTTCTTAATTTTTCTCGTGTTGAATTTATGCAGGAAATAAGCATTCCATCATTTAATCTAGATCGGTAGCTATCGAAAAACTACGGCATCAGGGTCATATTTTGCCGTTGCATTATGAATATTATCAAAACAATCGCATGTTCAACCCTAACAGGAACAAGGAAAAGGAGAAGCCACTGCACAAAGCACGAAAAGACATTTTCCGAGATTAACTTTTTCTTCAAGGAGCTTGATTTCCAAAGCCCATTTTTCAATTCTGAAAAAAGATGCTCAGGCGACGTTCAAAAATGACGATTTTCTGATCATCGAGCAATCAGAATTGCCAATTGCAGTTTCGCTTATATGCTCTTTTTGAACGAAAATATAAGCTTATTGAGAAGAGATCGAAAGGGAGACTCGACGAGTTTTCGGAAAGGGACGATTGTTTTGACTGATGCCGAAGTCCGATCGAAATTCAGGTTAAAAGTAGCTTGTGTAAAGGACTAACAGTTTTTTAGTACCAAAAGACCAAGACGACGATTTTATGATTGGGATCAACGGAATTTTTCTAAGGGCCCAAACACCCTTTATTTATAGAGCCTTTCAAAGATCGATCCGTTCTTACGACCTTCGATTTGCTCGATTCTCATTTGTTTATCCATCGAATTCATCCTTTTTCTTATATTGTCTGATCAAAGTAAATATCTTTCAAGTCTAAAGTGGCTTTATAAAAATATAGATCCATCAGCATTGCTCTTATTTTGGGCGGCGCACACAGCTTTCTTCATCTCGATGATTTGGTTTTTACTCAGCAATATCGGTAGGCAAACATAAGTAGTCAATCCTAAAACGTAAAAAATATAGATCGATATAAAGTCAAAAAAGCTGTGAAGCAAAGAATCAACTACAGACAGACATTATTCCGTCACATCGCCCTCACAACTCTTATTTCACCTCAGGAAAGTCTCCTCAAAGTCTACTCGCTTATTCGAAGCTTCATTTTGGAGGATCAAAAAGATCGAACACGTGAGATTTCGTCGTTCAAGTTTTCCAATCCTCTCTCATGGCGAATGCATTCAAGATAGTTTGACGACCATCAATGAAAAAGCTGAAGAAAAATCACCGAAACCTCTTTGTGTAACGATTTCAAAATGTTGCGAGATAGAACCGAAACTTCCGATGTAAAATCAAATCCTACTGTAATAAAAATTTGGATTCGGGGGAACCCAAAACTGTCGCTTATCAACGTCTCTAGAAAGCGCAATTACTTCCGAACGCACAAGTATTCGGCTAATCTAAATCGCGTTTCATTTATCACTGTTTTGAGTGTACTCGGTACCGCAAGATTTTGCTTTGTAAATCTGCTTATCTTCTCCCTTATAAAACCGCTCCCTTTCACTTTCATTTCATTATTTTGGCGAAGCAGAAAAAAAAGTAGAGACGCACGCAAAAAATGAGGAGTTTGATCGTGTCGATATTTTCTGCACAGAGAACACTTGCTGCAGGATTTTTAAATTTTAATGTCGAGAAAACTAAAAAGGTACCATTCAAAAATCTTGAATACAAATTACAATAGAAGTTTCTTTGAACAACAAAATTTTTGAAGGTCTGCGATTACGACCCCGCCTACCTCTGCGGCGAGAACAACGAATTATGTGGATCCTGGAGCTGTAATGGAGACAGTGAAGACTCTACCTGCAATCTCATCTGCGCAGACGGCTCAACAGGCGGCTCTCGCCAATGCTCTTGCCACAAGTCCCACGGTCGCAACAAAATCTTTACCGGCTGCAAGTGGAGAGAAAGAAGCTCTCCTAGCTTTTGCCAGCCTGTACAAATCGAAGATGAAGAAAATTTTAAAGTAGAAAATGAAGAAACTGAAGAGAAAGAAAAAGTTTTCGACGATTTTCTTTCAAAAATTATTATTGAAAAAGAAGCAATGGAAAAATCAACGATAGACGAGGTCTTCTCGGGAGTCTTTCAAAAATGCGAAGAGCAACTTCCAGGACTGGTTCATTTTTTCGTTGATAAAATTAAGAATTGAATTAAATTTTGAACCAGACCAGGGATGGAAATCTGAGCGGCACGGCACGGCACGGCACAGCGGCATGGCACGGCACGGCACGTGCCGTACCGTGCCGTGCCGGAGAGTAAAATCTGGTTGCGGCACCGCGGCACAGTATAATTAACCGTTCCTTGATTTGTTAATTTAAGGGGCTTGACGGCCCTTCGGGCCGTTTCAGCCCCGTTCCTTGATTTGTTAATTTAAGGGGCTTGACGGCCCTTCGGGCCGTTTCAGCCCCGTTCCTTGATTTGTTAATTTAAGGGGCTTGACGGCCCTTCGGGCCGTTTCAGCCCCGTTCCTTGATTTGTTAATTTAAGGGGCTTGACGGCCCTTCGGGCCGTTTCAGCCCCGTTCCTTGATTTGTTAATTTAAGGGGCTTGACGGCCCTTCGGGCCGTTTCAGCCCCGTTCCTTGATTTGTTAATTTAAGGGCTTGACGGCCCTTCGGGCCGTTTCAGCCCCGTTCCTTGATTTGTTAATTTAAGGGGCTTGACGGCCCTTCGGGCCGTTTCAGCCCCGTTCCTTGATTTGTTAATTTAAGGGGCTTGACGGCCCTTCGGGCCGTTTCAGCCCCGTTCCTTGATTTGTTAATTTAAGGGGCTTGACGGCCCTTCGGGCCGTTTCAGCCCCGTTCCTTGATTTGTTAATTTAAGGGGCTTGACGGCCCTTCGGGCCGTTTCAGCCCCGTTCCTTGATTTGTTAATTTAAGGGGCTTGACGGCCCTTCGGGCCGTTTCAGCCCCGTTCCTTGATTTGTTAATTTAAGGGGCTTGACGGCCCTTCGGGCCGTTTCAGCCCCGTTCCTTGATTTGTTAATTTAAGGGGCTTGACGGCCCTTCGGGCCGTTTCAGCCCCGTTCCTTGATTTGTTAATTTAAGGGGCTTGACGGCCCTTCGGGCCGTTTCAGCCCCGTTCCTTGATTTGTTAATTTAAGGGGCTTGACATCGGCTGGGAATATTGCTATCAATCTCAGTAACGTCCCCAACCCCACCCTCACCCATTGTTTGAATAATTCAAATTATCCAAGATTTTAATTTTATTATGGTTTTCATTTAAAATTTTGAAAATTCTATAAGTACACTAGCAGCTTTAATTTTTTTCATTTATGTAAATAAGTTATATGATTCGAATTTGTGCCGTGCCGTGCCGTGGTGCCGCGGCACCCCATTATCGAATTTTGTGCCGTGCCGTGCCGTACCGTGCCGCGGCACGGGTATTTTGGTTGTGCCGTGCCGTGCCGGTGCCGCTGGAAAATTTTCTCATATTTCCATCCCTGAACCAGACGAAAGAAAACGCGGAAATAAGATGTAGCATTCACGGAATTCGCCGAAAATGCGAAGTTACCTGTGGCTCGAAATCTCTCATAAACCGCTGTACCTGCATCGGTTCTTACTGTCAATGGTCGAGAAGATTTCCCAGCACATGTTCCCCTCCTCGACTAAGCGCAAGAATTGAAGAAAATCTTGAAAGAAGCAAAAGATGGGAAAGTGAAGAAAGATTGAAAGACATCTACGGACTGGGCGACTTCAAAACGGTGATCGAAGATGGCGAGATTTATGTTCAACCGTTTGACTTGATTCAAACGATGGACAGGATCATGTACGAAATTGGCCTCTTCGACTCGAATGATGATTTAGCATGAAACTGTAATGGACATTTCTGTACAGTTTATTTTCTGACGACTTATTGATCTCAATAATAAACCCTTTTTTAAATCAAAGATTCAATAATTAAACTTTATTATCAGAATTCTAAATAACTGTGCATCAATTTACAATTCAAATTTTCAACATTCAGGAAAGCAATATTTTTAAATGTACAAATGGAATGTCCAAAAGGAATGAAGATTTCAAGCTTGAGCCCAGAATGTGATGAGAACCTATTAGGTGAACTTTCGAGCTTTCGTTAATTTTGTAGTGTTTATGGCTTTTTGATGTTTTTCGATGTGTTTTGTTCTTTCGTCAAACTTGATCTTCTCGTCCAGGGCCGCTTTGGGTTCCAGTTTTATATACCACAGCTAAAAATTAAAAAAATTTAAGAAAAAATTTTAATCATTAATTTAAAAAAATTGATCAAAAATTGATTTAATATTTTAATCAAAAAATTTTTGTCAAAAAATTTTATTTATTTATTAAAAAAATAATTTTAAGTTTTATATATTAATTTTATTCTTATTTGTTAAACTTACTTCTATGACTTTTCGCGCATCTGAAGAGCAAAATCGACAAGCAGAGTAAAACCGTCAGGGAGACAACGAGGAGAACGACCATCGTTATGCGGCTGGTGCTTATGAGAGTGAGCCAATCTGAAGTCGAAAAAATTAAAAAATAAAGCAGTCGAAATTGCTGTCCATTCTAATTCAATTGACTCTCGCTGAATAAATAAGAAATAGCTTCAAATCAGAGTCAGAAGAATTAGGTTCAAGTGCTGTGCATTAGCCTGGCAATACAGACTTGAATCCATTACTGAATCGAAGTGAATATTTCAAATACAGTAAGAGGCATTTGTTTGCTCAACTGACATTGATAACTTATTCAAGAGCTATTTCATTCTTTATTCTTTTGAAACCGACTTACTTGTAGAAATATCAAGCAATGTAACACTCGAAACGCGCCCCAGGCTATTTTCAGCTACGCACTCGATGTTCAGTCCACTGTCAGTGAGCTTCACTTCTTCGGTTGAAATTCTGTTGCCTAAAACAAGAAGAATGATGCCTTGATAACTTGACCTTTTAATTGTTTCCAGGAGCAAGGAAAACATTCCAAGTGTTTAACCGTTCTACTCGAGTGCCTTTCATGCTCGAATTTTGGAAGACAATTTTCTAGAGCTGTAACAGGGACATTCCACTAGCTACCGAACAAGATTTATAACTAAGAATTATATTCTCTTAAAATTTCAACCAAAAATCGAGAAGCCGCTTGCGGCTTCGAGCTAAAAGAAAGATGAGCCGCGCGTAGCGCGGCTTTTCTGTCATGTTATGCTCGAAGCCGCAAGCGGCTTCTCGATTTTCGGTAGAAATCTTAGTTCAGAGAAATCTTCCTTCTTTCTTCTCAATAAAAGAAAATATCACCTTTGCTTACCTGTTATTTTCCAGTGTGATGTATCGATGTCCGTCTTGTTTGGGTTAAACAATCTCCAAGTGTAACTGACTTCCGGAGAGCCGGAAGAAACACACTCGAAAGTCTTTTTATCCGCGCTGGCGGAGGCATCCTCCATCGAGGGTAAAATTTCACTGATCTTCGGCGAGCTTGGCTCCCACGTGACCTTTATCTCGGGGGAGAATTGACCCGAATGAGGGCCGGAAACAGTTCTAGAGCGATGGCGGACCAAACATTCGAAACTTGCGCCGGAGAGGGATTTTTCGGCAATGAGCTTAAAATTGATAGTAAAAATTTGAACTTAAATTTGAAATACTGTTTTTCTCTAAATCTATGTGTAAATATAAGCAGATAAGTTTTATCCTATAAAGCCCACACAATAAAGACGCACTACTTTTTATCTTATCTACCTCAAGCGTGTTTATGACAGAAGATAATCCATTTTCAGCAGTAGAAGAGCTCTCCATCACGCCGTCGAAAATATTTCCATCGCGGTCACGCCACTGTATCTCCGCAGCAGGATGACTGTTTTTGGCAGTACAAGTAGCGATCTTGATTTTTGAGCCTTTTCTCGTTTCGATTTCACCATAATGCTTGAACTCGACTTCAGGAGCAACTGAAATCATTTGGTTAATCAGATGATACCCTTAATTCTTGGCTTAGCAAATTATGGTCAAAAACTGAGTCAGGGTCCTAGAAAAGCTCAGATAAAAGCCGCGTAGCGGCTTTCTCAAAACAAAGCCGCGAAGCGGCTTCGCCAAAATTTCCCTTTTAATCTATTTTCTGTTGTTTAGGTCTACCCTTAAATGTAAGATACCGGATTTTGTTAAATCAAAAATTCACGAAAAAATATATAGAAGGACAACTACTAATAAATAATACAAAATGCAAGTGAATGCAAGTGAAAAAGTTAATGTCAGAAATAATGCATGGTTAAACTATGCATTGACGTGTCCTTGTTCGGGCAAACATTCTTTTCTAAAGGGGACAAGAGTAGTTGTAGAACCTTACCGTAGATGGTGACATATGTTGTTTGTGTTCTGCGCTGCCTATTCGTGCAAATGTAAGTGCCCTTGTCCGACGCAGCTGTGTTATCTTTCCGAAGGCGTAAGCGGTCCGCAACTCTGAATAAAACAGTCACATTTTGAGCGTCAGAAAACAACGAGTTTGCAAATTAATTCCAGTCCGAAAAAAAATTTTCAAAAAAAAAAACTTTTTTTCAAAAAAAAAAAAGAATCTGGAAAGAAATTCCGCAGTACTGCCACAATACTGTTCATTCTGAATAAGCACTCAAATAGCAGAAATGAGTGACCAAACGGACAAGAAAAGATTTGCATAATGTAGCGCGTGCCCAGTCTCGCTCATTTCGTATGCGCCATCAGTTTACCACCGCCGCGGTCTGTTCTGATGGCCAACACTGGATTTTACCTGGCGACGCGGATTTACTTCCTTACTTTTAAAAAAAGCCCTAATTTTGATTTGTCGACACTTTGAAGAAATTTTAGCAATTAATTTTTATTAAAAAAACTGATTGTTTATTCATTTAATTTCAAAGAAAATGCTTTTCAATAAAGCAAAAGACATGAGCAAATTACCTGTCATCAATATTCCAACCGGACTCGACATAAAACGGCTCCGGCGTCATTGTGAGCAGCGTCGACTCTCGGCCGCGCTCATCAACGCGCCGAAGGTCGAGATAGACCCCGTCAAAGTCGCAGCTAATCGACAATTGACCTCCACTGTCCAAGAATACTTCGGCTTCGGTTGCTCCCAGCGCGCAGTTGATCAGAAGAATCAAAACTGAAAAATCATAATTACTCATAAAAAAGTTTATTTTTATATTAAAATGAAGGTTAATAATTGACAAAAAGTATATATCAATCATTGAATTTTCGAGATTATCACTTAAATTATTCGAAGAAAAGTGAAAACCCGTTCTGACCTCGGTAAACCCCGGAATCCCGGAATCCATTCTAATGACTCAGAATTAGTGCAAGCTGCCGCATAAATCCCTCCCTAATCCACCGGCTATCAATTATCAATTTTTCTATTTCGGCTAATCCCAAATGGAATTTCAACTCATTCTTGTAAAGGTTCATGGAAGTTCCTAAGTATATGCAAATTGTCACCGATATGCCAAACAAAAGAGCTTGTCCGTTCTTTTTTTTTTCTCAAAAAAAAGTTCCTTATCTTAAATATTTATTTTTGCGATAAATTTTTGCATTATTGAGAAGCCGCTGGTGCAATCTTGGCGAAAAAGAAAGGTGCATAAACTTTCTTTATCGATAAAACAAGGCAAGAAAAAAATAGCCGAAAAGGCGAAAAAAAAACCCTGAGAAAAAAAATGACTGACCAGGAGCAGCTGCTTCGGACTATCGAAAACTTAATCGCGAGAAATTAGAATTAATGACGCTAATTCGCATGAAACTCTGAAAATTTTTCACTTGTCAAGTTTTTTTCGTCTTGAGAAAACTTAATTCATCCCCTTTCTTGACACTTTTTTAGGTAAAAATGAAAACTTATTGGATAAAAATGTCTAAATTCGTCAATCTTTAACGCCGTTAATGTGCGATAATTACTTTTTGATAAGCTTTTTGACGTAAAGCCGAGCCAAGAAGTGGCCCAGAAAGAGGTTTTTCTCCAATAATCAATCTTCAATTATATTTTACGTCTTCCCTTTTTTACCTCCCTTGGGTCATTTATTGCGCCAACTCACTTTGGCACATGTTTTCTAAATTATTTTTAACTTTTTCTTTGATTTTTTTGCGCTGAAAAATGACCTTCAAATCTGGGCATATTAATTGGACTGTTACTTTTGCTTTTTCAGAATAATTTATTTTACGAGTAGTAAGGCTGAATCAGGGTCTGGAAAAAAACTGAAATGAAAAGCCGCGTAGCGGCTTTTTTAAAAACGAAGCCGCGAAGCGGCTTCGCCAGAATTTTTGATTGATTAAAATGGTAATATCAGCGAAGCCGTTTTGCGGCTTCGTTTAAAAAAAAAGCCGCTATGCGGCTTTTCATTGTAGTTCTTTAAAACCCTGACTAAGGCTTTTTACGCAGGTTGCCGAGCCCAGGCGAGCGCTTGAATCTTCTAGCAGCTTTTTTTCTTCCAAAAATCATCTATCTGTTCTTTTTTTCCACTGGAAAAGGTCCAAAAATCACATTCTTGAAAAACAACTTAGGGGAAATGAGTTCGTTCAGAATTCTAGTGCTCGCCCTTCAGATTCGTCAAATTTGCTTTTGAAATGAGCGACAAAGTATCCAAAAAAAGGAAGGAGGGAACGGAAGATTCATCGCCGCGAAATAATTCAGGCGCCCTCGAAACTCTGATTCAGAAGTCTCAATTTTTAAAACGAAAAACAAGAAATGTAGACGGAAAATAAAGCAGTAAATAAATTGATATAATTAGCGCGCGATTGTGAAAATAAAAAGCGCGATTATCGGCGAAGAATTTAGCACTGCTTTCTCAGCCAATTTTTGAGGGTCCCACTTTGAGATAAAACAAGAAAGCCGCAAACTTTTGAATTACTGCATAGTTACTGTCAAAAACTATCAAATGAGTTCAGTTTTTATCGCTTCAAATTATTTAAACAGTAGCTCAAAACATTTTTCCTCGAAAACTTGTCTGCGGCTTTAAATTTTCGGCGCGGCTAGATTGACTCAAAACGCGGCTTTTTGATTTCTTCTCGAAAATGTCTTACTTAATATTTTGGAAGTTTAAATTAGAAGAAATCTCATCACCAAGCTTTTTTCAAGAAAAGCCGCGCGCGGCTTAAAATTTCCTTTTCTGAATAAGCCGCAGAAAATCCCCTTTTTTCCTTTAAAAACCTACCTCCAAGTATTTTCATTATTCCAAAATTTTCGTTTATCTTCGATGCAGGGGGTTTCTTCTGATCTCTCTCTTTTTTCTTTGAATTTCTTGAATTAATTGGACTGTCAAATCTTCGAAAATCCCGTCGGCAAAAGCAGAAGTCCTCGTCAAGGCGCTCTCGTCCGACGGCAATCTGTTCTCCTTTCTTTTTCACAACAGCTCTCGCGCGCGCCCTCTTCTTTCCGTATTTTTAACGCAAAAGTGAAAGTAATGATCCCTTTTCTTTTCTGCGATGTTTTCTGAAATAAGAATATAAGTGAAGAAACTTCCTGATAAAAAAATTATTTTCATTTATAAATTTTGCCAGGTCACATGACCAAAAGGAACCAGGCCTCGGGAAACTGCGTAGAAAACCTGAGTCAGGATCTGAAAGATAATTAATGAAAAGTCGCGCCGCCGCTTTTTCGAAAACAAAGCGGCCCTTCTTACCCTGACTCAGGTTTTCTAAACAGGCTCTCGAGCTTAGGCGGGAAAATGATCAACCAAACTATAATTGAGCTATTTCTTCGAATCAATTTCCTCCAAACAGATTTTCAAAAAGACTCAGATTATGCGCCTAATTGCGGTCAGAATTTCACTCCTTTGAAGGAGCTGAATTTCAATTTTCGATAATGAGATGGAAACTGAAGAATCTTTGGGTCATTGTCAGTCAAAGCGGTCAAGCGCTTGAATTTTTAAAAGATTGAGACATTTAAGGACACAAAGAATTCCATTAAAATTAAGTCTTTTTTTTTTTCTTTTTACCTTTTTATGTTATTTTTTTCTTAATTTCAATTCTCTTTTGTAAGAAAAAATATTGTTTTGACGAGTTTCGCTTTGCGTCCTTATTATCTCAATGTCAAGAGCTGCGATACAAGATGCACTGAAGGAAACTTTTTGGAAGAATCAACACCTAAACAAACATCAGTTTTGTTGACAAAACCAGCCACGGTGAAAAAAATTTTCGTCCAAATTTTCAAAATGAGCGTCTTCAGCTGGACGAGTTTTATTTGCGAGTTTTCCTGATAGGACAGCTTTGGAGCAGATTAAAAACGATTTGTTTTTCGAAGGAGATTTTTTTTTATCGCAGTTCAACAAAAAATTAAAGCTAAATGGTCAAATTTAATTTGTTCAAGCCACGACTTAAATTTTCAAAAAAGGCTTAAAAAATTCGAGGGAAATTATAATTTGAATAGTTTTATGCAAATTTTTGGCGTAACCTCTTTTTGGTGTGAAATCACGATTTCTTATCGAGTCCCTTTGACCTTAATTAACCACGTGGACGATTTCATTTCCATATTCTGAAAAAATCCTGCCCAGAAAAAGAAATGCCGCAGATCCATTACACTAATTTTATGCTTTCCATCTCGACCGTGAAAAAGATCAAAAATTTGATAGATTGGTATATTAAGCAGTTTTAAACAATTTTCTTGATTTTCATCAGTAGTTTTTTAACTCAAAGAATTAGGATAATTAGAAAAATCTACTCAGTTCCACATTTACAAAGTCATTTACTTATAGCCTCATTTTTTTAATAATCGAACCATTTAAAAGCAAAATCGAACCATTTTCGGAAGATTTTGCCCTATTTTATGATTTATCTGGGTCTTTTATCACAGATAAACTGTTTACACAAGTCAAACAGAAAAAATTAATGAATTTGATTCATTTAATCAGGTTTTTTTTGTGAAAAAACAAGTCGAGCTGGAGCTTATATTTCCAGTAACAGCTGGTTTTTTTACGGATTTAGTTGATAAAGATAGAATCGAACCAGTTTTTTGGCTATTTTTGATCGCTTATCTTTATTCTGCTACGTACAGAAAGATCGTTTTCCAAGTCGTTTTCAGAATATCGTTTTTTATTTATTGCTATTAATTTAATACTCAGTCTGCGATACTTGTGCCTAGGCTGGAAGAGGAGCATATGGTTTGCATGCACCGACGGATTTCTAATTGCTCAATAAATCTGCAATCGGAAGTCTTTACCGACACTAACTGTCACATAAATGACATATCATTTCTCACTGCAACTCTGGCTCAACTTATTATTTTGTTCATCGAATGAAAATATCGACAAGTTATAGTTTCTTCTGGACAAAGTTAAATGTCATCACAAAAGTGGTTCTTTTTGTTTTAGTTCGATCCTATCCTACCGTAAAAATTTCCTAATAAAACCCCCCAACAAACAAATTTCCACCAAAGAGAGTAAGAGCACTTTTTTAAAATGAGCCTGAAATTTGTACTTCCTCTAAGGCTTCTATAAGAATTCATGTGTCATGATTCATGAGTCTGAAGAGAGAATTTGAATTTCTTCTTATGCCCCGAAAAACAATTCTGTACAATAAATAAATTAATAAGCCTTATCCCATACAAATGACGATGATCAGCTTGACCATTTGCTAGATGCTTTAAAAATTATAGAACAGAAAATGATTGTTATCCCCGATTACTTATCGGCCGTAACCGGTCGCTGATATCAATCTTTGTGGTGGTTCAATTTCAGTGGTTTGTTTCCCTTTCTGCATGAAATTTTCGGAATAAAAGCATGGCAGTTGCGACATTCTCATCATAAGAAAGAAAAAAAAAGATGAAATGATTCAAAAAGCCCTAAAAGTTCTCGACCTCTGGACGACAGTATGAAGCATTTACTTAAATTTTATAAAATGATACTTTGATTAATTCAGACATCCATTCCAAAAGTTCTTCTTAAAAGTTATTGATTTCTGAAAACCCAATGCTTTCAAATATTGTTGATTCTTTCAACGAGAGCCCTTATTTCATATTTGCTAAAATGCCAAGAAATAAATTTCATAAACAGGCTTCAAATAAGTCGGACATACGATGTCTGTAACTCTTGATTGGGCTAAGATAATTACGATCTGTAACTTACAGACTGAAGCCGGATATAAGTTTACATATTTTAAGAAGAATTTATGTCCGACTTATTTGAAACCTGTTATATTCATTTCCGATTCCTTTGACCTCGAATTCGTTGACTTTTCAGCGGCCAGGTCAGCGTCAAATTATGCGTCCGATTTTTAACGCCTATCATCATCTCCAAAAAAATATTTGACTTCTGGAGATCGCTCTTTCATAATTTCAAAAGCCAATTATCAGACAGAGGAAGCCGATTCTCCTGAAAAATGATAAAACATAGATTGTTATTTTGTCTCTTCTTAAAAATTCTAGCGGCAAGAGAGAAAATCAACGAAGAGCAGCCAAATATCATTTTTGTTTTGGTAGATGACCTGGGCTGGAGTGATGTCAGGTGACATTTGATTTGGCGCTCGAGAATTTTGATAAATTAATATTGAAAATTCTAGCTGGAATAATAAAAAGATAAAAGCGACCCCGTTTCTTGGGCAGCTAGAAAAACATTCGGTTACTTTGACAAGTTCTTATTCGACTCACAGGAAATGCTCAAGATTCTAGTCACTAAATTAATTATAATACCGATGAAAAAAGAGATTTCTTCTCATACAGAGGAAGTCTTCCATCTGGCGGGGTCCTCCGCCGTGCATGAAAAAGCGAAATACGCTCACACGGTATCGCTATTGAAATTTCGAGCGTAGAAAAGGTGTACTCCAAGTCGAGCGTCTTTATTAACGGGGAAGTACGCCTGGCGATTTGGATTAGGGACTGACCCTATCGATGCGAACACAGCCGCAGGTACTATTTAAACTGACCCGAAGGAAAATACAACATTCAAATTCAATAGGCCTCGATCTAAAAGAAAAACTTCTGCCAGAAATCCTCAGGGAAAATGGCTACTCAACTCATCACGTGGGAAAGTGGCATTTAGGCCATTGCAACTCGTCGTATCTTCCTCACAATCGCGGATTCGATACTTTTTACGGCCACACTGGAGGAGTACTGAATTATTTTCAGCATAATCGAGCGGTGGGAAACTGCAAGTATCTCGATTATTTTGAGAACGACAAGCCTTTGGAAAAGAAGAAGGGGGTTTACTCGACTTTTGACTTTGGGGATCATGCAAGAAAGTTGTACAATGAGATTGGTGATCCGAAGTTTATTTATTTAGGACAGTTTTTTCAAGATTTTTTTCATAAATTTAATTATTTTATCTTCTTAAAAACTCAAAAAGCCCTGAATGCGCCGCATGGACCACTCATGGCGCCGGATTATTTGATCGAAGAAATGAAAAAGTTGTACCCAGACTCGCCGAGAACTAGACTGACGTATCTTGCAATGGTGAAAGCGATAGATATGGAAATGGAAAAGCTGTTGGGAACAATTTGGATGAAAAACGAAGAAAGAGATACTATAATAGCAACGGGTTTAAGTCAAGAATAACAATTGATCGAAATCAAGGAAGAAACCCTCTGAAAGTTTTTCAATCTGACAATGGCGGGCCTCTGTACATGAATGGGAGACCAAAGGATCTGGACCCTTCAAGATATCGGCAGGCTTGCAACTACCCCTATCTCGGCGAGAAAACGCTCTTGACCGAGGGTGGAACGCTTTCTCCGACGATAGGTTAGCCGAGCCTTCTGTATCCTTGACACACTTATATTCAGTTTATTCGGTAAAAAATCGATTCCCGAAGCGCAATCTTCCTCACTTATTCCACATTTCTGACTGGTTCCCGACTCTTCTTAGCCTCGCTCACGTTCCTGAAGGAAAGATATTTAAATGTCAAATTCAGAATAGAGCCAAATCAAGACCACATTCTTTGTCACTTTCTAAATATCAAAATCAGCCGAATATGGAAAGCAAAAGAACTTGGACGGAATCAATCAAGTTTCAATCTTCGGATGGAAGGTAAAAGTTCTAGGAAAGATCTCTGTTGTATCATGAGGAAATCGATGATATAATACATTTTGAATATAAAAATTGGATTAAGAAAGTAGCCAAACCGCTGCGGACGAAAATGGTCTATGGCCTGACAAATCATTTCACGGTAGAAAACGGCTGGGACGTAAAATTCGTCGCAAGAGTTGGAGAAATGAAATATTACAGTTACAAAATCGAGGTAAAACCGTTCGTACGCTTCTTGGCGAAATGAGTTTTGAAGGCACCGGTGCTGAAATGTCCAGAAGGATTCAGCAACGACAAGTTTCTGCGGCTTCTGCGAGACGACTTGGGAAATGACAATATCGTGGAGATGATGGGTCGAGTCCGAAACGCAAGTAACACGATTCTTGGGAGCAGAGTCAAAAGAGACCATAAAGGATATTCTCTTTTCAACTTGACGGCTGATCCTTTTGGTAAGACAGGTTGCCGAGACGAGCTTTTCATCAATAAAATTCAGAGCAAAATGATCTGGCAAAAGGCGAAGCCTACCTCAAATCGGTCAACGCTCATCTCGTCGAAAAATACGGCGAAGGCATCGGTAAAAAGACAATCAAGGTCGAAAACCGCCTCGGCTGGAAACTTCCGATAACAGGGCCAAAGCACAATTTCTGGAACCGGATCTACAGTTTCATCACTCCGCAAAGAACGAAAAAGTTTCTCGCAAAATCAGGACGAATTAACGGAAAATTGGTTGGGCTGGACTTTTGTGAAAGTAAAAAGGATGAAGAACTGATGCTTGAAATTTTAAATCCGGTACAGGTAGGGTAGAAGCTTTTTTATACAGTAAAAATTGGTGATAGAATGAATCATTTAAAACAACAAAAGTTAAAAAAAATTCAGATAAAAACTTCGAAAAGAAAGAAAAAGACGCAACACATCCTCACCAAACTCATAACAAACCAATTTCCCTCACTCGCCGTAAGTCTCGATTCATGAAAAATTCTTTCATGAAAGATGAAGCTTTAAAATTGCCTGAAACCATCAATTCTGTAAATAAACAAGATCTATGTTTTTTACTCGTTGCATTTTATTTCAGAGAAGGATTTTTTGGAATGATAAGAAGGGGTTTCGCTGTTCTTCCTTGATTTCAGTGTTGAAGCTTTATATACAGGAATTGTTTCAGGGAGGGGTAGAATGAGGAAGACTTATTTATTCGGTAGGAGCAGTCGGCTAGATAAAAAATAAGTTTCACGATTCTAGTGAGTTCTAAGGGCATCTAGGCATTTGACTAACCTTAGTCCCATTGACCAACGGCTGGCTCATTTGAGATTCTGTGTCCATTAGTGAGGTATCAACGCTTCCGCGGGTCTAGAAATTTTTTAGGAAAAGAGTTAATTGGAAATGATTACCGGTCGAATCATATTTTTCTTCGACAATTTTCGCTCGGCTCTTCGATCGACGGATTTCTTCGTGGTTCTAGTGAGAACATAGATGAATTCCAAGACGCAGATGAGGATCGACAAGCATGTGACCTAGAAATCTATGTTGAGTATTCTTTTTGGGTGGTGACTTACAGTAGTCATGTAGAGCATAAAAATAGTCTTCTCCCAAGGCCTCGAAACCCAGCAGGGAATGAGCGGATTCTGGGAGCAAGCGGAGTTGTCCTCAGTTTCTCCATGAGTGCACTCGTACTTTTCAGGAACCCACATCGCAGCGATTCCGACCTTTTTCGACTGTTGCTGCTGGAGAACGTAGGAAAAGTAGAGGAAGAGGATTTCGAGGAAGAGCTTGAAAAGAAGATGGACAATGTAAAAGGTGCGGATGCGAGGGGTCCATTTGACTTCGACGACGTCGGAGTTCGAAGTGATGGTGAGTTTCTGCTTCATTTTGTCCATTCCGAGCTTCTTTTCTTTCGAGTTGATTCGGGACTGGTAGGCTTTGTACTGGTCGCTTGAGAAATAATCAGCCTGAAAAACACTATCTTGGTGACGATCAAGTGAAAGGGTCTTACCGTTCTATTCTTCTTTTCCTCATCAGCCCGCTCTTTCTTGACAAGCTCGATCTTAGCGATTTCGAACTGGGCGAAAGTCATGAAGGCCAAACTTGGAAGACAGACGAACATCATTTGAAAGGCCCAAAAGCGCATGTGCGAAATTGGCGAAAATCGGTTGTAACAAACGTTTTGACAACCCGGCTGATTTGTATCGCAACGGAACGCGCCCTAAAAATAATGTTCTGAAATTTTTCTCCTTTATTTTTTGAGTTTCTTGTTATTTATTGAGGCAACTTACGCTTTCATCGCCATAGACAGCTGATCCGACGACTGCAGTAATGAACATTCGGAAGGTAAAAAGCAGGAACATCCACATGTAGCCCAGCGGAGTACTGTAATGCAGCGCCTTGTTGACTGTATTTTCTAAAATACCCCACACCATTTTGAGGTTTGTTCTCTGTCAGTCTCTTTTTTTTAACTTTTTTGTATTCTCGTTTTTCGGTTTTTGGCGCGGAAAAGAATGACAAAACGAAAAGGGCAAAATCTGATTTTGATCCTCTTTTGCGAGGGCGCCACAAATAACTGTACACAGCTGGAGACAAGGAGGGCGAGAAGTGGACCGATCCTTATCCGGAGCGTCCCGGTTTGAGCGTAAATAAAAGCAGGGAACGTAAAATTGGGGCTTTTAGGTCACGTGACGTTTTCGAAATGGATAATTGAGACTAGTTCCATACAATTAAGAGGATCGAGAATGTTAGACATGACTCTTGATCGAGTTTTATGTCAGAGATTACAAACTTACATCCTTATTTTATCCTACAACAGTGAAGTTGATATTGAGATCATCTGAAAGTCAACATCGAGTTATGACATAAGTGATTTTTCAAGCAGATTTTCGAAGGCCTGATTGAAGCAAAAAAATCAACTTTCGTATCCTGCCTGCTGAAAAAGGATGAAATCAATAACCAGCTTTTTTGGCTCGAAATAATTTTTCGAGAAATTATCGTCAAGGGGGTCCCTAATCCGATAAAAAGAAGAACCGGGCTCTTAATTCTGACAAACTCCGACGGAGCATAACGATCTTTTCAAATGTTAAAAGAGCGCTAATTTTACGGGATCGTCCTTTTTTGGTTCATTCCTTGACAGTTTTTCATGGTCCTTGAGTCCAGTTTTGATTGATTACAAAAGATTTTCCCTTGAGTGTCTCAAAGGCCTATCGCATGTCTACCAGACAAATTTTTACTTCCTGGCAGATGGTGTCAACGACTTGATAAGGCTGGACGGATATTGGCTTAAGAATTTTATATTGGTTGTTCTGGAGGGTTATAAACTCAATATACAAAAAGAAGAAAAAGAGATTCTGTGTTTGTCACGTGAGTATTTTTATCAATAAACAGAGGTATATTTAGTAAAAAAAAGTCAAACAGATTCTTCTGGATCCGAAATTTCAACAGCTTTTTCGTTGATCACTTGAAGCCTCGGAACCATGGATATTGAATCGATAGAAATATGATCATTTGTCGAAAGAATGATGTTTTTCTTCGTCTTAAAAACAGTTGGGCAGAGAAAAAACGATCAGAGTACCTGGGGACTCCTAGCAGAGGCAGATGCATTGCCGAATGTCTTTGGCGAATGAGGACTTGACGGAATTTTTTGATCTGGACTGTACGTCCTTATTATTGGTCGTTTGGAAGAGCAAAATGAATCCTCCGTTTTATTGGAAATCAGAGATCCTTTCGAGTCCGTGCGCTGAGAGACGAATGGCTAGGCTTACCGGACTAAATTTCGACCCCTATTTCTAGCTTAGTTAGGTGGTCATATGATACAGTTTTAGAAAGCCTAGCTTCTGGGCTTTCATTTGGGCACAAATTTTAGGGGTCTGGGTCATGCCCGCAAGGCAATTCATGGGACCTGAAGTCCCAAAATAGGTACTAGAATCCTTTAAACTACTTTTTCGATGCCCGTCCGGGCTCGAGAGTAGTCAAGAGTCGCATATTTAGAAAGCTCAGGCTCTGAGCTTTCAGTAGAGCTCAAGAAATCTTAGCGCCAAGCCGTTTGTGGCCACCTGGAGGCGCTAGAAGCTTGCGGTGAAAATCCGGAAATGCCGGAAAACTCGGTTTTTGAGTTCTAAACTCTACAATTATATGTATAAAACATATATATACAATAATTAACGCGTTAAAAAGTTGAACCGCGGTCGAACCGGGTGGTTCAACTCTACAAACCTTCAAAAACATGGAAATATGGCCCACGATGAACCACCCGGTTGACCACCCGGTTCGACCGCGGTTCAACTTTTTAACGCGTTAATTATTGTTTATATTTGTTTTATACATATAATTGTAGAGTTTATAACTCAAAAACCGAGTTTTCCGGCATTTCCGGATTTTCACCGCCAACTTCTAGCGCCTCCAGGTGGCCACAAACGGCTTGGCGCTAAGATTTCTTGAGCTCTACTGAAAGCTCAGAGCCTGAGCTTTCTAAATATGCGACTCTTGACTACTCTCGAGCCCGGACGGGCATCGAAAAAGTAGTTTAAAGGATTCTAGTACCTATTTTGGGACTTCAGGTCCCATGAATTGCCTTGCGGGCATGACCCAGACCCCTAAAATTTGTGCCCAAATGAAAGCCCAGAAGCTAGGCTTTCTAAAACTGTATCATATGACCACCTAACTAAGCTAGAAATAGGGGTCGAAATTTAGTCCGGTAAGCCTACGAATGGCCGACCGCGTTTTTGCTCGTTGATGTCTAAATAAAAAGGTTACGGTTACGTCTACGATTACCGGTATGATCATCTAAATGGGTATAAGTTCATTTTAGTATTTAGTAAAAATAGAGATGTTTTACATAAAAATCAAGAAAATGAAGGTGAAATCACTTTTGATGTCAATTGTCAAGGTTAATTTATACTAATTGCCTGCACGTAATTAAATAAAATACGTTATGACATTTGTCCCTACCTGCAACAGAATACGACTTCTGCGGCGGTGATTTTTTCTTCTGAGCTGGAGCGGCTGTCAAACTACTTCTTCTACTTTGCGGTCTAAAATGATCTATTCAGTGCGAACTTTGGAACGGACGTGCTCATCAATTATTCATGATAGCATTTTGTTTCTACCTCTTGCTTGTTAGACAAACATACTGTAGCTTCTCTCTAAAAGAAATTAACCTGGAACATGGAAGAGGCATTAAAAAACCTCCTGCATCAATGGACGGTCTTGGTCCTCGGCGATGGTGGTAATTTCGGATCTTATCTTCTTCGTCTTCCTTTTTTGGGCTTCAGACAAATTCTCAATATTCACTAGAATGCTCTCCAGAACCCGTTCCTCGACATCTGATAAATTCGAAATGCCGCCAAAGCTCAGTTGACTCCTACTCGATCTTCTTGATCCACTCATGCTCGACCTGTCGTAGCCAGTTCCAACTGAGATGCCCATAGAAATGCCCGATTCTTCAATGTCGAAATGATTTTTTCTTTTTTCACCAATATTTTGGTCGTGCGCAGATCTGATGTGAATCGAAGTGACTGTTATTGCCATTGTCAGAATGAAGCCGATCAGTCCAATAACTGCGACGAAGAATCCAGCTAATTTTGGTTCAACAAAGGAAGTGGCAAAAAACCCGTTCAAAAACGATGAAAAATTAAGTTTTGAGGTCCAAAGCTTGAGATCCAACGACAAGTGGTGACGGTCTCACGCGATTTTCAATAAATTTTGCAAGTTAATACATGTTTATAACAGCTTTCAAATTCAATTAATGTAGAATCTAGAAGCATTTGAAAAATTCCTTCTGCCGAAATTTGTCGCAAGCTGGGTTTGATACAAAAGCCAGCCGCCCATGGCGACTAATGTGCAACTTTTAAGAGGGAAGATCAATATTAGGCCTTAGATGAGAGTGGACTAAATCTAAAAAGATACCGCTACTACCCAAAAATTGCCGTAATCATTACAATCCCTTTCCTGGAAGCAACAAGAAGTAAAGCAGCAGTGCTGTGCAACCTAAAAAGCTTCTTCCCAGGCGACCGATCCGGCCTTCTTGAATGAATCCCAATCCCATACAGCGATAAAAGAAAGCAACCAAACTCGTAGAGGATCAAAAATATAACGATGCCCTTGGTAGAACTGTCCGTGTCCACGTAAAACTCATCCTTCCGCAACGCGATGACTGAAATCTAAATGCATCGTTCATTTCGGTTGATACGGTTCATCGCGAAGCGCATTTTGTTTTGCCACAAATTTTCAAGTTGCACCTTTTTTCAGAGAAAATTTTCAAATATCATTTTCGAAATCATAATTTCTTAGGAAGTTTAAATTGCAACTTACTGTAATAACCGAGACTGTTGATTCTACCAAGCTCAAAACCAGCAAAACATTCTTCATATTATTATCTCTTTATTATCTCTGCTTTTCTATCTCTCTTTTTGTCTCTGGATGAAACTGGCGTCGGAGCAAAAACTATATGTCGAAAGAAAAAGTTGAGGAGGAACCGGTTTCGTGCAAAAATGAAGAGAACAACCGTTGTTTCTTATTCAAAGCTGCTGAAAAATTGATTACTTGCTTCAGTCACTTGTTTCTCCACAGTCGCTGAAAAGTCAAGCGGGCAATTGGGACTAAAGTGCGTCCTCCCTCGATTATATTTTACTGTATAGGCAGGAAAATACCTTCAGCAAGATTCGCATTTCATTTCTTACTTTTCGCTGTTTCGTGGATACACTGTGTTTTTAGATAAACGACGACTTCAACAACGCTAATTCGTATCAGCTGTATAAACCAAAGTCAAGTTAATCTCAAGAAACAATCGTTGCCGTTCATTTTTCGTAGATTCACTCTCTTTTCGGTTTATCATCGAATATGGCAAAGTTCATTGATAATTGCTGAATAAATTGGAGAATAAATCCATCTGGTTGAGACTCAACCGGTAAGATCATCCCTTCAACTTTCGTTATGGTCTACAGTAAATACCGCTGGTTTGGGACGCTCAAAAATCCTGCTAGTCTGGGACGGTCGGGCGAAATAAGGATCAAAGGCAAGCGCCCACGGCGAGTGTTTTTAAACTGACCGCTTTACCCCGAAAGCGAAACTGGCGCCCGAGAGTCGAAAGCGAAAATCCTGCTGGTTTGGGACGCTTTCGTGAATTAGGACCGTCCCAGACCAGCGGTATTTACTGTATTTGATCTCGTTATCAGACAAAAACATCTATATTTGTATTTGATAAGTCATAAATTAAGGGTCTTACGCGTCTTAAACCGCGTGTTTCCGATGATATCATCTCTCAGGGAATCTGTAATTCACTGTTTTTGTATTTTTATGATGCCGCTCAAACGAAAAAATAAGCAAAATGGTGATATATTTATTCGAAATTTGAATTTCAAATTAAAAATTGCACTTCCTCCTCTGAAGACCTGACAGTTATCCAAAACCTAACGTGTTCAAAAGCAGTATTTGAATACCGCTATTTCGAGGTTGTTGAGCTGATATTGAAAAGACACGAATCGCTAGAATCAGAGGATTAAGAATTCAAACTTCAGTTTAGGAGTAGCTCTCCATGAACGGTTTTGCGTGAAATGACAGAGTACCGTCCCCTTAATCCTCTGTTCACAATTCAGAATCTCGCTCTTAATCGCCGAGTCAAAATTTAAGTGACCTCTTATTTATTTATTCCCTGAAATTTTTGATCGGTAAACTTAGTCGGGCCTTTCTTTTTTCGTTAGTAAGAATTTCTTTAAGACCGCTTGTAACACGAAATTTTCTAAGGTAGAAATGAGACTAACGCTCACAGCACGATTTTCGTTACTTAGCGAAATCCTTCGACGAAGATCTGCTAAGCTGATAAATCTTTATTTTCAAGAGAGAATTATTGTTTCCGGCCGTTCGAGGCCAAGTTTTAGACGTAACGTGTTACAGGTCTTTATTGCTCGCAAGAAAGCTAGATAATGCTTGGTAGGATAAGCAAAATTGCGAAAGGATTTTAATAAGAATCGAAGATAAACAAGATAGAGCATTCCATGCCAAGAAAAACAAGACACGCGGTCATGCCTTCTTCGTTCATCTCTTTTTCGAAAAATCAAAATATATAAACAAGTTCACGTATAGCAAAATGCTAGCTGCTTCTTCCACCTGCCAACTTCCATGAACTTGTTTAATGTTTTGATTGTCATGGTTAAGTTTTTAAACAATTCAATCTGGCTTTTATATTTCTCAGCAAGCTCTGAATTTTCTTGAAGCATTGTTATGTTTTTGCACAATATTGTGTTGTTTGTTAAAGCTCCACGAGTCATCCTCTTACAAGGTCAAAAATACTTCTCCTCCACCTTTTTTTCTGTTTTTGAACTGAAGCTTAGCTTCAGTGTTTAACAAACGCACCAGCTATTGGTTAATACCCCTGATTTTGACCTTCCACAGCTTCAAAAAAACGCTGGTTTCAACTTTGGAACAAGGCGGTTCCCAAGAAGCCGTTTGGCTAAGAAACGTTTAGCCGTTTATTTTTTTGATAATAAAAATTTATCAAATTTGCGATTGGTTCACTGCCCTCGAATTTCTATTCAAAATTTGAATTGATTTTCCTCCTCGCCTTTGAAAATAAACAAGAACTTTGAAATAAATTAAGTTAATAGGTCGAGATTGACAATTGGATTTCCCGTTTTACCAACATCCATCGATTAAAGAATTCGAAGAGCTTTGCGAAAATAGCGTTATTTAGAGCGCAAAAAAGGATAAAAGATGCATTTTTCGGACTTGTTTTTAATATAAGGGATCGTCCAAAATTCATAAGATAATTTATCTTGCTCTTTTGCTGCTTGAAATTGCACAAGTCAGGACGAACTGAAAATAAGAATCAGAAATTTAATTCAAGAATTTGTTTATTTGGGGTTTCCTCTTTGCTGTTTGGAAGAAAAAAAACTGAGTTCTGAAAAATAAACTTGGTTCAAAGCAAAATATTCTGAGCGGATTAAATCAAAGTCATTTATTGAAAGTTTTCGAGAGAAAGACTGGCTCACTCCGCTTTGTGTTGGTGCTAAAAACTCACAGTGGCCAGGTACGGGCAAGGTGTCAAGCTGTGCAAATAGGATGCAAGGGGTTCACCGACATGTGGTACCCACTGCGAAGTCCCGCAGAGACTGCTCCTAGCACCAAAACTGAGCAAGGCTCGGTGTGAAGATGACAAAGTTAGCAAAAACAAGGTGAACTGAGCTGCAAAATCGGATCAAGCTCAACCGGTTAAAAGTGAAGATATAAAAGAATAAAGATTGAAATTTTATAAAATCTCGCCTTATATGGTTTTTTTACGGAGATTTCGATTATGAGCCCCAAAATCATCTCCATAAAAAATCTAGATTCCCTTGGCGGTCATCTGCTCTTTTTGCCTTGGCACATTTTTCTGGACTTTATTTTGAGCAGACAATACCAATTGGTACCGGTCTCAGAATCAAAATCTACGAAAAATTACTCTACAAGGTTTTATGAAATTCCATTTTTTTACTCTTTTAAAACATCACTTTTTGGCTTATCCTCGGCTTAGCTTGCTGATTTTGAAGCCATCTCACACCGAGCGTTGCTCGAAATTGGTGCTTGGACCAGTCTCTGCAGGACATCGCAGCAGGCTGCGCGTGTCGGTGGGCCCGTTGCATCCTATTTGCACAGCTTGACACCTGCCTGTACTTGGCCACTGCGAGTTTTTAGCACCAACACAAAGCGGAGAACCCCGAAAGACTTACGTTCACGATCAGAATAAGAACGGTAGTATTCTGATCTTAAAAATCCCTGAACGAAAATAATTTCGATCAAATTGAACAAAACTGTACGGAGAATTAAAACAGAATCTTATTTTCGGCTGTTATGATTGATAACTTACGAAATCTTGAGAAAAGGGGGGGGACCCTTCTTCGTCATTTTACTTTCTGCATGTGCTCTCTTCTTCAACCCAAGGCCACGTAGTCTTATTCGTATGCCGTAAGATTCCCTTTTCCTCAATAAAAAACTCCAACTACAAATTTAGGGCAATTAAAATAACGTCGAAGCAAGTGTAGACCAAAAGCAAACCATTAGAAGAAAATTATTATGCCATTAGGTTGGAAATTATGTTACTCGTATCTAATGAAAAATATCAAAATAAATTACCCGAACACAATCGCACCAAACCTTATTGATGACTTGTTACATCAAAAATTTTCACGGACATCAAACTCAACATTTGCACCTGCGCGCACGTTCTAGCGCCCTCATTACTATCAGCGCCTGTCTACCTCTTTTGAGATAATAACATGGGCGATCACGAAAAGTAACTCATTGACCGATACCACATTTACGTTTCAATAAAACCATTTGTCAATAATTTTGAATACATCCAAAAAGATATTGGCATTTTTCAACTAACAAGCAGCGTAAAAGGAAGAGTCCGAAATAGAGAAAAATGAAGCCAACAAAATATTTTAATTTGACAATTGTTTCTATGGCAGCAGTTTTGCAGAAGAAACGGCTTTCAGGAAAGGTTGAAAAGGTTTGGTTTATGAAAAAAGATGATTCTTTGCGATCAACCCTAAATAGACAAGAAAATTGCTCAAACAAGGCGAAAGAAGAGAGAACTTGGTGGAGGAAGTCTGCATAGTGCAGGACTTGATTTTTCGTTCAATGGAGATAAGATGGAGGTAAATCTATCATGAAACCCGTGAGGTGTTTTCTAAAGTGCCTTGGAATGCACCTTCTGTCAAACGCCCTTATCATCCGACCTTGCCCATGCTGTTTACGTTTTGAACCGCATGAATGCATAAATTTCTTTTAGACTTGTGCCGACTTAGAAGACATTCCTGGGCGAGTTGATGAGTCGTGTCCAATGACTGGAAATTTCACCGACGGACTTGCATGCAATATCAACTGCGATAGCGGCGATACGATACCTGTTAAGTGCGAGTGTAGATATCTCGAAGATGGGCCAATGAGACTCTTTATGGGCTGTCACTACGCTTTTGAGGAGGGAGAGTGTCCCGAAGTAGAAGTCGCTGAAGAAATATCAGAAGACGATGAGCTAGAATCACCTTCGTTGCCGACTGAAAGAATTGAAGAAAACCTTGCAACTGACCCAGAAAAATTTCACAAGCTGGAATTCGACCATCAATATCCGCACAATTCGCTTCCTCAAAACGACCCTCCTTTAGCTCAGCATCTTCAATCGTTTTACCCAGCCAATCCCTACCCTCCTGTTCAATACCCACCTCAATATCCGTTCCAACAACATCAACAGCAGCCGTATTATCCAATGATGCAAATGCCTCCGTCCCAACTCATGCCTCCAGAAACAACCATCGAGGATCAAAATTTAGCTGACACCAAGGTACATGTGTAAATATCGAATCAACATCATGCTTCTAACCGCAAAAAGCGTGAACGGCTCGTTTATTAATTCAATATCAAATTCATTAACCAGTGTTTAGGAGCATTTTGCGAAGTTTTTCTCGGCAATGGAGAAGCAAGAAAATTCAATAATGAAGATTTCTGGTCAATTCACCCTCTCGAAGTCCTCCGAATTGTCAAAAAACATCCCGTTTGCGACACAAAAAGCTCTAATTGAGCGAGAAATCGAGTCTTTAGCTAACGACGGTCATTTTTTCGAGGACTTTTCAATCGAATCCGCCTCTTTTCGCACTGAAAATGCTCTAGAAACCCCTTTTCTCGAGGACCATCAGAACTCATTTTTCGACTTTGACTTTACCGCCCTTATTGACATCAATAATGATCATAAGCTTGGCGATGATGAGTCATTAATTGACATTAATAACAACTGTGATGATAAAAAAGTATCATCCTTTTTAGAAGAAAGTTTAAAAGATTTAAACGGACTTGTTTCAAGTTCGATAATCGTTTTAAACTGCGACATGATTTCACAGGAATCTCTGAGGCTTCACTCGATAGAGAATTATTTGAAAGACATAACGATGGTAGTGCAAAGTTTCATGCAAACAAAGAAGCAATTGGAGGACCTTCAAGAAGATATTCTAAAAGAATCCATGACCACAACTCAGGTACAAAAAATGAGAGATTTTCTGAATAAAAGTTCAAATTTTAGACTTGTTTTTGTCATTTTTATTTTTCCTTACATTCTAACAAAGCCCCAAAGAGTCTTTGGCAAAGACCATAAAACAGTTATATTTTGTATCAATAATTATTTTTATAAAAACATCCACATTGAACTGATTCTCAAATTCTTTTCAAGATAATATGGCGCCCCATTGCTTTAAAGATTAATTTATTTTTTTTAAGTCTCCATCATCAACAACGTCATCATCAGACCCGACCGACATCGAAAACTGGAAGAAAGATCTTGAAAACAGTGTTTTGGAAAAGTTCGAGGAGCTAAAAACCATGATTGCAAGCTCTAATCTACCAAAAACAGATTCCCCAAATGACTCAAAAACGGAAGACAACGACGATTACAAGCTTGACGCAAAACTCTATGAAGACGATGCTGATGGTGATGATGATCTCGACGAAGAAATGGTAAAATATAAAAGTTCCATTTTTCGTAAAAATTTTAATTTTTCAGGCTTTTGAAATGCGTCGACGAGCGCCACTACCCGTTTTGGAAAACAACAATAATATGCGACCTGGAAGAAGACATCCGAAATTCGTGAAAATTGTACGATTTTAAAAACTAAACATAATTTGTAGAAAGAATATTAACAGAACAATGCGTGACTGTACAAAGTTTGTAAAAATGACGATTTTTTGAATAAATGACGATTTTTTGAATCTTTGGTTTTTATTTAACAAATTATTGTTGGGCAGGAATCAATGCAAATTTCAATTGAGCAGGTCATTTCGTATGCTTCTGCGCCGGATAATCCAAATGCTTTGAATTGAAAGGTTTTGTCGGAGGAAGAAAGGAGGTCAGAAGTCAGCTCGAAGTCGAGGTATTGGGAGGCAAGGGCATTTGGGCAGTTGTTTTCGATGATTGGGAATGATGAGTCTATGTTTGTAGCACCTAAATTCAAAATAACTTTCTTGAAAAAGAAGGCATCTAATTGGTATTTGACGAAAATTTTTTGTTTCTAAGTTTATCGAAAATAGAAATTTGACAAAAAATAATTCTGTTGAATAAAGTTCATATTATGAAAACAGCATTCTTTTAATCCCATTCCACTTTTTTCAAAAACAATCAGATTGACTTTTTAGATGAACTTAATTTTCTGCCATAAACAGGATCGCGATTCAAGTCTACCGAATCACAATTGAATTTGGACAAAATAAACATAGCGGAAACAAATCTGTTCCTGTGGAAGTTTTTTCGCAATTCTTGCGCGTTTTTCAAGAAAAGAAAACAGTATCTTACCAACAGAGCAGTCAGAAATGTAAAACTGAAATGGCGCCTCGTCGAGTCCTGTTTCGCTGAAATCATAGAGGACTGATCCATAAATAGTCGAGCCGATAATGAAGACGTCGTGTTTTGGCCCAACGCCCATGAGATCCAGTGCAAATGACCCGCTTAGATCTCCCGTTTCTGTCGACGAAATCGTTTCCTCAAATTTCTCTAGCTCAAATTTCTCAAGAAAAGCAAACCTTTTCTTCATTTTCCATTTGAAAAGTCTTGAACATGAATGACTTAATTACAGTTTTCGCGTATTCACATCTGATAAAAAGCTCTTCATCATGCTTCGCTTCGTTGGAGAGGTGAATGGAAGATTCAAGGATTAGACTTTCGGACTCTTCGGCGAAGGAAATTCCACAGATGTTGAGGTCGTGAACGGATAGCTCGATTCTTACGAAATTTCTTTTGATGAGTTTTCAAAAAAATATTTTCAAACTAACCAAGATAGCAGACTACCAAAGTGCAGTAAGATGCAATTACAATTTACTCAAAATTATTGAAAAATATCAAAGCTTATCAGAAGAAAAACATCAAAATGCCATTATAAACGCGGTTATTATGGTTTCTATTCAGAAAAAAAAACGAAAAAAATATCTTTAAAAACTCGTTCCTTTGATCTTCAAAATGCATTTCCATCTTCGAAAACTCAAGCAAGCAGTCTCCCGCGCTCAACTTCGCCCCTTCCCCTTCCTCATTAGCATGGTCGAAGATGCACTCATCGATTTCAATTCTAACACCACTTGCCAAGCAGCTATGCTCAATTTTTTCTTCGAAAATGTCGCTCTCAAGAAAGCATCCCTTCGATGGATGAAAGTCCCAGCAAGAGCCGGGGCAGTTGGATTTTCTGACGAAGGAAAGAAGATTTTCTTGCATCGCGATTTCGGAAGATTCGATGATGGTGTTTTGGTTGAAGTCAAAGGCGGGAGTGGAGTTGAAGATTTCGAGCATGTTTTCTGGCAGAATCCAGTCACCTGAAAATCAATCGAATAAAAAATGACAAAAATCTTCCGTAAAAATTTCTTACCTACTGAAGGATCATCAATAAACATGACCAATTCTTCTCTGTTGATCACAAAATTATCTCCAAGAATCAAACTGTCCCAGTCAACAGGTTGAATTACTGAAGCTTGCAAGACTTCACAGCTCATAAAAAGCAAAAACACCGAATTTTTCATTTTTCGATTCGTTCTTTTTTAAATTTGAAAAACTGAAGTTTTGTATCTTGGAGAAAATGGGGTCAGTTATATATGGCCGGGCACTTGGGGGAAGGAAATTACAAGATAGATTTTCTGATAAGTGGTTGCGCCTTGAAACATCGGCGAAATTTCGGAGATGAAACAAGGTGGAAGGTTTCAATAGGAAGTAGTTTTACGGACTTCTGGGTTTAGCGGGCGCCGACATCGGCGATATGCTAATGAGTTGGAAAGATATCCTTCGAAAAACCTGATCAAATGAATGAATTGATTTCGACTAAAAACAAGAAGAGCACTTAAAAATTGGGACTCCCTGACTATGTCGTGAATGTCGTGAATGTCGTGAATGTCGCGAATGTCGTGAATGTCGTGAATTTCGAGGCGAAAAAATGACCAAGTTGAAAACAACTTTGTTCTAGAAAATGAGTATCGTCGTTATCGTGCAGAACAGGAGGCGCGAAAATACCACTAGATGTGTTACCACTCCGATCAAGGAGTTTTCTACCAGAAACTGCGCGGAGCGCTTCTTTATCCCATACTTATATATTTTTTCTGTTAATACTCAGGTTAGAGAGGTTAACCCGTTAACAGGGGCGTGCAGGTTTGACCTGCACGCGTGGAAACGGGTAGCAAATCACTACTCAGGATCCATGATTTCAGTCAATCACAGACAGGCAAAAGCGTAGGCAAAATTGACCACCCTGTTAAAGGGTTAATCGGTGAAAAAAAAATTATTTTCGATAATCCGATGAATTTGTTGTTTTTTTCTAGAACATTTTTTTTTGCTTTTTTGGCAACGGCATTCACGACATTCGCGACATTCACGACATTCACGACATTCACGACATAGTCAGGGCGTGCCTAAAAATTAACAGAAAGATGTTCTGACTCCCTAACCTCCCTTTGGCAAACAAATCTTATTAAAAAAAAATATCAGGTCTAGCTTGTTCAACGGCAAACAAGTTCCATCTTGCATCAGAGTTACCGTCCTTACGCAACGATGACAAGTCCCGCAGATCATCGTTAAAAATGCTTTTCTGTTCATTTTTACGATGATTTGAGCTCAACTAGGGAAGTGGGACGGGCAGACGAGTGACCTTATTTTGATCAATCCGTGCCAAGTCTAATAAAAAGCTGTTTTCAATACCGTGACCTCACTAGACCCGTGGTCAGACCGAACCAGTTTATTTGGGCGTTGCCGTTGCTGATTGGCCCCTGCCACTTTTTCTAATTCTACTTATTGATCTCCTTGGGCACACCTATCCCAGATCAGAAAAAAAATTGAAACTTTTTCATCAAGAAACTTTTCAAAAAAAACTTTAACACGTGACAGAAATATGGGTCGAAAGGGGGGCCTTAATATCTTTTCAGACTTTCCCGCTTAGAAAGCAAAATAAAAAACATCACAACAAGAAAAAGAAATGCCGAAGCCAACTGCGAATTCCTGCTCCGGAATCTTTGGTAAATACTTATTCTGTCAGATACATAAATACTCCCTAAATTCAGATGCTTGCCGAACCTCTGGATCATCCTCTTCCAGTGATTGCAAAAAATACAAAGAAAGCTGCTCCAAGTACGTGAATTTCAAGCGAATCTTCCCCTCCGAGTACGCCCCATCTACCAAAAGCGATTTCCTGATGAAGCAATGATGACCAAGAAGAAACGATTTTCCTTCGACAAATTGATCCATTCGTCCATTGTTTTAGTATGACTGTAGTTGAACCGGCCTGTCTGAATCAAATAAAGAGATTACCTTTATCCTTGTTTCTTTGTGCACTGCCACCTCGACTTCGATAGGTTCAAGTGCTTTTCGAGGTTATTTTTGAGATCGTTCAACTGAATCTTCAACCAACCGTTTCATCAATCGCCCGAATCGCCACAAATTTTTGCTCCAAACAGGTGATCCGAAACGGCATGCTCCAGAAAACTCACTGGCCCGTAAAAGCAGTGCATATTTAACCTGCCTTGGAAATGAACACTTTTGCATTTCGAAATTTCAATGAAGCTCTTTTCAACCCTTTTTCCTGCCGCCGCTCTCGCTTCCTGCCCGACCAAGTGGACTTTAGATGCATCAACCAGCAACTGCGTCCCCGATGGAGCTTTTGCATTCACCTGTAACGGCGATGGAACTGTGGATTTGACTCTAGAGATTGAGCACTTCTACACGAATATTCCAGCAGACACGACAACTCTGGTTGCCGGGCTAGTAAACGATGGATGGACACAAGACTCAAATGAACGGGGATGACAATTTTTCTAGTTTCAACAAAATTTTTGACGGTTAAGGCATATCATCTCTATTACAGTTATTTAAAATAACGTCGGCTCCGCTTACCTTCTCTCAAGCAGCTGCACAAACGATCACAGGAAAGGTTCAAAGAGAAATCGGCTTAAAAATATATCTTTTGTATTAATCTTGAACCTCTTGATAAGGAACCTACACGGTTTCCACTTCTGTTGCTGGAGAAACAACTTGGACTTCCGGATCTTCTGTTACCATTGTTACGGCTGATGCAGGACCGATATCTTACGATGTCACGTGTGAGTTCTCCACTGCAGTCAGTCTTCAACTTGGACAAATAGCGATTGGCGATGGCAATACTTATGATGGAAATGATGACACGACCGACTTGACCTTCACCTCTTTGCTAGAAAAAGTTGACGCGGCGACAGGTTATTGGAAATGTAGTAATTTATTGATAATCTTATCTTGAAGGGACCGCAACAGCAGCAACTTCGTGGAGCATCGGAGAAACAGTCAAGCTAACACTCACGCCCCCAGCTGCCCTAACCGATGTCATTATCAGTATCGAAAGCTGCCTCGCCTACTCTGACTCTGCTTACTCCGCCGATGAAATTTACATCACGCACGGAACTTGCTCAAACGCCAACATAGGCGCAGCCATTGTCGATCAATCCAGCATCATAAGTTTCGAAGCCTTTCAATATGATAGCGCAGCTAGTGAATACGCCTACATCGAGTGCAACCTCCAAGTCTGCCTTTCTAGCGATGGATCAACAGCGGATCTGGCCGCATGTGGTGATATTATTACAGCGAATGAGGCTTCTGCGTCTGCCGATGCTTCGACAAACGGCCTTACTTGCTAAACTGATGTTTTTTAAGAAAAAAACTGCTTTTTTTCTCCTTTTATTCATAAATAAATATAATCAAAAATACAATAAAATGGACTAAATGGGAAAGACGGAAATTTCCAAAATTCATGACGATATAGAATTATTCGCATATTCGTTCCACCTCAAGAAGCTTCGACTTCGTTTAGAGACATCTCTTGTTCATAAACAGAACGTCTTTCAACTGAAGAGGATTATTTTCTTTTATTTGGAATAATGAAGAAACGAGATTTTTGGATTACGGTCGCTACAATTATCATCTTCCTAGGTAATATAATTTACTAAAAATCTGCCGCGACTGTATTTATAATTAAAGCTGCTGGTCTCACGATCGTTGATCAGTTTTTCCCGTTTTCTTCACTTTTTGAAAATAAAGAATTCATGGATCACGTTACAGGTAGTGAAGTAAAGACTGTTCAGACCATTTTTTTCTTTGTTTTTTTCAGAAAATCATCCTCTTTCGAAAAGAGCCTTGACCCAAATAGAATTGACCGACTACTGCGCCTCGAACAATCTCAGCATTCCGTATGTCCGAGAAAAGGACGATTTTGAAATGCTGATCTTTGCTTGGCGTCCCTGTACCTTTCATATGATCAACAGAATCGAAGCGTTGGGGCAGTCAAATTACCGAATTTTTTTTCCGAATGGCGAGCCCATCAAACAGTTAGAATTTATTCAGAACAAATCTTCCCCCTAAAATTTCTTTCAGTGATTTTTTTGAGAAAGTAAGTGTCTCAACAAACTTCGACCCAGTTCAAGACACAGATGATGTTTATAAGAGTCATCGTTTGGAAGTACTTCACTTTGAAAAAGAAGATGAGAGCAATTTATTCAAACTTTCTCGCGAGTTTACATTTAGCGATGCTTATGCTTACATCAGTTATGCTCGAATATGCAAGGCTAACGGAAAGAAAATTGTCCGAACTCTCGGGAAAGACGATAAAATCAAAGAATACTCGAAGTATTACGCAGTCAATCACCAAAATAGTACCTTCATCTTTTACATTTACAGGTAAAAATTGAACGATGAAATTTAAAGAATAGGAAATTAAAAAAATTAAGACTAATGGATGCGAATGAAACCCAGACTTGCTCATCCGACTTTATTTTTTCTCCGAAAAATCCCGAAGACCTCCAAATCCTCAAGAAAATCTTCAATCATATTGATTTCCAAGCGCTTGGTGTCTACGAGGTTCGGCTCTTTTTTACTACTTCAATTCTAATTCTGTTTTAGAGATACAGACACACGCTTATTTTCGACATTGAAAAAGTGAATCAAACTCATTTTCATTCGCGACGTCAAAATAAAACGCTCGACTACTCCTTTTTTGAAAATACCGGCTTGATGGATCGCTTGAATGTCAAATTTGAAGACAAGGAAGACTACGACTCTGTTCTTTTTGGAAAAGAAGTTGACACGCCTACAGACTATTATCTCCACCTTGGCCAAAGGTACTTGTTCTTCTTTCTTTTCTTTGAATTTTAAGCTCGCGAAAATTGCGCGAGTTTTGTTTTCCTCCGCTTGATGAGCCCGCTCGCTTTCCCTGGATCTACGAGGGCCTAAACGAAATGGAGAAAAAAGAAGCAAAAGATAAAGTAAACGACAGACCAACTATTGAAGCTGATCGTGAATGATTGAATAAATTGTCGATGAAACAGATCTATTCTGTCAATAAAAACTCGCAAAAAAAAATTACCCATGATTCATTATTTATCTTATTTTGCACCAGGAAATCAACATTGGCGCTTGAGTTCGTTTGTGCACCGATTTAAGGGTGTCAACAACGATCGAATAAGGGTCTCTCTTATGATTCGACCAATAAATATCTTTTTATTCAGCTTACAAGGATTCCAAATCTTTTTCAGATCTGAAATATCTCATCTAGAACACGAGATATGAAACATTCTATAGGCGCGCTAATGCACTAGCGCTTGAGCTACTGAAGTAGAAATGCACTATTAGAAAGGTGATTTTTTAATTTCCGGTTTTATACATCAAACTATATATTAAAAAAATCTCTATTCGCTGATACCAATATTGATAAGATCAGGCAATTTTTTCAAGTTCGAACTGCGCGCCAAAAGTCGCAAACACCTGCTCTTTGGCGCCGGAAAAGATGATTAAGGGATTAATCAGCATACAATCTGAGCGCACCGGGTGATTGCCGAGGTATTAAACTATTATCCCTGTGAAAATACGAATATTCGAGCTTTAGAAACACCACTTAAATCGAGCACAAAAAATCGGAAAATCGTATGTTTACATAATGCATGCTGTCCGGATGCATGCATGCAAAATCGAAAAAAGGGCTTTCAGAGGCGTCGTACTTTTGTCTGAAGATTCTTCACTGAAAATTTCAGATTCACATCTCATCTAGAATTCTAGTAACGGGGGTCAAAAGTTACCCCTATTTTGTATAAAACGGGCTTCCTTTGAAGTCGGCGGGAGGATTAACGAGAGTACTAATCCAAAATCGGGCTTTCAGAGGCGTCACAAAAGGGTTTAAACTTTCTTTTGACATATGAAGAATCTTGAACAACCCAACTTAAGGTACCTCTACCGGGGTCAAAAGTTGGCCGAAAATCGTTGTTGACACCCTTAACCCTTGATTTTTTTTTCAAAAATTGCAAAGAAAAAAAATAAACAAAAAGAAAGAGAAGATGCAACGACTAAAGAATATTTTCTCCGCCATGGTCACTCCAGGTTTATTTCTATTGAAAGTTCGTTTTTTTTCAAAAAAAAATTAAGCACAGTCTGTTGAAATGGACCCCTCAATTTTCTTCGGCTCAAAGTGGTGGACAATCAATGATAATGTCATGGGAGGCGTCAGGTAAACTCATCAACGCATACCAGCTTTCTTTTTCACTTCTTTCTTTTTAGCACAGGAAAAGTGGAGAAAATAGACGAGATGCTAAAATTCACCGGACAATTGTCGAACGATTTCAACGGCGGATTCGCGAGCTGTCGGACGAAATTCAAGGCCGGGACAATGAAAGGTTTCAAAGGGATTGAAGTCGAAGTCAAAGGATCCGCACGAACTTTCCAAGCCAGATTCAATCCTGCTTTTTCGACTCAACTCGGTCGATACTCGCGGGTAAGCAAACGATAGAAACAAATATGGCCTCGCAATCCTTGCATTAGGGTTCGTACATGACGACTTTTGACGTGACTGAAGAATGGCAGCTCATCCGAATTCCGTTCGAAAAGACCACTTTCGACTGGAAGGGCCATCAGATCAAGGACGTACCGAAAATAAAACCTGAAACTCTTGTCGGATGCGGTTTTCTACTCTACGATCAAATTTACGACAAACCATTTGAATTGTACTGCAAAAACATGAAGGGATACAAATAAAGAAATTCATTTATCACGTGTTATTTCCTTTTGCTGAATACGAAAAGAGACAAAAGTTTGAAGTGAAAACTCTACGCGGAGACTAAACTATAAATCAAAAATCCTTACTCTTGTCTTCTCGCTTTTGATGATAGTTTCCAATAACCCAGTTCTAGAGATATGACGGAAAACATCGAAGGAAAGGGTCAAAAATGATAAAAAGGAGGAAAAGGAAGAAAATCGTAGTTCAAGAGAAAAGAATGATCGCTTGAAAAGATTCTAATGATTATGCTGCTCAGCTGATGGCAAATTTATTTTCCAAACACGCGAGAAAGGGAGACATCGAAGTGCCAAAATTCGATGAATTTTTGGACGAAAAACCTTCTGATGGGAAAATTCAAATAGAAATTCGTCGACCAAGGCTCTCTTAAAAATATTTTCCTCATTGATTTAATGGAGTCTAAAAGGTCCTCAATAAGGAGCCTTATTTAACAGAGGCAATAAGGAAACAGAATTCGTCGATGCAAAGATGCCTAAAGTCTTGCTTTTCCAATCTTGCCCCTTTTTTCTTTTTTTAAAGAAAAGATTTATAAGGGGTAAAGCCAAAGGTAGTTATCGCTACTTTTAGCCCGGGTTGATAATATTTAAAAAGTAAGAGGGCGGAAACAGGATATGTCCGTTTTTAATAAAGAGAACAAAGCGTTGATTGATAATTTGAGAAACAGTCTGTCATCGAGAAAGTCAGGGATTGGGCGAAGTGATAAGGGTGTCATCTCGTGAAAAAAACAATAATTCTAGCGAGGAAAATGCCATTTTTTAATGTCAGTAGAGAGAAAATCAACGAGATCGAAAAGTTCAGCGTCCAAGTAAGAGCTTCTTTTTTATGAGTTGACACCCTTATTGCCAGAAAAATGTCCCGGATTCGAGAGCTTCTCGGGCCGAAAAAATGGCAGAGCTGAGGTCAAAAGTCATGAGCGGGGGATATGGAAAAGCCCCTCAAGAAGACTATTCCAACAAGAATTCTAGAGAGAATATTTCTTCACCCGAATCATCAGATACCGAGACAGAAAACGAAGAGCTCGAAGAAAAAACTGACCCAGGTAAGATCACAAATCATCATAACAGGGACCTTCAACAGCTTTAACGACCCTGTACTTCTTAGCAAGTTCTCCTTTCTACTTTTCACATCGTTTTTTAGTTTTGAAAAATGACGAGATCGAGCAGAAGGAGCAGCTTGAACAAAATTCTAGCGAGAAAACTAGGCTGCACGGTTCAAGAATTGACCAACGAAAGATTTGATGATAGAAGCCATTTGAAAATAGTTTCAACGAGAAAATAAATTTGCAAAAAATGGACTTTTATCATCATCAAAAATAAAGTCCTGAGGAAATCCCAAAGACACCTTCTCCCGAACCAGCGCCTGAACCGATCATTGAGCCAGAACCAGCGCCAGAACCAGAACCAGTCTTTGAACCAGTTAGAGAACCAGAAGAACCAAGGAGAGCAGTCATTGCTCCTCCGAAGCCTCCCTCTCCTACGCCCCTGAAATCCGATAAAATAGAGCTACCGCCAAATCCAGCAGGGCTTGAAAACTCACAAATAGCTGACGAAGCAATAACTTGCAGTGGATTCTTGAGCGAAAGTGTCCCCTGGTAAGTATTTTTATTTTCGATCAAGTTCAACTTTCGTCAAGCTTTCCTTACTACGCGCGTCTGAACTCCGATAAATGCTGGGTATCCGATCAAGCTCCCGGTTCAAAAACTTTTCTTCAAATCGACCTTGGCTCTGATAAGTCGATTTCACATGTCGCTACTCAGGGTCAAGCACCGCACATGCAAGGATTGCAAAATACAGTCAATCGATGGGTTACAGCTTTTTATGTTCAATACTCCAACGATGGGCAGAAGTGGAAATTGTACAAGGCAAGGCTGGAAAGACAGTACATGACGACTTTTGTTGGGAATAGTGAGCACAGGTAAATATCAACGTCTTCAAATAATTTGAGACTTTTCCAAATCATTAAAAACGGAATTTATGTTTGTTTATCAACAAAAAACCCCACAGAAATCATTTCCGTTATGCGAAACACCCATATTTATGGTCTCTAGAAAACATTCTTCTACTAGTGATATCAAAATCAACACATTCCAGCCGCCAATTGAATCTCGTTTCATCCGAATCGTCCCTACAAAGACCTTCAGAAACCTTCCCGCTGCCCTCCGCTGTGAATTGTATTTATCGTGAAAATTATTTGTTTACTCATGTGGAAATTTGTTTGCAGACCTTTTGAGAAACTCAAATTATGAACTGTAAAAAGAGGAAATAAAAGCAAAAATATGCGAAGAGTTTTCGTTTTGTTTTTCGTACTTTTTTCCAATGCAAAAGAGATAAACCAGACAGAAGTCAATGTTGCTCGTGATGCTGTGCAAAGAAGGCCAGAGCTGAATATTGACCTTGAATGTGAGGAAATCAACGAAGAAGAAGAGACGGTAACAGACTCAGAAGGAGTGGCTGTGAGACTCAATCTCAGATGCTTTTCGAAGGGTTTTAATATGACAAGCGAAAACAAACAGGTCCTTGGAAATATTCTTGAAAATCTTAACGAATTGAAAAACTCGACGGGGGAAAACTCAACGATTTCTGACTTGAAAATTTCAAAAGAAATTTTGAATGAAAGAATTCAAGAATTTCAAACATTGAGCCGGGAAGAGAAAGTCGAAAAACTTGCGAATATGTGCTGGAAAATGCTTGTCTCCTACTCCGAATTGCCAAGGCAAATTCGACATGCGCAGGCGAAAAGATGTCATCGATGTCGAAATTTCATCAAAATTTACAAGGAAAAGCAAGATCTCAAGCACTTTGCATCCATTCCACGCTGTCCGTCATTGCAACGGACTTTTGGCGCGAAAAATCTCCGGCGAGAGCAGTCGAAGTCAACTTCAGATTCAGAAGGAATTGTTGGGCGAGGACCGAGGCCGAAATGGGTTCCTACAACCACAACAACAACGACTGAAAAAAGTTCTTGGGGAACATCAACTATTTCAACAACAACCACCACAAGAACAGAGCAGAAACTGTCAACAAAGTCAACAAAGATGATAAGAAAAACCTCCCCAACCTTCAGACCAACAAGCAGAACGACCGGAAAGCCAACAACAACCACAAGCAAACGAACCACTATTTCCACGACAACAACGACAACTTCAACAGCCACGACAACAACAACCATACAAACAACCAAAACAACGACCACAACAACGACCACAACGACGACCACAACAAGTTCACCAAATGATGATTCAGAAGGCTTCTTTGACTATTTCTCGTCAGATTCAAGTAGTTATCGAGGCCGAAGTTTGCATGATATGGATAATGAATGCGAGCAATTATCATCTTTTATGACAGATTCTGTTTGGCTGACCTGGGTATGTTTTGAAAATGAATAGATAAGAAGATTTCTAGTAGAGCTCTTGTGATAAAAAATGCAATGGTGGTGTTCGAACTCGGCAGAGATGCAAGAATGGGGAAGTAGAGGAAATATACGGTAAGAAAAAATGATCAAATTAGACAAAAATGATTTAAGACTTTGAACAATGCAACTCGGAGCCATGCAAAGTTCCTGATATCGGTTGGTCTATGGCGCTAGAAAATGGAGATCATGGAAGAATCGTGATGATAAATCATTCTTACCGAAAAGTCGGGACTCTGTGCAAAAACTCAAATGATCGACGAATCAGATCTATTCATGCGGACGATCTTTGGTAAGAACTTTTCGGATAAATCTTGAAATTTTGGATTCTAAGCAAGGAAATGGGCTTCAAGGGATCAAAAAGCCGCCGAGAATACTTTGGAGCTGCTTTGCAAATGATCTCAAAACTCGATTCTTCTAAAATTCATCGTCTTCCTTTCTTGGCAAATGGATACGCTAAAGAGAGCTTCAATCAAATCTACCAGCTCAGAAAGTCTGACCGAGCTTTTAGAGATATAAAAGAGGGCGAACTTGGCTGCATAATGGGAAAAACTGATGTGATTCTCAGCTGCGAAAAGGTCGATGATAGAGTGAGTAGAAGGTTCGACGAGGCAAGTTGGTCAGAATGGACAGCTTGGGGAACTTGTGAGAATGATTCTAGAAGTAGATACAGGTAAGTCATTTTAAAAATCATAAAATCAGAATAAATTTTTCACAAGGGAAGATTTTCAATCACGTAGTTGTGATAATAACTTTCTATATTTTCTAACCCATCGCATTTTGGTGTTCGTAGGTTTTAATTTTTAATGTCTTAGAATTTGCCGCGATGAAAATAAACTTCCTGCAAGATCACAAATTGCAAGAACCCTCCACAAATGCCCAATCTCTCAACTCTCCGATTTCTACGAAGAAGAATCCTGCGAGAGCCCAAAAAGCCTGTTCGACTTCAGCCTCTATGATTTCTCCCAATACGAAAACCTCGATTATTACTCCAGCTCATATTCCTCAAGCTACGAAATGTCCGAACTGACAGTTGACGAAAGTGACTACAACTACGAAACTGTCAAAGTTCAGCGAAAAGTCCAAAAGACCACAATCACTCGAACGAACGAATAAACTCAATGAACCTTTTCTCAAATGTTTTATAATTCACTTGCAGGTTAAATTGATTATTTCGGCTCTTAAAAACGTCGGACGTTTCAGGCGCAAAAAGCGTGATCAACATTCGAAATGCAATGATTCAATTGCGGGTAATCATAGTCGGTAGACGCGGCGGAAATGCGCTGACATTTAACCTGGCGCTTTAAAATCAAAAGGGAGGCTTAGTGAAAGCCAATTATCTTGATACACAAGATAAGGCAATAAACGCGTTTTATAGAGAGAGTGGACATGAAATTGCTCAGGAAGGATATACAAATAGTCTTGAAGCAAGAGCTCAAAATTAAACGGCATAACTGTAAGAAAAATAAGCGTAAAAAAAGCTTAGACTTTCCAATTTGCCTCATTTATTCTATAAAAAAGGCATAAAGTTATCTTTTGTAAAGCTCTATAATTCTTTCCGCCTCGGCCGAATGGCAACAACCAGCCTACTCCGAGGTCCTTTCCCGATTCAACCAGAAAAGCGGTGGATGGGGCGCCCCAGAAGGACGAGTTGCAGCTCTGCACTCACTTTGCCCTCCCCTCAATCCTGTTGAGAACGCTGAGATCATCTGCGATCAAGCAACTTGTGCTGTGAAATGTAATGAAGGGTTTGTTCCAATCGGGCGAAGACGAACAAAGTGCCGATTCAACAATACCAACCAGTTTTTCTGGAAGAAACAGCTCGGGGGATGCGATACCTGCCCTGATCTCGCGGCTCCACCAGGTTAAAAATGCTCATTTTATCCTTTTGAACCATTTATCTAGCTGGAATGACTATGACATGTGGTCTCAACGCCAAAAACCGCAAGAAATGCACTCTAAGCTGCGATAACGGCGGTCTCGTCTCTGCTGGTGAGTTGACGAAAGCACGACTTCATGCAGTATGCTCTTGTCCTCGACCTGACAGAACTTGCCGCTGGAAGAACCGAGTTTTCGGTGAAATTGATGATGCTGGAATCGCTGAGCTCGTCTGCCTTGAGCCAACAACTACTCAAGCTCCCGGTACAACTACTACGCAGGCTCCAGCTTAGGGTCTTACATTCTTAGCGCAAAAATTCGGCTTTAACCGCTTTATGCACCACTCAATTTTTTTTTATTAAATTTGCTTATATTTTTTCCAATAACAATATTCTTACAAATAAAACCCTTTCGATCAGGAACAACTACCACTCAGGCTCCAGTTTCGGGGTGTATGGTCGCTTGAAATAATATTCTCGCTTGCTCGCATGCTTTTTAAATCAAATAGTCTTTTTTCCAACCCCTTTTTCCAGGCACCACTACAACCCAGGCTCCAGGTACAACAACAACCCAGGCTCCAGGTACAACAACCACACAGGCCCCAGGAACAACCACTCAAGCACCTGGCCCAACAACAACTACCCAGGCGCCCGTTACGACCACTACTAAAGCTCCCGCTACCACCACAACTGGCGCTTTCTCCTTCAACTCTGATGGCACTGGAGGCACTGTTCCTGCCCCTGCTCTTCGTCATTACGCCGTTGTCAATGGAGAAGCCAACGCCGCCGCTACTGGCCATGGTCCCCACGCTGCCGATGGTCAAGTCTGCGCTGACGGAGGCTACCTCGCCGTTGGAGTTTCTACCGCCACTGAAGGTGGTCAGATCGGTCAGTGCATTGTCAGCAAGGTGATGCCCTGCGCGACCGCTGCTCAATACCCGGCCCCTCTTGGTAACGAGTTGAACGGTTCTGGATCCAGCTGTTCTGAGAATTTCAAGTGGGCTTGGCTCAACACTAATAATGGCCGATACTGTCACGCGGTTTCTGTCAAAGAATCCGCTGATGGTCAATACGTCCTCGCCACCGGAACACGTCAAAGTACGACCAACAACAACCAGTACAATGGTTTTGTTGCCAAGATCAACTCTGCTACTGGCGCAACTATCTGGGAATTTGATTACACTACCGGCGCCGGAACCAGATCCGGATTTGAGACTCTTCATCTGACTTCTGATGGTGGATTCATCGTCGGTGGCTTCATTAACCGAGTTGACACTGAAAAACCAGGCTTCAAATCTGGTGGACAAGTCGATCAAGGAACGCCAGTCATGCACAAGTTCTCTGCCTCTCTCGCCGCAGCCAGCAGCGCGGGATCACCAACCCCCGAGTGGAGCTTCGTCTGTGACGGAAGCGGAAAATCGTGCAACCTCAACGACGGATCCGTCAAAAATATGCGTGTCTTCAGCGACAACGGTGTCGAGAAGGTCGTTGGTCTCCCAACCAGTCGATCTATCCTCGTTGTCCTCGACGCCGTCTCTGGTTCTGAACTCGCCTATTCCGGCGACGGCATCAACAGCGGCTTCATCGGTGACGGAACTGCCAACGACATCGAAGTTGAAAAGAACAGCAGCGGCGCTGTCACTGGCTTCGTCACCACCGGTCTCCGAAGCGTTCCAGTACAGACCGACAACGGCGTCAGCTGCAGCGGGGACGGCTGCTCCGTCATCACTGGTACATTCACCAAGTACAAGGCCGATCTTTCCGCCAGCGAGTGGAAGGTCGACCTCCAAACTGGAGAATGGCCCGGTGGAGCTAACCAATTCGCCACTGTCGCTGCTACTCCTTACAAATCCCTTGTGTACACCGAGTGCTGGGGCATGACAAGCGTCAAGGATGCAGCTGGAAATCACATTGGCTACGTCGCTGCTTGTGGAACTGGTATTGAGCCTGGCTGCAACATCCACCCAGAGGTAGAGCTCTTATTGGACTAAAAGAAAATTTTGATTATTAGCCTATCCGAACGGAGTGCAACAACGATCCGCGAAAAGCATGGCGAGGAGCCGTTGCCCGAATCGATCTCGCTGGTAACCTTCTTTGGTACAGCATCAACTCTTACCAAGCTCCAAATGAAGAAGCCGGTGGCGCCATGGAATCTGGCGAGTCCGCCTCTGAATACATTTTCCAAACTCCCGAGGGCCGGTAATATCGACACCTTTTATCATTTTTCTGACAATTTTTAGAATTGTCTCGGTTACTGATGAAGGATTTGGCGGCTTTGGTTTCTTGACCTTCGAATGTGAAGCTGGCGTCTGCTAGATGAAAATTTGATTCGAATAAATTTCACTAAGAGAAATTCTGACAAGGACTTTCTTTTGCGTTGTTCATAATAACGGCACGTGAGGCTCATTTTTCATATTTTTATTCCGTCTTTTGAACAATCAGGAAAAAATTACAAGAGCAAGAAACAAGTCAATTTTCTGTGCACTATCATGGGCTTTCTTTGTCAGGATTCATTGGAGTCGTTTCAGTAGGCTCATTTGCGGCATCATCATCATCTTCTTCGTCGTTGCCGTCTTTGATCGCAAGGCAGAAGTTAAACTTCAGTTTGCTCAGCGAGACAGGCGGCAAATTTATACAAATCCCGGTTGAAATAAGAGTTGATGCGAAGATTATTCCAAGAGTAAAAGCCATGATCAGGGCTGCTGAATTCGGAGCGTTTGCGTTTACCCGCGATTTCTTTGGCGGAAAATCCGCAGCTGTTTCACGGAAAATCCGCAGTTTTTTTCACGGAAGATCCGCCAGTTTCAAGCGGAGAAAAGGGAGCGGAGAATCGCGGATAATCCGCCGAAATTTCCGCTGAAAAGACGAATTTAAACGGTGTTCCTCCCTTTTGATTGGCTAGAGAAAAAGGGTAGCGGGTAATCGCGGACGATCCGCGCGGCGGATAAAATCGGACGATCGGACGATCGGAGAATAGCGCGGAGAAACGGAGAAAATCAGCGGATCTTCCGCCAAAAAATCGCGGGCAAACGCAAACGCTCCGAATTCAGCAGCCCTGGCCATGATGAAAAATTCACTTTTCAGCATGCATTCGGTTCTAAAGGGATGAACGATGATCTCGTAGGTTCGGAAGTCAGACTCAAGCAACTTTTGTTCAAAGCAATTTCCGTCAATTTTAACTCTGTCTTTCAGAACCTAAAAAATATTGAAAGAGAAATTATTTATTTGTTTCACCGATAAGGAGTTATCATCCACTTGTGCGCAAATACTGTCGTTCATCTTGTGTTTTTGGTCGACTTCGATGCAGAAATCGATGATATAATCGTTGACATAAATCACGAAGACGCATAGAACTGAATAAAAACTAGATATAAGGCTTCAATGAATAAGTTACCTATAGAAAATTTACTAACAGTAAGCAAGACTGTCAATGCTCCTTGAGCAATTGGGGCCCAAGCATAATCGGATCCTTTTTGTTGAATCACTTTTTGATTTTCGGCAAAGTCGATATTTTCTTTGACGCAGCCGGTCTTCAACAATTTGTTGAGTACCTGCATCATCACTTTGATCATCTTTGGAAGGTAGGTTACAAATGAGCAGAGGAGAGATATGTAGGTAGAGTTGGAAACCGGACTGCCATGAACTAAAAAACGGTATGTCGATTCTGTGATAATATTTTAAACTTACCCAAAAATCTGGAAAAGTAAAAATAAACAAGCATGACTTCGAAAGCTTTCAGAAAAAAGCTATGAAGAATTTTATGCTCAACAATTATTTTGAATATTTTTGTCAACATTGATCTCTCCCCACTTTTCTCCGTTCTCATGAGCAAAAATATCGTGATCACGTGGTTGAGAAGCTTCAGCGACGCGCTAACAATCAGCGAAATTGAGACCCATTGAACAGGATCAACAGCGAGGTTGGAGACAGTGTTGTACTCGTACCAGACAAAAACAGGAGGAAGAATTTCGATAATTGGAATCAGCGCGAAAATCATAGAAGACAATATGGACAGCTTTCCGTTAAATTTCGCGTTGATGATAACGAAGGCCAAGCTACAAGAAATAGTCGCGATGAGGAAACACTGCTGGGTCCAAAAGTAGAGTGTTGTGTCGGGATCATAAGGAATCATTTTGATCAGAATAAGTCCTCGATTTCGCATTCCTTCCTCGGCTTTCTTTGCAAACCCTTTCTTGTCGAGCTTTGTCTTCGTTATTAGCCGGACTGTGAGTATGACAATGTTCATTTCTTCTCCGTAAGAAATGTTCTCTTCTGATGATGTTCTCCGTTTCCGGTACAGATAAGGGTAATCTTCTGAAGAAATATATTGCGTACCGAAAAACGAACTGGATGGGCTGCAATTTCCATCATATAAACCATTACGAGGATTTCCTTGATTTCCATAAAAAACACGCTGCATACCATCGTAGCATATTTCCTCAACCTCATTTTCAGTCACGTTTCTTTGTGCAGTCTTTTTTGAAGAATAATCAATGAACAAAACTTCATCCTTCAGTCCAAAATTGTCCTCGAGTATATATTTCAAAAAGTATGAAACCTAAAACGACCATTTTTTCTTTCAAAGCAATTAAAATTTACCAGATTTGTGTCAATATCTTCAGCTTGCCACACAGTGTGAAACCGTGAAACTACTCTATTCATCCTCTCTGCTCTAGAATCAGCTCGGAACGGCCGATATAGAAAGAAGAAAAGCAAAAATCGCATTATTTCTGTTGATTCTATTCAAGTCAGAATGAGAACGAGGTTGAGCGAGCTTTGAAACCCCCGATTTGATAAAGTGACCGGTGATTTTCACACGACCCGAATCATGTGTTATCAATAGTTTTATTCGTATCAAACGTTATTTACAACTGATGGTTACAGTAATATTTTCTTAGTCTCTTTGATTCTTTCTCTTTTCAAGTTGCTTCTTTCTTCTGAGAATTTTCCTTATCGGCTTTTCAATTTTTCGCGTCAGTCGTCTCAGACGATATTGTTTGCCTTTCTTTTGGTTGACATTTTTATGCTTTCCATCGCAGCCTTGAATCTCAGATGTTGTCTGAAAAATAAAATAAGGGGGTGTTATTTATATTGGCTTTTTAAAACCTCGCGTTTGTAGTAATATTCTTCGAGATAAGTGTCAAAGGCGACATTGAGCTTTCTCATCCGATCACCATAATCGTTGTTTTCATCCTTAATTTTGATTGTAGCTGAAGAGCATATTTGACGAAAAATCTCACCTCGATAAAATTGAAGAAATGATCGTAAGTCGTCACTTCTCCTTTGTTAGCATCACCTGGGAAGGGAGCAAGATCTAGATGAAAATGATGAGCAAATCGCTTTGAGCTTTAAAAACTTACCAAGACGGCAATTATGCTCTGCGTTGAGGAAGTAAGTGTGCGCTTTGTTGTACTTTCTTTGCATATTTGGAAGCTTGAATTCTTCCATCCAGCGATCTCTGAAAAGGATTTTTGAAGGGGAAGAAACTTGGAAAAGTGACGAACTCGAGGTGCCCCTGGAAGTTTTTGAAGAGACGGCGAAAGATCCAAGACTCGCCAGACTTTGCTTTTGTTGTTGTTGTTGGAGGGACTGTTGTAGTTGTTGTTGAAGTTGTCGTTGTCGTTGATGTACTGGTTGTAGTAGATGTTGTTGTAGTTGTTGTTGTCGTTGTAGTTGTAGTTGATGTTGTTGTTGAGGTTGTGGTTGTAGAAGTGGTAGTTGTCGTAGTTGTCGTTGTTGTAGTTGTGGTTGTGGTGGATGTTGTGGTTGTTTTGGGAGTTGTTGTTGGCGGCTGAGTTGGATCGTACAAATGGTCGCAGATTTGAATATGATCCTTGCAGCAGTCATCAAAAATGATGCAAGAGGAGTCACAGAAACAATCTCTTTTAAGTTCTTGCTCTGATTCGGATGTCTGTTGATCACATGGCTTAATAATAAAGAATATGACTAGAACGAAAAGGAAGTAAAACTCACGATTCCAATCTGAAGCAAGCTTGGGTTGCATCCTAAACACTCGATGTTGATGTTGTCGCAGCATTGTTCAGATTGCCCTGTTCCTCGAATCTCACAAAGAGCTTGGCTGTCTTTTCGATTCGAAGCTCTTGAAAAGCTTCGCCACCCGCCGTAAGGCTCTTTTCTCGACGTGGAAGAGTCGCTTTTGATCCTTTTTCGAAAGTCGAGTTTGGACTCTTGAGGAAGAATGCCCCCAGCTTGAGTCTCAAGAAAAAATAGAAAAGACAAACGCATTTTTGATTATTTCAAAAAGCGAAAAAGAAAGTTGAGTCCGGATTTTTAAATCATTGCGGCGGCGAGTTAGGGTTTTATAGTTTCTACTTTTGCGGCGCTAGAGCTTCTCCGCCGACTTTACCGGTTGTTGACGTTTGTACCGATTATGCGAAGAAATAGAACATGTCCTTTCTAAGTAAGGGGATTGAAGCTTATAATGCTCTTTCCGGTTTTCGAGAAAGGGAAGTTGATTCTACTACATGTATTCTTTTTTGTTGAGTCAGAGTTGAACTTTAGTAATTCTGAGAATTTCTAAATTAATTTCTTTTGCTGGAAGAAACGTTTTTTTATTATCAACTCGAAACATTAATTCAAGAACTCGAAAAATGAAGGCATCATAACTGAATTTAGAATTTTTTATTCTTACATTTTTTCGTTATTATCTGATAGAGGTATTAACAGATTTATTCGTGAGTCATTGAATTTCTTCAATTAGAAGGTAAAGTTTATTTTTTCAACTTTGACTTTAATTGCAGCGAGCAAGAAGTCCTGAAAATGATGATAGAACGCTAGAAGGATAGATAAGTAAACAAAACAAATATACCGGGAAGACAAAACGACACCGATGGGATTCGAACCCACGCGTGCAGAGCACATTGGATTAGCAGTCCAACGCCTTAACCACTCGGCCACAGTGTCCTGGAAACCGGTCGAACCGATTGTCAACAAGTATCGCGATCCCACTTTCTCCGACTATCCTTACTTTTTTCTACAGTTCAATTTTGCATGCCGTTCATTATTTAATGCATCTATTGCAGATTTACTCATGCTAGCTCGAGATTTGGTAAAATAAATATTTTGAGAATTTAATGATTTCAAATGCGTATTGCGCGTCGGTGCACCTTGAGTGCATTTTTAGATGCCGCCGAAAGTGATAGCGCGCGAAACTCATCAAGGATTAACCTTAATATGTAACGGCTTAGAAATTACTCCACGGGTGATATTATTCAATTTGCATAAATATAAAAAGGAACAGGCTGCAATTTGAAAGTGCCCAATCCTTTAGGAATTCTAAATTAGGATTCTGTTTTCGACGAAATTTACATTTCAGAATCTCGACCTATCTTTTTGAGTTTCCCCAAAATACTCTATTTCTTAAAAAACGAACTGTTATTCTGGTCTTTTTTGACACTTTTTAGCCCTTTTTTTTCCTCAAAAATGTCCAGAAATTCCAACTCGGACAAAAATTTTGGTCAAATTTTGTCAGAATTTTCGTCAAAATTGGAATTGGTGGACATTTTTGAGGAAAAAAAGGGCCAAAAAGTGTTATTTATTTCATAGTACAGTGAAAATCCATTATTTGGCAGTAATTTTGGGTTACAGAAATTTGAAAATACTGCCAAATAATGGACATTTTTTCCAAAGTCGGATGACAACGAAAATTAACCAAAATTTCAGGTAGATGAATTACTGTTTTGCAACGTATATTGCATCATTTTTACAGAAAGCAGCGCGAATAGACGAAATATTCTCTGTTCATCACATTTTTAGACGGTTCGTTTAGTTGCAATGACATCGTTTATATTGTTCGATTGCTCATCAGTTCTCCAGTTCAGCCAAAAAGGGCCTCATAAATAGGCGTTTAGGGCTGTTTGAGGGTTGTTACATCTCAGGGCGAGAATAATACACGAGTAGCGCGACTAGTGCCTGACACGATTTCAGGGATTAGCGAAAATTATTTTCAGAAAAAAAGAGAATCCTATCAACAACCAGGTGAATAGCCTGGGCTCGGCAGCCTCTGTTAAAACCTCAGTCAGGAACTTCTTGATTCCTGACTCAGGTTTTCTACACAGGTTGGACGAGCCCAGTGAATATCCAAATCAAGAATCGTTTCCCAATTGCAAGAAAAATTTGATCAAAAAAACCGCTAAAATTTTCAGAAAAATAAACTTTTGAAAAATCGTGGAAAAGTAAAGAGCCGGAAATAATGCCGCTAAGTTTATGCGCCCGTTGTATTTGTTTTCCGCAATATTTAACAGACGGAACTACTCAAACGCAGTTCCTCTCGTCAAAAGACTCGTTTTTGTAATGTCACGGGCAGAATTTTATTCAAATATACAAAGAAGAAGCACTCTTCGCTTTTCGTTTTTTTCAAGATCTGTTTTGAAGATATGAGTTTTTGAGCTTTTTTCTACGAAATCCAATCAATAAGTAAGTCGGTTTTGAAATGAGACGTTTCATGATTGAAAAAAAGATTCGATACATATTTTTCTGTATATTTATATTGGTCGATAGGGGCATAAAGTAGACAAATCCTCTTTGAAAATGCCACCTTGGCAGTCAATGAGCTGCTTTTCGGTGAAACTGGAAGGGTATTTTTCTTGGAGAAAATTGTGTATCCCTAAATAATTAGTATTATAATAATAAATAAGTATATTGTTTTGTGGAAAGAAATTTTTTTTAGCGACCGCTCTTTTTCCGCTCAGCCAAATTGAGAAATTTGTCTAGCTCAATTTGAAATAAAAAAAGCGTCGTCTCCTTGACTCGGCAACCTGCATAGAAAACCTGAGTCAGGGTCCGAAGTTAGGGTAGGGGTTATTTCTAAGATTTCATACCCTGACTCAGATTTTTACACAGGTTCCCGAGCTGACCTCCTGAAGACCGAGAGTCTCGGAAGCAAAAAGGAGAAGGGACAAGAGAATTCCTCGAAAAGTTCAAGTTCCTTTTTAAAATCGTAAACTGACAGGGCTTGGGGCGCGTTGGCTCACTCGGTGTCGCTGCATCCCTCGGGGGAGGAGAAGCGTGAGCTGAAGCTGGGCACAGGGGAGATCGTTACTCTTTTAGCCGCTGCCATTAGATTAGAGAAAGATACGCGAAAATAGCTTTTTAGATTGGAATAATAAAAGAAGCGTTCCGTCCTTCTTTCTCTGAAGCTCGAGAATAGAACAAATAATAACGCTCCAGCGCTATTCACGAACCAAAATCGTAAGAAGCAAAAAAACGACCACAAAAGACGAAAAAAAGAGGAAAAAATCATATTTGAAGCTTGAACGAATTCATCGAAAATTGTAATGGAAAAATGCGTTCAAAGAGGAATGAATAAAAACCAGGTAAATATTTGTGAAGTGCGTGAAACTTTAAGTTTTTTTTTTGAAGAAAATTGTTAAATTGAATTTATAAATTGATTTGATTGACTAAAAATTCTGATGATAATTCAAAGTCAAATCATTTTAACCATTTTTATGATGATTAAAAGCGCATTTTCAAGCTTTATTTTAGTGAAATCGAGGATGCAAACTCATCGGAAATTCGAGAAAATGTCTGAAACATAAGGAAAGGTTCAACATCACAACTTTGTTTTCCCTTTGAAAAAAGTGCATTGCATGGCAAAAACGGCGCTGCTTCATCATTCAGTAACATTTTGAACATGTCAAATGCCCTGTCAGCGAGCGTATGTTCCATTAGAAGTAAGCATATGCTTCAAACCCTTCTTCAAATTAACGATCGCCAACAATTATCGCAAAAGAAATCAACAATGAACAACTTGAAACCTGCGCTCCGCAATCTACTTTTTTATAGAGCGGTGTACCCTTAATCCTAAACACAAAAAATGCAATTGATTGAACCTTTTAAAAAAGAATGGCTCTCGAGTTGAAAAACCTAAAGAAATTGCTCACTGATCCAAAAATCCACACATTTCTACTCTTCTCCGTTATATTCTGTAAGTACCCCCTTGATCCAGCACTAAAGAAATGCGTAGAAACTCGACATGAGTTCAAATAAAATCGGGTTTTGTCCGTTCTCAGAAGCGCGGCGGGGGCGCTGTCGGAAATTTATGCTGCACAATTTGGTCGCAGAATGCTTATGGTTTTTTATCTTTGGTAATTTAAGTCTGTTACCAGAGACCTTCCCTGAAAGTCGGACTGGAGGGAGTCGTGGTCGGAAATGACCATGTTGTATTTCATCCCGGATGAGTCATTCGAAAGAGAGCTCTAACAGACATGACATGCAGTAGAAACCCGGATTAGAGTCATTTGGAAAAGCTCCCCAAGTAGGGATGATGCGATCCAACCCAAATGGCCCGGACGGGTTAATTACCCATTTACTCGCCCCGTCAAACTGGTCATCTTGTTTCAAATCGTTTTAGCAGCACTTACTCTCTTACATGAGTTACATCTCACAAGTAAAATATTTTCAGGCGGGGGATTGTTCCTCATTGGTCTTCAAGTATACAGGTCGCGTGACAGTATCGGCTTAGAATGCGAAATCACGCAGTTGAACCCAAACATCACGGACAGAATCCATGCGGACCGCATTTACTGCGAGGAAACTATGATGGTAAGTTTCCTGCGTAGAAACCTGCGTAGAAACCTGAGTCAGGCTCCTAAATAAACTAAAATGAGAAGACTTTCTTTTAACAGTTTTTTCGATAGGCCAATCTACGAGAATTCGTCGACAACATGCGTGAAAACAACCACTCCTGGTGCGACTTCCACCACCACAACGTTGGCCACCACAAGACCAGTGACAAGTCCGAGACTCATGCTTGCTTTCCATCCGTCCCGGCAGGGATGGAAATCGAAGTGACGTGCCCAATGAACTCGACGGCGTTTTATTGGGATAGGCCGCAGAAGACGGTGAAGCGAGAATGCAATAATAATGGAACATGGAATGTAGGTCCAGATCCGTTTATTTTGATTGAAATTAATCTTGGAAACTGTTTCATTAATAATTCAAGAGACCTAGGACCAAAAAGCGCCGCGTCCCTTATTTTTTAGAAATTACGAGCACATTGATTTTTTGGTCGATACATTATCAAAGACCGAGTTAATGGATCGATCCACTTGAGACTTACCCCTGCCACTTTCTGTCGAAAATAATTTCATCAGCCAGGGCTTAATGGTCATCCTTGATGACATTTACTCGGCAAAACTACTTGTTACGCAACATCATTTTCTTTCCCTGAAAGAAAGAAAAAAAAAACGCACTCCATCAGAATTATTAAATTTGTCTGTTCAGGCTCCCGAAGGGCACTGCGGCTGCCACTACGATGTGCTCAAGTGGGACCGAATCGCGTACTACTTCTCCGGATTTCAAAAGTTCAAAGTTATGCTCGTTCTCTTTTCTGCCACTTCCTTGATTTTTGGCGCCTTTATTCTCAGGAATGGAATTTTTAAAGCAATATATTTTAGAAAAAGAGACATATTAATGGAATAATTAGACTTTTAAAGGTCTTTTTTATTTCGATTGAAACATTTTCTTCTTTAAAGATTCCAAAAAAGGAAACGTTCAGCAATTTTGAAAAAGGCCAGCAAAGAGCAACGCAGTCTGGCGTGGCATTAAGCCGGCTCGGGTATAAATTGCAATAAAAATAGCTTAGTTGAACATGGCTGAAGGCTTAATTCTCTACACTGCACGAGAAATTCAATTCATCTCAATCTGGTAAGCTCAACTATAAGCTGCTTGAATATCAGGCGGTGCTCTTGGTGGCGAAAGCTCCCTTATGTCACTGCAAAGCGTCTTTTCTCGCTAACCCGATAATTTGACACGTTCATCATCTTTTTCGGAAAAAATGCAGACGGGATTTCTGCCTCGCTCACCGATCAGCCTAGCTCATTATTCTTATTCGAAAATGACTTCGCGACTAAAATCTGTTCTCGGCAGCCATTTTTTCCACATTTTAAAGCTCTTCTTTTCTAGTTTTCGGCTTGTCTGCTGTACAACATCGTCGATTTGGTCGTATTCTTCTTTGCGATCGCCATAAGTACGAGTCCACCAGGTTCGTGAAAACGCAGGTTTGACACGATTTTTAAGGAAAAAGTGGCGACAATTATATATTGCAAGAAAGCGAGATTTCTTCAATGGAAGATCTTTCTCTTGAAGATTACTCTCACTCAGAGTCTCAGTCAAAGAGTGGTATTGCAATGATACATAAATTAACTACTGACTTCTTAAATAACCCACTCCTTCCTCTTGTTCATTTTAACATAAAAATCGAATAACAACTAAAAATCTATTTTTGACCACATTCTTCTTTGATTTCAATATTGTCTCGGTGAAAAATGGCCTTTGATGATTATTTCCGAAATAATCAAACAGGCATTTTTACAGCCAACTAACATGCTTGAGCAATTAATTAAGCTTCATCAATAAACGATAAATTTCAGAAGAAGAAACAAATGAACAAAGTGAATTTGTTGGGAAGAGACTGCAAAAGCTCCTCTGCCGGGGAAAAGACACGATGACAATCTACTCCCTTCTCGCTATTTATACCTGGGTTCTCGTAAAGCAATACTCTACTTTTCTGGATTATTGTCAATTTCTTTAGATCGAAGGTGCATATTTACACTCGCTGGTTCTCACTGCCTTTCATAATGGAACTGGAGTTACGAAAATGAAGTATTTTGCTCCTTTCGGCTGGTGCTTTCCTTTATTTATTACAATCATATGGTCACGTGGCTCAAAAATGCTAGGCCTAATTTAAACTGTATTATCCAGCAAATATTTTTGAGCCTTCTAAGATTGTCGCAAATGTTCTCTACCGCCACGAGGAGTCTGTCTGTTGGGATTCCAACATGGGTAAGTCTCTATTTCTTTATTGACATGATGTGGAATATGAACATACTGACACCCTTGATATTAGTTGAGCCAGAAAACAGGTGGATAGGATGGATCTACGATGTGCCCAAGAAAATCCTCCTGCTCGCTGCTACGGTCTTCTTCTTCTCAGTCCTGAGAATCCTTTGGTCCAAGCTTTCTACGACGCAAAAACTCACGACACTTACTCAAAGTGCCCAGGAAAATCGTGGCGCAGATGGTACCAAGGGCGAGTTTTTCGGATGTGAATTCTGTTTTTAGTGACTGGGAACTTGCCGAAATTGACCCAGATCGTTCGTGCCAGCATCATTCTTGTCATTGTTTATGGAATCTGGGACTTCAAGGAGCTCTTTCTTCATCAAGACGAATTCTCGCCCGAGACGCTGGGCTGGTGGATCGTCATGCTCATTGACATTTTGATAGACTCTATTCGCGGCTTCTTTATTGCATCTGTATATTGTTTCAGGTAAATTCGTCAATAATTTACTCGACAAACAGCAAAAATAATCATATTTTGATTTCACTCCAAGCTCAAAATCGAGTGAATTTAATAACCCCCTTTTAAACCCAATTTTAGCAACACAGAAGTTCGTCAAGAATTGACGCGCTGGTACCGAAGACGCTGCGTTAGCAATGAACTCAGAAGAGCACGCCAGTCGGGCCAGTACGCCGGCATGCGATTGTCCAGAAGACCCAGGTTTCAATTTGAATAAGCATCATCAGCGTCATCTTTTTTGAACATTTAGTCAACTCAGCCGCGATCCGTCGACTTTTGAGACCCGCCTCCCGCAAAACAGTGTCATTTCAAATACAGTGGTAGGTTCATTGAAGATGAGGAAATGCTTTTGAACGCAAAAAGAAAAATAACAGCCTTTACCTTTGATTTCAGGACAGCTCAGATCCAGAAGGAGCTGACGGGAGCCGCCACCCGAAACTAATGACTGGTAGATCGACTGAATCACGTGACAATTCAACCTTTTCCGCTGTAAGCAGCAACTGAAAATATTCTAACTACACATTTCTGTACCAAAAATCACCAAAACACACACATAATAAAGCTCAAGGCTTCAAGTTATTTTTCATTCAGAACCGTCTTCCTTAAAATAGTCTTCCAGCGAATCGAGTCCTCCGGAGGACCGCGTTTCGCCCGGGAGCGCGTGCTAAAGAAGTTTATTTTCTAGAATCGGGTTGTTTGTCGGTCGGAAATAGAGAAACTTCCAGTTCGCACTTTTCGAAAGTAGAAGATGCAGGAAAGTCCGGCTGGGGTGGAAAAGTCCCCATCGGTAGATTTAGGTAAGATTTTATTATTTTTTGAAGAAAAAATTCAATAGAGATGTCTTTTTTTCAGATGGACAGCGTTTGACTGCAAAAAGCACGGTTGAATCCGTCCCCATCAATGTCGCCCCCTCCCCATCATCTGGTCCCCCTGCCCCTCCAAAATCCCCCCTGATCGACAGTCCAAGAAAAAGCTCAAGAGTTCCCGTGAGTAAAGTCCAGCTGACCATGGAAATGTGCAAAGGGAGGCTCTCAGATCTGGGCGATGGGCTGCATTTTCGAACAATGTGCTTGTCAAATCTCGGCTTGGATTTCTTGGGCGCGAATATTTTGAAATTCAAGTTGATAAATAACCTGAACATAGGAATGGTGTCATTTTTCTCTTTCTTGATTTCTAATTTCAATAAGTCAAAGTTTCGATCACCATCAAAAGCTCACAATAACATCACAAGCCTCGGCAAACACATCGGTCAACTCGAAAACCTGCTGAAAGTAGATGTCTCTCACAATCGTCTTACGAAAGCGTTTGATTTCACCAGCGCTGGAATGCTACAGTACGCAGATTTTTCGCACAACAGAATCGAGGATGTCGACAACGCTTCCAATCATAAATATCTTCGAGAACTCAACCTTTCCCATAATAATATTGACGACATCAGAGCGCTAAGGTAATCAGAGCGAATGTAAAGATAGAGCCCTGTGTTTGGCCCTGACTCAGGTTTTGATATAGGTTTCAGAACGCAGACATTAAAAGCCGCACGCGGCTCTCATCTAGCCTGGTCACTAATGTCATTTTCTAGCCGATTGAAGCAGCTAAAATCGCTGAATTTATCCTACAACGAGCTGCGCCAAGCTGAAGGACTCGAGGATCTACCCTTGTTAAAATTGGACCTGTCATCAAACAAGCTCCAGAATGTGTTTGATGTGGTCAAGCTGAAATTCCTGCTCGTCCTGGACATTTCCAACAATCAAATAAGCGATATCAAGCCACTCGTTGAAGCCAATTTGGTAAGTTTTATTAAAAACCGTTCAAAAGTCACTTTTATACAACTGAATGTTCATATGAACAAATTGTACAATTTCTAACAATATTCGCATTACAGTAATTGTACAGTGGCGTCCCCAAAATGGTCTAGGGCAGTAAAATGGGCTTTTACGGTAGGGTTTTAAGCTGAACATCGCAAATCTTGTCACTTTCCCAAAGGCATTCTCGGACCAGCTGTCTTGCGTGCTGGATTCCACGAGTCAATCTGTCTTTCGCGCTAGAAATTTCAGTCGAAACAAGTCTTTTTTAAAAATTCCAACCTTTTGCTGCCTCCGTAGGTCGGATTGACATCCTTTCCAAGCTCCCCAATAACTGCAAAAAGGTCTTCGAACTTTTCATCTATTTTCGGATTCTTTTCTACCGCCGGCTTTCTATACGGTGTTTTCCGCTAAAACGCAAAGTCAGTAACAGAAAGTGTGAATGCCCTTTTTACCTTTTGCAGCAGCATCTGCTGTTGCGCTTTCAATTCTTCCTGTTGCTTTCTTTGAACTTGTTTCATCAGCGCTTCGGCTTGTTGCTGAGCTTGCGCAGCAGCAACTTGTTTTCCAAGGAGTTCAAGTTTTCTTTGAATCTCTTCATTCTGAATTTACAAATCAAAGAAAGAAGAGGGGACTTTTCATTACCGTTTTTCGTTGGGCTTCTTCTAGCAATCTCTGCTGCGCCACTAGAATTTCTGGCGGCGGCTGGCTCATTCTAAATAACTACTATAGTTAACTACTACATATGTTAATTTCTTCCTAGCCACTTCAAGATCTGAGACTTGGGTACAATAAACTCGCGAATATGCAAGAGATTCTCCCACTTCAAGAAATCAAATTCCTTCACAAACTTCAACTCATTGGAAATCCACTGGACAAGACTGAAGACTATCGCCAATTGGTGCTGTATCTCTTCCCGAAATTGACGTTTTTCGATGGGACGCCAGTTGAGCCGATTGATACAGTTAGGGCGAGGAATCTGTTTAGGCCGAGTGCCGAATTGTGCTCGTCGCTGGATCACATGACGCACACGGTTTATGGCATTTTGGAAGGACAGAGATTACGGTAGGAAAATAACACCACGAAATTTACTCACCAACTTTAGTTAGAGCTTAAGCTAAAAATTCAGAGAATATGTGATGCCAAATCCAGACTATCCTTACCCCTTCCTGATAATCACGGGCCCTCCGAAACTCAACAAGTCGAGTCTCGTCAAGCAATTAGTCGAAGAATTCGGAGACGCGTTCGGCCACGCATCTAGTCACACAACAGCTGAAGAAGCCACCGCAGAGATGTACCATCACGTGGACGACGTCGAATTCCAAGAAATGATCCGAGGAGGAGCTTTTATTCAAATGGCCAGAACGCCAGATGGCATTATGTATGGTCTCACAAAGGTAAAGAATTGCATCGAATGCTGATGTCGGCTAATTTCTTCTTTAGGATTATCTGGAAAAAGTCGCGCTTGAAGGAAAAGCGGCAATTTGCCACATGAATTTGGACGGCGTCCGAACGATGAAATTGACGACTCTTCGACCTCGATACATCATGATCACGCCCAAGTCGCCCGAATCGTACAAGTCGCTTCTGGAAGAAAAGAAATGCACCGATTTAGAAATCCAAGAAGCGTTCCACTCAGTCGAGCAATTCGCGATCATGAACAGAGAGCAGCCGGGCTATTTCGACATGGTCATCGCCGCGGACAACGAGGAAGAAGCGTATGAAGTTTTGAAGAAGCTGGTGATAGAATTTCTGGGAGAAAATGAAGTTCGATCGGCAAAGCAGCGCCAAGGATCGATGAGTTCGATGATTACGACTCCTGAGCAGCGTCAGAGAAGAGCGGAACAACTTATCGAATCTGTTAGAAATGTCGAGCCGCCTTTCAAGGTAGATTAACTTCCGAGATTTCACCGATTTTACACGTCAAATTCTCGCTAAAAAGCGTCTTTTAGGTTCAATCTGCGCCGAGCAAGCTGACAAACTCCTCCGTCCACAATCTCTTGAACTTGATCGATCACGAAATAGGCTCTGCAGAATCTGAAGGTAATAAAATCATCCTCTTTGTTCAGCAGTTTCACAGTTTTTCAGAAGATTGGGAGACTAGCTCATCGATTCCGCCGAAAACGCCAACGAAACTTCCACCAATCGCGCAGAAGTAGATTTCTTCCAACTGTTCATTTTCAAATTTTATTTTTATACAATTTTTCAAACGAGAAAATATATTTTTATAACTTTTTCCGACAAAACGCGTTTTTCTTCTCTGCTCCAATGGCCGATTCTCGAAATTAATGACTCATGAAACTAAGTCGATCTTGGTTCTAGAAAACTAATTCACAATAAGTAGAACGAGAAAGATTTTATTTGTTTACAAGCCTAAATTTAACGCCCTAAAAATTTTATCCTCAGGACCCCTCGGTCAGACCCCCTACCCCCCAAGTTTTTTTCCAAGCTAGAGTCACACTCAATTGAACCTTTCAAGGGTAATAAGAGGATAAGACTAGTAAGAGATAGGCTTTGCCAATTATGAATGTACATGCATGCTTTTGAGTTGCTCTCTAGATTCTAGAACTCATCCAGAAATAAATTATTCTTCCTCGGAACAAAATGGGTTGAGCTGTTATAATTTATAAATCAGTCTCCATTCAGCAACCCCCCTCTATTCTGGCTCTCCGGGAGCCTTCGAGCTCATATTCTCTTTTTCATTAGACCACAGTATCAACATCTGAGATAAGAACCATCTTTTTTCCTTCTATTCGACATTCCAAATGGCACTTTTGAAGCGCCGCGGGCGACGATCTCAACCGTAAACTCACGAACTCAGAGTCCAAGCTTTATATTTTTCGCTCTCCTATTCATAAAAAGAAAATACGCCTTTTCAAGCGTTTGCCAACAACAATGGCAAGTTCATAAATAAACGCCAGAAGAGTAAAGAGCAGAGAAAGCAGACTGATTTAAAAAATAACAAGAAAAAAATGGGGGAAGATAGCAAGTGGAGATATTTCAGACTATGTTGCGTGCCAAGGTCGTGGTTTCTTGTTCTTATTATGTGCATTGCTGCGTTCATACAGGTAATTTTGACTGTATTTGATTTAAAAAGGCATAATAATTAGCATTTATCATACAGAAAGCCCCAAAAAACCAAAAATGCATGAAAACGGCAAATGAAACTTCGATTCTATCACTAGAAAATTGGAAAATTATTCTAGCATTCAAGTCCATAGAGTGAATTTTCAGGCTCTTTGACAACTTTAGTCGACTAGACAAGAAACAGCTTCATCAATGGTAATTCATCATGGTAATTCAGGGATTCGTCGTAAATGGCCTCGTAAATGTGACGGTCAGTCCGATTCAGCGTCGATTCCAGCTGAGCTCTGCTGATATGGGCTTAGTCGCCTCTATTTATGACATCGCTAACATCATTGTTATCTTACCAGGAAAGGCTTTACTTTCACTATTCATTCTTCTACAATTCTACAGAAAGAAAAGCCTCTTTCAAAGTCACTTTCTTGTTCGCCCGCGCGTCGAAGAGTCTTGTCACCGGGCTTACCTTCATGATTCTTGGCCTTGGCGGCATCATCTTCAGTCTTCCACACTTCCTTGATGACGATTACACCTCAACTCTCGATTTTGACGCTGCAAGTGAAAATGGAACGTGTCTAACAAGCACGCAGCAATGCGAAATCGTTGCTGGAGTCAGTCAAAACCGATTCTACTATGGCTTCTTTCTAGCTGGACAAGCGTTGAATGGGATCGGAGCAGCAGCGTTGTGGACTTTGGGAACTGTATATATTGATGAAAATCTTTCCCAAGAAGGTAACATACATAGTAGCATATGGACACTTGTTTCTCACTCAAGGCATTAGGGGCTCCAATCGCTATCGGAATTTACGAAGGAACGGGTGTTCTTGGCCCCGCAGCAGGCTTCCTCGTTGGTGGATCTCTCCTGTCCAGTTGGGTCGATGGAAAAGCGATGCAACCGGCTGATATGAATCCCGACAGCGCTCTTTGGGTTGGAAACTGGTGGTTAGGTTATGTAATTGGAGGAATTGCAGGGCTTCTGTCTGGCTTTCTGATGGCCGGATTGCCGGGAAAGCTCAAGGATGCAGATGCGAAACAGGAGCAAAGAATTCACGAAATTCAAAAAGGACAAAGTAGCAAAACTCACGAAGATTCTGGCTCCGCTCGAGATTGGTGGCGATCTGGATTGACTCTTCTTCAAAACGCGCCATTCATGTTCCTTATTTTTACTGGCGGCTTTGAGGCTGGATTTGTCTCGATCACCGCCACTTATGGATCGAAATACATCGAAGAAGTTTACGGCATTGATGCGGGAACAGCTGCTATTTCAATTGGCGCCATTGCCGTTGCTGCTGGAGCTGTCGGACAAACTGTTGGGGGCATTTGGGTCGGAAAAGCGAAACCAACAGTCAAGAAACAGTTACTTTTCGGCCTCACGAGTTTGCTGATTTCCCTCTGTTTCTCATTCGTCGGATTCTACCATTGCGACGAAACGATTTTTGCAGGAGCAAATCTCAAGTACGACACCGTTCTTTCCTCTCCTTCCAATTCCGACCTGAACTTCACCGATTCCGACCTCAATCTTGACGATTTCTCCGCGGCGAACTTTGACCACTCATGCTTCGAGAACTCCACTTGCCCTTGTTCACTCGAAATCTTTGATCCAATTTGCGTCAATGGAGTTAGTTACTTTTCTTCCTGCTTTGCCGGCTGCGATAGTTCAAATGCAACGGAAATCACAAAATGCGACTGTCTTCCAGAGCCAGAAAACGTCGAAGTGACAATTGGAGCTTGCCCGAATCAAAAAAAGTGTCATTTCGCCGTCATGTTGACTTATGAATTCTTGGTTCTTTTCTTTACCTTTTTGAATGGAGTTCCGGCGACGAACTCGATCCTGCGAATGGTTCCACAGTCGCTGAAATCGCAGGCGATGGGGTTGAATATTGCTATGTTACGACTCATTGGCTCGATTCCTGGACCCATTATCTTCGGAAAACTCATTGATAGTGTTTGCATTCTTTGGCAACAAAGGTAAAGTGGTTTCAGATCGCTCAGAATCTTGCGACTTCTATCTTAATCTGAGCAAAAGGCGCCCGAAACGCGGCTATAGTTTCACATGTCGAAGCGACTTCTTGGTTGCGTTTCAGTTATTCTTCTTTATGAGTTTATTTAGTTGTGGCAAAGATGGAAGCTGTCGATTGTACAACAAAAACTCCTTCATGATAACATGGGTAGTTGTGCACATTGTCTACAAAATCCTCGGTGGAATCGGCTGGGCTGGCGCCTATTTCTCGTTCAAATCAGAAGACGAAGTTGAGCAGCCGACAAACGATTCTGCGAAGAGAATCAGATCGTCTCAATTAAACAACTCTGTCGGGGTAAGCTTCTTTTCAAATTTTCAATTAGGGGTTTCATATGTTTTCAGGTTGATAACCCTGGCTTTAACGATAAGTATTCCGCAAGATCATAAAACGACCATTCTACCATTCAAATCCTGACTTCAAATCTAAAAACTACTTCTGTTTTAAAACTACTGATGCGATTCAACCTCTCATGCAAATAATTCTATACCTCCTTCCTTACTACCGCTTTCCATATTTTATTTTTTTCTTCTCATTTGTAAAGATTCTTTCAATTCAAAATAAAACCCTTGATAAATCATTACTGAAGCCAAGTTTTATTGTTCTTACGCAGGAAATTAATTGACGATTGCCAATTACGTTAGACCTCTTTTTCGTATTTTACGATGACGCATGGATTTGGCGTAATTTGCGCAAGTGGCCGCCTCTCGTTCTTATTTAAATAAATCTCGCCCCTTTTCTTCTTTGTTATTCAAAAATCTTTCAATTGAGCACAAGAGCTAAAGTTAGTCTTACCAAGGTAAAAAAGAATATTCTAGCGCCTCTATCAAGAGACCTAGGCAGAAAGAAAGATATTTCAATCTAAAGAGAATCGAATTTATAGAATGATTTCAAAACTTATTCGTCGACCCCTCTCCACCACGGCCGTTGCTGCCAGCCGCATCAAGGTGTCAAAGCCTGTTGTAGAAATGGACGGTGATGAAATGACTAGAATTATCTGGGAATGGATCCGAGAAAGAATGATTCTTCCTTATGTTGACCTCGAGCTGAAATACTTCGATCTGGGAATGGAACATCGTGACTTTACCGATGATCAGGTACATTTTTTCGTCTTGCGACTTCAAGGCAAGAAAAAGAGAACGCGCCTTGAGCCTTCATATGCTACAAGATCCTTGTAGCCCCTGTAAGAAGAATAACCTTTGTCTCCAGGTCACCATCGATTCCGCCTATGCAACGCTAGAACACAACGTCGCAGTAAAATGCGCGACGATCACTCCCGACGAGCAGCGAGTCGAAGAATTCGGCTTGAAGCAAATGTGGCGTTCTCCAAATGGAACAATCAGAAACATCCTCAACGGCGTTGTCTTCCGAGAGCCCATTCTTTGCAAAAACATTCCTCTCCTCGTTCCTGGGTGGAAGAAGCCCATTTGCATCGGAAGACACGCTTTTGGTGATCAATACAAAGCTACGGATTATGTCACGCCAAGTGGTGGAAAGTTTGAGATTGTTTTCACGCCAAACGATGGCGGAAAGAAGGAAGTTATGGAGGTCTTTGACTTTGGAGGTAGATCTTTAATAAAGATGATAATCACATCGGAAAGGTCAAGTTATTGATCAATCTTCAACCCTTCTTTTCAGAGGAGACTGGCGTTCTTATGGGAATGTACAACACTGATGCTTCCATCAAAGCTTTCGCTCATTCTTCTTTCCAAATGGCTCTTGAAAAAGAATGGCCCCTCTACTTGTCGACCAAAAACACGATTTTGAAGAAATATGACGGCCGATTCAAAGATATTTTCGAAGAAATCTATCAATCGGTACGACTTATTCTTCTTTCGAAACGTATAAAAGGATTTAGGACTACAGAAAAGACTTTGAAGCAAAGAAAATCTGGTATGAGCACCGACTTATTGATGATATGGTCGCACAGTGCATGAAATCAGAAGGTGGATTTGTTTGGGCTTGCAAAAACTACGATGGAGACGTTCAATCTGATACTCTCGCACAAGGTGACTCTTATACTTTCGTATACAGTCGTGGCTACGAGCTTTATGACCAAAAAAGCCGCGCGATTCGCGGCTTCTAGTTTTTTCCTCTGACTCGTTAAATCATTGATAAATTTGTTCAGGATTCGGTTCTCTTGGATTGATGACATCGGTCCTCAGAGCTCCAGACGGCAAAACTATCGAGTCCGAAGCAGCCCACGGCACAGTAACCCGTCACTACAGAGAGCACCAAAAGGGCAACCCCACTTCTACCAACCCAATTGCCTCAATTTTCGCCTGGACCCGCGGCTTGGCTCACCGAGGTCGACTGGACAACAACCAGGACTTGATTAAATTCGCCCAAACTGTCGAGAGAGTTTGTGTTGAAGTTGTGGAGAACGGAGTTATGACGAAGGATTTGGCGGGCTGTGTACATGGCGGTTTTAGCGGACTCCAGCTTGGAAAAGACTATGGTAAGTTGGTTTCTAAAAGATAGTATTAAAGCTTGTTTTTCAGTTGTTACAGCTGATTTCATGCAAGCAATCGATGATGGTATCAAGAAAGCAATGAAAGCTTAAACTAGTTCCGTGCCATTCAACAATGAATTCTTTCCTGAATCCTTTTATTTCTGACATATTCTTCAATGAAAATTGCCACTGAAAATATACGTGCTTTGATTCAACATCCATTTTCTCGTTCTTCATGCAGCAGTTTTTCTTCAGCATGTGTGCTAAAATTTCGCAAGTAGCAAAGAAATCAGTCGGTGTTGCAGCCAAAAAACAAGGAATAAAGGCAAAGAAAAAGGGGCAAAAACCATGGAAACAAAATCAGTGTCAGCCCAAAAAATTTTGCACTGCGTTTAATTATGCAACGATGAGATTGGAAGACTCTTTTATCCCCCAGGAAACGCCGGTGAAAAAGAACGATCTATCGACGAAGAACTTTGTTTTTGATGTTGCCAAAAATAAATTCCTGGAAAAGAATGAAAAACCACACACGAAAACATCGTTAATAACAGTATCAATGGTGAATGGAGAAACCGTCCAAACCTTCGAGAATCTTCTTCACATTTCTAAAGGTCACCGAAAAAATCTTTGGAAGAGATTTAACAATAAGGAGTACACTGTTGAGGGAGAGTACTTCGTCTTCAAGAAAACGGATGTCCTCTCGAAATTGAAAATCAAGGGCATAGCTAGGGACTATCACGGGAGCGCGAGGGCCCAATTTTCGCTTCCCCAACTACCCGAAATAGCCATCCATTTTTCTTGATTTTTCAGACAACATATGTTTTCTTACCTGCTGATTCCAAATATGATAGAAAAATTCGCAAAAAAACAATATATATTATGAAAAACATCGAATTTATCTTTCAAAGATCGAAAATGTATAGAGCCCGTCTTGCCCCGTCATTCTTTTTTCGATATGTTCTCTATCAGAGACTTCTCCTGAATGTCTGAAAAAATCTTTTTACGCGGGTTTACGCGTCGCTTGTAATCATCAGATAACTGAGTGAAAGTGAAGGCGCGCTAGTGCTTTACACGCTGCGCGCGGAGCCCAAAAAGCATTAGCGCGCGCCATAATCTCAGTGGGTGCTTGCTTTGACCCAGTTCACGGAATCTGATGCAAACAATCCCGGGTGATTAACACAAAAAAGTTACCGGAAGTCCTAAGCTTCATGTTTGCAAATAAATTTTCGAAAAATAATAAGCAAGTGACCCAGAAAACTCGGGTGAAAAATCGGTCAGCTTTAAGTGTAGTCTTAAGTTTGTCTTCCGCAGCATTTTTCGATCAAAAAGATTTTGGTATCATCAGAATCAGCTGAAAAATCCATACTTATGAGTAAATTTTTACGAAAATCGAAGGGCAATCGTTTTCCCGTGAAAGTCCCTAGGCATAGCTTTCGGCAAATCGGCAACCAATCTTTGCAGTAAAAATTCATGGGTTCGAGAAGACTGGGGTTACCCGAAAGACAGAGCGGTGTCATCGAAAAATACCCAACCTGATCAACAGGTAAACGAACAGAGAAAATAAGGTCTAAGAGTCATCTCTATTTTTAGAAGAAGAATTCTTCCAGTAAGAACGTTTCAAGCGATACCCCTAACAACGTCGTTTTCCATGGGGCCAGCGAATACGAAGATCCAAAACCTACAAGAGTCATCTATTCAGCATTTTCCAAAGAAGCAATTTCTTTCTACTCACTCCCGGTCCTCGACTTTTTCCGATTATACAGAAACAAATGCTATTATGAAGAGGAATCGCTGCTCATTTTTCCTCCCAAAGAAGGGGACTCTCGCAAAAGAGGTTTCAGAAAAGAGGCTTTCTTAAGACTTCAAATTCCTTCTGGTTCTCTTCGTAAAGAAAGCCCTGATCTTCTGCCTGAGATGCTTTTGTTTGAAAGAGCTATTCCTTTCACGCCTGAAATATGCTCTTCATGAATGGATATAAATGAAAAATATTGATTTCTTCTATGATTCGTAAATTACGATTATTAAATATTCCTAAATATCTCGCAAAAGTACCGAAGAGATGCGACCCCGAAAGCATTCAAAACTACATCGAGGAGAAAGTCGAATCCACCGTAAAAAGAATTAAACTTATCATGGGAAACCCAAACGCTGACACAAGCGAATCAAATGCAGTCGAGAATCTCGCCAAAGAGCTGTTAAATATAACGAAAAAATTGGAATTGATGCAGAAGCGACTTGAAAGCGGAACTCTTCATTTTCTTGGGCATGAACCTTGGAGATTCATCCCTAAAGCAAATAAAATCATGGCGATTCGAGCTGCTCTTCAGTCAAAAGTAAGATTCTATATGCCAAGTATCGAAGCGTTTAAATATTTATTCTTAGAAAACGACGATCTTCTAAGCTGCTGAGTACATCTTCACATTTGGTATGGCAATGTGCTTTACCTTATTTATTTATCTTCACCTTTCTTTTATCTTCACACTGCTTCAAAAGATACAACGATTGTATTGAGCACACAAAAAATTAAAAAACCTGACGATGCATCTTTTCGTTACCATTTTCTTTCTTCAGCATGTGCGCTAAATCCTCACAAGTAGCAAGAAAATCAGTCGGTTCCTCAGTCTCAAAAGCAGCCAAAGAGGCAGTTTCGAAGAAAAAGAAGAAGTCGAAGAAATCAAAGAAACGGACTCTCGACCTGATCATCGACGAAGAAGTGCCGCCTATTAAAGTCCCAAAAATTGACGCAGATGACTTCGATCTTGTCGATTCCTATCAAGAGGTACAACTTCTATCGTAGAATGTAGAGAAATCTTGTCTTTTAGACCGTCGAAAATGGAGAGACCGTTCAGATATTCGATAGTTTTCTTCAGTTTTCCAAGTCTCATCGAAAAAAGCTGCGAAAAAAAGTTGGCGAGGGGAAGTTCACTGTTGAGGGCGAGTACTACGTCTTCGAGAAATCGCCTGGCTATCCGAAATCAAAAGTAAAAGCGGAACTTTTCAACGGCATGGGGCCATCTTGGAAGGACATGCCGAAACCTGCATGGAAAATCGCTCAAGAAGTTTGCTTCTCATTATTAAAATACTCTGACAGTTCAGTTTAGCAGAAAGAAGTAGACTGTAAACCAGGAAAAAACGACAAAATAAAGCTCCGTGACGTAGAAGCTTATGAAGATCCAAAACCGAAAGAATTCAAATTATTCTCCAACGAAGAAATTCTTCTCTATACTGATCCTCCTCTCGACTTCTTCAAGCTCTTCGAAAATGGCGACTTTTACGAGAGCGCAAAGCTGCTCGTTTTCCCTTCAGAAGAAGATGGGTCACTCAAAAGAGGCATCTCAGCAAAAAATTATCGAAAGCATTCCACTTTGCTTGCAGATTGCCCCGATATTCCACCAGAGATGTTTTTCTATGAAAGAACTGTTCCTTTCACGCCTGAAAAATGCTCTTTATGATCGGGATAATTTTTAGAAGAATATTAAAAAGCCAAATCTGTGTCACAAATATCCTCAAAAGTGCCGAAAAACTACGATCCCGAAAAACTTCAAGAGAGCCTTGAACTTGTGGTTACTTCCACTACAGCTGGTATCAAAACTGTGATGGCAAGGCCTGATGATCATCCAAAAGGGAAAGACGGGCTCGAAAGTCTCACAAATACTCTTCTCAAGGTGAACAAGAAGCTGGATCTGATGCAGAAACGACTTGATAACGGATCTCTTCACTTTCTTGGGCACGAGCCTTGGCGAATCCTCGATAAATCAACAAAAATCATGGCGATCCGAGCTGCTCTTCAATCATAGATTCCAATGTAAGGATTTTTCATTGAAAGAAAGCCTATTTGATGTTCAATATTTCAGGCTAAAATGATCCTAAAGCGTCGAAAAACAATTATTTTGCTATCAAAGCTGACCCAAACCTCATTTATTTAAATTCGTTCATCTGTAAAGCTCTATATATAACTTATAAATAAAAGACGAACTGGCTAAAATTAAAATCGTCAAGTCTTCAACCATAAATAGGCAATAATGTATTTCAAACAGGATTTCTTTCAATATACAGGTTTCAGTGTTTGAGAATTGGAACAAGAATTTTTATAGAAGAAACGGTAAACAGTTCAGTTGAATTAAATAAAAATATCATCCCAAGAATAAAATTATTTAAATAAGAATGAACTTGCGGAACAGACGTTTGTTTATAAATAATGATATTATTGCCTAAAATCTTCAGGCTTTTTCAAAAAGAAAAAAAAATGGGTTCTAAGATTGTTTGTGTGGGAAGTCCTTTTTTGGGGAGTCGGGGAAGGATGTAGTTGGGAAGGGAAAAGAAAAATTACACCTTGAGCAGAGGAATTATTATTTTTTTTCTGTCGTTTTCGAATCGATGTAAAAGTGCATCTTTTACGTCTGTCGTTTTTTTTTTCAAGAACAAAGGGAAATTTCGCCTATGCATTGACAAAGCGATCACGCGGATTGCTTTGCGATCGATGTCTTCTTTTCACGAAGCCACGTGACAGTGATCGCAGCATGATTGCTGATGCTGAATTGACTCGTCTACGGCCGTTGGGGCGAGCTAGGGCGATGATTTCCATGAATAGCTTTAGCTAAAAGGGTTGTTAAAAACTGGTTGATTCTATGGTGCTAGGCAACCTGTGTAGAAAATCTGAGTTTCGGTCTGGGAAAGAAAGCCTTTCTGACCTTGAGGTTTTCTACACAAATTGCCGAGCCCAGGACTCTTACCATAGCACCGTTTCGACGTTTATCGGGCGTTGGAGGTATAAATTCATCATCCATCGGGTTCACTTTCGAGTTATAAGCAATAACATGATATGGCGTAAGAGCTTCCTCCGGCAGGTTCTCCTGGTTCAACGAGTTGGGATGATAGCTCGTGATTTCTTCGTCTACTCGGCTGATTTCTTCCGAACTACAAAATTAAAATGACGATTTGGTCGTTTATTTTGATAGATGTGGATAATGAAGGTTGTTAAAACTGGGTGAACTTGAATAGGTGGCGAAAATTGGACATTGAAAGGCGTTACGCAATGTTGGATTGAACGGCCTTTTCAGCGGTTATTTCAGACGGGGAGACTTTCCGCTTTTCAAGTTTATGAAAGCGTTTTGTTTGGCAACAAAGAGTTTATGTCCTCTTCATAAATTCCTACAGTAAATCTGCTAAATTGACAAGGTCCCGTAGAAGCAAGAGCTGAAGATTGATTTATAGTCTTATAAAAATTCCTCTTGACAGACAAGGTTCAATATTCCAAATTTACCAGTGCCAGAATGCAGTATTTTCAACCTCAAAAATAATCCACTGCTCCTCGAGCACTGATTGAGCGTCATAACTCGCGCTAAAGCACGCGGTCCCCGTCTGTGGCTTACAGTAAGAGGGACAGTAACTCGATGGCTGTGCTCATTAGCTGCTTGCGTTACAATCATACAATAAACTTGTCTGATTTCCAAAAGGGGAGGGGATGACATCCTTCAAAATCAGGCGGGGGGATTTGCGGGGCTAGTGCTAAGTTTGGGCGAGTCTAGGCTGGAATTGGACTTTCCTTAAACGAACAAGCTCATCTTTTCATGACTATCATATCCTCCTCTGTACCCTCCGTAATATACCAGTAATATACCAGGTAGTTGGTACGCATCGATAATCAGTTTAGAATCAAGATTCGTTCTTTGTCCTGATAGCCTGAGGCTTGGAACTGGCCCGGACAGACAAAGAACCGAACACGAAAACAGGTTTAAAACTGACGTAAAATTACGAGAAAGAGTAATTCCAACCCTCGGGCCAAGAACAGATTCATCATCATTTCGATACAAGATTACCGCGTTTCTGCGCAACCGGTCGATTTCAATGAGCCACTTACCTTAATAAGTCGTATTTTGTGAGAGCTGTGAGAATAGGAACTGAGCGGACGGAAGGAATCTTCGAGTTTTTTCTGGCGTTTTGGATGATGTCGAAAAGTTCAAGATTTGGCTTTTCTTTCGCCGAAGCGACGTATAAAATTAGATCAATTTGTAGGTCTCGATTTGAATCGCGAATTCGTTTTATTTCTTCGCGTTCCATTAAAAGAGCTGAAAGGGTTTTCGAGATAAAGAATCCTTTTTAAGACTTCAAAAGGATCGAAAACCAGCCTTGAGTGAAGAGTCTGAAATTAAGTCTTCCTTCGAGAATATATCTCAATATCAGCGCGGCTTTTTCTTTATCTGCAATTTTTTCGAAACCACGAGTGTCCCAAAATGTAACACGACCACAAGAAACATGCTGGGGCCGTTTCCAGTGGGGATCGTAATGTCTGAAAGATATTTATGCTAAAGGGAAGACAGCAGAAAGAACTGACTTGTGTTCTGTCGTATTCTGGTGATGGTGGTTGGGATTTTCGTAGATGAGGACGGGAGATAGTTGGTGTGCGCTTCCGTGCCCGTATTTTGCTCTAGAAAAGAGGTTGAAGGTCGATTTTTTGAGGATTTTTCAAACCTGTCTGTCCACTTGCCCCTGACGCTCATCAGGAGCGAATTGATTACCGTCGTTTTTCCGGAATCGTGCGGGCCAATGACGATTACATTGAGCGGCTCGCACAGGTCACACAAGGCACTAAAATTGTTATGCTGGTGGTGGAAGGTGCAGCTGGTTTTTATGTCCACAGCTGCAAACACCTTTTGATGGTGTGGTTGTAGCGATCTAGGCAAGTTTTCTCGGCTTGAATCGAATCACGGTGTTGGAGACCCGCGAGGAATCCGGGAGGCTGGCTGAAAATACCAAATTATTTTCTTTTCTACGTCAATAATATTTAAATTCGGAAGTTGATTTTTCCATTTCCGCATTAACGAGCCGATCCCCTAAGACCCTTTGAATTCAAAGTTTGAATTCATATAAGATTACATGATTGACCTTTTATAGAAGGCAGAAATAGATTGTAGTTGCATAACACGGCTAAGGATTTACAGTCAATTATTCACTACATACACCGGCATCGGTTGATTTATTAATTCAGGGTCGAATTCGTCCGAGACTGGCCTTATTTTGAATATCGATCTACCGGCATACTCAAAAACAAGTCCCAATAATAACAGATAGGCTATCTTTATATACAATCAGATGGGATGTCTTTTTAGACTCTAAAATAAAAGCATCAGTCTGTTGTTATTCTTATTTTCAAGTGATTGTTTTCCTCGAGCGATGACGTCTGGGGTCTCAAGTCTTTCCTACTAATGATTTTTTCTTGGCAACGGAAAAGACAATGCTCTCAACTCTTTTAACCTTTCTTCTCAAGAGCTTTCAATTCTTTTTAATACAGTCATTCGGGGAAAAAAGATGACCCTGGTTAGTAAAAATGCTTAGGGGTCAAGAAACTTAAAGTTCTTTGTAAAAATACCTTGTTTCTTCGGCGAAAACTTCCTCTGGAATTTCGTCAAAGCCAGATTCCTCGTCGGCGTCGTAGATCATTTTGTGTGAGGCGTTTCTCTTCATTTCGTGAAACTCCTTGAAAGTAACGTTTTACTTTGATAAGTTTCCTTTCTACAAAGAAAAAGGGAAAGCAATCAAGTTTAAAAATAATTTGAGACAATTGCCGTAAACTTAATTGTCTCTTTCGCTCAGAATTTATGATCTTCTGGCGGTTTCATTTAGTGGCATTTTTGGATTAAAACTTGCTTTGAAACAGGAATTCTATTTTGAAAATAACCTGATATTTCATTACTGCTTTCAAATTTTCCAGCCAATTCTCTTTCAAACTCATTTTTCAAAATCAAAAATACACTCAAAAACGGTCAGTAGTTACAGTTAGACTAAGTCAAACTTTTGCGGTTACTACGAGTTGGATTGCTCATGTTTTCATTGTGATGGCCTTGTGTATCTTTTCTCACCAGTGGCGTAGAATGCGTGCTTTTCGTTGTAGTGTCTCTATTTCTTTTTGAAAAAGTGAACTTTGCTCTGCTGCTGGTTGCGCAAAAATCACCTCTAGCGTTTCACTTGAGTTGAATCTACTGGCTCTGCGCTGCACAATCGATCGAACAAAAACACCCTACCCTAGGCGGGGATACCCTTAGTATGCGCGCCTACGACGCAGAAACACGTCTATTCTAGCACTTTTCAAAATTAGTCAGCCTCGAAGTTCGTTATATAACAAATGTATAATATATTTTTTCATCCTCAGAGCGGAAGAAAAGGGTTGAAAAGATAGTACGAAAAATATTATAGAAAAATAGTTTTCAATCAAAATAATAATCCTGACTCAGGCTTTTGAAACAGGCTGCCGAGCCCAGGATCAGATCATTATTTGATCATTTTTTCCTCTTTTATCTAAGGTTAATATTATTTACCTTTGTTCATATAAAATCAGTAGAGATAAAAAGTATATCTTCAGTTCGTCTCAGAACGATGCTTTTTTGGGTAGGTCAGTAATAAATAAATTGAGCAGTGGAGAGTGTCACGCCTATCTTTTCAAGTCAGAGCGAGTGAGCGCCAGAATAGCTTTGGCTAGAGCACACGTGATCTGGCAGGCTTTTGTTCGCCCAAAGTAATATCCACAGCTGACCTAGGATGCGGGTTTGCTTTTATGTAACAACTCTTAAAATTTTCCACGGAAGAGTTTTTCATCTAAAATAGCAGGAACGTTACGACAGTCTTCGGCAGCGAAAATTTATTTCAGACAGTTAGATGGTTAGGTAAGAGGCAGGGCCAAAATTTCCTCCGAATTTGTCGACGAATTGTTGCCTGTAGAAATTCTGAGTTTTCGAGATGAACAATTTTGGTCCAAAGAAATAAGTTAGTTCAAGCCCGAGTCCTGCAATTTCCTTATATTCTCGTTGAACTCATCCCTCTTATCAAACAAAAGGTCGTCATCATATTGAACTTCAGCCCAGGAAAAAACAGGTCCGAAAAAGAGCAATGATCTTGCGATAAGTTGAAGCTTCATAGTTTTAAGAAAAAATGAAAATGCGTTGCTTTTGAAGTTCAGATCACACTCTTGTCTTCCTTATATTGCGGATTCAGGATGATAGAGTGTCAATACTGCAATGCATTATAGAAAGATATGACGCCAGTAATGAAAATCATCAAGTCTATTTATTAATAACTGAAGGTCTCCGAAAAAAGCATCATTTCAAAAATCCACAAAGATTGAAAATTGCCGTTTCCATCTCGAACTGACTCTTTCATTGCATCCACCGATTTTGGTCTCAAATATCTCAAGAAGAAACTTTTTGAAATCTTCTTCATTGCTGTTTTTCGCAAGGCAAGGCAAATTCTGACCAGGAGAGCATTTTTCTTCGATTTCTCGCGGGATTTTCGAGAAAAATGGCGATACTTTTATCTTCCGCAATAATTTTGCCGCATTTTCTTTGCATAAAAAATTCGAGCTTTGAAGAGAATCGTGTATGTCATCTGAAAATAAAGAAGGAAATGATTGGGAAAGGGTTACCGATTGAGCAAGTCTTCGTTGATTTCAACTTGACGCTTGGTATTTCTGATGCTGGTCTCCATCTGATTCTGATTTCTCCCATGTTTTCATCGAAGCTGACGATTTCTAGCTTGAGTTTCTTGCTTTTCAGAAGTCGATAAATAGGGGTAGATTTTTAAGTGCATAATTTATGTCGCATAAAGAGATGCATATCTGGGAAGAACCCAGTTTTGATATTGATCGGAAACAGATGACATTGAAAAATTGATTTAAATAAAACCGGAAGATCTTCTTTACGAATATCTTAAAAATTAGTCTTCTAAAATGCCAATCAATTCGTTTGAAGAACCGTGATATAAAGCAAAAGGTACCATTTTTACTGCATACCATAATAAAGAACCGATGGAAAGTCGCCCTTACTTTTAGTTCCTTTTTACTCCTCATTCACTTTTATATCGACCATTTCTTGGAAGATCAGTCCAGTAGTGAATCCAGTTCGAAATATGATGTCTTCTCCCGCACAACTTGCCCGTCTTCCTCCCTTCAAAACTCAGGCTTGCATAGCTCGAGCAGTCTCTCTTCGGCAAACCAATGTTGAACCTCGTTATTCTGAACATTACCGGCACCGTCGCCTCAATAAAGTGCTCCTCGATCTTTTTCTCGTCAAAGGAAACGGTTAAAACGCCATCGTTGGATTTGTGGATGATCTCTTTCTTGATGAACTCAACGTTCATTTTATCCTCGATTTTCGTGAACGAAGCTGAAGGAAGAAATCTCGATGGTCTTTTGCAATTTATTGAAATGAAGAAATTGAAAAATAAAAGTGCGTTTTTCATGATTTGTTTCTTTACGGTCTGAGTAGCAAAACGTGATCTTTGGGGAGCATTTTGCAGACCCTGTCAGCTCGATGCATATTTTTGATATTTGAGCGCTACAAAGATACTGCAAATTTCCACTAAATCTACAAAAGACTCCAATAACTGCTCTTCATGAAAATCTCGGCTCGGCAACCTGTGTATAAATCCTGAGTGAGGGCTGACAAAGCCTGAATGAAAAGCTGTCTCTAGGCCTTCTAGACAGGTTGCCGATCACAGCCCAAAAACTGCTTATTTGACTCAATTCAAAATTGACCAAAACTCAATTATTCCTTCAGGCTGAAGTTTGAAGTAATTTTAAATGAAAATAAATTTTGCATAAAAATTTCGATTTTCCGCATCCGGTATTCTGCCCCCTCCTCGAATAACTCATTCTCTACGCTCGCGGTTTACGCGAACCGCTCTGATCTCAAATGGTAAATGATCTAAGAAGCTCTTTTTCTGAATTCATCTCACGGGATTCACGAAAGTTTTCTGCTCTCATGCGAAGCTTTAATTGAATCAGGACTTTTTAAATGGGATCGAAATCTGGCATCATCAAAAGCCTGAGTCAGGATTTGGAAGAGCTTTCGATCCTTCTGAATACGCTTCCAAATCCTGACTCAGGCTTTCTACACAGGTTGACGGGCCGAGACTTTACAACAAGAATTATAACAATAATTATGCTTTCAGAATAGTTCCCCCCAAAAAGGAGCTGTTCTGCAAAGAGTTCTTATTGAACCTCTATCTTACAGTCATAAAATCGAGAGTCCGCTCGCGTAAAACTGCAAATTTTACGTTCTTACACTGGAGGCCCTTATCGATTTTATGACTGTAAGATAAATTATTCAAAAAAAAAAAACTAGCAGAACAGTTCCATTCGTGGGAGAATTATTCTGAATGAATTCTTCGTGCCCGAGAAAACCGAGACTTTCCCCGAATTTCCGGAAAAAAGTCTGCTTCTTTATCCGAAAATTCTTCTGCACAGAGCAAATTCCGCTTGCGCCTCCGCCGCCTACGGATTTTCCCGCGCCCGATTCACGACGCGATTTTTTTCTTTCGGCTCGGAAAAAGAAAATACAGTCAAAAATAAAAACGATTCTAGAGAAGGGGAATTTTGCGAAAAGAGCCTTGGATGAAGCGGACAAGAAAATGAAAACGAAAAGAAAAGAGAAAAAATGACAGAAAATGGCGAAAATGCGAAAAAGCGGAAGTGGGAAGTTTTCGCTGGGCGAAATCGATTCTTTTGCAATGGAAGATGCTTGATGGCGAATGATTCTGGAGTTTTTGGACTTACCATTTTCCTGATTATTGCCTGCTCAGGTAAACAAACAGTTTAGCGCTAGAAAACTTAATAATTTAGCACATTTTTTGGATTTTTTCAGATTTCAGAAATAAATTATTTATTTTTTAATGAATAAAAAATAAATGATAATTGAATCATTTTGATACGATTATATGCTCATAGTGGGTTTAGTCTCATGAATCATGAGTCATGATAGACTATCATTGATAGTTATGATATATCTTGCATGATATAACTGATATCGCTTAATTTAGTTTCCTTTTGATATTTTATTTTGATTATTTTGATATTTAACGTCGATATAATCTGATAGTACAGTTGAAAGGTTTCAACTTTAGTCTATTTCACCACTTTTTTTGCAACAGGTAAACTGTTTTTTAATTATATAAATATCAATATTGAGAGCTACTGTGCTTATGTCATGCATTTTTTAAAAAGAATAACTACTGTACATATGAACAGTTATTCACTGAATGATTTGGGATCTTGAACCTGTAAGAAGCGAGATTGTATTCTGAGAAAACACAGAAAAGTGTAAAACGGAAAAGACGCGTCCCACAGGTCCAAGACGAACATCTTGGTTCAACACCAGTTAGATTAATCAATTAGTCTTCAAAGGACACTGAGGAGCTCTTTCAGCAATAATTAAACACTGCTTGAGTGGAGCTTCCAAAATCAAGGACCTCTGGACTAGCATCTAATCTTTCTTTTTCAGCTTTGTTCTTCGCCTTCGAATGTCGCCTTACTTATGCAAAGATCCACCTCGGCTGGCTGGTGATTCTTGCCGGTGCTATTTTGGCCGTCTTTTCGATCTGCTTTCTGCTGCGAACTGCGTGTAGCGACCCTGGTATCATCACAAGGGCGACGAACTCCGAAGCTCACGGTAAATACAATCACCAAAGCAAATGCCGAGGCCTAGAATAGCCTTTCCTAGATAGGACATTTATCCGAATAAGGAAACCCCACTCCTTATCAGGGGGCTACGCCTTTAGGACCCCTAATAAGCCCCCGAAACGTCCCGAACCTCTCGCTTTCCTTCTTCAACACCCTCTAAAGGGATTTCGGAACCCCAACGTCGTGGTATTCATCTAGGGAGAGTCATCTTTTGTTCCAAAGTAGCCATATATTTCGACTTGTCTGACATTTAACTCTTGTTTCTCCTCTGACGTACGGCTTTTCAGCTGTCGAGCAGATCATCAAGGAAGAAGAAGAAAAGACGGGACGGCTAAACAAGCCGCGCCACAAAATCGTCACCGTCAACGGAATGACCATCAAGCTCAAGTACTGTTACACCTGTAGATTCTTCAGACCACCGCGGGCCTCGCACTGCTCTCTCTGCAATAACTGCGTTTCCAGGTAGAGAAGGGTTGAAGGAGAACCCCCTCAAGAACGTTTTTAGATTCGACCATCATTGTCCATGGGTCGGGAATTGCGTCGGAGAGCGAAACTACCGCTACTTTTATTTGTTCCTCGTCAGTTTGTGCATTCTGTGCCTCTTCATCTTCTCAGCTTCTGTTGCTCACCTGATCCTCTACTCGAAAGAAATCGTCGACGAAAACAGCCAAGAAGAACGCGGTTTTATCGAAGGTTAGCTCTTTCTTTACCTTTTTGAGCCTGTTTCGAGCATCATTTTTTAGCGATGAAAGATTCTTGGGGCTCTTTAATTGAAGTCGTCACGTGTTTTCTTTCGATTTGGTCCGTTCTTGGCCTCACTTCATTCCACACATACCTCATTTTCTTCAATATTACTACCAACGAGGACATAAAGGTACAACTAAAGCTCTTTATATATCTAAATAAAGCGAATTATTCTAGGGCTCCTGGGACACTCGCCGTCAGCCCGACGCTTTCAACCCCTTCGACCGCGGCTCCTACTTCAAGAATTGCCTCGCCGTGCTGTGCGGCCCTCTGCCGACGCGAATCCGCTTCGAACATTTCGCTACGGATGAGGATTTCGAGGTTTACGATTACGCGAAGACGCTGGAGAACGGCAATTATGGAGCGGGTCAAATCAATGGAACGTATGCTCAATCTAATGGGCAAGTGCCTCAGGCGTATCCAGTTCAACAAAATGGAGAGGTCAACTTGCCAGGTGCGCCAGCTGGAACTGAGGCGAAAGGTCGAGGAATGGGTCTCTAGGTTACATTCCGAAATAGCCTCTTATTATTAAAAAACGATCATTTGAAAGTAATAATGGGGAGTCCCAAAGTGGGACCGATTTTCGAGTGTTGTAGACAAAATGGATGTTATTCAGTACATCAGTAGACCCATTTAAAGACAATCCAGCTCTTAAACCATAGCTCCGAATCTCCTGATTCCAACAAAAACCATCAACCAAGAAACTTATTTAATCCTCAAAAAACGAAGAAAACTCGAAGTCGGTGCAACATTTTCCATTTTGTCCAATTCCAAGCTCTACAGAAAAGCGAAATCCATCGGCGAAAAACCAATCTTTCTTTTTTAGATCTTATTTAATGCATAAATAATTCAATCCTGTTCACACTCTATTTCTGTTCTTTTTTCTCAGTCCCGTTAAAGGAATCGTTGGGAACCGCACATTTTGTACATTTTTCTGATTTATATAATTAATAATAAAGGAAATTTAATTGAAATGCTTCAAGTTGACGATGATTTTTGGATATTCTGATTCAAATCATCATCATATTTTGGCAGGAAATAGTGTTTATTGACAAGAAAATTCCACAGATTAAAATTTAAACGATTTGTAAGGGGGACGCTGAGGATAAGAGGGTGGGGTTAACAGGTTCTTCAGAAGTTATAAATCAAGTTGACCGTCAACGAAAAAAGGACAGGAGTAATTAAACCAAATTATACATGAAATGAAGCTTCAAACAGCTTGATAGATCACTTCGAACAAGAAGGTTCTGGAATGCGAAAGACGCGCATGTTCTGCTCCTCGTCGGATGAATCATCCTCTTCAGACTGTTGGGTTGGGACAGCGGGAGGGGCAGAAGACTTTGCCGCTGCGGCTCGTGGGCGATTAGAGCTTCTGCGCGCCTTTGCATACTTTCTAGGAGCGCGAGCTTTCGGGGCATTTTGCGCTACTCCTTCATTCCTTGGATTTGGTTTTATTTCCCAGCAGGCCCGTTCGCTTTGATTCATCTTCAGGTAAACTTCTAGCGTTCCTTTCACTGAAAAGAGATGAAGATTAATCAAAGTTCGAATAAAATAGCCGACTTACTAATTTCCTCGTGGACATAGCCGGTAAGGTGTGGCATTGCTCTGCACATCTGAGACAATGTCTTCATGTTCTTCTTGATACGCTCGTGCTCTTCTGTATTTGGGCCTTCCTGAAGGATTCAAGCGTAAGTAAGCATAAGACTGGTCTCGAATCTTACCACTCCCTTGACTTTGTCGTGCGCTTTGAGCATACGCTCGGTTATTCGCGGACATTCAGTCTGTTTGATGAAGAAATTTATCGTTTCCCCGAGGAAAGCAAAATAGCCCGCTTCTTTCTGTTTGTTCACCATTTGCCGCAATTTCACGCCCATATTCGCGCCGATGATTGCTTCATCGCCTGAAGAAATTCTAGCTTGAAAGAAGCATGTTAAAAATATCGAACTTACACTTCGTCTGCCAATCGGTCATATAGGTCAGCAAAGGTTTGACACCTCTTTCGGCTTCTTGCAATGTTTTTTCCTGGCTGGATGTGGTGTTTTCGGCTTCTGGCAATTTGTCGTACTATCGATTTTTGTTGAATATTTGGCAATTGGAAATTCGAGTTCTTACCTGATTTGATGGCCCAGGGCGATCTTCAAGGTTCGTGATCGTCGCGGAAGTTGAACCTGTAGGAAAATACTCAACCATTCCATTGGACGGTCCACCGTGAGAAAAGTGATCATTGGAAAAATCATGTCGCAGATCGGTCGTTTGCTGCGTTGTGATGACCTCGTGTTGGTACTCGTGCGGCATTGGATCTGCTTGCTGGATTTCCTCGAGAATAACCATGTCAGCATCAGATTCGAGGACAGGGACGGACGGCTCGATAGGCAGGACTGTAGCAGCTGCTGTAGCCAACTCAAGTGTAGCTGGAGGTCCGTCAAGAACAATTACGTCTCCTTGATTCGGAGTTATCTGCAAAGCGGCCTTCTTCTGAGCGTCGAGGCGTTCTTGCTCCTTTCGTTTTCGCTCGAGCTCTTCCTGCTCTTTTAGTCTGAGGGCATTTTGTCGCATTTTTTCGACTTCTTTGGCGCGCGCTTCTTCTTGTGCTTTCTAAAGAAAATAAGGAATAAGAATAGATGAAAACACTAACGATCAATGCTTCGTGTTCACGATTTTCCTTTTCTTTCAGTTGAATCGTATTCAACTGCCCTCTGATTTCAGCCAAGCTATCGCGAGATTCTTTATTGAACGAGTTTTGCCGAGCTTTTCTCCGGACCTGTAGTTGATTTTCACCGGCAGAGCTACAACAGTATTTCAGTATTTCAGAAAAAAATCTTGACTTTTACCTGACTCTTTGAGCCGCAGCAAGCTTGGCGAATCCGTCATTGTCGTCGCTTGTAATCCGTCGGCTGCCGAATCCGAATTGCTCGCGTGTTGTTGAATTTGGGTGGTTCAGGTACCCTTGTCGAGGCTTTGTTCCTTCGACAGCTGTCTTTCCAGGAGCTTTGGATACCGCTGGTGGATTAAAAGCAGTAGTTGATCGCGGTTGATTAAAATTCTATCAAAATTTTATATGAAAGGAGTGTTAAGATTTCAAACCTCGTTCGAATCGTCATCAGGAGCTTGATCACCACTGGAGCTGGGCATTTCGACGAGAAGGTGATGTGCCGGAAGCTGGTCGGACTTTGTTACACCGCTCCAGTTTTCGTCAACTACGACCGGAGCGCCTTGATTTGTGGAGGACATGACTGGCATCTGGTTGAAGGAAGTTGTAGTTGTCTGATTGTAGTACTGGGGATTCTGGTAAGACATCTGTCCCGAAGAGCCGCATGGTTGGGAGACGGTTTGGAGAGAAAACTGGTTGTTTCCATTATACTGTTCGGATAACTGCTGGGTAAATGATTGAGGGTAATTTGGGGTGATTGGTTGGGATGAAGACTGAGTATTGTCCCAAGATTGGCCACGCTGGGGGACAATGAGATTTCCATGCTCATCGGTAGGCAGTCCAATTTCCGGATTTTGGAACTGGTTGAAGTTCCAGCTGCTGCCTCCAGCGTTGATTGGGGTTGAGCCGTTGAAGTTTCCGGGTGGTGGCTGATCCATGTTCGTGTAGTCATTTCCGACGTGTCCCATCATCGATGGATTGATTGTACCGCGGCCTTGTCCTTGTTGATTTCCACTACCGAGGATGGTGTTGTTGGGTATCTGATGGAGTTATCAAGATGATTTTGAATAAAATTGATACCTCTTCATAAATGATATTCGGCGATGGTTGGCCGGAATAGGTGAAACCACAGGCCTCAAATGACTCTACTTCGGTAGGTGGGTTTATCCATTCATTTTGGTTCGCAGGTGATTGTTGGGGCGGATTAGATGCATCGAAATAGACAGGCTGAGCTTGCCCTTATTTGTGTTTTTCAAAGATTATTCTCTTTGTTTCAGAAAATACTTATTTCCTCAAAGAATTTCGAATTGAAAAACATTCCTTCGGTCTCTTCAAGGCCAAAAATAGATTCGTCAATGTTGGGATTGAGTTCGGACATCTCTGCTTATCTCTGCCTTTTTAATATTTACAGATTTCGGGGAATCTCTTGGAGTAACTTTCGTCGAAAGTCTTGGTTTCCGATTCGGCCAGCCTATCGGATTCCAAGAAAATTGGGAGGTGAGTGGGTTTCGAGCTGGCGCGCGCTGCAAGAAAAAGGAAATCTAGAGAGAAAAAGGTCGCGCCAGATGTTCTTGAGCCGGCTTTAACGCGAAACTAGAAACTTTTTCTTCTCCATTTTCGCCCTTCGGAATCTGTCAGACAAAAGTTCTCAGGGAGGGCGAGAGATGAAAAGAGAAGGATCTTGAATAATCGACGACGCTTTTATCAGTTTCTATCTTTGCTCGAAAAATGACTCTGAAAAATTTTGTTGTGAACAACTTTATTGATTTAAAAATGCTCGTATTAAGAGAGCTCAAAATTTGAGCTTATTCATTATGAATTTCGACGATACGGAGTACCCCATCTCAGACGTAATTCCGATTCCGACGGCAGAATTTTTTCCCGATGACAGGGTTAACCTAACACCACTGCAGACAGGTACAGCTGAAAACTTGCTTGTTCGTCAAATTCAATTTTAAGTTGTACCAGTGAAGTGGGAGCCGCAAATGACGAGGATAATAATGGGACCAGCGCCGGAGAATCTCAAAATTAAGAATTTAAATTCTAACAACGGTCAAAGGTAAAAACAATCAGTCATTTTCATAGTTACCATTTCTCTAAGAGCTGTTTACTACCCGACAGTTGACGAGATTGAGCAAGAAGTAGACAAAGAGACAATCAAGGAAAATCGAAGAAAGAAAAACTCTGAAGCTGCTAGACTTTTTCGCCAGAGGAAGAAAGAGTATATTTCTGGTCTTGAAGAAAGAGTCAAAGTCCTTGAGAAAGAAAACAAGGTTCTCCAAAACGAAATAAAGAAACTCAAGGAAATGCATTGCCAGAACCCTGCCATGAATCAGCAACAATGATAACTGCTAGAATATCTTCTGTGGTTTTGCTGCTTTCATTTAAATTTGTAATAAATACGTGAGTCAAGAAGAAAGTGACCCTTTTTATTATTTTTTCATTCTTCAAGCAATTCAGCATTAGGTATGAAAAACTTGCTTCCAATTTCGACAAAATTTTTCGCCGATAATGAACCATTTTATCAATTTGCAAAAGCGATTCTACGCCTTCGCTATCTGCACATTCCACTATTATTCGTTTTGAACTTCCCTGTCCGAGATCGCGGTTGAAAACGTCATTCACTGAGGACTCCTGAGTCAGAACCGTGGAATAATTAAGCATCAAGTAGGACCGCAAAATCGTCACTGTCAAAAACGCTCCTCTCGTGGTTAATTTAGCTGCATAAGAAGGAGGAAGAAATGGTTTGCTTTTGGAATTTTTATTTTTTCGCATGTTTTTTGTGGCAGAAGGAATTCGCTCTTGTCAAGTTTAAAGAATCCTCAAGTGTGATATAGTAACAGTTGATGAGTTTTCGATATTCGATTCAGGAAGAAGATTCATTTTTGTATTTAGGCAAGGAGGATCTGGGAGGTCCAGGAAGATGGGACGGTGTAGTCGTAATCGTCAGCGGAAAGATCTGGCTCACAAAGCTCGAACTATAAAAAACGATAAGAGAAAGAAAAAAGGATGAAGACTTTACCTGAGCATACTCGAGAATGCCACCGTGGTTGGCATCGACTTGGTACTGGAAGGTGTTTTCACAGTCGATATGGGTAGTTTCTCCATGACCGTGATGAGCAGAAACGTTTCGGACGGCAACCTCGAATGGCTCGTTGACCTGGTGAGCGTTGATCTCGACGACGCCGATGGCTTCGTTGTCGAGTCCGTAGATTGGCAAGTTGTATTGCTGGTGCGAGCGAGCGATGTCGTAGTTGAAGTTGCCGAGGAGAGGGCCTTCGTAAGCGTAGCCGTAGTCGACGCAGTTGACTTCAGCGTCGCCCCAGGTGGTGGTGTTGACGACGAATCGATCCCACTCGTAGTTGGTTGGGTCGACGCATCGGTCGTCTCGGAAGAAGTAGACGATGTCGAGCTGGTTCTCGTGGCTGAGGCCTTCGAAGCCAGTGAAGACGTAGGTGTTGGCGGAAAGGTCGGTTTGCTGGGGAAGAGGGAAGGAAGAAGCGATGGTGAGCATCTGGAGATCATCAGATCCAGTCGCAGAGCCGAATGGGTGGTTACCGAGATCAGGGAAGGTCAGAGTGCAGGTAGCATTGATCATGTTGTACTCAGGTCCTCGGAGGATCTTCTGGCAGCCGCAGTAAGGCGCGTGTTCGTTTCCTGGCCAGCAGTGGAAGCCACTATCTTGCTCGGTCTAGGAATGGAAATTTTAAATTAGGGGTAAGGCTTATTTTGATTTATTAAAAATAAAAGGCTTGTTGTTTTTCTTTCTTTCTTTTTTTTTTCTCGAAACTTACGGCTTGTGTGAGGGCGAAAAAAGCGGCAGCGATCTTCATGTTCAAAAAATTTTTAGGATGAACGAAGTCAGTTTTCTTCGCAATAAATTTCCAAGCTACCGGTCAACGATTTTTAAGCTGTCCGAGTCCTGCGGAGGGCGCTAGAAACGGCACGTCTGCGCTCCAAAACCGCTTGCTTCCGGACCACGAGATAACGAGCTGAAGAGGTTTAAGAGGTGAAAATCGGAACCACTAAAAGTTGATGGCGGGGGATGTTTTAGAGGATCCCCTCATCACTCTGCAACCTCAAAAAGTTCGGAATTATGCAGAATGAACAGAATATGATCAGACCCGTTCGCGGGGGTTCGAATCAAGTAAAGGCTGAAATTTCCGGGATTTCGAGGCGAATATCACCATTTTAATAGCATCGGTCTCCTGAGGATCTGACCTTGTCCATCTCATTCTGGAAGAATCCTTCTCATTGAGTTAATCAATGAGGTTTTGTCTGATTTTTTCGTCCTTTGGAGCTTTGATAACAGCGATGGATGAAGCTGCTAATTTCATCGTCAATCTGGACTGCAATAAAAAGCAATTAACGAAGCAATTTTTCTTCGTTTAATTTGATGACTTGGACCGGTCGGCGTTTTTATGGTGCCACAGGAACCGCAGAGGGCGCTACTATTTCTCAAAGCCAGAGAGCGTGGTTTATTATCTGACATGGTGGTACCACCATACTACACCGCCGTGGCGTCTATGAACTCTGCCACGTGCTTCCGTTATGCGGATTCTAAAGCTGCTCATTTTTCTGATCAATAATTAGACTTCATGTTGTCACTCTCAGATGTCGAAAAAGATTGATTTCGAAAATTTTTAACTCTTGCTCTAAATATGAAATCTGTCTAGAATTCCTGTCAGAGTTCAGGATCTCCTTCCCCAGACACTTTATTACATATATTCTACTTTGTCAGAATTTTATAACACAAGAAAAAGTGAAGGCACAATGTTTGAAGCCGCTTATTTTCGAAAAAAAAGAGTCTATTTTGCCAATAAACCAGGGTTGATACGACTACCACATAGGACACGGTAGCCAGTACCGAGTACTTGACACGAGCGACTGTATATACACAAATTTTGTGAGCACCAGCGGGATTAAATTTAACCTTTTCCAAGAATCCGGAAAGACTCTTCTGATGAGCTTTGAAAAATTTAAAAAGGTCATTGACTCGAGTATGATCGATTTGAAAATTAGTAGCTTGCAACAAGCAGCCGCAAATATCTGTTTCAGAATGTGGCGGTAACATTCAATTTGCGTGTTTTAGACGTCATCGAAAAAAGTTTACTCAAAACTGAAAACTATGTTTCATCTGTCCTTTCTCTCTGAATTTATCGTAATCTGATTATTTCGCCACATCTGTCACGTGTCTCATCTTTTTTAATAAAAATATTTAGCAGAATTGAGAATTAACAATTCATCCCGAATTCGTGTTTTTCTGCGACCAGTAAGAGGACCTTGAATTATTGATTGCTGTTTGATATAAATTTGGACAGTATTTCAAGCCAGAGTAAACTTGTCTTAGAGTTGACCATTGAATCATGCAAGTGACTTTTATTTTGAGCTTTTTGGGCAAAGCAGCGTTGAGTTTTAACCCATATAATGGCTACTTGTTGGATGAAGTACTGGCAGGACTGTAAGTACCAAGTCATTTGTGCCTCCTTTCGTTTAAGTACCTTATCTGTAACGGAGGATATTATACAAAATGGCAAACAAAAATGACCCGCCCTTTTTGTCTAAAACTTCCTTCACTTCCTTATCTGAAGTGTCCCTTAGACGGTCAGCCAGTAAGATTACCATGAATTTCAGTGATAACACTGGCGAGCAACACGAGGCGAAAGTCAACCCGATCGACAACACCGCTGACAACATCCTTATCGATCTTTATGCAAATAATCCTATCAGTGTTGGATTGTGAATTTTTCAGTGAATAAAAAAACGAACTAACCTAACGATACTCTATTTGACAAACCCTTACCCTAATCCTTTATCATATGATAAAGATTTATGACTCATAAATCATATGATAAATAATATATTCTTTTAAGAATATATTTTTCTTTTAATGAATTTTTGGCAATAAAAATTCAATCCTCAACAAAGATTCAAACATTTTTAAATCACGAGTTCAATAAATGATTCGTGTGATTGAAAAACGTGATTGAAAAAATTTTCGTGCACGTTACTCTTTTTGGTGAAATTGAATTTCGCCGTAGAATAAATCCGCTTTGGGAGCAACGTGACGGGACGGTGCGGCTTGTTTAGTTTGCAAATTGGATTGAGCACCCGTGCTTGGCTTATCTTTCGGCCAGCAGCGCATAAAATGACATGGAATTAACTTCTGAATCTTCAAAAGGGCGGTTTTGTTAATGCCCAGACTTCAGATAATAAACAGTTCAACGACAATTCATTTCCTCCTTCTTCTTTAGTCAAATTTTGTAAAATTAATTTCTAAAAATAAAAAAATGAAACCTTGACCTGGATCTATTCAAAGCTTGTCAAGATTTTCGTCTAAACAAATTCAGTAAACGTCAATTCTAGGGCTTCCGTGACAAATTCGAAGGGCAAAAACGTTGATGATTTTGCGGTGGCCCCATTAGCAGAATTTCGACATGATACATGTAGTTGACGACATTTCAGATCTAGTTCGATGGTTTCGTTGGGTTCGCCTTTAGAAATCATTGAGATACTCATGCACCTAGTGGTAAATATACTTATACGTACCCCGGGCGCCCTCGTTTGTCAAGGTACTGGTATATAAACGCTGACCGGTGCTGAAAATTTCATTGCAAAGAAATCCGACTTTGTAAGCATTTTTATTCGAAAATGAAGGTTGCTGCTGCTTTTCTCGCCCTCTCTCATGCCGTAAGTACAATAATAGAATTAAACAAAAGAGAAGAGATCGGCCGAAAACATTGTTAAAGTGAATTTATTCAGACCGAAGACCCAGCTGGTTTCAACTGCTGGCCTGCTAACGAGCATGCTCCTCATTGTGGCTGCCAGCTCATCGATCGAGAGAAAAGCATGATCAACTCAGAGTGCACTGCTCGATGGTCGATGATTGAACATCCAGAGCAACCAGAAATGGAGAATGCCCTCCAGATGCTCACCGTCGCTTCTTCTTTCCCTCTTTCAGAGCGAACCGATCTCGCCGCAAACTTCTACACCTGGACTGGTTACAGCGGAATGAGTCACGAGGAAAAGCACGACATCGTCTTCTTCTTCCGAGAAGACGCCTGCTGGATTCCATGCAAGGAGCAGGAATATGATGCCGATGGAAATCTGATGAACAACACCGCACCCGAATACAACTGCCCAGATGGCGTTACTCGACTTCCAATCGACATGGAAGCGGCGATGGAAACATGGGCTGAGCCAGAGTTCAACTGCAACCCAACTGCTGATGGCGAACCCGTCCCCGGACCTCGACTCGGCAACTTCAACTACGACATCGCTCGATCCCACCAGAGCTACAATCTTCCGATCTATGGACTCAACCGATGGGACGACGAATCTTCCCGAAAACGAAGAGGATCTGACTCCGCTTACGTCGAAATCAACAGCCATACTTACCAAGCGGACTTCGACAACTTCCCAGTCCTCATTCAAAATGTAAACATCTTTATATAACATAAGTCTTTATGAAAATTTTCCTAGGTCACCGCACACCACGGTCACGGAACTGTTATTCATGAAGATTGCACGACTAACGCATTCCAGTACGATGTCATGGATGCCAACGGTAACCACAATGGCTGGCTCGAATATGCTCAGGTTTGTTAAATAGTTTGATAAGATTTCTCATTAAGAGTTAACTTTTATCGTTTATTAATTTAGTTTGAACTCTGCGAACCAGATCTCTCCGCTGCCGACTACATGTACACTGTTCCATCTTCTTGGACTTCTACCGTTACACTCCTTTGAGTAAAGAAAAGAAATCATCAGTTGCGATTAAAAATCATACAATTGTCTGTTTTCGTTTTCTGCAAAAATCATGAAGATAAAATAAAATCTAAAATATTCTGATTACGACCAATTTATTGGAATTTCACACCCGTATAGAATCAGAATTCAATTTTACACTTTGAAGTTTTTATTAAATTCAAAAATTAATTTCACTCAGTTTATCGAAATTCGTAAAAAAAAACGTTGGTACTCCAAGCGGTAAAATATCTGTATGCGCCATGAGCGCCCTCGCTGGCTAGTACCGTCATAAAAGCAACGACCGGTGCGGCAGAACTTCATTACAAAGAAAACCGACTTTGTAACCATTTTTATTCGAAAAATGAAGGTTGCTGCTGCGTTCATCGCTCTTACCCACGCCGTAAGTATAAGAGATAAAGAGAACTCGAAACACTTAATTAGTAGGCTTATAATTAGTGTGATGTTTATAATTTAGCGGCAGAACCGAATTCTAACATTTTTATAAGACTGAGGATCCCGACACTAACGGCCCTAACTGCTGGCCAGCCAACGAGCATGCCCCTCATTGCGGATGCCAATGGATCACTAGAGACTATCAAATGATCAATCATGAGTGCACCTTGGAATTCGACGCTCCAGCCAACGTGATTCAAATGCTCACCGTCGCCTCTTCTTTCCCCATTCCAAATGCCACCGATCTCGACGCCAACAGCTATACCTGGACTGGTATCGAAGGAATGAGCCACGACAACAAGCACGACATCGTTTACTTCTTCCGAAGGGATCAATGCTGGGAAGAAAAACTCAACCCCGACACAAACGAGACCGAACTTGTTCCCGTCAACATGACTGCTGCTGCCGAGACCTGGGCTTCACCCTCCCTCGATTGTGTTGAAAACGCCGACGGCGAACCCCACCCTGGACCACTCCTCGGCAACTTCAACTACGACATCGCCCGATCCCACCAGCAATACAATCTCCCAATCTACGGACTTGACCGATGGGACGACGCTGAACGAAAGCGACGAGGAGCCGACATCGCTTGGATCGAAATCAACAGTCACACTTACCCAGGAGACCTCCCCAAGTACGAAGTCCTCATCCAAAACGTAAGATTCTTTTAACGATTTAAATTATTATCGAAATTATCTAGGTCACTGCTCACCACGGCCACGGATCTGTTACTCATGATGATTGCACGACTAACGCATTCCAGTACGATGTTATGGACGCCAACGGAAACCACAATGGATGGCTCGAATATGCTCAGGTAAATTTTAATGTTTTATGATAATATTCTCGAGTTTCTTGTTAAGTTACTTAATTCTAAAAAATAATTAAGTTCGAACTCTGTGAGCCGGATCTCAGCGCTGGCGACTACGATTACACCGTCCCATCTTCCTGGACTTCTTCCGTTGTACTCAAGTAAAGAAAGAAAACAATCATTCGCGAGGAAAAATCGCTTACCTGTCTGCTTTCATTTCTGCAACTATCAAGCTTTCATGAATATAAATAATAAAAACTCCAATTTAATATTGAGTCTTTCTTCAGATTTAAATAAAAGCAGGTCTTCTTTGGAAAATATTGATTGTCCTTGTTTCAACTGAGATGTTTCTGAAAGATCTCCTCGATCTCCAGGAACTATATTTTGTCAAAAGAATCTTTCTCAAAAGAAATTCCGGAAATCTCCGGTCTCCCAAATCCGCTACTTATATCCTGAAACCATAGCGCTTTCAATTCCTGTATTATCCACGACAAGTGCTTATTTTAGACAGTCAAATTAGATCGTTGAATTTTAATTTCAAAATAATAAAGTTGTCTTTAGAAAAATTGGAAGAAAGCAAGAGCAAGAACTGTGAGTGAAGCAAAAGTCGACAAAGCGGAGGAAACAGCAGTGTAGAGCGTAATTTCGCGGCCTTCGACTGGCTGGACGTTTCGGAAGTTTTTGACGAGGGAAGTGTCGCTTGAGTCTTTGGTCATCACCTGAAGGATTAAGTCGGCTGAAGATTTTATTGAATAAGACTTACAATCATGTGATCGTAGGTTTCTTTGCTGATGGTGATCGGGTCAACAAAAACTGTCTGAAAAATTATTTTACTAAGATGCTCAAAATAATAGATAATATAGTCATACGATATAGTTCCATCAAATGAAATACCCAAACAACGGCTTCTTGGCATTTAGGAGTAGTCAGACTTCCAAGATATCTTAAATAAATAAAATCAGGAAAATAAAACGAAGTTGAAAGTTACCGGAAAAATTGAGAAGTGTCAGCATTGTTGACAAAGAGTTCCATCAAGCTCTTATCCTGAGGATTGACCTGTGCGTCCATTTCTTGAACATTTTCGTCGACGTCCTTTTTGATCAATCGATCGAGCTCATGGTCATCTAGAAGCATTTTCTTGCTAAGAAATAATTGTTTTTTTTTCTTACCTGAAGCGTCGTTTTCGCTCTCTTTTTCGATGAAAAATCCAAGAACTGCGAGCCCATCACCTTTCCCGACGGCTTCGTCAAAAGAATTACAGACTTAGTTAAGATGCAGGATCCTTTCGATAAGACCTACCCCATATTTCGTGTTCCAGTGAACAAGATGAGCTTCAGCATCGAACTGCTTATCATCCATTTCGTGTTCAGAACCAGGCTCAGAATCGCTGCCCCAGTGAATATGCCAAGAGTGGAACTTGTAGTTGTCATCGTCGCCGAAGGTGTCGCTGTGCATGTGCATACTGTAAACAATTGTTTATATCCTTCATCATTTTAAAAATTTACTCAGTGTTGGTAGTCGCGACGATGGAATGACCGTTATTTGCAATTGTCCAATCTGCCTTTTCATCGTAATTTTTGAATTTCCATGCCCCCGCGGCTTTGGCGGTTGCAGTTATCGTTTCTGAGATTTCTTACAAACGAAATTTTTTATATATACTTACGAAGATTAATTGGAGACTGACGAGTTCCATTTACGCATTTCTCATCGTTCCAGCTATCTCCCTGGTCTTTATCAGCATAAAAAATAAGCTGCCAAAAATTTGATCCTCTTTCTTTTTATACCATTCCTTCATAACCCCAATCGGCAGCTTGAGTTACCGCTAGAATGCTAAACACTTTCATCTCTTGAGTTTTTTATTCTTTCAAAAGTTTGAACTTTCAAAAACTTAAAAATAAAAGTCTCAAAACCTCTCGACGGGCTCAATTTCTGAGTGAGTGAGCAAGTCCTTTTCAAAAATTGAAAGTCGAAAAAATTTCGCTCTGGTGGCGCCCCAAAGATTTTTATCGGGCGCTTCTCGATTGAGATGTTTTTGCTGAGGACAAAATCGTTCGTTATTTTTTTTTTCTTGGGAGTCGGGGTGAAACCACAGGGTCTTTTCAGGAGTAAGAAAGAATGGGCGAAGCAGCTTTCAGCAGAGGGAACAAAGATGGGGCTTCGTTCATAAATGCCCTTGGTGGAATTTGCTGTTTCTAGGTCAAGTTCAGATTTTCGGAATCAGATGCAAAACGTCGACGAGTTTCATTCGAAACGTATCTGCGAGAGTCAAGTTCTGCCTATCGATTTCTTGGGCATCAAAAATTCATCGTGCTTACACTTTGCGCTAGAATCGATTCCAACCATGATTTGTAGAAATCATGCTAAAGATTCTCTATCTTCTGAGTTTTTCCTTTGCCAATTCCGAAGTTTGTGAGCTTTTTGAATGGATAAAAACCGAGCAGAGAAGCTATATTCTGGCAGAGATTGGGTCGAAGTTGGAGATTGACTGTACTTCTTCCTGGGGAAAGGGAGAGATCTTCAAGTCAGGAGTAGAGGAGAAAATCAACCACGAAGTCCTCCAAATCGAGAATCTCGAACTCCATCATTTCGGCGAATATATATGCAGAGCAGAATGCGGCGGGGTAGTGAAATGGAAAAGCATCAAAGTTGAGCGACAAAAGCGATTCTTCAGAAGGCCCGATGTGCAAATTGGCTACAAACTCGTATCAAAAGAAGGAGAGAACTTTACGAATACCTTTATCAAGGAAGACTTGGTTCCTGCCTATAATAACGACAATGGACTCTACTGGACAAATCAAACCGTTATTTTAGGTCGGGTTAAAAGGAAAGGCTCTCGGTATATTCCGTCAATGACGGACTGTCAGACTAACGCTTCAAATCCATAAAAATTAGCTTTATTTTACGATTTCGATTCCTACGGTAGATTTTGAGACTGATAGCCTCTAGCCTAGATGGTTTCTCGCCCAACTTGCGTCTCATAAATAACCTGACCCATTTTCCCCGTAGGAATCAATGCAATCCTCAAAATCGTAGAAAAAAGGGCGCGCAGTTTTCATCAAAACAACCCAATAAAGTCTGTGTTGTTTTCGCCGACCCACTTCCTTACATCAATTTCAACGTCTCTTCCAATGGCAAGCTCAAAACCGGCTCGTTCATCGCCAAAAATGTCGTCTACACTTGGAATCTTTACGAAAAAACTGACAAAATTTTCTTCAATTGCTCTGCTTCCAATGCTTTTGGGATGACCTTCAATGGCGGAATGTTGTACCGAATTCAATCGTTTCAGGAGATTCTTGTTGAGTTCATTCCTGTTTGGCTCCCTCCATTGACGCTCTTTGCATTTGCGTTTTGCTTGTTCTTCGACGGCTGGAGAAGATACCAAAATGTTTTCAAATATGAGCTCGTCCCGCTCAAACAAGAAAATTTCCACCTTCGGCGAGTTGGCTACTGGTTTGGTTCCATCCCTCCTTATGCCAAGATTTACAACTCATCGAGCATCGAACTGGTTGAAATCATAGACGAGGGCTTTTTTGGCTCCGTTTTCTTGGCAATCTTGGAGAAGAAGAGAAAATGCGTTGTGAAAATGTCGAAAGAAGAGGAAGGAAATTTGTTGGAGGAGATAAACTTGATGTGCAGAATTTCGGACCATGGGAATATCGTTCAGTTGATTGGTGTTTTTGTAGATTCGCAGGTAAGTCACATGATACGAATTTAACCATCAACTTTTTCAGGACAAAAGAAGTAAGGGCCTTCCACTCCCAGTTCTAGAGCACGCGCTTTACGGAAACCTCCGATGTTTTCTCCGTTTTCAGCGTGGTCTCATCGACAACACAAAATCCCAACTTCCGAAGATCTCCATCAAACCCCCGTTTCTTCATCAAAAAGCGCTTGAAATCGCCCAAGGAATGGCACATCTGCAAAAGTTCAAAATCGTCCACGGCGATTTGGCCGCTCGAAATGTCCTCGTTTTCGAAGATTTGACGGTCAAGATTTCGGACTTTGGAATGTCGAAAAAACTCTCGCAGAATTACTACAGAAAGACTTCGAAGGGCATGCTTCCTTTCAAATGGATGGCTCCGGAAAGTCTCCGCGACGCGATTTTTACGGAGAAATCGGACGTCTGGAGCTTTGGAATTACGATTTGGGAGATTTTCACCCTCGGAGAAACTCCTTACGCTGCCTTGACGGCCGATGAAATTCTTCCTCACTTGAACTCTGGCTCTCGACTTGAGGTCTGTCTTTATTTTTTAATAAGGAACTGCATGTTTTTAGATATTGGAGAATATGCCAAGAGATTTGTTGGAAAGCTGCTGGCAGAAAAATCTCGTCGATCGACCATCTTTTGAAGAAATTTTGGATATTTATTTGACACAAATTTGAGCTCAAAGCTTGATTTTTATCAAAAACTTATAATAAATAATGACGTTTTCGGTTCGACTTGTGCAGATTTCGCTCCGTCGATCTACGACCATAACCATTATCATCATGTTTGACGTTAAATTCAACAGGGGATGAGCTTGATCACCATTCTGTTTCCAAGATACAAATCACTCTTCTGTTGCAGATGAGCGCAAAATAGAAGCATTTGAGCAAACATCGAAAATGAAAATTTTTGCGTTTTTTTTCGTGCTCTCGTTTGGGTTGAAAACTGATGATTTCTTGCTGAATCTTCTCAAATCAAAGATTGATCGAAAGTGGAGAAACCCGGCTGTGCGAAAAATTGTCAAACCAAACCTGTACGAAATGTTTTTCTGAAAATTAACAAGAAAAAACAAAGCTTTTTATTCTTGTTACGAATATGTTATACAAACTTGGACACAGTCGAAAGAACCGTCGGTATTTCGTTTTATAAATTACAGTCCTCCATCAAAAAAGGAGTGAAAGTATAGTATCACAGACATAATGGCAAAATAGAGCGTAGAAGATGCTATTTTGTAATGAATTATTGATAATTTGCGCAGATTTTCTCCTCGATCACCAAAAATTACCATTATGATAATTTCTTATATAACAATTCATTATAAAATCCGTCCTATGACGCCCATTCCACCCTGTTTCCGAGACTCGAAAACAGAATTATTTATTCTAATCAGTCTTCATTTCCCTTTATAACCCGAGCACAGAGAAATTAGAACAAACAGCGAAAAATGAAGATCTTTGCTTTTTTCTTCACGTTTTCCTTTGCCTTGAAAACTGACGATTTCTTGCTCAATCTGCTCAAATCAAAACTTGATCGAAGATGGAGAGCTCCGACTTCGAGGAAAATTGTCAAACCAACTTTGTCCGAACTTTTTTTCTAAATAAAATCTTCAAAAAAAAAAACCTGAAAATCCGATGTTTATTTATATATGAATTAACAAGCTGAAAGACACAGAAATGAGAAAATATACAGTCAGTCCTTTTTACGATGCTTTTCCAACTTTTTCATTTGCCTACACGAGTTTTCATAAATGCACATTGTCATGATCATAAACTTCAGGAGCGCGTAGAAAAACATGCAGACTAGAAATGTCGGAAATGCAGTTTTTGAACTCAGTGAAGCGGCGTTCTTTTTGTAGTTTCTCTGGCTCGTCGAGGCGTTTTCAAGCTCAAGTTGCTCCAAAATCTTGTGTGTTTCCGGCATATGATCGATGAACTTCAATTATTTTTTTATTATTGAAATGATGAAAAAGATTCGCGTATGAATGATCTAATAAGGCCGTCGTTAAAATGGCTTAAGGTGGTAGATATCAAGAATCGGATTTGCTGTCAGTGCTTTCTCAAATTTTTAACATAGTGACCCCCTTATTTTTTCGGCTCAAAATTTATTTCAGGCAATTATCTCTTTCCTATGGAAAAAGCGCGTCTTATATTTAAAACCCGTTAAGACCCTGACTCAGGGTCATCCTGAGACTCAGGGCTTGAGTCAGGTTTTTGGACAGGTTGCCTACAGTAGCCTAACTGTAGCCTTAGTGGAGAAGCAAGCGAGTGGGAAAAGATTTCGTTTAACATTTACCTGATTAAAATCCTTATCATGCTCATTGCAAGTCAGCTTCCCATCCGGGTGTCTCTCACACTTGACTTTTGGAAACTCTTCGATTTGCACATTCTCAATGCCCAGCATCTTAATGTCTTCCGCCCTCAATTCTCTCACGAAAGAAACATCCGTGTTGATGCCATCTATTTTCAGTGTCCCTTTGCATTCTCCGCGTAGAATCTTCTGTTCCATATTTTTTCTGAAAAAAAATGAAAATCTACAAAGTAAGCAGCTCTGAAATTGGGCAAAAGTTTATTAGGAGTACGCTCTGTTGGCTGGTCTGAGCGTCGAACATCGTAAATTTGGACGTTTCGCCCTTTTACGTTCAGAGTCATTCACTGGTTTTTATGTTCAAGGCTTCTTAGGGGAAATATATAATGAGTAGATGAACGTATTTTCGAAAAGTTGAATGTCCTAAAAAAAGTTTTCGAAAATTTTTCTGATGATTTTGACGCCTTAGGGCTCTACTATTTGATTAAAAAGACTTACGGGATTCGAAACATCCCTCTTTTCTCTAGAAATGATTGAAGGCACGCTGAAAAAGCGTTAACCCAGAGAAAGACAAGCGGTATAAATAAGTCACGTTCGTTGTTTTCTCCTACCTCGTGAAGCTTGTTTTATTGTCTTGTCTCTAACTCTTTCTTTTACTTTTTTAATTATTTATTCCGACCATTAAGAAACGCATCAATTTATCAACTCTAGCACAAAAAACCTAGTTGAGCTTGACTTGTCGTTATCACCTCGAGCAATTATCGGTAACCAAGCGGAAACAAAACTTGAAAATACACTTGCTCCCGTGGGAAACAGCCATACAGTTGGTCATGTGTTAGTTAACAATTTTTACGATGGTTTTTACAAATGGTCCTTGATATAAATTACCTGATAGATTACCGAAGTCTGGATCAATTGAAATTCACTCTAAATTTGTACTCTTAATTAATAAGTTCGTTCTCAAGGTTGATTATGGTCAAAATGGAGCGGTGAAAAACGATACCGCCCGTGACTCGCGTATTCTGAGCGCTACGTGGCTCTATTTTCAGAAACCGTCTGCGCACCACGAGGTAGGTTTTGCATGTGTTGCTGTTCGTGTTTCACCCCCGCGAGAGTTTCAAAGTAATAATTTTGCCGTAAGCTCTTTTCCATCTAAGAAATCAAGGATCCAACTAAATAAATTAATGCCGAAATGATAATTATTCGACACTACAATATCGTACTGTTAAAACAGTTTCAACTTGAAGCTTTCAAGCTAAATCAATATTCAATTTTACGGTTTGATTCATAAATGTTCCGGTCGTCCAAACTCAGCAAGTAACAATCGATTTTTATTTCATATAAGGACGACAATAAGCCGAAAGATTTCACTTTTGTTAATGAAATAACAGTTAAAAGTAACTACACATTTATTGGATAAAAAAGAAGTACAATGCAAGAAATTTTCTGCTAAGAAGAAACTTCTTTTAGAGAGCTTGAAACCACACTGTCACTTTGAAAATGAATCGTTAAAATAAGCTTCAATTCCATTTAGGTCCCAGGTACTTCGGTAATGAATTCATTGATAGAATATTCTTATATAAATAATTATGCTCAAAATTCTGTATGCTATAAATGAAACGTTACCCTCTCATATTTTTGCGTCAACTTAAGCGTTAAAAGATATATAAATAATATGACAAAAACGTTATAACTTATAAGAGACTCGTATATTGTTCTGCTATACTAACATTTTGCAAGAATTTCCCTGTTTACAAAGCCATGAATAAAGTAAAAGCCACTTGAGTTTATCATCTCATTGTTCCTCTAAAAGAACGGCCTTTGATTCCCAAAGTCGCCCATGACTAGGGTGAAAAAAACTTTGCACACTTTTCTTCCGAAATTCAAGATTTAACGATAAACGCATAAATCTGGAGAGTAGGCAAATACAGTGAGAAGCAGCAAGAGAACGTAAAGTCAGTTTACGAAAGAAATACTGTTTGCTTTTTTTCACGCGTGTTGATTTTAGTCTGAATATTTCTCTACGACTTTTTTTTCGGGCACACGAATGTGCCCCGGGCAAACAGGCACGCAAGAGTTGAGAAATACTAGTTGATCGAAAAATGGTAGAGAGTAAAAAGAAGAAAAGAGCACCGCCACCGAAACCTACAGTTACTCAAGATGGATCCAGAGATTCTGGAGTCGGGAACTCGCCGAAGGGCACAACACAGCCAGAAAAGACGAAGAAGAAAAGGGCACCCTTGCCGGCACCGGTTAAAGCGAGACAGCTGAGCAATAGTGGTCAGGCCGTAGCGATGCCGATAACAGGTTAATACAGTGAACCCCCTTATTTTTTATCATGTTTATTACTTATTTTTGCGGTAGTTGTTCAAGACTATCGGTGAGAATTCAAAAATTGAGCGTTTTACGCTCGTTTTTTTTTGAAAAAATGTCTTTTTTGACAAAAAAGTACTAGAAAAATGTTTATTTGAATTTTTTTCTTTCAGACATCAAAACCATCCAAAGCGGCAAAAGCAAACTCGTCAGTACTCAGGAATGCTATCAAAAACTTTTTGTCTTGTGAAAACTTGGGAGTAATGAACTCTTGATGTCTCTAAAGTTTTCGTCATCAGCTTCGGCTTAAAAATAATGCAAATATTAGTTGCACGTTGGAATTCGTTGACAATTGTCCAATAGATATTGAACGACCTTGGATTTTATCCGTTGTAGTCGATTTCTTTCTTGATCAGCAAATAAAGAAACAACAGAAGGAGAGCTCTTTATCGAGTATAGAAGGAGATGATTTTGGAGCTAGTCAATTTGCTGGAAATTCCAAAAATTTATCAAGAAAATGGATCAAAAAAAAACTTGAAGAAAATTTTTCTTCGTTGAAAGTTTTTGATCAAAAAAATGGCCATGAGATCATTAAAGTTCTGAGCTATCATCTCGAAATCCCATGTCTTTGCATATTCATAAATGCCTCTCATAATTCTCTCCAATGCAAATAGTAAGAGCTGTCCGTCAGATGAAAAAATTCTTCTGTTTACTTTTCGTATGTTTCACGAGCATCTACTGATAGTAATTTTTGATCCTGATGAAAGAATTACATTTTCCGAGCATATGATGGATGATGATGGGGATTTCTTTTCTGATCCAGTTTTTGGTACCGCTGAACCGACAAAAAATCCATCACCCGAACCAGAACCGAAAAAGGATGAAGAGCCAAAAGTTGAACCAGAGCCAGTCGAGGACTTTGAACCGGAAATTGAGCCTGAACCAGAAGTAGAACCCGAACCAGAAGTTGAAGAAGAGCCGGAACCCGAGGCAGAGCCAGAACCAGAAGTCGCACTTTCTGATGATGGGTCAACAGTTGATTACGTATCAGATATTGAAGAAGACCCAAAATTCCCCGAAAAACAAGTCAAACAAGCAAATGCTGATAGTAGCGAAAAACAGAAGCAGCAAACAAATCCAGGCGAATTCGAAGAAGAAACAAATTTCGACGATTTGTTTGGCAGCGATAGCGAGTTTACTGAGACAGAGGATTGTATGAAAAAGATTAGAGACGTGTGAAGATTCAAGCGCTTTTTAGTTTCTGAGAGGTCGGAAGAAAAAGAAGCAGATACTGGTTATTTTGAGGGAAGCACGAAGTCGGACTGTGATGGGAAATCAGACAGCATGGAGAAAGTTGAGAAAGAAACTGTCAAAATGATGTACGTAAATTGCGACTTTCCGGCTAAATTTTCAGCTTGATTTAACAGATTAATACCCTTATTTTATGATGACTCGAGAAAAATAAACTCTTTCTTTTGACTTTTGCTCCTAAAATAAGGGTGTCATTTTGCTAATTTTCGTTTAGATAAATTTGTTTTCGATCGTTACCCCCTTAATCCAAAAAGACAATCTCGAGTTGTTTTTGGGCCTGAAAAAACTTTCATAAATCCTTCCTCAAACAAAATGGACAAAGAAGTCAGTCACCTTAAGTTTCGTGAAAAGCTGCAGTGGCGAACTTATAAAGTCAACGAGCGTCTGATGATGCATTAATTGCCTTTCCGTTTTGCGTTAACGATTTGTTTAGCTCCGCAGCAGAACAAAAAGTCGAAGCTCGGCCCCCGATTCAACAAGAAAGAAAAACTTCCTTCACTATTGTGCCTGGAAAGGGGCAACTTGAGAAACTCCAAAGCCAGAGTATTTATGCTACTGTGAATAGAGCGAAGATTATGGAACAGGAACGGGATTTTAAACGAGTATTTTTCGGTAATAGAAGAAAAATGAAGTAAAAACCCTGAAAAAGACGAGCTCTCAAAAAGGACATGCAGCGATTCTGAACGAACTCAGTGCGCTAAAAGACCAAATCGCAGCCTTGAAAAATAAAAACTCCAAAGCGCAAGTTCCGGTAGTTGATCACCTCCCCGTCATTTTTTTTCGATAGTGCATTTTCAGTACACAGTGGTTAAAGCCGTCCATAAATTTCGAAATGAGCATGAGCGGCCAGTTCCATCCCAGAAACCGCCGATCGCGGCAAAGCCAAAAAGGCAAGATCGAATATATCTGGTATTTTCTTACTGTTAAATTACAGTAGAACAGGCAGCGCAAGCTTGCAACTGGACGAACAAGGCAACATTGTACGCCCAGGATCAGTTTCCAGTCAGCCAGAATCATCAAAATCGTCATCTCCCGTAACAGTAGCGCCAAAGCCAGTGACAACAATGCCGCTCGATCAAAACGGCAACATTCGCATTGTCAACAAGCCGCGAACCAACTCGACTACCTTTGAGGTGAGAAAAACTGATTTACAGAAACAGAAGAAAAAATGTTCAGAGAAATAATTATTGAATTTCAGATTCCAAAGCTGAAACAAGTTTATTCCAGCCAGCAGTATCAACAGATTCCGCAAAGTAATCAGGAAAGGTTTATTACAACAGATATGAAGGTTCAATTTTAAAACCTTGAATTGAAATAAAACCTCCTAAAGCACCAGTCTCCGCAGCCCGCGCAACCCCAGTTTCCCCAGCACATCAACCCTGGCCCCGGCTATCCCCAAATGGACCCCCGAATGTCTTTCCAATACATACCTCAGTACCAACCCTTGCCACAGCAGTTCCAACCCAGCCAGTCCATGGATGCGCAGCAGTACCAACAGTACATTCAACAACACCAACACATGATGCAGTACCATCAGCAACAACAACAAGCTCAAGCAGCTCAAGCTTATGGAACTTATCATCCTCATCAACAAGCGCCGCAGCAATTCCAAAATCACATGGCTCCTCAATCTAATCAACCTCAAGCTCAAAAGTTTCACCCGATTGCGGCGCAGCAAAATTATAATCCAAGTCGAGGTATATTCTTTATACTTCTTAGCGAACAAAAACAGCGTTTTTTTATCATTTTTCTCACAAAACAATTTTTGAACCATTTTTCATAGACACCTCGGATCAACTGGACATTGGTAACCCGTTCGATCAAGCCTCTTTCTAACTGTGTTTTTTTTCTCCAAAATTGCGCACTGTGATTGAAAGTCATGTGATTCTTCATGAGATCATGTGATTTTTAATTTCTTCATTTACCGAACTTGCGAATCTGAAATGTGATTTACTCTCGCTTTATTAATTTGGCTTGTATTAGGCGCAGCGCCCATTGATTCGGTTTATGGACCCTCGAGGAGCATTTCCGAGAGCGGCTCACTCGCTCGCGGCCAAATCAATGCCAACCAAAACAACTCGAGAATGATGAAAACTTCGGTGAACTCTTCCATGTCCAGTCCTTCGCCGTCAATGAGCTCTGAAGAGGGGGCCGCTCAGGATAACAAAACAAACGCGGCGTTTCCTTTTGGCAAGAAATTATCGCTCAAAAAGCCTCAACAACGGTTAGTCTTCCTTGTTATCAAAAACTGAATTCCGAACTAAGTGAACTCGTCGTGACCCAAACTCCCCGAGAGCAGTTATTAAGCGAAGTGCAAAGCATTGCTCAAGCTCGGGGCGACACGACTTCATCCATTCCGGCCGGTTTCGTCAGGCAGCTTTCGACGAGCAACGATGCTCAGAATTCCAACTCGATTTCCACGATGAACAGCTCTCCTCCTCCAGTGATGCTCAAGCCGGTGAGCGAGAGAAAATTGAAAGAAAAGAAGGAAGAATTGACCACACACGAAGAGTTGATGCGACAGATTCAAAGATCAAGATCAGTTGCGGATCAATACATTGCAGATGGAACGATCAAGGCGACGAATGGAGCTCCTCCTCCGCCACCACCAGCTCCAGTTCTTGCGCCACAGTTGAAAAAAGTCAATGTAAAGGTGAGCTTTTCATTATCTTATCCATTTCTTACCAAAAACTTTTTCAAGCAACTTCCAAAAGTCGAGCAACTAACACCTCAAGAAGCCCTCCTAAGCGAGATCCGCTCTCGTGGAAATAAATCTCAAGACTATGTCTACGACGGGACAAACACAGAACGAGTCAACCCCGACCAGCCTCCTCCTCCTCCTGCTCCTGTTTTGAATCTCAAGCCAGTTTCGAATACAACCAGCAGAAGTCAAAAGCCTCTACCGCCAAAAGAAGAAGACCCGAGGGACTTTTTACTGTCTCAAATCAGGGCAGGCTTTACGCTGAAACCTGTTCAAAATTAATTTAATAAACAAATTGTAAATACTAGTTTTTATTTGAAAAAAGTAGTGTCAGGACGAGAATAGGAATCAAAAATGAAGAATTGCCTTAGATGATATTTTTACTTTCGTAAACTTCGTTCGTGAGATTTGAAATCTGTTGCTGGTACCATTTCTTGTCATTTTCAAACTCTTCTTTTTGCGTAAGCAAATCATTATTTAATCTGACCAAATCCGAGTTCTCTTCTCTCAGGTCGGAGTTTTCTTCCCTCAGTTTATCTTTTTCGACTTCTTGCACATCTCTTTCTATCTTCAATCTCGTATTTTCTTCTTTCAGTCGATTTATTTCTGCTTGTAAATTAACATTCGCATCAGTAAGTTCCAAGTTTTCTCTTTCTGCATTAAATTTTTTCATCTCAATGTCCTCTTTTTCTGAATAAATTTAAGATATTTAGACGACCAGTAAACTACCTTTAAAAGCCCGATTTCGTTCCTCTTTAAATGAACTCATCTCCTCTTGAATTTTTTCGTTCGCGCTTATCAGGTTTTTTATGGTTTGTTTCATTCGATTCTCATTTTCAAACACTCCTGAGAGTCGTTTTGACGTTTCGATATGCGTTCTTCCTCCTCGAATTTGAAAACTCATCGGTTCGTCTTTTGCAGAACCTACAGAATATAACACAAGAGCATGAATCAACTTACCACCAGTTGCCTCAAGTATTCCCCGTAAATATGTAGGCTTACCGGACTAAATTTCGGCCCATATTTCTAGCTTAGTTGGGGGGTCATATGATACAGTATTAGAAAGTCCAGAAGCTGGGCTTTCATTTGGGCACCATATCAAGGGGTTTGGGTCATGCCCGGAGGCAAATTATGGGACCGGAAGTTCCCAATTCGGGACAAGAACTCTTCTACCGGTTTTTACGATGGGTTTGAGATATCTAGAGCTTCGAAAAATAGGTGAAATAGAAAGCTTAGACTCTGAGCTTTCTTTAGAGCCAATAAAATTTTGCCGCCCGTTGGTCTAGCGCCCTCTAGTGGTCCTAGAAGTTGACCTCGGCAGTGTTTTAGTCTGGAAACTTCAGGTTTCGACTCAAAATTTTCGAATTCTAAACCTACTTATTTCGTTTCTTAAATAACTATAAACAATAAATAAGTCTTAGAAAATTGAATCACGGTTGATCTTGGAGGTTTTTTCTCATTTTTTCCGAGTTTCTGTCGAAAAATACCCATATTTCCAAGTTCTCTGGCCACTAGAGGGCGTTCAACCCAAGGGCGGCAAGATTTTAATGGCTCTAAAGAAAGCCCAGAGTCTACACTTTCAATTAATCTACTTTCCATTGCTCTTGAGATCTCAAACCCATCGAAAATATCGATCGAAGAGTTCTAGTGCCTATTTCGGAACTTCCGGTCCCAAAATTTGGCTTTCAGGCATGACCTAGACCCCTTGATTTTGGTCTCAAATGAAAGCCCAGCTTTTGAGAATTCCAAATATGTGTCATAGGACCCCCCGACTACCCTAGAAAAATTGGCCGAATTTCAGTCCGGTAAGGCTATAAATATGACTGTTCTGTAAGGAGTTCTTTTGCCTCTTCAACATGATTTGATGAAAGTGAACTGAATGAAATATCATCACTCATCACTCTCTTCTGAAAAAAAAACAAAAACGCACTTCGTATCTTTTGAATATCGTACACTACGCGCGCATATTTACGAGAAGAAGCCTCCTTCAATTTGACGGACAAACAGAGATATAGGTCTTACTATTCTGCTCGTTTCATAAAAAGAACACATAATTCCGCCAAAGGCAATTGCGCGTCTGACGCCCGCTCGCCTCACCACTGCTCTTGGGCGCCGCCTACATTTTTTGAAATGGCCTTCGGCGCCGCGAGATGAGGTAGTTCATTTTCAACTGTCTTTCCTGAATCTGAACTACGCCTTCTGAACTTCAATCACTACAACTCGTTGTGAACTGCTACAACTCGTTGTGAACCTCTTCTTTTCGATCCGAGCTGTTCTTACTGACCATCACCTGTTCCAGCTGAATACGAAGCTAAAGTAAAGCCTATATAAACCCTCTTACACTCTCATTCTTAACCACTCAGAGATACTTTTGTGGACAATAAACCAAAACTAACTTTTACCCTTTTTAACCTTCATTCAACTCTAGAGTTGCCTGAAGTTGCGTTGTGTTATTTCCTTGCAGAATAGTCTAACCTATACAAATTGGTGACTGAACCAAACGGAACGCCCAAAGAATAAGAGAGCTAACGATCGAAGAGAGCTGCAGTGAAAAGTGCTTAACGATCGAAGAGAGCTGCCGTTAGAAGACGACAAACGTAAGTACCAAAATTATAATGGAAGGGGAATATTTTAAAAAGGCTTCTGACCTTACTCGATATGAGCTTTTGCAGGTTTATGACTCTGTCCCGGGAAAATGTTACCCAACTAAAATCCCAATCACGGACAAACGATCCATTGTTTGCAATATTTTGCTCATTGATCCGAGTTTTCTCGAAAAAGACCGAAAGTTTCATTTTAAACCGACAAATGACGGTAAATTTGTCCAATTTTTGCCCGACTTCACAGGGGAAATTGATCAAAAATTTGCTCACCCACGGCATAAAATGAACCTCGAGCAAATTATCGCAACTCAAGAAGCTGATTCCTTGAGCAAGATAATGGCCTCTTTGGATGTCGAGAGTGATACTGAGGGTCTACCAGAGCTTGACGTAACCGATGAAGACTCATCCTCCGATTCTGAAATGTCAGCAAACGCTACCATGAGACCGAAAAATTCTCGACCAAAGCGATCTACGCCACCTAAGCCCGAGATCAAGAAAGAAAAACCTGAAAAGAAGCCATCTAAGAACCGAGACAAACAACCCACTCGAAATAGAAGGGAGGAACGCGAACCCGAATATCAGCCAAAACGGAAGTTTGAGTCCGGCAAAGCACGAATAAAAACGCCGAAATATGATACATGCCTTCCGATAAGTGCCTGGATTCGAAACATGGAGATTTATGGCCGGGTCACCTCGCTTAACGATGAAGAACTTATCACGTGCGCCCTCAGTGCCCTGCTAGCCGAAGAGCAAGGGAGCCACATCATTGCTTCTCTCACGGACACTGAACTTCAAGAATGGGATGCATTCAAAGCAAAACTTGAAGACGTGCTTGGCTTCTCCCGAGATCACTGGAAACACCTTTATGAGAACTACCGACGTGGATCTGACTCTTTTGGTGTCGCCATGGCCAAGTTAACGAGCTATTACAGGCAGGGGTATAACATCAAAGATCTCCGGAAACACGACGAAGAACTCTTGATCGAGAAATTTTGCTCTGCCCAAGACGATCGACTTCGAGAACTTCTGTTGCGAGACAAAGCTAGCCTTGATGTTAGCTCGATTGTTAAACGAGCAAACGAGCTTGAAAGATCCATTCCGAAACGCGAGATCAATTTTGCCGCCGTCACGAAACCTGAAAATGACCCGATCAACAAACAAATCCAGCAACTCATGGAAGAGTTCAGAAAGTTCAAAGCGGACCATGAGACTAACCGGAAGAAGCAAAGTGGGAGGAAAAAATCAAAGATTGATCTTGACAAAGCCCAAGGATATTGCTTGAAGTACACGAACACTGGCCAATGCAAATATGGAAGTTCCTGCAAGTACCAACATGCTCCGCAGCAAGAAATTCCTGCACAGGTCAAAGAATACGCAAGGTCACTCTTATGACTAAGAAATTCCGAAACTGTTCTTGCCATTCCGAATATGTTCTACGCTCCCTCAAACCTGAAATTTATCAACGTCAATGTCAATGGCTACAACTACGTCGCGCTCCTTGACACCGGTGCTTCAAAGACCTGTATCAATTCAAGTCTTCCGTTCGTCTACAACACCAAACCATCAAAAGTGGAAATTATTTGTGCAAATAACCAATTTATCCGACCGTCAACACTCGCCGAACCAATCAAAATGACAGTCCAAACAATCGGCGACGGAAAATTCTCCCTGATCACAAACCCACTTGTTGTCGACTCACTTTGTGTTCCTGTCCTTATTGGCTGCGACCTCCTCAAAGATGTTGCTTTTCCTGATAAGAAATTTATTGTTTGGAAAAACAAACAAGTCCGAACAATAAGACCCGATGAGAACTCAAAATATTGCAATGTCAATGCAATTGTCGAGATCAAAGATTCTAAAACTGAAAGGGAATCCCTAGAATCATTCCAAAGATTACGAAGTCAAAAGGCTGAAAAAATGAATTTCAAACCGGAAATTGGCTCATTCGGCGACACGACTTCGGAGCAAGAAGGAAAACTGATTGATCTCGTTGGCAAATATAAACTTGCCTTCTCAATGGGTGAAGATGACCTTGGAAAACTTCATAATTTCCGGTTCACCCTACCTATGCTTGATGAATCTCAGACAACACACCAAGCTCCTCGCCCAATACCGATTCACATGAGAGATCAGGTTAGCAAAGAGATTGAGCGATGGAAAAGTCTGGACATCATCAGAGAGACATCGTCTGGTTTCAATATACCGCTGATTATTCTAAAGAAACACGATGGCTCTATAAGGATTTCTCTTGATGCAAGATCCTTAAACAAACTCATTCAACAAGATCGGTTCCCGCTGCCTCACTTGTCTGTGGTATTGACAGATATCGGAACTCGTCTTTCAAATGGGAACTCATGCTTCATCAGTCAAATTGATTGCCACCGAGGGTATTGGCAAATACAAACTGCCGCTGATGATTCCCACAAGCTTGCTTTCTCTTTCAACAACAAACACTACGCCGCCCAACGTATGCTCTATGGTGTGTCAACAGCCCAGAGTGCATTCTCACGAATCATGCAGAAACTACTCAACCATCCGAGTATCCTCCTGTACTTGGACGATATAATCTGCATTGATAACTCCTTCGAAAAACATCTTGAGACCCTGGAGTTTATTTTCAAAACATGCGTTGATAATGGCCTACTTCTTTCACCGAAAAGTGTTACCTGTGTCGAACTGAGGCCGACTTCCTTGGCTACTCAATTAGCAAAGATGGAGTTCGACCAACAGAAAAACACCTCGAAACTGTCAAAAACTTGAAGGCTCCACAGTCAAAGAGCGAAGTCAAACGCTTTTTAGGAGTTTTCAACTATAACATCAAGTTCATTCGAGACGGAAGTGCCATTCTGCAACCCCTTTACGACCTCACATCAAAGAATACCGAATTTTTATGGGCTGACAAACATGAGCGTGCCTTCCAAACAATTAAGAATGAATTGTTGAAAAAGCCATCACTGTCACACTTTCAACTTGGAAAACCCTTGATTTTGGTCACCGACAGTAGTGGAAAGAAAGTTGGCGGAATCCTCTATCAAAGAATCGGAGAAAACCTAAACATTCTTGGCTACTTCTCCAAAGCCCTGAAAGGACCTGACTTAAAACGATCAATGAGGATCAAAGAGCTGTTTGCACTGGCATTCAGCATTTCCCATTTCGAGTATTTCCTTCTCAATACACACTTTACATGCGTGGTTGATCACAAGTCACTATGTTATTTGTTCAAAGAGCAACGAGACTACAAAAACAACGATATCAAACTCACAAACATCCACAATTATTTGCTCAAATTCAATTTTACGATCCTCCACGAACCCGGCACAAGTCCGATAATGTGTACTGCTGATTATCTCTCACGTCTAGAGGCTTCTTCCAGCGATGACCTTGAGAGTGACTCAATGAAATTCGAGGATATTCCCGAAACTGTGTTCGCCTTCCACACAAGAATGACTGCTAACGAAGAGAGCGTTTTCTCATTTGGCGAACAAAACTTTACAGCGAAAGAACTTTCCAAACTTCAAATGGATTGTCCAAAGTCAAGAAACCTTATTGAAAAATGTGGACGCAATCCAAAATCACCATTTGAAACTAAGGACGGGTTACTTTACAAAGATAATCGTCTTGTCCTTCCTGAAGATCTCAGCAATGAATTTATCTCCTTTCTTCATTGCTACACGTGCCATGCTGGTAGCAAACAATTAAACATGATGTTAAAACGATTTTTCATCCACGACGTGCAAACAAAAACCCGTGAGATAACAACATCATGTGCCACTTGTATCAACACGAAGCCTTTGAGCAAACTTCGTCCTTCAATGATCCAAAATCGGTATTTTGAGTCAATACCATTTACAAAAACCTTCTTTGATCTGATGGATTTTGGTCAAAAGGACAACCAAGGAAAACGATACCTCCTAACTTGTTCCGACTCACTGACTGGCTATATTGATGGAGAGCCTCTTGGAACAAAAAGCGATCCTGCTGTTGCGAAAAACATTCTTACTTTGATCCTTCGGCATGGAATCAACAACGACTGCTTCTCAGATAACGGATCTGAATTTGGCCCGCTTGTTGCCGAAGTATTTCGCAAATTTGAGATCCGACACTCGCGAACAACTGCTTACCGAAGTCAAAGCAATGGTGCTCTAGAAAGACTTCACCGCGAGGTCAACACCAAACTTAAGCTATTGAATGCTGATCACCGTAACTGGTCAACTGCCTGGCCAATGGTTAGATATTATATCAACAATTTACCAAAATCGACGCTAGATGGCAGAAGTGCTAATGAGTGCTATTATGGACGACAATTCCACGTCCCTTTCCAAACAAACCCTGTTGACGGCGCATCAAAGGAAAAATGGTTGACTGGACTCAACAAGTACTTTGACAAACTGCACCCGTCGATTCTTGCTTATCAAGTTTCTCGATACCGCAAACTGCTTGCGCGAGACAAGAATAATGCTCCTACCCTTGAAATTGGATCCAAATGTCTCATCTGGAAACCAGCTTTTAGAAAGCTAAATAGAGTCTGGTTCGGCCCATTCACTGTTATCAAACGAATCAGCAAGGACTCTTACATTGTGAAAGATGTCGAAACTCGAAGGGAGTACCGTCGACATATCAACTTGATCCGACCATTGAAGTTCAAAAATGACCCTGAGGAACTTCCTGTTACCGTTCCACCAGTTTCTCCAGATCCTGATACCGTTGCTAAACTTGATGCTGAAGAAGTTCATGACATGAAAGAACTTAAAGAAGTTTGCCCTGGAGAACCTCACATTAATACTTGGGCAAATAAATTGCGGCCAAGACACCAATAAAATGTGAAGGGGGAGGGAAGGCCCTTACAAGCCCCGTGTGCCAATCCATATTTGTGGAACAATATGGCTGTAAACAAAGTCCACTTGGATATCCGACTAAAGAGCAGCTTGGCGACCGCTCATGGAGAAGGGACCTCCTTACGAATCAAACCTCGCCTCGTAACCAAAAAGTAGCTTCCATTCCCTGCTAATAGTTAGGTGGCCATATCCCTCACGCATTTTTGATTTTTGTGACGCTGAAAGTCTACCGCGCGCAACTCAGACTGATGCCTCTCCAACATTCGAAAATGTAGAAATATGAAGACGACAAGATGCAACCGTTCTTGTTTACAGAAATCTTCGACGATAGAAGAATGATTGTTACCTGTGACGTTCATGTGCTAAGATGAACAATCAATGTCATACCGAGATGACAAATGATATAAGAGCTACGCAGTGATACCCATGAAAGTGCCGCTTCAATATTTATACAGCACTTATCTATCCCTTTTTTCACGAAAATTTTGGCCAAAATTTGAGATTTTGGTTGCCAAGATTTTCACTTCATTTTATTCCAATCGCGTGTCGACGAGAGACACAAGCTTAAAAGATATGTCGAACACTACCTTGAACCAAATCCTTGTCTGGATGCAACCGTACGACTCTAAGAAGCGCTTCCAACAATTCTGTCTGACATATATGCTTGGACACACTGTAAGTCTTTCCAGAATTCAAGAAGATCAAAAAACCATTTTAATTCGCCAGTATCTTTCCGACTGCGAAAACCTTTTGTTTACTTCCTCAAACTGGTCAACATCACTACCAATTCCAGTGATGACCTTAACAACCCCAACACAAGAGGTGAACATCTGTTCTCTTTTGGAATTTACCGGAAAAAGTCTCCTCTACAGACATTTAAGTCAAGAAACTTATGATGACAATTATATCTTGACTTCCTTCGATAAGTTCAACAGATGCAGAAACCTTTGGAAGAAATTCCGAGATATCACGATTCCCGAATTACAACTTATTGCAAATAAAGCAAAGAGACTAAACGCTGATTATCTGAGAGAGCTTGGAATTAATGCTCAAATACCTTGTAACCTGCCGCCTGGAACAAACAATGAGCAAACAACTCGTTTCCATCCTACAAACAATAATGAACAAAATCCTGAGACGTCTGTGAATTATGAGTTAGTCCCAATCAGTGATGATGAACAGCAAACAGATCTTCCGAAAGTTACCGATGATGTCACTGGACAAACTTTTGAGGATATGTTTCATCCCCCACCACTTGATAACCAAATTCCAACTGCTTCGAATGACACTGGATCAACTATGGATGACATTCTTCGAAATGTATCTGCAAGCTGCCTTGATTGGCTCAAACCCTACGTTGAGATGTCAAATGACCGCTCCGCTGACAAATCAAATGAAAACGCCACATCACAGTCAACCTTCAACTCGTCTCCAAGCCAAATAATGAATGATGCTGATCAACTGATCAATGGAAATCTGTGGAATAATTACTCTGAAAGCTCGCCAGAATCATGGCCTGGATACACATCATCCGACTCAGACTAAAATATGGATTTTAGTCTGAAAAATAAAGAGGGAGGAATTTATAGGTCTTACTATTCTGCTCGTTTCATAAAAAGAACACATAATTCCGCCAAAGGCAATTGCGCGTCTGACGCCCGCTCGCCTCACCACTGCTCTTGGGCGCCGCCTACATTTTTTGAAATGGCCTTCGGCGCCGCGAGATGAGGTAGTTCATTTTCAACTGTCTTTCCTGAATCTGAACTACGCCTTCTGAACTTCAATCACTACAACTCGTTGTGAACTGCTACAACTCGTTGTGAACCTCTTCTTTTCGATCCGAGCTGTTCTTACTGACCATCACCTGTTCCAGCTGAATACGAAGCTAAAGTAAAGCCTATATAAACCCTCTTACACTCTCATTCTTAACCACTCAGAGATACTTTTGTGGACAATAAACCAAAACTAACTTTTACCCTTTTTAACCTTCATTCAACTCTAGAGTTGCCTGAAGTTGCGTTGTGTTATTTCCTTGCAGAATAGTCTAACCTATACAGAGAAAAAGGCAAGACTACATCAAAAAGGGAAAAGCACTGACTAAAGCTACCAGAACAAACATTATTGCTTAGTTTTAATTGAAGTTGTATTACTTAAAGTGAACAGTTTCCAAGACTTCTTCTCAAGGGCAACTATTTTCCTTTCAGTAGATGCAATGTTCTTTGTCAGCACGTGGTATGATAGATGCGAACCAGGTGATAGGTGACGCTGGCGTGAGAGGCACGCTGATGAAGATTAGCAAAGGAAGCCATATGCATGGGTTACTGGGGACAAAGTTGTAAATTGGGGCATTTCGAAGTCTGTCAGAAATTATCCGATTATTTTTTGACATCATCAATAAACGTCGACATAAGATGCAATTAGTTGCAAAATATTAACACAGAAATCGATAAAAAACGCTTCGAAATAAAAGTTTGTTGCGTAAGATGATAGTTCTAAGGTATACCGTATACTTTTTCATCGGAAATCATTGATCTCAAGTTGACTGAGGCTAAAAGTAAAGATGCGGTCAACGATTTAGACTTTACATTCGTACTTATTAACCTTTTCCAATTTAACACTTCTAACGGTCAAGTTTGGTTGGCTCAACGACGAACACTCTTCAAGGCAATGACAAGCTGTAAAGACCACTGCGCCTTCGGGTCTATTTTTGCTTCTACTATTAGCTATTAGCGCATTAACATCGCCTGCAACCTCTTAAATCTACTTGCAATGGCCTCAAGCGTGCTGCCCATAAACGATTTCGAGAGCCCAAATGAGGGGGGCAGCGTTGCTTCTTACCAGGTAGCAGCACTTTTGAAAACTGTGATAACGAGCGTTTTCAATTGATTTTCTCCCTTTTCGAGATCGCCCCTACAAAAATCATGTTTGACTTGATTGACATGTATCACGTTTGTGCTCAGGAGAAGCTGGCCGAATTCGACAGATTCTACACGAGCTATGTTTATTTGGAAATTGCGAGGACGATCAAAATTGTTGATAATTATGAAAAACTGCACCAGGTAAAAATCGACTTTTCTCCTTTTTGAAAATCAATTTTTATTCAGATGAATGAAACGAAAAGAATCCAAAAGAAGACGCTCAAGATAAAGGACGAGAGTAACCACAGATTGAAGACCGAAATAAGCGAATTAGAGAGAGAAGAAAAAGAGCTGAGGGAGAAACTTGAGCAATCTCGTAAAGAACGACTAGCGTATGAAAAGGAACTCAAGTCTCTTGCTGCTTCTAAAAAGAAGCAAGAATCTGGAAAGTAAAACAATTCTAGTACCAATAGGTTTTCAAAGTTACTCTCTTACCCTTACGCAACGACATTATATAAGCGCTTGTCAACTGAAACTTTTCCAACCCTTTTTTTCCAAAATCTCTTGCCAAAAAGGCCTCAGGTGCCAAGGTAACCCCTGCTTCAGTAATTTATTACAAATTATTACGACCAAGGTGAAAATGAATTTATCTCAATTTACTCTGTTCTATTCAAAATAAAGTATCTTTAAAAATCAGTTCTGAAATGCAAAAGCAGCGTGACAGCTACTGTACAGTATAGAGACTTCGCTTTGGAACCAGACTTCTCTGGTTCTACATATTCTAGGTCTGCAGCGCTTAGCATATTTTCCGGGGCGGCGTGAAAGTTAATATTCAGGTGACTTCGAATGTACTGTTTTAGTAGCTCCATGTTGAGATATTTACTGACAGGATCACTATTGAAGACTTAAATCTGTGAGTGAATTAGTTTCTCTTACGATTGTTGGTTCTCTAGAGGTTGGGGTTGTCTCAAAACTTGTCCCCAAGAATACTGAGATTCTATGAGTTCAAGATTTATAAGAAAAATTAAAAAGGGAAATCGCATTTTATTCAAAGACACTAAATACGGTCGATTGCCAGGGACGCGCTTTATAAAGCTGAGATTTATAATTCAGCTACAAGAAAAAGTCGGTTAGCAATTAAAATAAATGCAGTTAGCCTGTCTTTTTTCAACTTTGATACAATTTGCATCCTGAACAAACGAAGGAAGAGAATTTTTAATGAAAGAGATGTGAGAGATAACCTTTAACTCTCCCTTTCAATTAACAGATCTTTTTTCTAAAAAACTAAAGTGCTTTATTCAAATAAAAAAATATTTCTATCAATATCGATGGCAGTTAACTGATTTGACCGCGCGGCAAAAGATGATACAATGGCGGTTGATGGAAGGGATCTTTCCCAAATTGGACGGCTATCGCCCAAGTCAAAGACTGAAAGAACATCATCGCTGGCGACTGATAAGTAATCGCCTCCCGCAGAGATAGAGCCGCGAGTTTTGATCGCAACTGGTCCGGCAGGGAATGTTCGCTTGTTTCTGTTTTATAACCTTTTACACAGTAGCTATTCCTTTCTAAAAATTGTTGTAAAACATTCCTGTGGTCGCTGAAAACAACGAATATCGAACAACTGACAGCACAACTTCCCATGGCCTTGTCCAACAAATGTATGCTCATCAATAGACTCAAGCCAGTGAAATTTAAAAGAAGGCATTTGGGCGCATATATTTCCCGCTGGAAGGTCGTAGATATTGAGCGATCCATCTGAGCCAGCAACTATTAAACCATCGCCGCCTGAGAGTTTTGAAAGTGCGGTTATGTCGTGAAATTTTGAGAAGCAATGGCTAAAACACGTAGAATAAATAAAAATAAGTTCAATAATTGACTTTATTTAAACCAACGTAGAGTAAAAGAAACGAACCTTTGAAGTACTTTTCCACCTCCGGTTCCAAATCTGTCCAAAACAGTCTTCTGTCCAAACTGGAATCTGATGAATTTAAGCTCATTCCCAGTCGAGGCACAAAAACTCCGATCATCACCCCCAAACGGGCAAAGATGGCTTCCAGCTGTTTCTATGCTTGACCTGGGCCGAGTGCCATCAGTTTTGGTAAAAAGGCTGATTGAGGACAAAGAAGAAACGCACAGGGTCTCTTTTGTAAAAGAAAAGTCAGTGATAGCTTCGTCGACATTCGCGATGGATTTAAGTTCTTCTAGCGATTGGATTTGAGGAACTTTTGTCTTGTAGACTGAACTTCCTTCTGATAAAAGATGACCTCCGCCTGGGCTACGTTTCATTCTCGTTGGCGGCGTTTTGAGCGGCTGAAGTCGCCCTGATGCGATTTGATGACCCATCGGAGTCTGAAAATTTGCCTCCGAAATTCTATTATTCTTTGTTGCTCCGGCACTTGTGGATTTTCTAAGCTTTATCGGCGCAACTATCGGCTTTTTGTGCAACTGTGGCTGGAACATCTTGCGTTTCGGCTGGATAAGACCGTAGTTTGAGCTTGAAACTTTCTTTGGATGAAACAGAACTTTTTTGGGATCGACAGGGGTCGATGTCTTTTCGACTTTTTGAAGCTTTGTAAGAGGGGAGCCTCGTTGAAGAGAGTGCGTGAAAGTGACGCAAACACGACTTTCGATTTGGACGAGGTCGTGGAGAGACTTGTCTGTCAGAATCAAGTTTCCAGAGAAAAGAATGATCCGCGGAAGACGCTGGGGGATGCAGAAGCTTTGGAAGGTATCGAGTGATAGAATGCTTATTGATTCCTTGTGCTAAAAACCGCTTTGAAGAATAATAAGGAAGGAGAAAAAGTACCTGAAAAATGACTAAATTGGTGGTCTCAGAAAACTGCATATTTTCAATCGGTGGTGTTGAACTGGCCTTGAAGGGGATTTCAAATTTTTGAAGTGGGGTCAACGGGCGGCAGTCGATTTGAAAAAGCCCTCCATGATCAAAAAGAATGAGCAGAGAAGAAGACGTTTGATCCTGGAAGACCTGTTTGATTCTTCCATCGAAAGAGGCCTGATGAACTTGCTTCAAATGACGAAGAGTGACCGAAACAGTGAAGTTGGTTTCTTCTACGAGAGCAACCACATCTTGATCGAATAAGAATATGTCGGTGTTTGAGCTTGAGCAATTTATTCGAAGCTTCGATTCTCCTTGAAAACTTCGGATATCGACAAAATATTCGTTCTTTAAAATAAGTTGGTTGCTGGAAACACTGATGCTGGAAAAGAGCTCGTTTTCTTCGGCTAAATTGATGGTGTAAATTTCTTGGAGATCGTTGATGTCCAGAACTTGGATTTCAGACAGACAGAGGATGAAAATCAGGTCGTTTGAGAGCGCGAAATCTTTTGGCTTTTTCTCGAGTTTGATTGATTTTCCTTGGCCGTTTTGGAATACGAATAGAGTCAATCCATCAAGGAAAACAACGGTCTTTTCATCAGGCGATTTCGAGAAGCAATCTGGCGAGAACGAGGCGATTTTTTCCAACTCATATTCTACCATGAGTTTCCTGAAGAAAAAAAGATGGGAGAAGCAGCGTCGTTATTAGGATTTTAATAAGTGTATCAGTCGGATAAGTTGGTTCGGATCTTATTTTTTTAGTTTTGGAGTGTAAGATGGAGTAGTTTGATTTTTGAATGTGGGTCAGTTGTATGTCGAAATACAGTAGAGAAAAGTTGTTGAAGATTAGTTTGAATGAAAACGCGCTATTTACAAACAAAAAAAAAACAGAAAGGTGAATTTTTTATCAAGGGTTTTCGGAGTAAGGATTTTCATTCGAAGTCGAGGGCAAATCAGGCAAAGCTCGAGTAGAATTCTGCGCCGCTATCTTCTCTTGCGCTATGCTATCCTACAACAAATAATTTGGAACAGGCTCAACTGTTTTTCTCTCACCTGGGATTCGGTTCGTAGAAGCACGGATTCATCCCTAGCTGTCTGATCGAGAACTTCGTAAACGTTTTCTGTTGGTGTGAGTGTTGGGATTTCCATTCCATCCATACCGCGGTCCTTTGTTTGTTTTCGCTTTTTGTAGACGATGAATGCTACCAGCCCGACTTTTTAAGGTTTCATGAATAGACTTGTCTATAGTTTGAACTATGAATAAGTCAAATGCCGGTGATTACCGATTGTTCTTAGCCGCAAATTACAACAAAACCCCACAAACTTATGAAACCAAAACAATAGCAATCAAAAGAATTCCGATAATCAAACCAGTCGGAGCTGACGATTTCTCCTGAGCTGGTTGATCTTCAGTCCTTATTTCCCCAAATTCAACAGGACTCGAGGATGAATCATCTGGGACAACAGAGTACTCAAGCTTGAATCCGCTAGAATGCTCAACAGCTTCGTCGCTTTTGAATTTTATAATAACAGGCAATTGAGCTAAAAATATTAATTGCAACTTATGTTTTCTATTTTACCTCTTCTTTCAATAATTTCAGGAAGAGTATCTCCACAAAATGGCGCTTTTATGCGTGTGTCGCCTCCTGATGAGAAGATTTCGACATAATCTTCGGGACAATGACCCGCAGAATGGTCAATTTCAAAGTGCAGAAAGTTGAGAATGATCGTCGCGTAGTCTCCGCTGAAGTCTTTGCCAATTATCCATGTACAGTCGCACAAACTCGGGTACTCATCTCGATGGGGTAAAGCCGGGCTCTCCAAGCGACCTCGATTGCCAAGTGAGCCGCCGCACTTGACATCATGTTGATAGAGAGAGTCTGACGAGGCGTCATATACGAGTATTTACCGTAGATTGTATAATGACAGATGTCAAAAGATTGTAGACAATCCATTTAGTAGCGAATAAATGATTTATTTGTATATTTGGAAATAAAAACTGAAATAAAACAAATTTTGGTGCAGTGTAATTAGTTAGCAACTCAGATGAAACTTCATATTTTAACACTTTTTTACCAGTTATTTGTTGGGGTCAGTGTCGAAAATCTGCCAAAGATTAACAACTTCATGTTTTTCCCCTAATATCAGCCCCTAGAAAATGAGAAGAGCTAACAATGGTACTTTAGGCTTTGAGCAGAAGCACCATTCATGGAACCGAAGGCATTTCTCACCATTTTCGACTAGCCGCAAATATTGGAATTTCAAGAATACCCTGGGAGGTTTTAAACCAAAATAACAAATCCCTACATAAGCCGATTTCGATGATGAACAAGCTTCTTCGCGACATTGGTGCAAAGAAACATGAACATCCAAAACTTCATTTTCACCGTCTTTTCCTCAAATAAAAGTACACGCCTTTCCTATTGCAATATGTTCCGCAGCAAGACTCTGTTTGCATACATTTGATTCAGTCGCCAAAACCCCAGCTAGTAGTAGACCGATGCCTTCCTTTCTCATCTCTAGTAAATAAAATTCATGTAAGAGCAAATCTGCGATTCGTAAAAAGGATGATTCAGAACATGAGAGAACAATCATGCTTATTGAAAGGAGAAAGAGCTTTTGTTTTGTGATAAAAGAGTTAAAACTTTATTACATTCGTCAAATCGGATCTTTTATCCTTCATGATAAGTAGACAATAACATGATTGAAAATGCAAAAAACTGGCAGTAGAAAATATTATTAAAAATGTATCCCTGAGAACATTACATAGAAAAGTCTTCGTCCGACTCTTCGAAATTGTAGAGCTTTTTCTTCTTTCGGGCACTCTGGCGCGAAGGGCGAGAATTTGAGTTGGAATTCTCTGAGAAACGAGAAGATCGTCGACGTGTAGAGCGACGAGGACTTGGCTCTGCGTAACCGTCCCTATAAATGCTCGTAATACTCAAATGTCATTTACAAAGAGATGATGACTGGGCTCGGCAACCTGTGTAGGGCCCTTACTCATGTTTTCTACACAGTATGCTGAGTCCAGAATGAGGAATCTCTGATACTTTTAATCTGATGTTTGGTTACCTGGCTTCATCGCTGAAATCTTCAGAGATCTTCCTCTGTCTTCTATTTCTTTGAAAACTTGGCAGCGGTACTTCATCATCATCGTCCTCATCCGCCTGAGCTTCAGGCTCAGTATCTGTGCTGAATCTGTCGTTTCTTTCATCAGAATCATCCTCTTCTTCTTCGTCCACTTGTTCCTCGAGTTCTTCCTCTTCTTCACTCTCCTCCTCAAGTTGCTTTTTCATTGGACGAGGTCGCTTTTTAGCTGGTCGTCTTCGGTTCTCTTTTTCGTAATCAAAATCGTCATTCGACATGTCTTCGGCATCTTCATCAGAACTCGAGAACCTAGAAAATTTGAACAACTAACCCTTCCTTGAATGAATCTACCTGTGTCGTTTTTTCTTCACTCTTGTGCTCCTGGAGCTTGTTTCAAAAACCGTTGGCTTGATATCCCGGAGCTTTTCTTTCTGAACCCTAGCTGGCAAATTTCGGAGTTCTTTCATCAACCGCTGTTTGAAGCGTTGAGATTGGCTGACCGCGTTTACGAATTCCTCGAGCTCGTTTTCTGGAAGAGGATCTTGCGATCCAAAGCGAGTTCGACGAGTAATTGATGTATTCTCCTCCTCACTATCGGTAGAAAAGTCGATCTTTCGAAAATTACGAGGTCGATTGTTTTCGCTGCGATTGCTGAGGATTCTTGTGACTTGCTCGCCTTCTTCTTCGTCAGTTTCTTCTGCTTCTTCTTCCTCATCATCCGAGCCCTAATAACGTCTTTACAGAAACCAAAAGGCAATCTACCTCTTTCTCAGATTCACCCTCTTCTTCCTCATCCGATTCCCCCTCATTTTCGTCAATTCTCTTCTGAAGTCGTTCAATGAAATCATTCGGTTCCAGTTTTCGATCATTCACGGCTTCGGAAAGAGCTTCAGAAAGAATCTTCGACATAGAAAACATCCCGTTTGAATCAGCATCATTTGAGCCATTGAAAAGCGCGCAGTTCTCGTGAAGAAGAGCGATTTCCCAAAGCAGACCGGCCTTGTTTCTAAAGAAGTATAACAAACTATGCGGACAGTGACGAGTTACCTGTAAAAATTTGTCTCCAAACGGTCTTTGATCTTCGTCAAATTAGTTGGGTACGAGATAGTTTGTTCGTATTCTTCGCGGAACTCATCCTCGACTTCGTGATTGTAAGCCGCAACTTCTGGAATTTGTTTAGAGATTACTGCCGCTAGGATGTTGATCAAGCGGGTACTCTCCTTGTCGCTAATCTCTGTGTGAGAGAGGATTACTTCCGGCTGTTCGTCAGAGTTCCGAGGAACAAGATTCCAGACGGATTGAACGTCGACTTTATCGTCCGACAGCCATTTTACCGTGAACCTAAGAAACAAAAAGGTAAAAATCTCTAGATACAGTCAAAACGCACAATTCCGGAACTTTTTTTTTCAGCGAAAATGGGAAAATCTCCGGAATTGTGCGGATTTTCGATAAAAAATTTTTCTCCTCTCAAAAAAATCTGTTTTTATGGGGTCAAGCTCACTATGGCCGAACCTCGAGGCTGAAACCGAGTTTTCGAAGTTTCCTCCTTTGAAAATGCCAAAGTTTTCATAAAACGGACATTTTCTTTACAGAAAAACATGAAAAAACCAAAAACACAAGCTGAGATTCCACGTATTTCTGTTAAAAAATGCCCGAAGTTCGATTTTTTCTCGAACATCTCCGGAATTGTGCGATTCAAAATTTTTTTGGTTCACCCCTTAATCTCCGGAATTGTGCGTTCCGGAATTGTGCGTTTTGACTGTAACAGGGATTCTTACTTATTGAATAGTGTTTCTTCTCCAGCTAACAAATGAACGGACTGTATCTCCCCAGCGAACCATTGAGGGATCCTACTTTCGGGGCCAATTTCTTCAAAAATTCCCCAGACTTCGTCCCCTTCTTTGAATTCCGACTCGTTTGAAGCATCGTACAGTTTATCGTAGATAATAAACTCTTCGCAGTTTTCCAGTGGCGCGTATTTTATCTAACGAAATAATGAAATGAAGAAGAAGAAAATCCCTTACCGTGAATTTCTTGAGATCAATTTCCTCATCGATACATTTTAAAACGACAGAGCACCATCTAGCTGGAGGGTTGAATTTCTTCTCCTTCATCAGTTCAATTTCTAGTTCTTCTACAACACATAAAATGTCCTTTCCAATCAATTCTTCGGAGTTTTTTATCTGTTGCGGAACACGGTGAAATTTTCGAAGAGAGGTAATCTTTTGATTTTCGAGTTCTTTGACAAACTGTTCATGTGCGCGTGGAATGTAGTAAACCTTGTCGCCGACTTGAGGTATAAACGGGCATCGAAGAGGTTGAGTTTGGCTGATCCATTGTAAATGGCCTCTTCCGGGCGATTCGATGAGTGAGTGATAAGGAGAAGCGTGACCAGTCGGCGAGGATTCATCTGATCGAATTCGCCCCTTTGCTTCGCGTTTCTTTTTCTTTTTGATATATTTTGTGCTCAATTTTTTCAGCGGATCGACCCTGTCCGAGTCCTCATCTTCAGAAAACACGATCTTCTTTTTCCTCGGCCTGGAGGATGTCGGACGTGAGCTCGGTCCAGGCTGCTCTTCTTCTATCGAGCTATCTAGATCGGCTATCGGGGCTTCTTCTTCCTCTTCCTCGCTTTCGAGATGTTGAATGATTCGTTTCTTTTTTCTCTGACCGCGGGTCGAAGTGGTCTGTTGCGCCTGCAGATCTTGAGATCTCCGGGCTCTTCGATTTCTTGAAATACTCGCCTCTTCTGACGGCTCTTCCAAAGTAGGAACGTACTCCGACGATGTGTTCCCCTGCGTTGTCTCCTCTGAATCATCGTCTGTAGACCCTTCTTCGTCGTCATCAAGAGCATCAGAATCATCCTCCGCTGGCTCATCATCGACAGGAACATATCCTCTCGGAGCTCTTCTTCGTCGAGATTGGTTGTTTTGCTCTCGCTGCTCGGCGGATGAGTTCAAGTTGAATTCTTCATCCGATCCGTCGATGGAGTTATCCTCTTCTGACTCTGGCGGTAGCTCAGGCTCTGGAATATCCCTGCTTCTTCTTTGATTTCGACGATTTGCCCGACGCTGGCTTGAAGATATTGGCCGAGAGTTTCCTGCTTCGGAGTTTTCCGTCACATGGATCTCATCAATCTGCATGACGTCGTCGTCGGTAAGTCCTTCTCGCCTGTACCACTTTTCCTCTGCGTTTATTAACTGCTTTTGAAGCTTATCTCGAGTTTGGACGGTTTTCAAATCGAGGACTTCACAAAAATCTTTATTGCACCAGCTTGGTTTTTTCGTTCCGCCAACTTGCGATCTTCTTTGAACATCGAATGTTAGAACAGACATGTCAAGATGCACAGAGTTTTCATCAACGATCATTGGTGTTCCTGCCTCTTCAGCTTGAACCAACTCTGCTTGAGTGAGCTCGAGGTCTAATTGGCGAATCCGCTCCCCGAGAACATCTCTTTGTCCTTGAAGCTCTTCCTCAGCAATTTGCCGCCTTGTTCGAGAATCATTGACTCTGCCAAGGTAGGGCTCGTTTTGGGAGTTGGTGTACATGCCTGGATTCTGCAGGTGAGGAGTGAGCCCAGTTTGCTCATCGACAACGAATCCTTCTCGATCACGCACGAGAGGATGGTAGTCTGTTTCGAAAAACAACTCTTCAGGAAGCTGAGAGAGTTTCGAGTCAGTTCCAAAGCCAGAAATGCTCATGTGTCCCTGAGAATCGGCGGAAATAATCTTCGTCCCGTCGGAGGACCAGCAAATGTCGTGGATAGACATCTGCTCTCCGGACTCTATCGTTGATGGAAAGTACACTTCAGCGAGCTTTTTCGACCGAGAAACGTCCCAAACTAGAATGAGACCGTCGCAGCCAGATGATGCGAATATATGAGGTTCTTTTGGATGAGCCTTGAGGTTCTGAATTGTCTGGGAATGATAAGAAAGTGTTGTGACAAGTGTTGAGTTAGCTGCGCTGAAAACTTTAATGACATTGCCTCCACTTGTCTGTGCACTCACAAGAGCGACAATGATCAGCTCGTCGTTCTTCAGCCAGATTCCATCATTGACTTTTGGCCGCTTTTTCGGATCTGTTTCGGTCGTTTCACCAACACAATCGATCTTTTGCACCTTCCAGCGGCGATGTTTCAGCCTCCAAATGATTGCAAAGCCATCAAAAGAGGTACTGAGCAGCGCTGGTGGAACAGTCGTACTTTGCATTTGATTGAATTCGATGGACGAGACGCAGTTTGTATGAACATCGAGTTCGGCGATTTTGTCGACTCCGCGAGGGCTCTCGGGTTTGAGAATCATGTACACGCGAATCCGACCATCAGAGAAGCCAACAGCATTGAATCTGCCTCCCTTAGACCAGGCTTGTTGAACTGCACGATCTCCAGGCTTTGTTCGTTCTGTGAACTTGGGTGGGGCTTCCAGAATAAATTGCTTGTCATTTTCGTCGTAGGACCAGAAAACCACGGTTCCATCGTTTCCAGTTGATACCAAAGGGCGGATGTAGGTATCTGTGACGCAGAACATCCCCGGACCCCAGGAGATAGACGTGATATTGTGCCCAGTGTGCTGGCCGAGCAAACAAGTTACTGTAGCGCCACTTCTGAGGCACCAAATTCGAATGGCTTTTTTGTCATCGCACGAAGCGAGAAGCGTGTTATCAGGATGGACCTGTAAGTCGTTGATTTCTCCCTCATGGCCGCGAAGTGTCATCAGTAACATGCCGGTTATGGAGCTCCAGATCTTTATTAGACTCTCATCTGAGCCTGTAATAATCCTTTTTCCCGTCTTGTCGAAAGTAATGATGTTTACTTGATCCAAATGGCCGAGAATATGCGCTTGAACCTGAAAGTTGTCCCATAGCAAATCATTGTACTGAATCTTTCTTGGGAATAGTCTGCCGATATTCCGTTGAGATCGAAATTTTGTAAAGCTGTTGGCTCGTTGGAAGTTCGCTGGAAGGGATTTTATAGACCCGTTGGAGGAAATTGAAGGAAGGGAAATTGACTGATTCTTGGACCGGATAGAAAGGCCGTCGGGTTTCGGCGAAAGATGTTGGAGAAAACATCGTTTGAAATCAACAAGTGGGTTTTCCGACGCCTTAAATTTGTATTTATAATTTTTATGGGATTTGTTGAGTCATAGAAGGCGCGCGCCAACAAGAATATTCCAAGTAATGCTTTACTTACGAATTTTTCGAAGGTATTTTCTCTTTCTTCGCCAAATAAGTCGATGTTCTTTGGAAGAACCTTAAAAAATCATTAAAGAAGTGAACTTCTAAATAAAATTTTGACTAAATAAGCTTACATATTAGTAAACAGTAATTTTCGAGTATACTACTTAATAACTTTCTTTAAAAATATCACAAAGAAGCCATTTTTGTTGAATTTTTTGGTATTTTACCTTTTTGATAACTTCATTTTTCTTCGCGCATTCCAATAAGCTCTAAAATTTATCGTTGAAAAGTGGTATTTCTCGTCTATCATCGAAAAAAGCAGAAAAATCTGGTCGGAAGACCCCATCTTTTCGGTAGCGTGAGAAGTGAGGAGAAGAATCTCTTCAGACTCCTCCGGAGGACATTCGCCTTGGCTTAGCTGGAAGAAGAAAAATTGCCCTGGAAGCACTCAGAGGTGTTTTTACCCAATTTTGAACCCTTTTATGCCATTTTCTCCGACTTTTTTACCTCTGCTGCTTTCTGACACCCTGGAACTGTCTGTAGAAATCTTTGAATTGCCAGTATGTTATCTGAATAAAAAGTTTACTACAGTGAGTTTTCTCCGGCGCTGGAAGAAGAGCGCAGAGTTTGGGACTTACAGGGAAGTTGTGGGTCGTTTTTCCCCTCCATGATGGAGAAAAGGGTTTGACGGAGAAGTCCTCTTTTGAATTACTATAATTTCTCGACTGTAGTTGCCAAAAAACGTGCAATTAATTCCTACTCTTGGAAAAAATTATGTTGAGGCTAGGGCGCGCCCGATGAGTCATAATTTCACAGCGCGGTGTGGTAAGAGTGTGGTACGCTGCTTTTTCTGGTGTGGTAGTTGGGCAGCGACGGGTGTGGTAGAAACGGGAATCAAGGACGAAAATCAATAGGGAATCAATTCAATTCAAGAATTGGCAATTTTGGCCACTTTTTGAGCATTTTTGCAATTGTTTTTTTTTCACAGATTGTAATTTATAGTTGTTTTTTTATACGGAAAAAACAAAGTTCATTTTATGCACAGGAGACTTGCTTGAGCGTGGCTTCTTGCAGCGATGATTTTTCGGTCGAATTCGCGGTAGAAGACCCCTTCTTGTATGTAAGTTGGTTGGCCACTAGAATTCTTTGACAACACAAAATTTTGCATGATAATTTACCGGCACCAGGGTAGTCCACTGTTTACAGAATTGAATTCATCCTGTTTGTAACCGGTAAAAATACGAAGAACTCCAACATTATTCCTCCTGATTAAATAAATTGATTAAGAAATTTGCACTTTTTCTTACTCATTGTTCATTCGTATTGTCCAGGTTTTGTTGAGCATAGAATTGTCCAGCAATTTGTATTTATCAGTAAATGAGGAAGTCAACTTCATTTTCGGACATTTGTGCTCATTTGGATGCCCTTGGTTTAGAACCGTTCGTCCAAATTCATCGAAAGGATTGTCTTCGCAAATGTAACTGGAATGGAAACCGTTGTCCACTGAAAATAAAATTGCTATGTATTTGAAATAAAATAAATGTTGTTTTATGCTCGATAACCTGCGTAGAAAACCTGAGTCAGGTTCTGAAGAGTCTGTATGAAGAGCCGCGAAGCAAAGCCGCTCTGCGGGATAGTTTTTCAAAAAGCCGTTACGCGGCTTTAATTGAAGGCATTTCAGATCTTTAATTACTTGTTTCTTTACTTACTTAAAAATGCACAGAGAGGATGGGTGTCGTTTTGATTAATCTTCATCAGAGTAACAAGATAGTCAATTTTTCTTGCTTCCTCGTATTCTTCATACATTTTGTTGTCATCTTCAACCCAGAAAGCTTTTTTACCAAACACTTTGTCTCCAGATAAACTTCCAAAATTAATGTCCTCCCAATTCAAAAATCTAAAGGGTTTCTTCGGAAGAAACATTCCATCATCTTCACAGGCCTTTTTTGCCTCTGAAAACGTGAATACTCCTCTTTGAAGGTGGCCATCGAGGACTGAAAAAAGTAATCGGATGGTCAGAAAAATAAAGGTTAGACATTTACCTTTTCCGTTGATTTCTACTGATACATTGAAGGCTGTTTTCATGGCACCCACTTCTTTTTTTACTCTGAAAATACGAGGCTTTGGCTTCTTTCTTATTCATTTTTAGAATTAAGTATTATTATCGGTACTTACTGTCTCCCGGTCGGGCGATGAAATATCATTAAAACATTTGCCAACAGCTGCTCATCATCAATGACGGGGATGACAGTTTTCTCCGGAAGAACATGAAGAACTCCAACCACCAACCTGATAAAAAATCCTCAATTCAAAATCAAAATTAATAAAAACTCACGCAAGCAGAAGAAAAACCACAGTAAAAACAAGAAAAATATCCCTCTTATTCGCCATTTTGAACACTCGAATACTAAAACTTTACTTTTCATAAGTTTCTACTTCGATCATTTCTATGTCAATCTATTCATGCGAATCTCTAACACATGTTTTTCTTTACAATTGTCGTTATCTAGGCCCTTATACTTCCAATTTATGGTTGGAAGGTTCAACATAGACCTTCTTTCCCGATATTCATTTTATTCAATAATAAAGAGCCGGTACAGTTGAAAACAGATCGTCGTAGTCGTAGACGGTGGGTGCTCGCGACCATCCATACTCAAAAGCGTACAAGAAATCCTTACGATTTGCTTCCATTTCTTCAACAACTCTGCGGAGATCGGAAAGCGTCATCGATTCTGCAAAATGCATCGTCAAGAAAACTACAAAAAGGGGAGCTAAAAATTGCATTCTTGAAATCATCTCTTTGAGCTCAAATCTGCGAACTCTTAAAAAGGATAGCACATCAATATTGCAAGGAATCGTAAGTTCAAATATCGGTTATTGGTCGATTTCAATAACAAGACATCGGATTTTACAGTATCGATGCCGCAGTTATTACAAGAAACTGTATTTGAACCCTAAAAGAAGCAAGACCTTCATGATTTACAACTTCAATGGTAAGATCAATCATTTCCAACTACTGAATTAACTTTTTGAAGTTTATGAGAGAATCATCTCTTTTCATTGTGGATCTTCACCGACGCATGAAGCGGAGCCTATTCACGGACGGGATCAATTTCCGATGCCAAACTTACGCGTTAGTTTTCAATTAACAAAATGACCTTGTACGAGTTTTTGGCCGGCGAGTGTAATGGGCAAAAAGAGACTTTGGATGGAAGAGATGAAGTTGGTTGCGGAAGCTGTTTTCAGCAGTATACTTGTGGAGCGAATACGAACAGGTTCACCTGCTTGCCGATAGAGAGGATTTGCGATGGAGAAAAGAACTGCCAGGATGGAAGTGATGAGGTCAACTGTTGCCAGTGGACGAACTGGGGAGCATGGCAAGAGAGGGTGGTCTACAATTCGGATGAAGTAACGAAAGTTAGATACAGGTACGTCTTCTTTGGCTCGACAATTCGCGAAGAAAACCTGAGTCAGGTTTTCATTACATCTCTTCGCAATCCCGACTCAGGTTGTCAACAAAAATTGCCGAACTCAGATGTCTTTGTCATTTCGTTTTTCGCCAGATTTATCATTTTCATCAAGAGACTGTGGTAGAACAACAACAATTGATGGAGAATTGGTTCCAGATGGAAATTGCCGATGTCCGGGCGAAAAAGATTATGTAAGAACACTTCCTTCTTCCACAATATTTTCATGATTCTTTCTTTAGATTCAAGAGTGGATGACTTCATCGCTAACTCAAGCTGAATCTGGCGGACTCACCTGGGAACAGATCGATCAAAATAGCCTGAATGGAGGTCCGTCCAATTCAACTGAAAGCCAATCACTTCAAGAACCTCAGAAGCCTAAGCTGAGTACCCTGTCGATAATCGGAATCGCTGCTGGAATTCTCGCAGCACTTATTTTAATTATAATCAGCCTTACGTGCTATCGTAAGAAGAAAAGAAAGGTGTTGAAGGCAAAAACTCTCACTAGAATTCAAGAAGAATTTCGAGCCGAAAGTCATTCTATCAACCCGTATTCTTCCTACAGCGGATATACTGTTTCTGTTTGAATCAAATAAAGCTCCTGGAAACATGATTTTCATTACACTGTATTCGATTTTCAAAATGAGGAAAACTTTTTCTGATCGGAACTTTTAAACTTCATTTTTCTTCAGAAGAAGTCAAAATCTGGAAAATCTAAAAAAGGAAGTTTGTGCGTCAATCTTGAGTCACGCTAACTTGCCCAAGACGCTAACTTCCCCAGACGCTAACTTCCCAAAAACGCTAACTTCCCCAAGGTTGTGCAAATTAACGCTTCGAAATAATCAAAGATATGTTATTTTTAATAATATGAGCTCAGAAATTTTGACATTGACTGTCAAAATAAGTGTACTCCCGGAGTACAAAAATATTATTTCAAAACGTTTAATTAAATTTGTTCCAAAGAAATTGAAAATATGACCGCTATTCACGAGGAAGGGTCGAGGTTAGATTCTAAGAGACGACTAACTGTCTACCAGACTAAGACATGCTGAAAGAGCCATTCAACGCTCAACGGATCGCCCACGCATTTAAGATGCTAACTTGCCCAAGACGCTAACTTCCCCAAAACGCTGAAATGCACAACGTTGGGCAAGTTAGCGTCTGGGGAAGTCAGCGTCTGGGGAAGTTAGCGTCTTGGGCAAGTTAGCGTGACTCGTCAATCTTGTCGGAAGAAAATCACTATCAAGGTCGACTTGAAAATCTCCCGGGAAAAGCCGTGACGCGCTTTTTTTAAGGTTGTGCAAGTTATTTCTCCACCTTTTCCATTGAAATGCCTAGAGTATCATATATCTTTAGAATCAGTGAGAAAAATCTAGAATCATGACCTTTTTAGTTTTTCAAAAATCACTTCCGGTTGTGATTCTAGAGCCGGAAGTTGGCGAAATTTATGAGAATGGCATGCATGTGACATATCAAACTGGAGCATAAAACATTTCCATTCATTTGAAAGAGGAATTAAATCAAACCGCGGTCAGAACGACCGGTTAAACCATAAAGAAAAATCGATTTTTTTTCATATTTGTAGGAATTTCAAATTGAAAAAAGGGAAACTAAACCAAAGAAGAATCGAATCTGAACGCGATAGAATGATATAAAATGTTCTAAGCTTTAATTTGATAGGTCGCAAGCATAACATTCTCATTAATTTCGCCAACTTCCGGCTCTAGAATCACAACCGGAAGTGATTTTTGAAAAACTAAAAAGGTCACGATTCTAGATTTTTCTCACTGATTCTAAAGATATATGATACGCTGGGCATTTCAATGAAAAAGGTGGAGAAATAACTTGCACAACCTTAAAAAAAGCGCGTCCGTATTTTCCAGGTAAAAGCCGACCTAGTGAGAAAGTGGCGCTGCCCTCATTTTTCCGCACCAGCGCGATAGTCGGCCAATCGCGACGCCCAACACAATTCGATTTTTTTTCATAGCGAATGTGTTTTTGAAAGAAATAAACATAAAAAAAGGCTGAATGTTGATTGTCATTTTATAAAAAGAACGAAAACTGAGAGAAAAAATGAAGACGGAAGATAAACGCGGAGAATCAAAGGTAAACTATATTTTTATAGAAATTAGCTCTAGAAAAAAATTTTGCTTAGCCCGAATGCCGAAAAATCCTCAGTCAAATTTTACCGCATCTATTCGTCGGGTCCGCTGACGACATTTCCGAGTCGTCTTTGCTGGAGAATCGAATAGATCTCGTCATCAACGCAACCACTCAATATGAAAAGCCGAAATATCTCCTCGACGAAAATTACCTGCAAATTCCAGTGTTGGATACAGAGTCAGAAAGTCTGATAGATTTTTTTGACCAGTGCTTTGATTTTATTGATAATGCGAGGTAATTAGAAAATCGTGTTAATGCCTAAATGGGGTTCTTATTTTAACAGATCTCATATTACCCAGAAGGTCCTTATTAATCCTCTTAATTCGTGACCTTTTTGAGGAATATTTCAACCGCAGAATTATATCTGGCTTATTTTCATTAAGGCTGAAAAATAAGCGAGTGATGGTTCACTGTCAAGCTGGAAAATCAAGATCTGCCACGATCGCAATAGGTACTATTTCATGTTCAATTCCCCTCTTATTAATTCTAAGCTTATATTATGCGCTACAAAAAGCTGTCAATGGACGAAGCCCACCTTTTCGTCCGTTCCAAGCGCCACCAAATCGACCCGAACTTTGCTTTTCTCGGCCAATTGCTCGACTACGAAAGAAAACTTTCTGGCGAAACCGCTCGAGTGACTCCTGATGGAATTGAAAATAAAACTGTTGAGAAAGCAACTCAGAAAACTGAAATTCGACTAGCAGAAAGGCGGAAAATCATAGCTCCAAAAGTTGGAACATTGAGAGATTTGAACTTGCTGAAGAAACGAAATAGACCACCGCCTGGTTCACTTGTGATTGGGGATACGAGGAAGAGAAGGTCGAAGAATTCTGATGATTTGCCTGCAGGATCGGTTGCATTATTATTGCGTTTGGTATGCTAGTAAAGCGAATTCATTTTTTGTTTCATTTTGCAACCGAAAAAGTCACTCCAAAGCGTCCAAAAAACCTGCTTCTTCCGAAAACCCCTCAAGCTCCACCTCAATCTCTTCTGAACTTGAATTTACCTAAAAGCATGACAAACCCCTGTGTTCTCCCGAAGAAGGGCAGCTCCTTACCCTCCACCCCGAAGTCCCCCTCTCCCGAGATTGCCCCTTCCCCTCGCGCAAAATCCACTCCGATTCGGATTCTGGTGCAAAAACGCTTGTCCGAATTCGGCATTCTAGCGCCGGCGAGTTCAACGAATCTGAATGAAAAGAGTTTTCAATCAAGAATTCGATACAGTAGTAATGATAGTATCACATAGCGACTATCTTTCTTATATGCAAGATACTGTAACCGTTACCTTCTACCATCTGAGTCTCAATCTATGCACGATATTCTCCCTTCTGAGCTCGTCTCTTTCAAACCATGACTCAGGTTTTCTGCGCAGGTCCCCGAGCCGAGTCTCTTTTCTTTAGTTGTTGTTGAAAAATCACTTTGTGTTTATGTTGTTGATCTGTGATAAGAAAAATCATTGTTGTTATCTGTAATTGCAGATTTTAGTCTTTGACCGAATCGTCTAACTATTTAATTGTCTAGTTAAATATCTATCTTGATGGGAAATCTTTAGAAATCGGTATTTATGTATGTGATCGATGGCTCACTGTTACTGTAAGAAAAATAGAAGAATATGAATCTCGGACGGAAGAAACGAGCTTTTATTGGAATCTCAGTATTCATTGTCATTCTGATAAGGTAAGAAAATTGCTATCTATCCTTTTTCCTGTTTTTCATCACCTTTTCAAGCATCTCCATCTACGAGCAACAAACAAGTCCTGAAGAGTTCCAAAAAGCCGCCCGAGAGTCCCTGATCCGTCACCTCTCTTCCTGGGAGAATAGTGAAGGATCGAATTCTAGCGCTCAAGAATCCTTCCCTTCCCGAAATCCGCGAATAATCAAGCACTGCCGCAATACTGTTCAAGGGAAAGAGATGATCACTGATGAATTTGGCGCGATTTGCAAACGAGAAAATGTTCTAGATTCAAATGGCTGTTGTGGACTGAAAGATGCAACGCAGTTTTTTTGCGATGGATGTAACGAAAGAGGCTGCTGTGGAGAGTTTGAGATTTGTGTTTCTTGCTGTATGAAGCCTCAGAACAAGGTACAGTTGAACAGAAAGATTATTAATTTTCTCCTTTCCTTTTAGGCTGCGTTAGTTGCGTTTATAGAAAGCGCGATCGTCTTTGTCGAGCATTTCTTTCTGTCAATTTCCGACCAGTTCGATCTCTGTCTCTCAAAATGTCGCACCTCATCGCTCTCAGTCCAGCACGAAAATACCTACCGAGATCCCGTCAACAAATTTTGCTATTCTGAGCTTCCTCCCTTGCTGATCTTCAACGAATAAACCTGCTTCTTATTTCTGTATTCATTTGTTTCAAGAATCATTGATTCTGAATCAACATTTCAGCATGGCTCTCTTTCAACAAAGCAGCTCCGGTTCGACCAAGAATTTGGTCGAATTCAAGTGCGGTAAAATGACCATGTCGGGGACTACTGTTACCGCTGACCCGCGCAAAGGACTTCTGTACATTCAGAAGGGAGAAGACCAGGTCTGGATACATTCTCTTATCTCCTTAACATCCTTAAGGCGATGCATCTTTACTGGAAGGATCGAACTTCTGGAAAGGTAGAAGATGATGTCTACCTCTTCCCCGACGATGCGGAGTTTGTTCCTGTTCCTCAGTGCAAGGATGGAAGAGTCTACCTCCTCAAGTTCAAGTCCCACAGGTAAGAATAAGATGAAGCTCCCTTAATTATCTTATTTGACAAGCAACAAGCGCTTCTTCTGGATGCAGGAGCCGGACAAAAACAAGGATAAAGACAAGGACTTGATCGAACAAGCGAATGAAGCAATCAACAATCCTCAAGCGGCGGATGCCGGTCTCATGGGCTCTGGTCATGAGGAGTTGCTTCGATTGATCAGCAGCAGCGGGGGCATTCCCAACGCGCAGTTGCAGAATTTGATTCAGTCCCAGATGCGATCAGGTAAGAACAAAAGCAAAGTTGATTACAAGTATTTTACAACTATTTTCACACAAGGATCTTCTCGAAGCTCCCGCTCTGGCAACGCTTCTAAAAAGGCAAAGACAGATGACAAAGGGTCCAAAACGTCCTCTTCACTTCCCACCCCTAACTTCTCCACTGTCCCGGCGACTGGTTCTAGCGCTGGAGCCTCTTCTGCCGCTACTCCTACTCCCGGAGCTACTCCTGGAGGAGCATCAACTCCGGGCGCAGCGCAGCTTTCAGACTTGCAGAGTATCCTTACTCGTCTTGGCGGGGCTGCTTCTCCCAGCGCCGCCGCTCCAATTGACATCGCTGAAGCGATGCGATCTGAAGACCTCATCCCCATGCTCGCCGATGAAAAGATCAGAGAGGCTTTGATGAAGCACCTTCCAGAGGGCAACACGATTCCAAAGACGGAAGCAGAGCTCAAGGAGACAATTCACTCACCTCAATTCAAGCAGGCAACTCAAGCGTTCTCTCACGCCTTGTCTACCGGACAGCTGGGACCCGTGCTAAAGCAGTTTGGAATAAGCGACGCAGCTTGCGAAGCTGCCACTAAGGTTAGCCACTACAACATCATCATTTTAAATCAACGAAAAAAAAAATCAGGGAGACGTAGCCGGTTTTGCCAAGGCGATGCAAGAGGATGCCAAAAAGAACGCAGATAAACCTGCCGCCGAAGACAGCATGGAAACCAACTGAATAAAATCAGAATCGCACCAGTTCTTTAAAATTTGCTCTCTCTTACCAAAAAACTTTCATTTTGAAAGGGATCATCAAAACTGTCCAGTTGGAGCAATATGACATGTATTACAGTAATGTTTTCTCTCTCTCTTTCTTACTATCCATAAGGATATCCGTTCAAGATATTAAAATTAAGCATTGTCAGTTATTATCCGATAATTCTTCTGAAGAATGTATGGGGGAGAGCCAGTCCCTCGAGTTCACAGACCAGTCACAAGAGGATTTCATATACCGACAAAACAACAGCCAGTTGTTCCAGACTAGGGTCGGACCCCTTACTAAGGTTTCCTTAGTTACTAAGGGTAAGGGTTTTGAAATTGATGAAAATCAAGAAAGGCCTAAGGAAGGACTAAGGGCCTTCCTTACTAAGGCCTTCGTAACCTTAGTAAGGATCTGATTAAGTGCGATTCGAAAAAATGTTCTTATTGGTAAAAATAGCAATAATTTAAGTTTATTTGGTATTTTCTGCTGTCAGTAAGTTGGCAAGAGACATTTTTATCAAATTCCTTCACAACTCGTCGTTAATTCCCTTCCTTACTAAGGCTTTTGTAAAGGTTTTTTTGATAAAAGCGTTCTCAAAATGCGTAGGCCGTCGAAAAAATCCTTTTTAAAATCCTTAGTAAGGAAAGGAATTAAGGAAAAATCGCTAAGGATTGAAGATCCTTACTAAGGATCTCTGAAAACTAACAAAGGAACTATGGTAAGGATTTTTTTCCGCTGAAATCCGAAAAAGGGTAAGGAAAAAATCCTTACCTTACTAAGGAAAGGACCCTTAGTAAGCAAAAAAATAAGGAAGGAAGTCCGACCCTAGGTTCCAGAAGTACCAAATTGCACTTGTTTGGTGAGCCACGGAATTGAACGATGCTGTAGAAAGCTCGTCCATTCCAATGATTTACAAGCAGTTCAGGAAGGAAAACGGGTTTATCTATCTCTACCATTTGGTAAATGCTTTAGCATTTTATAACAACAAGAATCAACCGTGATAAAAGAAATGAGAAAGAAAACCGTGAAGCCTTTTTTCGCCCGCTCGGTTCCAAAAATACTCGATTATTTTGCCAAAGAATGGGGCCTCACCTCCAGTTCTCAAGCTTACTCGGTCAAAATTGCCTGGGATGCAGCCGCTTTGCTCGATAAAACAATATCTACTGTTGCTGCTGAAATTTACGACGCCGCTCAAGTCAACGAAAAGCAAGCTACAGACATGCTGCGACAGCTGGAATCCCATATCATTCCTCGCCTTGCCTCTGCGCTGCGAATTTGCGTCAAGAAAGATTCAGCAGTGATTCTAGTGCCAGCTAGTAAGTGCGTTGAGTCTTTACGGCGACTTGGGTTTTGGCTTTTTGAATTTATTTTTGTTTTTGAATTAATTTTCCACTCCTTCTTGTATCACCTATGAAAAGCCGAATTGAGACATGAAATGACGGATAGCCAATTCAACAGATCAGAGCAGCTTATTCTGCGGCGAATGGGATACCGGCTTGAGTGGTATTCTGTCTTTCACTGCGCCGAACTGCTCATTGAGAGCAGGGATCTAAATTTTTGCCGAAAATGAACTGCGATTGCGATGCGATTGCGACGAAAATTATTCAGGAAATTGCGATGCGATTGCGATTTTTTTCGCAAATTGCGAATTTTTCGCGAATTGCGATTTTGTCGCGATTTCTGAAATTTTAGTGAAAAAAATCACTTTTGAAAGGATTTAAGACTATTTTTCGAAGTCAGGCTTTCAATTCAGCCTTCAAAACACAGAAAATAGGCTCTGAATCAAACAAAACTTTCGTCAGAACATCGTGGGAGCAATTTGACAAGACCGAAATTCGCAAAAAAAATCGCATTTTGCGAAATCTTGACGAAAACTGAGCTGCGATTGCGATGCGATTGCGATTCGGTCAGAAAAGTTCTTGCGATTGCGAATTTTCTGCGAAATTTCGCATCGCAATCGCAAAATATTCGCAAATTGCGATTTTCGCGAAAAAATTTAGATCCCTGATTGAGAGATTGCACAATGAAACGAATGTCTGCCCTAATCCAAAGGTGAGGTTACGATTGATCCCGAAGTTAAAATTATGTCACTATTAGTGATTATGATTTACCCTACTTTTAATTAATCGAGATAAATACAAACTCTGGGTGGATACAAATGTTGGATACAAAAATTAATAGATAGTCTATCTAAGATAGACCATTTAACTCATAAATATCATAGATGCTCTGGAGCCACACGGAATCGCTTTTGGAAGTTTACATGCTTCACCGTACCGCGATTCTCAAAGAAGCCTCGACTCGCCGCATCCCAGTCCAAATCGACACGTTCGTCGAATCTGCCACTGTAATCATTATGTCTTCCCTCCTTGCCGAGCCCAACATCTCCGTCAAAGACGTCATGACGACCGTCAGCGTCTTTATCAACAGAGATCAAAAATACGTTGCTGCTTTTTGCGATTTGGCAATTTATTACCTCATCAAATAGAAAATATCGCTCTTGCTAAAGACAAACTTTCACACTTCTTCACTAGGCCTATCTTTTTTACTGAACTTGGACGCTAATTCCTGTAGAAACAGTTTCTTTTTCACGAAAAGCCTCACGGACAACAAATATTGAACTCGTTTTTTGGACTTCGCAGCTGTAAAATTGCATTTTTCAGATTTCGAAAGTCGGACAAAATGGGATGCTCCAAGCCCTTGCTCAAGATGGACACATTCCTATCTGGCGAGCCCGTTTTCGACCGGCTCCCGAGCACGCTCATTCTGAAAATCTTCTCCAAGCTAAATGCGGGAGAAGGGACTGACATCAAAATGCTCTCTCGATGCGCCCAGGTCTCGCATCTATGGAATCGATTAGCGTTGGACGGGAGCAATTGGCAAACAGTTGATTTGTTCCAATTTCAAAAAGACGTGACTCCAGTGACCGTCGAAAACATCTCCCAGAGGTAAAGGACTCTTCAAGCAACGTAAAAAACGAGTGGGTTTTTTAACAGATGCGGCGGTTTTCTAAGAAAGCTCTCGCTCCGTGGCTGCCACAATATCGATGATTCGACGATCGACGTTTTCACGGCTAATTGTCGCAACATAACGTACTTGAATTTGTCCGATTGCAAGCTCATCTCTGACGCTTCTTTGCGCTCGCTAGCCCGCAAATGCCCAGCTCTTCAATCCGTCAATTTATACAGGTAAACTTAACCTTTGCCCGCCAAGTTTGCATTTTACGGATACTTTTTTGTGGGTTCTTCTTTGAAAGTAAACTCTTACTGTAGCTGCTCGAAAGTCACTGATGCAGGACTCCGCGACTTAGCGACCGGTTGCCTGCGACTCAAGGAAATTGACATCTCCTTTTGCCAAAAAATATCTGACGCTGGAGTGGAAGCAATAACAGCTCAATGCGAAGATCTCAGGGGCTTGTTTCTCCGCGATACGTCAATTAGTGATTCTGCTCTGGGAACAATCGCTATCAATTCTTCGAAATTGGAGACTTTGAGTGTCTCTTACTGCTCCATTTCCAGCGCTGGTCTTTCGAAGATCATTTCTAACTGCACTTCATTGAGCGAGCTTCATTGCGCTCGATGCCCGAATGTGACTGATTCTGCGCTTCATGCTCTCGGCCGTTTTACGAAAAGCGGCCTAAAGACTCTGGACATCGCCGGCTGTAGCGCAATCTCCGATCACGGAGTTTTTTCCTTGGTTCAATCCTGCACCGGGCTGGAACGAGTAGACCTGGAGGAATGCCTGCACTTATCCGACGCCACGCTGCTTCAATTGGCCATTCATTGTCATAATATCAAAGGTAAGGGTCCTTTAAAAATAGTCCTGCATGTTAAAAATCGATCTCAAGAGCAATAAAACAGCATCAATCTCATTTGAACCGAAAAAGATAAAATAAAACTTTAAATGTTTCTCGAGGGAATTGGACTCCTCCGGGAATCCCCTGGCACAATGAGTGTCATATTCAAGTTTTGATAATATCAGAATCGTTATCAGAGAAAAGTTTACTTTGGAACCCTTTCAGATTCAAAAAATATCATTCTTCTTTTAGAACTGACATTGTCCCACTGTGAAAATATCTCGGACGAAGGGATCCGCCACTTGTGCAGTGGGGAATTGAGACTGTCACTAGAGCTCATTGACCTTGACAATTGCCCGCTTCTAACAGGTATGTGCACTGGTTCTAGGGCGATAAATAAGTCATTATGATAAAGATGCCTCGCTCCGTCTCTTGGAAAACTGTCCAAACCTACGCCAGCTCGAGCTTGTCGACTGTCAGCGCATCTCCAAGGCTGGTATTGACCGTTTGGAACGCAAAATTGTAAGTTATCATCTTTATAAAGCATATGCCTAGGCTTACCGGACTTAATTTCGGCCCATATTTCTAGCTTAGTTGGGAGGTCATATGATACAGTATTAGAAAGCCCAGAAGCTGGGCTTTCATTTGGGCACAATATCAAGGGGTTTGGGTCATGCCCGGAAGGCAAATTATTGGACCGGAAGTTCCAAATTCGGGACAAGAACTCTTCTACCGGTTTTAACGATGGGTTTGGGATATCTAGACCTTTGAAAAATAGGTGAAATAGAAAGCTTAGACTCTGAGCTTTCTTTAGAGCCAATAAAATTTTGCCGCCCGTTGGTCTAGCGCCCTCTAGTGGTCCTAGAAGTTGACCTCGGCAGTGTTTTAGTCTGGAAACTTCAGGTTTCGACTCAAAATTTTCGAATTCTAAACCTACTTATTTCGTTTCTTAAATAACTTTAAACAATAAATAAGTCTTAGAAAATTGAATCACGTTTGATCTTGGAGGTTTTTTCTCATTTGTTCCGAGTTTCTGTCGAAAAATACCCATATTTCCAAGTTCTCTGGCCACTAGAGGGCGTTCAACCCAAGGGCGGCAAGATTTTAATGGCTTTAAAGAAAGCTCAGAGTCTACACTTTCTATTCATCTACTTTCCATTGCTCTTGAGATCTCAAACCCATCGAAAATATCGATCGAAGATTTCTAGTGCCTATTTGGGAACTTCCGGTCCCAAAATTTGGCTTTCAGGCATGACCCAGACCCCTTGATTTTGGGCTCAAATGAAAGCCCAGCTTTTGAGAATTCCAAATATGTGTCATAGGACCCCCCGACTACCCTAGAAAAATTGGCCGAATTTCAGTCCGGTAAGCTTACATATGCCAATCGCTTACTATATTTTCTAGCCAGGGATCAGTATTCATTCCTATTTTGCGCCGGACCTGGACGAACTTGCTCCGAACTCATCAACCTCTCACCGCGCAAAATATTGTCCAAAATGCACTATTCAGTAATTCATAGTTCTTTTGTCCTTTTCTTTCTCAAAAACAGGTGTAATACTCTTTAAGGTTCAACTCTTTTTGTTCCGAAAACTACTATACGAGTTTCCTCATTCAACCTTTTACATTCAACGTTCAACGAATTCTTCTCTTTTCTCCCTTTTCTTCAACTTTTTGTTCGAAACTATTGTCAATGTTTCAACCATTCAAAAAACTCTTGCTTATTCCTGATTTTCCTTTTCAGAAAAAGTCGAAAAGAAACTCTCATGGAAGGAAAGGAATGATCCAAAAAGAGTGATGGCATCAGCTCGTCAGTTTGATTACAGCTTGCAGCCTAACTTTTTGAGTATGAAGCCTTCTCTATCAACCAGATTAAATAAAACTTCTCTTTAGGTAATGAATACGGAACTCATAGATCCGGATCCTCGAATATCTCCTCATCAACAATGGAAATTGTCAATAGCAGGTTGTTTATTATCCTGTCTCTTTCCTTATTCATCAATTTTAGCCATGTTACCGTCTCCAGCGCAGATTATCAGCCAGTCGTTCTTCAAAATTCTACAATGAGAAGTCTTCGCGATGATCTAGCAATTTTATCAAGCGCTTCCAATGAATTTCAACTGCTGCTCGAAGAAAATCCTAATTTACTTCAAGCGCTTACGGTAAGAAACTTCTGAAATTTTGATTCACCTCAATATTTTTCAATAGGCGTATGAAGTTCTTATGTCGCGGCCAACTGATGTGACCAAAGATCTTGCAGAGCTGATGGATGCAACTGATGATGCTTTAGGTAAAGATGACACGATAGTGACCGCAGCAAATGAGCTCCGTAGCATTCTACAGGTGAGTTCGATCATTTCAAATGTCTACTAATGCCTACAGATGACGTCTGACCATGTTATCTGATGTCTTAGGATGTCTTCAGTTCTCCATATGGAAGACTTTAGTCTTCAGATTATTCAATTACACTTGAGTTTAGACCGGTCATTCTGGAGCGATGTGTACAGCCGCGAAAAAAGTAGCTAGTCAGGACTATGCCGAATCCTTTGGAACTTCTGATCTCAGGTAAAATCGACGTCGCGGTCTTCCGAGTTCATTAGACCCATTTCTAGCTGTCTGGAAGAAGGGCCACTTGAGGGCTGCGCTCTTCGAGTTGTTCGCCTTGTGAAAGGAGACGAACCGTTAGGAGCAACGGCGAAAATTGGCGACGATGGAAGTCTGATTGTTGCGCGGGTAATCAAGGGCGGTGCAGCTGACCGCAGTGGATTAATTCACGTCAACGATCGAATCGTAGAGGTCAACGGTATCCGTGCCAAACCATCCAACGTCGAGGTACGTTTCTAATCAATCCGCATCGTCTTATTTTTGCTTCAAAGGCGATTATGGAAGGCCTCTCACAATATCAAGGGCAGTTGATATTCGTCCTCGAGCCCGGAGAGAAAGCATCGTCTGACGAAGAAGCAGAACGAATGTATCTTCGACCTAATTTCTCCTTTGACCCTAAAAATGATCCCTTGTTGCCATGTCATGATGCAGGCGTTGAATTTACGCCAGGTGTTGTTCTCGAGGTAAGGACTTTTTATTCAAATCAACAAGGACCATCAAAATTTAAGGTATTACAAACGAAAGATGAATGGTGGTGGCAAGCGAAAATCATCAGTCATCCAACACACAAAACGCCTGCCAGCTCGAGAAAAGAGCACGCTGGTCTCATACCTTCTGAAGCTCTCAGTACGTTTTGTTCTCCATTTTCGAGCTGAAAATGTCAATGACAGTTCTGTGATAGTATCTTTCAGTCGCTCGAAGGGAAAAGCTGCGAATGGAGAAAGTGGAGAAAGCGAAGCCAAAACCAAAGAAGAAAATCCTCGGTGGGTTGTTTCAATCGGGCAAGTCTGGAAACACGAAAGAGGATGAAAAAACTGATGAAATTTCTAAAGTAACATTGTCGCGTGTTGATATGTTTTAAAACATCATTTAGGGGTACAAATCGGTGGTGCAATTCGGCCCATCATCAAGAAAAAGGCCTCTTGTTGTCATCTCGCCCAGATCGATCGACAAGTTTCAGTTGAGAAGACGACTGATTCAGGCGAAGTCAGAATCCTACAGAATTCCTACGCCTTCAACGACCCGTCCTAAACAAGCGACAGAACGTAGGCTTACTTTTTCGCATCCAAGCTATTTAAGTTTAAGGTGATGGAGTGGACTACCATTTCATCAATCGCGCTGATTTCGACTCTGAAATCGCGAACGACTCGTTCCTTGAATATGGGATGAACAAAGCCGGCTTTCTTTACGGAACGCTTATGACTGAAGTGTTGAAGATCCTCGATACCGGCAAAACCCCGCTCCTTTGCCCTCCTCCACAGTCGTTGAACAAGATTCGAAATAAGGACTTCAAGGCGTTCGTTGTTTTCCTCAAGGTACACGGAATTTCGAAGCTGCTTTTTTATCAATTCTAGCCGGTCGATCGCATCAACTGCAAGTGGGATGCCCAGACTATGCGCGAAGCCGGAAAAATGGAGAGCGAATACGCCCATCAGATCGATGTGTGGATCGAGTACGACACCACTGAGTTCGCATTCCGCCGCCTCCAAGAAATCGCATTCTCGCTGGAGAACGAGCCACAGTGGATCGAAAAAGACTGGGTCAAAGAGGACTCATAGTTTACTTTTAGCCCTGCCTTGTTATGTCTTATCGTTTTAATTTTTAATTCGTTTCAGAGCTTCAAATTCCTACGAGCTAATAGAGTCTTCCTTCTTATTTTGCCGCAACTACTTATCATGAAAAAACTACGTACTTCCTTATCCTTTTTACTCGTTCCATTAGACAAATGTCCAAAACTCGCTCCAAATAAATACATTCAGAGACTTCTCTTATCAAAATAATAGTTTCTTCAGCTTTTTTTTCTACCTCTCTTCGACTACCCGAACATGTCAAATATAAAAAATATTTCAGTATTAAAAAAGAACAGTTTTGAATGAACTTGAATATGTTTATTGAAAACAATCACGAAAATTAAAATCGTTTCAGGGAGATAAATCGGCAGGCAAGACCATTTACTGTCAGTTTTGGTCATCTCCTTCATCTAAGGATCTCTCCAATTTTGTGTTGATATTAACAGCGAATTTCTGAAATTGGCTTGAAATCCGTGAGGCGCTTTAGAACTAAATTTACCCGTAGAACGGTTGATTTCGCCTTATCTCTTATTAACCCGATTTTACTTTGATTCGGGACCTTGAAGGGTATCACAGCCGGATCGTCTTATTTCAAGATGCATAAATTTTCAGAGCAAAGTAGCGCTGCTATTAAAATATGCACATTTCCTTCATCAACATGGTAGAAACGGAGCTCCTTTCGGAGATCGTGCACCAAGTGAACGAAGTTTTTCAAGTTCACCTAATAAATAATTGAATAACAAATTTCAATTCTGTCCGCTTACTTTTCCCATATCAGTGTTAACAAGATCCAGGGCAGGGGTTTGGGCCATATTATCAATAACGACTGCAAGGGTTTCCAGCAAGTTCAGTTTTCTTCCGTATGGACTATCAAGAAATATCATAGATTTTAACTTAAGGGGAGGGCCCAAAAGGACGGATAGGGTGGGAGTTGCTCAGCTTACCCCAGTTTTTATTCTCAAAATGTCTTATTCACTCACCTCATTATTGTTTGAATACTAGTGATGTAGGGACACGGCTGGTTGTATTGCCGAAAGAGGTCACTGTACGGCCCGACTGTCCAAAACTCGAGCCAGTTGGGTCGAACCTGACGCTTTGAAAATATATCTTTGTACTTGTTATGCATATCAGCCTGGCTATCAAGGTCGTTTTCCCAGCGGCAAATGTGCACGAAAATCACTTCATGAGGGCTCACATTTCCATTCAAGCATATTTTCCATTAGTTCGGAAAATGTAGATGTATCTATTGAGCCCTTCATATTGGCTTGTCATTCAAATCTTCATTAGCCAACACATCGCTTAGCAGATCGTCTATATGTACTGTCCTGAAAGCACAGTGTTGCTCCTCATTACTGTCAATGCTCAAGGGCAATTCTTTGATCACCTGTCAGCAAAAGCAATCAAGTCGTCTGTCCCGCCAAAGCAGGATAGGGAAATGGCGAATATATCTTTTGTCTTTTGGCGGCCATTTTCCAATTTCTTTCGGATGCCTTTTTTGGCCTCTTGATATGTTAATGGACCTCAAGGAGCAGGTGTCATTATTTTATAATTCAAAGATGTTACAGACCTTGGTACAGTACTACATCAAATCCGAGTCGCTGAAATACACTGACAAGATTTTGACCATCCTTCAAAGCTTGTTTTTCTAAAAGATCATTGTCCAGATTTTATCGCGGAAAATGATTTTCTGAAGGCTGTTAGTCTTACCTTGATCCTCCGTGTTTTCCTGCGTGTTGACAAAGAAGCACAAGCAGTCCCTATTCTTCGTTATTTCATAAATTTCTCTTCCCTCTGACATGAGCAAATTTTGCCAGAAATTTTCCGAATCCTTCATAGAGCGTCTCTCTTTTTGAATAAAGCAGAAAAAAAGTCCGACAGCTCTGGCAGTATCTGTGGACAGAATAAGAAGGAGCAGGGCCTAAGGGTCATGAATACATGATATGCAATTTGTGGCTGGCAGCTTTTTTAACCAACAGAAATTAACTGTTAATTCAGAAGAAACAAGGAGTCTGTCAGGCAGTCGTAACATTGAACGACGAAAAGATATGGTAAATCCTTTCCATGGAACTTTCACCTAAAAAGATGTTACTTACATTCTGCCGGATAATCTTTCTCTTGAAAGTTTCAGGAAAGCGATTTACCATACATTTCCGCCGCTCTATGTCTGGCTGACAGACTCTTTGAATCGGATGAAGAAAACATCCGAGACTGAGAAATGTGAACTCAAGAATTAACCCTCAACATATCCCTCGAATAATTAACACTTGAAAATATTTTTACTAAAATATTATCGCTATGAAAAACGCTTTCCTTTCCAAGCTTGCAGGAAAAAATATTTCTATTTCTAGCGACGCTTCCAATCAGACTCTTCTTTCTCTGCTTGTGATTGTCTCTGCCCTTTCTCCTCGCCGACGATTCTTCTCCAGGATCAATATTCGACATCCAGGCGTCCCTATCGCCGCGAAAAAGTACATGATTTATATATCGATGGAAAGCCTGCAGATGAACCATTTTTCTCTCATCACGAACAGGGAAAAGAACGGTTTAAAATACAGGGGTAAATCAAGATTTTGTCTCCTTCGATTTCGATCTTTTTTTGAATATTCATTATCAAAGCTCATTTTTTTCATTCATTCATATTAATAGCCATAGATCTCAATCTTGCGCGTACACCTAGTATATCAGAATTCGCAAATCATTCTGATTCTTTGAGTTCTAAAGTTGAGATTCAATTAATTTTAGTCGAAATATTTATTATTGTTTCCAACGGAAGAAAAATGGATTTAGAGATCATAGTTTTATTTTGTATAAACAAGGTTTTCTGGTTAATTTAGTGAACTCTACCGAACATGAATTTTGACTGTAAATACCCAAAAGTGATTACATAACATGCTTTTATCCGATAGAAACTTAAAATTTAACCGTACTTCTTCATTCTTACCACAAAAGTTGGGAAATATGGCTCATTCTCAAATAATCCTCTCATATGATCCGCTCAAAACTTCTCCTTTCTGTGATCTTCTTTGTGCAGTCTCGAAATCTAATTATTCCCAAGGTCGGTCACTCAGCTTCCCAAGAACAAAATATGATGTAAAACAACTTTAAAAATAATTAACCGTTCATCGACAATTACTACTACTATGTAAATGGTCCATAATTTTAATTTGATTGTTGCTAATCACGAGTGTTTTATGTGAACAAGAATAATTCAACTCATAAAGTTCAATATTTGATTTATTTTCAAAAAAGTACCTTTCGGTTTTTATTGTTTCGCTCAGCTATAAGTGCAAAATGTGAATGGCAAAACATATGATACAGAGATATTTACAAAGTATTTACAAGATCCGTACATTTGAAAACTTATTTTGGAAAGTAATGATCTTCGTATTGACTCAGCTTCTCCTCTAGTTGGTGATTTTTGCGCTGAGATGTTCTCAGCTGCTCTCTTAGGCGAAAGACCTGAAGTAACATAAGTAAGATAGGGTAAGGGTTAATGGCCAAATTTTCTAAAATAAAAAAAGTTGCTGAATAGACTTACTTTTGCTTGAAGCCGCATAATCACCGCCAGATCATCTTTTTCCTCCTTCTGGTGGAGGAAATAATAATTACTTACCGACTCGACGACCTCTCTGACTTCTTCTTTGAGTCTTGCTCCAAGGTCGAAATTTTCATTTTCTTCAGTTTCAAACTGATCGAAAATACTTTCGGTCCTTACAGGAGCTACATCGTTCAACATCTGATTATCCTCTTTTTCTAAATATCCATAGCGCTCGAAAATCCTTTCGACAACTTTTTTCTCCTCTGAGCTTATGTGCTTCCTCGTTTTCTTTCTATTAGCCCAGCGTAATAATCGCTGAACAGGCCAATCCTGCATCTCAGGCCTGCTTTCAAGCCAACTTTCGCTCTTTTCTGGCTCTTCAACGGTTGTTTCTAGAGTCCAAGCTTCGAGGTTTTCTTTTTTCTCTAGCTCGTTGGAAGTAACTTCTTTTGTTCAAGTGAAAACAATTAGCGCTTATGATCTCAAAATATGACCCTCTTAAATTCTCCCTTAAAAATATAAGGACGCATATTTATTTGTAGGGAAAACATAATCTCCCAATTTGGGATTCCTCAGAACTAAGTAAACTTTAGTAGATCTTCAGATCTACTTATTTATTGAGCAAGACAATTAAGACTTTTAATCTTTTTCTGTCACTTTCCTGGTTCTTTGTACACTTCATATTGACCATCAGCACATGTTTGAACCATGGGATTGCATTCCCAGTCGAAATTGTCGTAGAAAAACTCGGAGTGGTTCTCGCAAGGTTCCCCTGCATAAGTCCATTCGCACTGTTTTATGAATTGCAACGGTCCCATTTCTTACTTAGGGTTAAGAATTTCGCTCAGGCCTTTTCATTCCCTGACTAAGATCTTAGAAAGAGGCTGTGGTGCCCAGATCTAACTTGATCTTTAACCCTTTGCAGAATGACAATCGCAAATTATCTCTGCCCGTTGTAAGCCATCCGGACACGTTCCTTTCAAAACGCTTTCAATTACTGTTAAATGGATTTCCATAGAATCTGTCTCTGATTCAACATTGACTCAAACCCTAGTTTCGTTTGAAAGCGCGTTCCTGAGCAAGAATAGCCTGGAATGTAGAGATGATCATCCAAAATGTCGCACAGAAGATTGTCCGAGTAATGACCGGTCGAGACGCTTGGAGGGTCGAGTTTTAGCCAGGAAGGACGAGGGCCGCAGTTCTAAAGAATCATTTTGTTTCTTGAACGACACGGAAAGTGGGCTATCAAATTCACTTGTTTAATTGTGGACATGGTAAACATCAGTTGTTCAAGCGAAGCGTGTGGAATAACTAGAGTTTATCATTAAACCAAAATCGGGACTTCAGAAGAATAATAAATAAAACTTATTAATAGAATATTCAGAAGTAAACATTCACGCTCCTGGGGCTAGGGACAAAATATGAACCCTAATCGACCAACTCCCCTAGAAGGATAAAAAATAGTCTATCTTCCAATTTGATTATTTTTTTTTCTCTTCTCTTTTTTGGTCTTTTTTTATCCTTGGCCCAATATGAGTATCTTGAAAAAAAATGCAATTTCATTTTTTCTCTTTAAAAATTTTTTTTTACTCAAAAATTTTCGCACTTACATTTGAAAGATCCCACTGCATGTTGAGCTTGTGTGCGATCGTATCTACTGTTGCTGCATCTATTTGACTTATTTTTACCAGAATCGCGGCTGACAGTAATCTCTGCATTTTTAAAAAAGTCAGGAAAAATTTTCGGTATTTTTTCTCAATTACACGAAATAAAAATAAATGAGGAAATTTCTATTCGATTTTCCTCAAATCGAAATAATCAGAATAAATGATAAATCGAAGGGATGAAAGATATATGGACAGGGAGCACCGTAGTGCTTGGCGCTGTTGGGTGAAGAGCACTTAATCCCTCCATGAAATGATAAGAAATAAAGTTAATTATTGTTAGGCAAAACAAAACGGCGCGCGCTCCTTGAAAAAAGCTGAATCAGGTTAAAATTTTTGAATTTTATTGAGTAAGCGGGTTAAATAGTTTAGAAAAAAGTTTTGGTGAAAATAGGCTTGATGAAAACATTTGAAAAAGTGATTTGAAATTCTTCGTTTCACCAAGAACCTTTATTTTGTGTTTTCGAGAGGAAAAATTTTCTCGGGGTCGTTAAATTAGCCGAGGAATTATACTCTGTAAACTCTTCATGTCTCCATTCAACGAAATAAATTAAGCTTTTGATAAGAAAATATGAATTCAGGAGGAGGATGTGTCAGGAACCGACAAAAAAATTTAGACAAATTTTGCGTAGAAATTTTCAACCAATCAGCAGCCGAGTAGCCGCCCTCGCAAAATTTGTCGACATTTTTTGTGGGTTCCTGACGCCATCACTTCAGAAGTACTGAATTTTAGAACTCTCTTGTAACAGTTAGAAAGGCCTTTGTTACTGGACTTTTACTCAGTTAAATAGAATTTTGTGCATTAGCTGATCATAAATTGTGGTTCCTGTAATGATAAACTTGTCTTATAAATTTTTTCATCGAATATGAAAACCACGATAACATCAATTAACAGGTTCTCCAAGCATAATATAATGAAAAAGGCTAATGAATTTAATTTGCAAAAAATTTTCTGAGGTGACCGAATTTTCAACCAAATACCCTTAAAACAAAGTTTTCACTCATCATTTTCTCAGATTAATTTGCTACCCGTGTCTGTACACATGTTCTAAGGTCATGTTATATCTAGGTTTTCTGACAGATTACATGATGAAGAACTCTTTGCCTCAGAATCTAGAGTTCGACCTTGTTGTTTAATCGTAACCTCGGCTCATCTTTTCCCCCTTGTTCAAAACGTGATTCTCGGTAAATTATGTTAATAATTTTGGTAATAATAATCCTCTACCAAAACTTTTTTCTTTCGGCACCATTCCGATCGTGCTGAAATAACTGATGCCAAAATAGACAAAGCGCTGAACACATAACAAAGTGAAAAAAACGATTTATCAAATAATTATAACTGTGGATAGTACAACTTATTTCCGAAAAAAGTGGCAATTTATAAATGCAAACTTTGCACTTCCGACCATTCTCAGATTGAAAATCAGAGTTGCGACTAGTTTGCAAAATAAACAATCGTCGATTGATCTTATCGTTCATATATAAATCGATTTTCAAGACCATGGAATCATCATCTCGATAAAGAGATTTTCGTCGAGAGAGTCGTCAAGATGAAGTTTTTTCCTCTGTTCTTTTTCTTCGCAGTTTTTGGCGGAGAACAGGGTCAAGATCTTGGTAAGCCTGAAAATTAGAAGCTGCTTATTGAATCTTTCAGTTTCAAATGATTATTTAACAAATGAAGATTCTTCTGTATTTGATTGGCAACGTGGCAAAAATAAAAAAAAGAAAAGGAATGTTTTCTAAGGTTCATTTTTTAAATTTATTTGTGTTCTAATTTTGCCCCAGCCCTGTCTTTATGAATCGGCAAAACTCGTAGTTTTATATGTTTTTTATCCCTACGACGTACTCCGGAAACGCAACGTTGGCAAAAATTAAGTTTCTTTGAGACTTAGGTTCACATCTTTACTTTCAAAATAGACAAAAAACTCATCCTCTTACAAATTTTGACATCAACAAGATTAGCAGACAAGGGTTAGATGAGTTCTCTCATGTGGAGTTTTTCTTGTGAAAATTCCTTAAAAGTGCTACTAAATCAACAACTACAACGACGACAACCTCAACCACAACCACGACGACAACAACAACAACCACCACGTCAACCACGAGCACAACAACCACAACAACAACAACCACAACCACAACAACTACGTCGACAACAAGTACGACCACAACAACGACAACTTCAACAACACCTCCGACAACACCTTCGGCTAAAAGCAAGAAATCTAAAAAAGAAGCCAAATCTTCAGGACCCTGCACCATCAAAAAATTCCAATCAATCACCTGCAGCAAGGTTTTTGCTTTCCCTTCAACCTCTTATATTAAAAATTCTAGCTTGGCCTTACCCACGAGGGCGACGTTATCGAACAAATAAATGCTCTTCATGATACAAAGCGCTTCAATATTCACTCTATCGATCTAAGCAAGAATCCAAAACTGAACGGAGAAAGCATCAAACGAATCTTGGAACGATTGCCAAATTTGAAGAAAGTTAATCTTGCCGGAGTAGATATGAAACAGGTAAATTGGCTTCTCCGCCAATAAGAGACGAGGATTCTTTCTGCTCGCAAATCAGAAACCATCATTTTACTGAAAAAAGCCTTGAAGAATCGACATCTTATTCAGGTACCCCCTGGACTTTTCAAATCAACGGAAAAAGTCAACAATGTCAACATTTCGGACAATAACATCATCTGCGCTCGCGGTGTCTTTACGAATCTGAAGCTCGCCCGACTCACATACGGCGGCAATCCCCTCTTGAAAGAACTCACCGGCCGCTCCAAGTCAAAGAAGTCAAAGGCGAAGGAAGATGTTCGAAAGATCGACTACGATGTCAAGGACAGTGACTGTGCTTTTGACATGCCTGGTGATTTTGCTCACTATGGTTAAAATAATAAACGCAGATAAATTCAGAGTCTTGTCTCCCCTTGTCTCTGTGGTTAGTTGTTTGTAACGGAGCAATTTGTCAGATTTGAAAACCACGGTCGCGTTCGATTCCATTTCAGTATCGATTAAAAGTTGTTCCGCTGTCAGATTAATAACCAGAGATAAATTGCAAACTTCAATCTTCTTGCTTAGCTTTGCGGTTTAATTTTCTTATGAATGAGCAAAACTTGAAACTTCGTAAGTGTTTCTCCCTCCGACGTACACCGGAAGTGAAGCGTCAGACGAGATTTAAGCTGCACATAGAACCTAGAATACACCTATTTAGTTTATCTACAAAAGCAAATTCTAGTTTCTCTAAGGAATATTTGTTCTAGTGCAAATCTCTGAAAAGTATTGTTTATTATGGGTAGGCTTACCGCGGCTAAAAGCTATTTTCCAGGTTCTTTTGAAAAATCTCACCAAACTACGAATACATATACTTCAAGACACGCTTGGAAAAGTTGATCAATTAGATTTTTCAAAATGGATCTTCTTGTTGCTTTTTTTGACCGATTTTTGTGGAGAAAATTTGCACTCATATCAGTTGAAGCCAATTTTGAGCACCTGCTAGTTTGATTTTGATAATTGTGTGCATACCAAGTGAAAGTTGAGGTCAGCCTGAATCGATAGAGCCAAAAAAATTTTATGCCAACTTAGTTTTTCACACTTTCCCAGGGCTCCAAAGTTGACCAAGACTGTCAGATCTGAAATTTCAGAAATCTCAACTTCTGATATAGGCGTGCTATGATGACGTTCTATAGCTTAAATGAAAGCTCATGATTCACTTGATTCAATTAAGCGGTATTTTTTCAACCAGCCGGTCATTCTCGCGGTTCATCGCGGTTCACTTGGATTTTCGCATACTTTCACGTTGATACCAAATCTTATCTAATAAAAACTCGGCCAGTTAATGGCCACTTAGAGTCAACTTTGGTCAAATTCGGCCGGAGGACCCCCGGACGACCTCCCTGATGGAAGACCATCCGCTGGAAGACCAATATTAAGATATTCAATAAATGGCCGCGCTCGGCCAGTAAATGGCCACATATGGCCAACATTGGTCTAGTTCGGCCAATCAGAGTCAGGGCGAAGCCGACCCGAAGGGGAGGCCAAGCCCGATTTCTCTTTTCAATCAGTGTCAGGGCGAAGCCGACCCGAAGGGGAGGCCACGCCCGTTTATTCGTTTCAATCAGAGTCAGGGCGAAGCCGACCCGAAGGGGAGGCCACGCCCGATTATTCTTTTCAATCAGAGTCAGGGCGAAGCCGACCCGAAGGGGAGGCCAAGCCCGATTATTCTTTTCAATCAGAGTCAGGGCGAAGCCGACCCGAAGGGGAGGCCACGCCCGATTATACTTTTCAATCAGAGACAGGGCGAAGTCGAACCGAAGGGGGGGCCACGCCCGTTTATTCTTTTAAACCAGTGTCAGGGCGAAGCCGACCCGAATGGGAGGCCAAGCCTGATTATTCTTTTCAATCAGAGTCAGGGCGAAGCCGACCCGAAGGGAAGGCCACGCCCGATAATTCTTTTCAATCAGAGTCAGGGCGAAGCCGACCCGAAGGGGAGGCCACGCCCGATTATACTTTTCAATCAGAGACAGGGCGAGGCCGACCCGAAGGGGAGGCCACGCCCGATTATTCTTTTAAACCAGTGTCAGGGCGAAGCCGACCCGAAGGGGAGGCCAAGCCCGATTTCTCTTTTCAATCAGAGTCAGGGCGAAGCCGACCGGAAGGGGAGGCCACGCCCGATTATTCTTTTCAATCAGAGTCAGGGCGAAGCCGACCCGAAGGGGAGGCCACGCCCGTTTATTCTTTTCAATCAGAGTCAGGGCGAAGCCGACCCGAAGGGGAGGCCACGCCCGTTTATTCTTTTCAATCAGAGTCAGAGCGAAGCCGACCCGAAGGGGAGGCCACGCCCGATTATTCTTTTAATCAGAGTCAGGGCGAAGCCGACCCGAAGGGAAGGCCACGCCCGATAATTCTTTTCAATCAGAGTCAGGGCGAAGCCGACCCGAAGGGGAGGCCACGCCCGATTATACTTTTCAATCAGAGACAGGGCGAGGCCGACCCGAAGGGGAGGCCACGCCCGATTATTCTTTTCAATCAGAGTCAGGGCGAAGCCGACCCGAAGGGGAGGCCACGCCCGATTATTCTTTTCAATCAGAGTCAGGGCGAAGTCGACCCGAAGGGGAGGCCACGCCCGGTTATTCTTTTAAACCAGTGTCAGGGCGAAGCCGACCCGAAGGGGAGGCCAAGCCCGATTTCTCTTTTCAATCAGAGTCAGGGCGAAGCCGACCGGAAGGGGAGGCCACGCCCGATTATTCTTTTCAATCAGAGTCAGGGCGAAGCCGACCCGAAGGGGAGGCCACGCCCGTTTATTCTTTTCAATCAGAGTCAGGGCGAAGCCGACCCGAAGGGGAGGCCACGCCCGTTTATTCTTTTCAATCAGAGTCAGAGCGAAGCCGACCCGAAGGGGAGGCCACGCCCGATTATTCTTTTAATCAGAGTCAGGGCGAAGCCGACCCGAAGGGAAGGCCACGCCCGATAATTCTTTTCAATCAGAGTCAGGGCGAAGCCGACCCGAAGGGGAGGCCACGCCCGATTATACTTTTCAATCAGAGACAGGGCGAGGCCGACCCGAAGGGGAGGCCACGCCCGATTATTCTTTTCAAGCAGAGTCAGGGCGAAGCCGACCCGAAGGGGAGGCCACGCCCGATTATTCTTTTCAATCAGAGTCAGGGCGAAGTCGACCCGAAGGGGAGGCCACGCCCGTTTATTCTTTTAAACCAGTGTCAGGGCGAAGCCGACCCGAAGGGGAGGCCACGCCCGATTATTCTTTTCAATCAGAGTCAGGGCGAAGCCGACCCGAAGGGGAGGCCACGCCCGTTTATTCTTTTCAATCAGAGTCAGGGCGAAGCCGACCCGAAGGGGAGGCCAGGCCCGATTATACTTTTCAATCAGAGACAGGGCGAGGCCGACCCGAAGGGGAGGCCACGGCCGTTTATTCTTTTCAATCAGAGTCAGGGCGAAGCCGACCCGAAGGGGAGGCCAAGCCCGATTTCTCTTTTCAATCAGAGTCAGGGCGAAGCCGATCCGAAGGGAGGCCACGCCCGATTATTCTTTGAATCAGAGTCATGGCGAAGCCAACCCGAAGGGAAGGCCACGCCCGATTATTCTTTTCAATCAGAGTCAGGGCGAAGCCGACCCGAAGGGGAGGCCACGCCCGATTATTCTTTTCAATCAGAGTCATGGCGAAGCCGACCCGAAGGGGAGGCCACGCCCGATTATTCTCTTCAATCAGAGTCATGGCGAAGCCGACCCGAAGGGGAGGCCACGCCCGATTATTCTTTTCAATCAGAGTCAGGGCGAAGCCGACCCGAAGGGGAGGCCACGCCCGATTATTCTTTTCAATCAGAGTCAGGGCGAAGCCGACCCGAAGGGGAGGCCACGCCCGATTATTCTTTTCAATCAGAGTCATGGCGAAGCCGACCCGAAGGGGAGGCCACGCCCGATTATTCTCTTCAATCAGAGTCATGGCGAAGCCGACCCGAAGGGGAGGCCACGCCCGATTTCTCTTTTCAATCAGAGTCAGGGCGAAGCCGACCCGAAGGGGAGGCCACGCCCGATTATTCTTTTCAATCAGAGTCATGGCGAAGCCGACCCGAAGGGGAGGCCACGCCCGATTATTCTTTTCAATCAGAGTCAGGGCGAAGCCGACCCGAAGGGGAGGCCACGCCCGATTATTCTTTTCAATCAGAGTCATGGCGAAGCCGACCCGAAGGGGAGGCCACGCCCGATTATTCTTTTCAATCAGAGTCAGGGCGAAGCCGACCCGAAGGGGAGGCCACGCCCGATTATTCTTTTCAATCAGAGTCATGGCGAAGCCGACCCGAAGGGGAGGCCACGCCCGATTATTCTTTTCAATCAGAGTCAGGGCGAAGCCGACCCGAAGGGGAGGCCACGCCCGTTCATTTTTTTAAACCAGTGTAAGTGCGGAGCCGACCCGAAGCGACTCTGACTGACAAGAATAATCGGGCGTGGCCTCCCTTCGGGACGGCTTCGCCCTGACTCTGATTGAAAAGAATAATCCGGCTTGGCCTCCCTTCGGGTCGGCTTCGCCCTGACTCTGATTGAAAAGAATTATCGGGCGTGGCCTCCCCTTCGGGTCGGCTTCGCCCTGACTCTGATTAAAAGAATAATCGGGCGTGGCCTCCCCTTCGGGTCGGCTTCGCCCTGACTCTGATTGAAAAGAGAAATCGGGCGTGGCCTCCCCTTCGGGTCGGCTTCGCCCTGACACTGGTTTAAAAGAATAAACGGGCTTGGCCTCCCCTTCAGGTCGGCTTCGCCATGACTCTGATTGAAAAGAATAATCGGGCTTGGCCTCCCCTTCGGGTCGGCTTCGCCCTGACTCTGATTGAAAAGAATTATCGGGCGTGGCCTTCCCTTCGGGTCGGCTTTGCCCTGACTCTGATTGAAAAGAATAATCGGGCGTGGCCTCCCCTTCGGGTCGGCTTCGCTCTGACTCTGATTGAAAAGAATAAACGGGCGTGGCCTCCCCTTCGGGTCGGCTTCGCCCTGACTCTGATTGAAAAGAATAATCGGGCGTGGCCTCCCCTTCCGGTCGGCTTCGCCCTGACTCTGATTGAAAAAAGAAATCGGGCTTGGCCTCCCCTTCGGGTCGGCTTCGCCCTGACACTGGTTTAAAAGAATAAACGGGCGTGGCCTCCCCTTCGGGTCGACTTCGCCCTGACTCTGATTGAAAAGAATTATCGGGCGTGGCCTCCCCTTCGGGTTGGCTTCGCCCTGACTCTGATTGAAAAGAATAATCGGGCCTGGCCTCCCCTTCGGGTCGGCTTCGCCCTGACTCTGATTGAAAAGAATAAACGGCCGTGGCCTCCCCTTCGGGTCGGCCTCGCCCTGTCTCAGATTGAAAAGTATAATCGGGCCTGGCCTCCCCTTCGGGTCGGCTTCGCCCTGACTCTGATTGAAAAGAATAATCGGGCGTGGCCTCCCCTTCGGGTCGGCTTCGCCCTGACTCTGATTGAAAAGAATAATCGGGCGTGGCCTCCCCTTCGGGTCGGCTTCGCCCTGACTCTGATTGAAAAGAATAATAGGGCGTGGCCTCCCCTTCGGGTCGGCTTCGCCCTGACTCTGATTGAAAAGAATAATCGGGCTTGGCCTCCCATTCGGGTCGGCTTCGCCCTGACACTGGTTTAAAAGAATAAACGGGCGTGGCCTCCCCTTCGGTTCGACTTCGCCCTGACTCTGATTGAAAAGAATAATCAGGCGTGGCCTCCCCTTCGGGTCGGCTTCGCCCTGACTCTGATTGAAAAGAATAATCGGGCTTGGCCTCCCCTTCGGGTCGGCTTCGCCCTGACTCTGATTGAAAAGAATAATCGGGCGTGGCCTCCCCTTCGGGTCGGCTTCGCCCTGACTCTGATTGAAAAGAATAAACGGGCGTGGCCTCCCCTTCGGGTCGGCTTCGCCCTGACTCTGATTGAAAAGAGAAATCGGGCTTGGCCTCCCCTTCGGGTCGGCTTCGCCCTGACTCTGATTGGCCGAACTAGACCAATGTTGGCCATATGTGGCCATTAACTGGCCGAGCGCGGCCATTTATTGAATATTTTAATATTGGTCTTCCAGCGGATGGTCTTCCACCAGGGAGGTCCTCCGGGGGTCCTCCGGCCGAATTTGACCAAAGTTGATTCTAAGTGGCCATTAACTGGCCGAGTTTTTATTAGATAAGATTTGGTATCAACGTGAAAGTATGCGAAAATCCAAGTGAACCGCGATTAACCGCGAGAATGACCGGCTGGTTGAAAAAATACCGCCCCATTGAATCAAGTGAATCATGAGCTTTCATTTAAGCTATAGAACGTCATCATAGCACGCCTATAACAGAAGTTGAGATTTCTGAAATTTCAGTTCTGACAGTCTTGGTCAACTTTGGAGCCCTTGGAAAGTGTGAAAAACTAAGTTGGCATAAAATTTTTTTGGCTCTATCGATTCAGGCTGACCTCAACTTTCACTTGGTATGCACACAATTATCAAAATCAAACTAGCAGGTGCTCAAAATTGGCTTCAACTGATATGAGTGCAAATTTTCTCCACAAAAATCGGTCAAAAAAAGCAACAAGAAGATCCATTTTGAAAAATCTAATTGATCAACTTTTCCAAGCGTGTCTTGAAGTATATGTATTCGTAGTTTGGTGAGATTTTTCAAGAGAACTTGGAAAATAGAAAATGCCGCGGTAAGCCTAATTATGGGGTACTAAATCAATCAATGGAGACGCAGAAACGAAGCTCTTTTCATTTAATTATCATTTATCGACATTTTTAGCGCCTAATTCAATTAACGGTCCATAGGGTTTAAAAGTTATCAAAACAACTTTGAGCGAAAATGACTTTTCTTAGTATTTTAATCAGAATAGACTGATTAGTTTTTTCGTGATTTTGTTAGAGCGACAAATTCATAAAAGAAGAACAAAAAGCTGTATTTTACTCATTACAATCATCAATCATTCGTCGGTCTTGTAGAGTCTACAATGTAGACAACTGTGTTTATACATGTTAAATTTAACATAATAATTCATGTGCAATTAATTATAAGATAAAAGTTCATTTTCGGGAAATTCCGAATGCGGTTTATAAAATGGGCCAAAAAACCGATTTGGAACGCAGCCGCTCGCCACCCTGAACAAGACGATAGATAAACAAAATGCGGATGAGTTTATACTTGATTAAAAAAGTTAAAATAAAAGTAAAATTGAACCAGGAAGTTTAAACACGTGTTATTGTTGATAAAGATCCTTGGCAGTTAGACTGGGTCTAAATCCGCTTCCTTAAATTACTAGAATGATAGCCAAGTGTATTGTGACACAGTACTCATTCGGAGAAGGTAGGAGACTCTACTTTACAAGAAGTTCATTTCACGTAAAAATAAATCTTCTCTGTAATTGATGTTTTGAGGTTGGCATCGGACGGACTTTTGCAATATTCGATTGATATCCAATAAAGATCACAAATTTAATAAACAGTCGTTTCTTAAAACAGCCGGAAGAAGCAAAAACACTCTCTCTGATAAAATTTACAAACAAAACATAGCCGTTATTCAGACAATATATTACTTTGCAGTTCCTTCATCGGAAGATTTTTTCAAGAATGAAAATAAATTTTATAATTCTTGATATTTCATAATCAGGAAAAAGCTTTGGAAAAGAGCCACGATGATTTAGTTTAAGGGTATCCTCTCCGAAATGGTAATATTTTTTTCTTAATTTTACCTTTGCAATTGTCTCGCACAATTTCAGCTTTTTCCAGATTGATGTTTTACAAATGAAACCAATGATTGTATCATTATCAAAGCCCTCTCATGTTCCGCCAGGCAAACTTTTCCCTTTTCTAAAAGTTTCTTGATAAATTCTGGTTAGAAATTGAAGCTAAAGAAGTTTAAACTTTGCGTAATCTTCTGCTTATCTTAATCCTGCGGATGATGCTGAATTCGAGAGACGGACTGGTGACACGTTTCCTCATACTATCTTTATGAAATTAATCTTGGCCTCTTGAGTCAAGAGTCTTGACTGCGTTTTTCGGCCACCGGACGATAAGATAAATTGTGCCTGGATCGAAAACTATTTTGATCCAGGACTAAAATTTTCACTCCAAAAAATTTCATCGTTGGCTTTGTTGACGTTGTTACCGTTGTTGCCATTCTCAGGTTCAACATTTCCGGTTCACTCTGATAAATCAAATGACTGGTAGACTCTTTCAATCGTCTGATATTTTAAGGAATTAAATGTATCTTATCAGAAGCGCATAAATGGGCGAATCGGATAGATAGCGAGTTGGTTCACTATGTTTTTATCCATATTTATGCGTTAAATCTTTTTGTCCACTGATTTATACGTACATACAATCTTTAACTGTATGTTTTCTTGAAAAATTGGGAGCTTTGAAAACTTGAAGTCTTGGATTCTGGGGACTTACAAGAGTATTCAAGGGCTTGTAAATAACTGAACAATTGAAAGAAATCTAATTAACTTGTTTACCAAGCATTTGTTGCTAATATTTTTGGTACAGACTTGATACGGTCATTTCTTGGATAAAATTTAATAAACACAACAGAACAGTTATTTTCAGTACTTCCAATGCTATTTCCTCTTCGGAAGTTCTTACAGGGATAAAAATAAACTCATATTTCATCTTCGATCAACAGGAAGGATATTCATTTAGTCTGCAGTTTTCTTCGACTTCTTCTTTTTCGACTTCTTTGTTTTATCTGATGCTTTTCCTCCCTTCCCCTTGGATTTTTTCTTGTTGCCACTTTTCTTGTCGCCGATTCCGACTTTATTTTTCCACCGCTGGCCGTACTTGTCCATCAGTTCTTCACGAACCTACAGATTTCTCTTAGCAAATATTATATGTGACATATAGAAAGCAAAAATATAAAAAAAAAATTGAGCGCTGTCCAAAAATATCAATTGCAGTCACCTTTTCCCGCTTTACAGCTTGTTTTATTCGTTCAGCTTTATTGACAACCATGTTTCCAGCCTTTTTCCACCTAAGATGACTTTTCAAAAAGACTTTCCATTTGAATATTTTACTTTGCTTTGGGATCGAAGTTCTTCTTCTTCATCGTCGCAAAGACATCACCATTGTCATCGTCATCAAAATCCTTGTTTTTGGTGAAATAAATGAACTTGGAACGTGGAATTGAACGTTGAAAACTGCTTATTCTTTGATTCCCTTATCAATATCCGTATATACACTTCCTTCTTTATACTTTTTTCACCGCCCTTGAGCATTGTTACTTTGAGCACTTTCTTCCTGCTCATCAAAAAGTTGGATCGTGCCATCGCTCCCACTACTCCTCCTCTATTCGCTCCGGAAACAAACTCCTGGTCTGGAGATTCTACTCCGCAAATTGCCTCGCATCTGCAGCACTATTTGAAAAAAAAAATTAAAAGCGAAATCGTCAATAAAGAAGAACTCACGTGACAGCCCATTTGAAGTTTCTTCCTCTTTCTGAATCTGGCTTTTTCAAGACGGAATAGCCGCGATGATCAGCGGTTTAATAATTTAACTGATGATAGAAAAATATGGAAAATATTTAGTTATTCATGCTTCAAGTCGCAATCAAAGCAGAAAGGTTTTTGATTTGAATGAGCTTCCGCTTTTGATTATGGTTTTGATTACTTCTCAAAATTTACAAGAAAAAAAAGGGGAAGAATGAGTGTCTTTCATACTAGCAAGCCATTTTTCTTGTTCTTGAATTGATACGGTATCCTTGATACGGTAGGTGGAAGTTCAACCGTGGAACAAAATTAGAATAAAAGGCGAGCTAAGTGAGCAGCTTCTTTTTGAAGTACTGTCAAAATTTGATGGCGGAAGCTGTGTTTATGGAACTTCTGTAGTGCACGTTGTAAAGCACGCTCCTGTTCTTGAAAAAAAATGAACAACCAGCGGCTTCTTCTTGAAGTTGAATTAATTTGATGGTGGAAGCTGTGTTTATGAGTATGTTTGGCATTTCAAATGATCTTTTTCTTTCAATCAGCAAAATAGCTAATTGAATTGTTGAATAAAACAAAGCATTATATAGTTTTGGAACTAAGTGGGGAGGGTTCAGCCGTTAAAAAACTACTTTTTTGTTTTCCCTAAACAAGTGAAAAGAATCTCAAGATGGAAGGAGAAATGTTTTTACTGAAAAATTCCCTTAAAAAAGATTGATTCTAGCGTGTTTTTTCGCTTGATTTTTACGCTTAACCTTTTCTAGGAATTATTGTTTATTGTCCGAGTCCTAGGCTCTTTTATGAGTTAAAAAATCGCCTCTAACAGAAAGCGAGAAATTCAAATTGAATCAGACTTTTGCCCCAGTGCTTCGGATTCGTGGTATATTGCGCTGTTTGGAAGCTAAAAGCTAACACAAACACCAAGGTCGTTAGAGAATAGAGGAGCCTTCTTTTCTTTTTCTGGCATTCATTATTATATAAAAAAACGTTGCGCGCCTGCGTCAAATTCAAACCCCGACCACAGGAAACATAGAGACACATAAACAGAAAAAAGAAGAGAGGGAAAATCCAACACTGAAGGAAAATGAAGCTTTTTGCTTCAGCTGTTTTCGCAGCGAATGGTGTTTTTGCGGGAAGATATCAAGGAAAGGAAGGGATTAGAAAAAGCATTGAAAAAAATTCGCGAAAAATGGGCATATAAAAATTTTATAATTATTAAGAAATGATTTTTTTTTCAAACTTCAAGAATAAATTTATCTTTCTGGGTAAAGGATCATTCCTTTGAGGACTTTTTTTGACAGGTTTATTATATTACGAGGTGTTCTGTTTTCCTCGCAAAATTGAATTATAGAAACTACAAACAAAAGTTAGCCGACAATTCCCTTCACTCCGGCCCGTATTAGATTCAGAAGTCATTAGATTTAAGCTTTTCCGGGCGTTTCTGTTTAACAACCATATAAAAAACATCATAAAACGTGCCCATCTTAGATGGGCCATCTAGCCTTCGCGTAATTTTAACGATCATAAATAATAATTCAATAATAATCCAATCATCAGAGTCTACAAAATCGCGGAATCGCGACGATGACCTTGGATGAGAAAACTTCAAAGCTCTGGAATAATGGAGCGATGAGTACGACCATTGGGCGGATTTTGAACTCGCCGTTTGATGAAATTTTCCCACTGGACTTTATTCAGCCGCATAATGGTCCGCAATTTATTCCAGGAGAAACGATCAAGTTTCTTTACAATCTCAACTTCTCCGATCGACTCTATTCGATGAAAAAATTCTCCTACGACATCGAATCATATAACGGCAATTCTACTCAATTCCTCGAAGACCAGCTTGGTGCAGAAAACGTCCACTTCGATCAGAATCTCGACGCTCTTTTGAATGATAGCTTTGATGGGGTGAGAGCGAGTAGACTCGGTGGGAGTCGAAATTTTAACGTTTATCACGACTTGTCGAGTATTGAAGCTTGGTTGTTGGGAGATGTCAATGCTCACGAACATGCAACTGTCTCGTCGATTGGAAAGGTAAAAATCATTTGCCTCTCAATAAATGACTAATTAAGACGCACGAAAACCGCGATATCTGGGTGGTGAACATCTCCAACCCTCCCTCAAATCTCTCCCCGGACTCTTCTCTCCCTACAATCGTTGTTGATTGCGGAATTCACGCGCGCGAGTGGGTCTCGCCCGCTTTTTGCCAGCACTTTATCAACGAGCTCTTGGACAGTTCTGGAAGCGCGCAATCTTGGAAAAACACCGTCAACTGGGTCATCTACCCTCTTTTGAATCCTGATGGCTATGCCTTCAGCTGGTCAGGTGATCGAATGTGGAGGAAGAACAGAAGAGTGAATAGTGGATCATCCTGCGTCGGAGTCGATCTGAATCGAAATTACAACGCGAAATGGAATACCTTTGGCTCATCAAGCAATCCTTGTCACCAGACCTACCATGGTGTTTCAGCCTTTTCGGAGCCAGAATCCTCTGCTCATCGAAATCACATGGCAACGATTGAAAATAAGCAAGCCTATTTGACGTTTCATTCGTTCTCCGAAGTCATCATTTATCCCTATTCGACGATTCACTCCGATGAAGCGGATAATCGAGCAGAATTGAACTCGTTGGCGGGAGAAATGGTTGCTGGGATCAAATCTGTTCATGGAAAAACATACAGGAAGAGTTCTTTCATTAAAAAATAAGTAAAAAACAAAGCATCATGCGTATCGGAATAGCTGGAAATTATCGAGAGAGATTCTAGAATTCTGGAAAGAAAAGGCGAAGGAGCTGAAATCTTCGGCCTAGCAGCTGGTGGCTCAGACGATTGGGCTCACATGAGCGGAATCCCAATTTCGTACACTATCGAGCTTCGAGATACAGGAAGCTTTGGCTTTCTCCTTCCGGAAAGTCAGATCCAGCCAACTTGCGAGGAAAATATGAAAGGAGTTGAAGCAGTCTTCGACCACGTTAAACCGTTGAATACCTGCTCAAGTTGCTCTGGAAACTGCTGGTTTCACAAAAACACGAGGCTATTCAAATGCTTCGCGCCAACAGGTAATTTATTAGAACTTACGAGTTCAATTATGGAGAGCTCGACTCTACTCGATTCGAGCGCTCACTCATTTTCGGATTTATCTTGTTTCTTGACCCTATATTTATTCTCTATATTTATCGGATTCGGTATTTCAACTGATTACTTGTTCAAAATTTGAACTTCAAATTTCTGTCTGCTGTTCTATTTATTCCTCTATGTCTTCAATCGAAAAAGATATTGAAATTTGTCTAATAAAGATAAGTTCTTGTTTCTTTTTTGAGATTTATTTTTGCAGAGATAAAACCTAATTGACCAACCAGATTTCTGATTTCGACCGGTAGGCCAATCAGATTCAGGAAAAAAATCATCAAGATTTTTTCGCTTAGATTTCTTTTTTTGAAAAATTCTGGCTTTCCAGTAAAAAATATTTTATTCATGACGAGTTGGGAATAAAATCATCAAAGAAGTGATTATAAAACTGTCGATAATATTGGGCTCAACAGATGGGCGTCGTCGCAAAAAAGGTACCACAAATGAGGAATCGATTTCTTTTTCAACTTCCGAGCTGCGAAAAATACTTTATGAGGAATATCGCCTTGGAAAATTTCTGAGAGCGACTTTGGGAAAGATAAGACAAAGGGACTCTCAGCGCTAATTCTGGTACTAGAGGCGAAAGTCATTATGCATTGTGTGCCTAAAGCTGCCCCTTGTCAAGCCCGGAAGCGTGAGAATCTCAAGTTCTTTGAACAAAAATACAGACTTTCGCAGTTATAAAATGACCATCAAATTGGATCCGAAGAATTCTAGATCCGAAATCTGAAATAAGCGCCAGACTCCATTTTCTTCAAAATTCTCTAGATGAAAAGTTGTTGTCAGACCTAAATTTTAAGCAATTTTAGTCTGAGACTCGTGAAAGTCCGAAGAGGAAGAAAAACAAGTGAGTACTCAAGATAGATTTATACGTTCATATTTATCTTTACCATTTTTAGTCAATTGATTTGCTAAAGAAAATAAACGAAGAAATGAAAGAGAAAGATGCAGAAACTGAAACGTTCGACAATTCGTCGTCAGCGAAAGAGAACTAGCTGCAAATCTCTTCCAAGTGCTATCGTCCTGAATAAAATCAATTTATCCAAAAAACATCTTATTCTTTCCAGTGGTCGAAGGTGTAGTTTGTCGATTTCGTAAAAGTTCAAGTACTGTTAAAAAAGTAATCCACTGAGCTGAGCGTTGCGGTTGCGGCGGCAATAAAAGAAATGACGAGAACCGCAAGCGGCGTGTGAGCCTTTGTTGAGAGTACCGGAACGATGAAAAATTAATTTGGGCACACGCGCACTTTATGTTAATTTTTTCGACATTGTTTTGGAAAGACACGCGCAAATGTACTAATTAGCTATTCAATAAGCGTTTTTCTTCAGATCGAAACTCGCAGTACTGTAAAATTCAAACTAAAGAAGGCTCAATTCATCAATTTCAATTTTCGATAATTATTGCCCCGTTAGAACTTGGACTCGCGCTCTAAAATTGGCCCAATTACATGTCGGTACCAATTTTCGTCAAATTATTTCGGCGCTTCTCAATTTTTCCCCCGCCCGACAGTGTAATTGGGGATTAAAAAGACTGTCGATTCCGAAAAGTGGGAAAGGACCCAACCGGTGAAATCGGAAACGAAAATTTGAAATAATTTGAGTCCCGATTTACGTCCCGCGTCTGATACTTATCCGGAAAGTCATAAGATCCACGAATACGAATTCATTTGAGAAATCACGGGACGAACCTTTTTGGAACTTTTTCAAAGAAAAAATGAAAAGAAAAAAAAGGGATTTGAAGGGATATTGTTGATATTGATGATGACAAGATTTATTGTAATAATCAGCGAGAACAAAACAGCTCAATATCGCTCCAAAAGGGCTGGCAATTAGTCCTTTCCTAAAGGGAGCCTCGTGGCACGATGTTTGGGCACCGCAGGGACTCCTCCGGCCCGCCCGCGGGGCAGTTTTTGTCTCGCACCAGGCCAGTGACGCTTCAAAGTCAGATTCCGAGATAGATCCCTTCTCCAGGCTGGATCACTGGTTAATTCGAAGGGATAAGCCCTGTTAGATGAGTGTTCCATACACAAAAATAGCATTATTAATTTTCGTAGTTTTCTGGAGTTAAATTCTTATTATCGTCAATGAATCGAGAAGCCGCTTGCGACTTCGAGCTTCAAAAGTAAAAAAGCCGCGCTAGCCGCGGCTTTATTGTTCTCCCTCAAAGCGGAAAGCTTGTTTACCTTTATTAGATATAAAGAAGGTCAACTAAAAATCATTTTCATCTTTGAAAATTCTTATTTCTGAAGTCCGAAAAATCCCCTCTCAAAAAGCGATGATCCAGGACATCCTGTCTCTAGAACCGAATAAGACGGCGCGTGGCATGCGATAGTGCTAGCTTGGGCACACTTCGATGGTACTAATAACAACAGTGTCCCACTTGAGGCAGCGCCATTGAACGTTGCCTGGAGGGGCACCCGACTATTGTTAGAAGGAACCATCAAACGAGGCCTCACTCACACCCAGCCAGTACTCTCTTTCTTTCCTTGCTTGTCCTTTTATTATCAGAAAAATAAAGAAAGAACGTTCTGGACACACACGCTTTTCTAGAGACTGGCTCACCGCGCGCTGCAAATAAAAAATATGGGTAAGTCAAAAATAAACTAAAACTTTTAACTTGCAAAAAGAATCGAGAAGCCGCTTGCGGCTTCGAGTTAAAACAAAGAGAAAAAGCCGCAAGCGGCTTATCAATTTTGGTCCTTTTTTGAGTCAAAAATTTTGACAGAAAAACTTAGAATTCGAGCCATTCATTAAAAAAAAAAGTTATAAAATGCGGAGAATTTTCTTTATCCGGGTTCCAGGAGGATATGCGGCTGAAGTTCTCAATTAAAAAACTCAAGTCCCTCTTTGAAACTCGTTTCTTATACTTCCCTCATTGATTTTTCCCACAGCGGTTTCATGACGATCAGTTCGTCCTGGAATGATTCAGAGTGTCTATAACTTGGTTGGCTACAAATTGAATAGCAGATGTCACAGATGTAGTTTTCTCCTAGGTTGGGAAAACTCACGTGAAGAGAAGCTCATATCCGGGCGGTTTGCGAGGGGAAAGTTTCATTAGCAAGGCTGTTACTTCTTTTCCAAAAGAGTCCCAAAGAAGGACGAGCGATCGATCGAGAGCGAGGATGAGCGCGCGGCTGATCCGATCGCGTCGAGCACGCGCCCAAAGTTCCACGAGCGCGACACCTTTGATCAGCTTCGCTAATCCCACTTACAGTCATCTAACTCTTCGTCGACCATGTTGCCCAATCGGTCTAGATCCGAGCCAAAACTTCTAATGACCGATTCCAATATACAGATTTCGAACAGAAGATGGTCATCTATTATCAACAGTCTTTTTTTAATTACTGTATTGCTTCTTATTTTTATTTTAAATTATAATCGACATTTTGACTTAAGTTTTTAAGAACCGTTTTGTATTCATGATTGAGTTTGTTTGTTGAAAGTTCATTTGGCTTGCCCTGGGGGAAGAGTGTGTGTGCCTAAATGGTAATATGCATATTTGTGATTAAAGGACGGGCCAGGCGGCGTACTGTAACGAGCAAGAAAGGAAGGGAACGAAATTGGTGAGTACATGAACAGGCGCTAATTGGGGCTGGGACTAATTGTGCCCGGCGGCATGTGCGTGTGTAGGTATGGTAGAAGTTGTATGTTGCCTCGCGGCGGCCAAGTGCCCAAAAATAGAACTTGCCATTCCTTTTCCGATCGATCTGCCAATCTGGAACCTGTGCTCGATCAGGCTAGAGCTTCAGCCTTAGAGAGAGAGAGAGAGAATAAAACTTGCTTTGGTGCGCGAAAGAACCTGAATTTTTCATGACGTTAATGAAAGGGATCAAAGCGGATCAAGCGAAAGACGATGATGGATTAGGTACAGTTGTAAAAAGTTTCATGAAAAGACCGCCTGGGATCGGTCCTAAAGTCTTTTTTCGGAACATGCAAATTTCATCAAAAACATTGAAAAAGCCTTACTCACCCGAAAATCAACGAGTTTGATTCTGCATGTCATCGATAAATGAATCGCAAGCGCGATTCGAGGGCCGGCGCGTAACAAGGATGAGAACGCAAGGACCAGGGCTAATCGGCGATAGCTCGCCATTCTCAGCGGCTTATCAACAACCCCCGGATATCAAACAAGATGATTGTTCCCGAATCGGCGGGAAACGACCTCTGTAACTTTATCAGAAAGAATCGATCTAGTGACACCTAGTGATTCAGCCAAAAATCATTTCTGGCAAATCAGTTTCAATTTTTCGAAGTGCCATTTTCAAGTTTGATTATTTTTTTCGAAAAAAGATGGTCGATTCAAGAGACTTCTTTCAAATTCAAAGAGGTAATTTTTTCTCAGAAAAATTTGTTTTCAAGACCTCGAGTCCCAAAACAGGAAGCCGAGAGTACCATTGATGTTGACTCAATATCGGCTCTTGGCGGGCCTAATTGAGGAAATCAGAGTGTGATACTGTTAGTTCAGTAGCAGGAAATGGCCGGGACCTGATTTCTTTAGGAATGAAAAAAGTGCTTCCGAAGAATAATAGAAAATTATATCAACAATCAAACGGGCTTCACAAACAGGAGCAGATTTTTGTTGTTGCGATTTTGCGATCGAAGAGTTCCAAAGATTCGATCAGGCACCTATCGATTGCTTCATATTGGAAAAGCCATAATAAGGGGAGTCCTGGTCCTCAAATAAAACTGTCGCTTCTGGCGTGTGGGAACCCCTTGGGGTCACGTGTGTGCCCAAATGATCGCCCCCAGTAATTTTAATTGCCTGCTGTTTTTTCCCTTCTTTTTTCGAAGGTCCCAACTGTGAACAATTAATTTACCCCTTCCATCAAAAAGAAAGAGCGGTATTTTTAATCAGGGAGTTGAATTCGCCTCAGGGCGAGTTCCAAACTGTATTTCTGTGTGCCCAAATTTACAACTGCAAAGTTCAGCGCTCTCGAAGGACTGCGCGGGACCGTTTCATTCTTGTTGACCATAGGAATGGAAAAATTATGGCTTTTAGTGATTCGATATTTATCAAAGAAAAAAAGCTTGCCTAGGAGCGCGAGTAGGGACCGGGGAAACAAGTGTCCTCATCAGTAGGGGAAATCAGTAATTTCTCGTTCTTTTTTAACGAGAAACAAGAAACGTTCTTCTATCTTCTTTAACAGAGAACTGAACAATGAATGGTAAGAAAAAATCGATAAGTTTCATGATTTTCGCATCAGGAAAAAGCTTGGCACTTTTTCCATCAATGGAAGTGAAACTCCCCCAAAAAGTTAACGATTTTTCCGATTCTCAAAAAGGATTTCATCCGAGTATGACATTGGCTTCAAAAACGAGAAAACTTCTGAGATGACCTTTTTATTCATGAAACTATAAATCATAGTTAATTTATTGAAATACTATTTTTTCAAAGAAAAAAAAGTACAACAATTGTTTTTCGGTTTGAATGTGTTAACAAATTGTTTAAATAAAAGCCTTTGATATTATTATTATTAACTTCGGCTTTTGGGTTTTAAAGTCTTTAGTTGAGTCGACCACTTAGTCGAAAAGTGGAGCTGGCCTCGAAGAGTAGCGCACTCCAGGAGTTCTTAGTTGATTTTTCCTCTCCCCTCGCGAGCGCCCTCGTTCCATCGACAAGGACGAGAGTCGCTTCTTCTTCTTCTGGCAACCGACGAGGCGACTTCCTTGATCCCCCGTCGAGAGTTAATAAGGTGGCGGTACACAACTTAAATCGCTCTCATTTTCGAACCGCCACTGGTAGATCACGCATAATTTACTCTCAATTTTTTTCGAAAAAGAAGAAGCGAGAAAATTTCAAGCAAACCTAAAAGAGATTATTTCCAGCTCTAGAATCAAAACGACCGAATTCAAAGAAAAAAATCGGTAAACTAAATCGAAGAAATATTCAGAATTGACGATGAGTCATCGGCGATGACCGGAAAAGCCGCGTGCGGCTTTTTTATTCAAAAAGAAAGCAGAAAATATCTTCAAAAAAATACTTTTTGAAGTAAATGACCCCTTGTTTATCATTTCTCAACACTAATATCCTGACGAATTTTTTCTAGAATCTCCCCCCTTGGAATCTCCGCCAGAAAGTCTCCAGAACCTCGACATCGCGAAAATTCCCAACTACGAAAATCTCCTCCAAGAACTGGCGAAGTTGCATGAAAAGTGCGCCGCCAGTGCTTCGCTAGAAAAGCAGAAACCGGTAAGTCTGTTGCAGAAAGCGGACGGTCCAATTAGCGATCAGTGACTCGGTACTCAAAATTAAACAGCGCCCCCTGCGGCGCGCCTTTTTTTCACTGACGATGAGAACCTTGAGGACTCGTGGGAGTTTTATTAGGCGTGAAAGGGTGGGATTTCTAATGATGATGATTTGGGATAATTATGAGTCGTAATTGACGGTTCTCAAATTCTCTGAATTGACGGAACTTCAAAAATGATTGTCTTTTTCCGCGCTTTTTCAAATTCTTTTTCTAATGTCGTATCTTTGATTTTTGAAATCATGAAAGTTTTATTCAAGAAAAATGTCCGGTAACCGGTTCAAGTTCTCCTCCCCTGGCAAAACACCGCCCTAACGAGGCGAAAAATCGGGACAAAACAAATCCCCACCGCCAAGTAAATTACTCAAAGCTAAACAAACCCAGAACTAGCGTGCTCCGCCACCACCGTCCGTGCGCCACCGAAGATTCCGAATTGTCCGGAACAAATTCACTTTCCTTACTTTTTTCTCGGGCCCACTTGTTTGGGCAATTTTCCGCAATTAGGGTACCCTTGACGGACCTGTCATGTACTGGAAATCCGATCAATTTAAAATAAACTCGCCAGGGAATTTTTTTTTCGAAGAATGGAAACTTCCTTTGGCTAAACTTTCTGTAATTTTTGACCAAAAATCGAGAAAATTTTTAACGAAAAAAATTTTTTCTACTGATTTTTTTATCAAGATATTTAAAATTTTATAATAAACCTGATTTTCCTTTTTACAAAAAAAATCATCTTCAACCCTTTTTCCTCCGAAATCCAATACCCGATAATCCCCGTTTCCCGAGACAAGCACTGAGCATCTGGTACTCCTGTCTTCCTCTGCGTCCAATCATCCCCGTCATCTTCATTGTCCCGGGTCGGCATTACCCCGCGCATTTGCCTTTCATCTTTATTCATGCTTGCACGCTCGTTTTCGTTATTATTTTATTTTACTGCACCTCTCTCCTCGCGAGAGGCGCCTGGCACTAGAACGGTGATGTCCTTCAATAAAACCGGCTCTAATTAGCGAAAAACACAATGGCGGTCATCGAGTAAAACTGGGGGGCGCCATACTCCTCCCGATACCACTTCACGAGTTACTAGAAAAATTACCTGCATCTCCAATCATTCCCTTTTTTTCGCCCGAAAAGTCAAAAGCGAAAGTGTCAAAAAAGAGGCCTGCAACAACCGCAGATTCCAACTGAGAGATTGCCTACCTACTGTCACGCGACAGGAGGACAGGAGGATAGAAGGGGTGATACCTATTGAGGCACTGGGTCCAGAATACTTTAAATACAGACATTCTTTTTGACTTTAAAACTGGAGATTTTAATCAACGAAAATGGCGATGAGGTAAAAATAAAGAGATAAATTTCGATGAAAAAGCCCTAGTTCCTCTCATTTTTATGAACAAGTGACTGTTTAAACGCTTTGAATGTACAGTACTTTGGCTCAGAGTCTAAGAGCTTATGTTCCATCTGAGTGCTCTTTTTGAGTTGTTGAAGTCACGCGCTCCGGGGCTTCGCGGATGATCCTATTTACCGTTGAGAACTTTTTCGATGGCCATTTGTGAGGCTCATCCTCCGAGTCTTGAAGCTTGGGCCCTCTCTCCCTCTCTAGAGCCGGGTAGAGCCTTAATGCTAAAAGGCACTGAGGGCAGCGAGCGTGGCCCCGAGCGCGGATCATCCCCGAGTTCTCAAGTGACAAGCGCCTTTGGCCTGATCTTAAGGGCTCGGCCAGCATATGGCCAGTATGAGGAAAAGTGGCGGGAAGGGACTAGGGCTTTAGGATTAATCTCGCCAAAGCTACTTGAGCTCCAAGAGCTCCAAATAGCAATAATGTAGCGGCGCGAGTTCTTTCATCGAAAAATGATTTTTGAACTTCTTTTCGAACGAATTCGTTTAGGTTTAATAATTATGCGCCGAGCTCGAATATGATGCTGAATGCTGAGGCGAGTTTGAAGGTAAGAACATCTTTTTTTTTTCTGGTCAGGATGGGGATTTCGGGTTTGAAAAACTTGAATTTTAAGTGCTTTGATAAAAATGCCTTTTTTAGATTTTCTTTGAAATTTTACTACCACTTTAATTTTCTATTTTTGGGACTCTGGAAGATCAAAAGCTCACGCCCCGTGATTTCCTGAAATTAAGGATTTAGCCATTATCCTCTCTGGACATATTAAAATTACTTTTGCGGAAAACGAGTTTACGCTCGGCGAGGGCAAATAATTGTACTTGCCTTTCTAAAAGTCCGATCTTAAATAATACACCAAAGTGTTACCAAATCCGGAAAAGATCAAATCAAGCACAAGTGCGAGTTTTTGCACATTCTTGTGCAAATTCTTGAAGCTTCGTTTTTACTCTTACTTTTTCATTGCCCGAACAGATCTTTCATATCAAGAACGTCTTATTTTCGAGAATGCACAAGAATTCTAGAGGAAATGGGGGAGTCTTTTTCGGGCAGCAGCAAAATAGCGGTACGGCTATTTATCAGAGATATCCATTGGTAAGTGACACCCTTAATTTCCCTGTAATCGAGACAAACTCGTTTTCACAAAACCAGCAGCGTTCCAAATTTAAAATTTCAAGAGCGCGCTTGTTCCTGCCCCAGGCGTGCGAATTTTAGGGCTCTTGCGGAAGGGTCCTTGAAAATAACGATGTTGACCGTCTCTAGATCTGACGGGAAATTGCCATCCGTTGAATGATTAACATCAATGGGAACCGTGTGTCCTGTCGAGCGGTACCCTGTTTGCCAAGCGCCAAATTAAACATTTTATTTTACATTTATATTCGCGCATTTATACCGAGCAATTATTTTTTTGCAAAAAAAAAGAGAAATATTTTAAAAATATATTAAGAAAATTACGAATAATTAAAAAATTGAAAGGTAAGCTCGAATTTCGGGAAAAAATAATGCGCTTTTCTTTATTTTTTTGGTCCTCTTTGCTTTCTGATCGCTAATTGGAGTCCTTGAAAGCCCTAAAGATAAAACTTTTTTCATCAATTTTTTTAGGCAATGAGTCTTCTCGACGAATTGAAAGGAATCGTGATCGACCAACAACGAGGAATCCGCGAGCGGGACACGAAGCTCGCCACTCTTCAGCAGCAATACGATGCGCTCAACACTTCCTACTGGACGATCATGCAAAAAGTCCGCAGCTACGATCATCTATTCGGGTAAGCGTCCATCTATCTTCCGAGCTGTCTTTCAACACTAGGCCCTCCTGTTTTCGTTGTAATTTTGGACGAGGGCCATATGGCGCCTCTCAGAGGCAGGAGCCAGTGGTTTTTCGGCACCAGGGAACATATGGCGATATTTTTATTGGACATGATTTTCTTGATTTTTCAATAATTTTTTGTCGAACGGTTTTTGAAACACAACTACTAAGACATTCCGGAATCCGACATTTGGCCGGAGCAGGTGCAAGTAGAGCACTCTCTTTACGAGCCGGGTTTATTGGTGCTCTCGGATCGTAATTGCATGCGCAGGTTCCCTGTTCTCCTTTTCAAGGAGAATTATTTAGCGACGGTTATTTATGAGCCTCGCTTCCGCAACTGAGCATTTTGATGATGATGAACCCTAGACGGCTTTTTTTTTTGTAAATTGTTGTTTCAGCAGGCGGCGGTGAGAACTCTTCGCGTGAATGCCTCCTCCACTTTGTGTGTCCTATTTTAGGCCCAAGCTTTCCTATTCCCGTCCAAGTCCAAGTCATCAAAGGGCCCAGTGAAGCCGATCGGAAATCATTCGAAATCGTGGGAACCGCGATTCTAGTTTGATCCCAGTGATTTCAATTAAGAATCTTGCTGAGTATCCAATGACTAATCTACTGGCTGAAATCATAGAAGAGTACACTGATTCAATCTCCCATAAATAGTTAAGCTAAGATACCCCCTTATTTTTTGATCGTTATAAGCCTGTTCCTGGCACATAACAATTTAACTACTTTTGGAAAGGGCCCCAGTGACGAGGACAGGTAATTTATGCATCAAGGGAGTAATTGGCATTTTCAATTGCAAGCAGACCCTCGTAAAATATCCCCGCCCGGGCGCATTGTTCTATTGCTCGGTAATCACGTGGCACCTCGGAAAAAAGAATAACGACTTGCATAATAAATGAGAAGGGGAGGCTTAATTCCCGGACTAGAATTATTGATCATGGATTATTTCAGAATCTTGACGAATAACGCGAAGAATGCCGCTTCTTCCTCGCTGAATGGAATCACCAATCCTCCTCAAAACGGGACAAGTTCCGTCCCAACTCCGAGCCCAAGCCTTCCTCAGACCGACGAAAGTCAGGTAAGATAAAGAACACTTTGGGAGTACACTCCTCTAACATTCCCTCATAAGGCGGATGTCACAAATGTCAAAGAAAGCAAAGAAGAAGCACAGGAGACGGAAACCAAGCCAGAAAGCTTGCCTGTTGGGATGGGAACACCAGGACTTAATCCTGCTCTCTTTTCCTTGGCCAATTCCTTCGCTCTCGACAGATTCGCTGGTAAGACTTTCTAGAAATGTCACCATACATATTTAATCCGCCATCAAAGGTGTCTCGATGATGAATCTTGGCTCATTCAATTCCGATCTCTCTCCCGACAAAGCCTCAAAGCTCAAGATGAAGTCTCCTTCCAAGTCAACTGTCAAACTCGAGGGCCAAACCAAACCGTACACCTGCAAAGTCTGCGGCAGAAGATTCACTGATCGCTCAAATTGCATCAAACACCAGTTTATCCACACAGGATTGAAACCGTTTGAGTGCCCACACTGCAACAAGCGATTTCGAAGAAAGGACCACTTGAACTCTCACTGGTAAGTTTCAAGGTGTTGATTTACTTTTCACTGAAAGATACTATACATAATATATTCCACAAGGCGGTGTATTGGCACCAATAATTAGTAGTTTTTCGACTTCGATGGCTCCAAGATACAAAAACCCATATTATCGCTCCAGTTTTTTCTTTATGGTTCCTTCATTTAATTTTCAGCAAATCGCAGCATGGCGAAGAGGCTTTTCCACCAGGAGTCCCTGCCCCTCGCCTCTCCATCGTCGCCGCCACTTCCCAGTTGCCAAACATCATCGGAAACCTTCACAACTCCTCCTTGCTCTCCAATGGCTCGCAAAATCTGACAAACGGAAACGGGATAAGCTCGGAACAGTGCTCGATCGAAATCAACGAGGACTCAAACGAGGGTAGTCTTGAAGAGCCATCGCCAAAGAAGATCAAGATGGAGGAAACCAATTGCTTTGATGAGGAGGAACTTACCATCGATGAACTGTAGGAAAAATCTGAAACAAAAAAGATTTTTAAACACGAAATTTCTAGCGGAGAAAACGATGAAAACGTGGCAATTGAACCAGCTGAAGTCGACACTAAACCTGCCTTTTCCAAGGTGACTTTGTCTCTCATTTTTCACCAGAAGTAAAACTTTCCTTCAGGAAATTTACGATAAGATCATGAACGAGTAAAAGCCCTTCCTAACTATAAACCTACTGGAAAAACGACGTACTTCATCCTGAAAAAAAAACAGAGAAAATCCTGAAAAGAAAATCTCAAATTTATCATCCGTTGCCTTTCTTCCTATATCTGTACATATCGAAAACAAACTAACGTAGAGTTGAAAATGTTAACCGCCAAATTTATCATTAATTAACAGATTGAGAGCTGTGTACTAAAACTGAAAAAAGCTGAACAACACTTCAATCTTCAGTGTACGGGAATAAATTATATTGCTTCAACAAAATTTGTTTTTGACTTTTTTGTCTCTAGAATTGAAATTTTCAAATGGTGTTTTTTGTACGAGAGCGTCAGTTCCCTCTGGACTTTTGGGGTCCAAGACCCCATTATAAAAGGTAAGTAAAAAAAGGGATTTCAATACAAAAAAAAAAGAAAGAAAAAAGGGTCGAAAAGGGACTTTTTTTTCAGAGTTACCAGTTTCTCAAAACTTATTCCGGTAAAAAACAACTGAAAAATGAGCGATGAGGAAATCCTAGAGCCTCGTGGTTACATAGTCAACAGAGGATCTATCGGGGAAGGAGCATACTCAAAAGTCCGTCTGGCATTTTCTCGTAAAATTAATTGCGATTGCGCGATAAAATGCATCGACAAGAGAAATGCCCCAGACGACTTTGTGAAAAAATTCCTCCCGCGAGAGCTAGAAATCCTTCCAAAATTAAACCACAAGAACATTATCAGAGTCTATGAGATTCTTGCCGTCTCTGATGGAAGAATATACATTGTCATGGATTATGGGAAAAAGGGAGACCTGCTTAGGTACATCCAGAAAAATAATGCATTAGATGAAAGTGTAGCGCAAAAAATGTTCATGGAAATTTCATCAGCAGTATCATATTGCCATGAACTGGGCTACTGTCATCGAGATCTTAAATGTGAGAATATACTTTTGGAAGATGATCTATCAGTCTTGGGTCGGCAATAAAAACAAAAAAAAAAAGTTTTTTTTAGCGAGAAGACCATAATTTTTATTTTTGCCAAAAAACTTGGCCCGCTTCTTAGCTAAAATGATCGAAAATATAGAAAAAACTGGTGTAAGACATGAACCCATAGTACAGCCATACACAAGATTAAGGGTATCAGCAACGATTTCTTCAATATTGAGCATGATTATACTATGGATTTGAGAATAGCACCGAAAACTTACTTTTAGTCATAAAATTTTCGAAAAAATACTAAAAATATTTTTTATTTGTTGACCCGAATTACAGTCAAACTTACTGATTTTGGTTTCGCTCGAAAAATCGAATTCGACGAAAATGGTGAAATAATACTTTCGCGGACTTTTTGTGGCTCAGCCGCTTATGCAGCGCCAGAAATTATTCAAGGCCATGCTTACGATCCGCGAAAGCACGATTCTTGGTCACTAGGAGTCATACTGTATATAATTGTTTGCGGCAGTATGCCATATGATGACTCGAACGTGCGAAAAATGCTGAAGGAACAGCTCAAAACTCGCGTTCGCTTTCCATCACGATGTGCTTTAACACTTGATCCCGATATAAAAGACATTATCTACAGACTTATCTGTATTGATCCTAAACAAAGAATGAGTGTTTCAATGCTTCATCTCCATAAATGGCTCAAAGACTGTACTTCCAATCCGGAATAATAAAACGAGAAACATTTTTTTGAAAAAAAAACGAAAAAACTGGCAAAAATTGCTTTTCCTAAAGCGATAATTTCCCGAAAACAAGATTTTCCGTCATTCTGTTTTTCGTTACAAAACAAAAACGACGATTTTACGATATTGTAAAATCGTCGTTTTTGAGGAAAAACTTGTTTCGGGGAAATCCTGTGTTTATGGAAAAGCAACTTTTGGCAAAGACTTATTCAATTATTTCATTTGATGCAGGATGACTTTCATATTTTCCGGGAATGATAACGTTTTTTTTATATTTTATTGGCCTCTTTTCGGAGAAAACTGATATAGAGTGCAAACATCATTCAATTAGCTGAAAAGTGCTTTCGAAGACATATTTAGACCAGTGGTTATCCGTTATAATTACCCTTGGAATCGCTTTAAGTGATTTACAGTCTCTCTACTGCACCCCGATTATTGGTTCAGTATCACCTTCAGGGAGAGTATACGCATTCAAAAAACAATCAAAAATTCAATTTTCCGAGAAAGTCGAACAGAGTAAAAACCGATAATCGGACCATTCTGATCAAGCGACTTTCTTTTTTTGATTTGGACTTTTTAATCATCAATTCGCTGAATGCATAATGCATCAAGCGATGCTATGTAATGACTGTCGAGATTGAAATTGAAGACGAACCAGGTTTTTACTCAAACGGGATGATAGAGAACATCAGCTTTTTATTCAACACGAAAATCAGTGTTATACGCCGCGTTTTTTGGGGTATTTTGATTTCGGTCGCTACTTTTTACTCTGTAAGTCAATTTTATATTTTTCTTTTTTATCACCTAGTAGATTTTTACAATCAACAATAATTGCCGACTGTACTTATCTCGGCCGACTTCAATTCGGACGGTAACTCATCCGATGAGCAAGATGAACATGACGAACATTTACATCTGCCTGAACTCGCAGCATTCGATGTGGAGAATTAAGGAGTTCTACTCAGAATACCCCCATCTTTACCATCTCATCCCAGGTACAATTAGTTAATGGCTCCCCCGATTTTTCTGGCCCTTTCTATTTTCATTTTTTTAAGCTCTTTATGGAAACATGCAAGATCAAGTGATTGAAGGCGAGAAAATGGATGTCTCCCGCGTTCTAGCAGAGCTGAGCCACATCAGCCTCTACGAATTTCTCGACAAAACAGCTGCTGAAATCATTCCGCTCAGATGTCGATTCAACATGAAAAACTGCCCACTTCCTCAAATGAAGACGACAAGATATGGAAAATGTCTTTTTTATAATCTAGGTAACTAAATTTGCGGAACCTAGCAATTGGTCTCAGTATATAGAATTTTGATTTCAGAGTCTTTCGGCGAAATAACAATTGCTGGACCACAATCTGGACTGGTCTTTTATGGTGCCTACAATAAAAGTGATCAGGTACCTTTTTTTACCCATTCCGGCTCCTCATTTTCCCGTAGACAACTGGAGCCCTCCAATTTGTTGATGGCCTTAGCATTTTCTACGGAGACGGGGATGAAGAATTGATGCTGATGAAACAGCGAACCACTGCCCTGCCCGATTTATTAAGTCAAATCTCTCTTTTTCGTCATGAATACGAGATGAAATCTGAAAGCTGCGCGACCAAAGATCTCTATTTTTATCGAACATATTCTTACGAAAAATGCCAGGTACCACCCCAAATCATTTTCCTCCATTACATTATACTTCAAAGATGGATTGCAAGTATCATCACATCTTCAAACGATGTGGCTGTCGACCTCCATACATCGAAAACCCAGGCGATTTGTATCAAGACATCCCGAATTGCACCTTCATTGTTCATGCTCGTTGCGTTACAAAGAAACGGGTTCACAGAATATGCGACGGAAAATTTCTAGAGACAGCAATTACCAAACTCTCAAACCATATTCGAACAAAATCATATTCTATGAGTTTATTTTTATATTTTGTAACGGCGACGATTTACGTTTAGACTATGAAGAGGAGTCCTCTGAACCCGAATCATTATTTTGAACCTCACTTAGATTTTCTTCACTTTCAACTATCAAAACTGCGGCGACTGTCCCAAAGATTGCGAATACAAAAACTACGTCCGCAGCGTGGAGTACGCCAAATATCATCAACCCATCCACAAGTTCCTCTTTCTTAAAGACCAGAATTCACTTATTCTTAGAACCTTGGAAGGCTTCAGAAGCCAAGAAGGCAGTAAAGGTATCGACGTCGCCGCTTTTCAAGTCTTCTTTCCAACATTGACTTCGACTGTTCACAAAGAAGAAGAGGATTACACCGCGCAGCAGTTTTTCTCCGAGCTTGGTGGTGCTGCTGGACTTGTTCTGGGCATTTCTCTGATTTCTATAATTAGGAAAGGAATCTAATTCAGAAATCATAAAACTTACTTTTCTTACTGATTATAGAATGTTTTGGTCGATGAAGAGTTAGACTTAGTCACAGGACCACGATCTCATAGTTTTTTGGCCTATGGAGTCTGCCTTAAAAATTGACATGGAATAAATATGAAAAAAATTCCCTCTCAGAATGATTGATTACTCCATCTCCCTCACGGTGGAAAGAATAATCAGTGCTCAGAATATGATCCTGGAAACGTTCCAAACCGACGGCAAAAAAGTCTCTTCCCAATCAACCCAAGTTGAACCCCTCTACATACCGACTTCTGCAATCAACGAAGACAAGGGATCAAAGATTTTCTCACTTAATTATTTGATATGAAACTCGAAAAAATCTTCTCTCAGGCCGGCGTTTTTCAATGTACCAAAAGTATTTGCAGCATACGAACCCGTCTCATTTCAAAAAAGATGAACCAAAGTCATTATTCGGCCTTTTCCGCCAAAAAGAAAAGAAGATCAAGAGCCACTCGAGAGGGAGCCAGGCGAATATTTTTTATTTTGAAAAAGCATGATGATAAAATAAACGAATATTTATGTTTCTTGAATTGTGTGGCGTCCCTTTCTTTTCATAGAGGAATAATAATAGTTGTCGTTAAAAAAACAACAACTGTCCGATTCTTTGCGAACAAAATTGTAACCCTCAGTAAAGGCGTTTGATACAAATGAACTATTGATAACACATAAATTGGATCGTGAGAACTAAACCGGTCGCCTATCAAATCTGGTTTTTGAAAGATATTTCTCATTCCTTGAGTCAAACCGAGACCATGAGGATTTTTCTTTTATGTCTTCTTTTCCGGAGGTTCGAAGCTGATTCAAGAGCAGAAAGAATGGAGAGAGTTGTTTCACGATTTTATACTGTTTGGCACTCAGAAGAATTCGACAAAGATGAGGTAATCTTATGAGCTGTAAGGAAAAATGGATCGTTTGACAGGTTTCTGCTGTTTTGAATGAAGTGATTGCCGATTTTGGAATCAAGGATGATATTTTGTTCACCGACCTGTCTTCCCATAAAGTGGCAAACGTCAATATTTCGAACTATGACCTAGAGGAGATCTGTTCTATTGGAAAAGTTCGATCAATTACCAAACGACAAAGATAGGCTTTTCAAATAATTTTCTTTAAATAAATTTAAAGATCTAAAAAGCCCTAAAAGAACTGAAGAATCATATGATTCATATGAAGGCAGCGACGATGAAAGCAGTGACTTCATTTTGATTAAGCCAATTTATTCTGACCAGACGGGTTTCCAGGAATATCTTCGAATTTTGGGAAAATGTGATCTACGCTTTCTAGAGATCATCATTAATATTACGAGTGGTCGATATTCTTTTGAGAATTTTAAACCATTTCCGGATATTCGTGGAAACCCCCTGGTATTCATCTGGTGACTCTTCCTTTGATGATGAGGACTCTTTTTACTTTATTGAGGGAGAATACAGAAGAAGGCCACAACTGAGGCATGATGAGGACGTCAACAAACCAATAAGTCAACGACAAACTACAACTACAACCTCAACTACGAATACACCTACGACTACAACTACAACTACGACTACAACTTCAACTACAACCTCGACTACAACAACTACAACCTCGACTACGACAACGACTACGACTACAACAACGACAACTTCGACAACGACAACGACTACGACTACAACAACGACAACCTCGACTACGACAACGACTTCAACTTCTAGTACAACTACAACTACAACCTCGACTACGACAACAACTACGAGTACAACATCAACAACAACTACAACTACAACAAAAACGACAACTTATATAGGTGCATGCTCGGCACTTTTAGAAAATCAACGGAAAAAGCGAGACTCTTACGCAACTGAATTCAAAAACGAGATCAAGATCAAAGTCATCATGCTTACTATACAGCTGATAACTAAAACAAAACTCGACAAATCAAGCTTTGCTGAAAAAGCGGAAGAAAAAATGCGAGGCTCAGGATTAAAGCTTATTAAAATGGTTCCATATGATCCAGACACAACTCTTTTCTTTTGGACTCAACAATGCTTTCTTCTTGCGACAATTTCCTGCAGCATTGCTTTCGTTTTTATCAACACAAGAAAGAATGGGAAGGTTTCAATTTTATCTTCGTTGATTTTCGCGCTGGTTCCAATCATCGAAATTCTTCCTCCTGTTTTTGTCTGGTACGAGTATAACACTGTTTCCGAACTCGCCGTCGACCCTGTTCAATGGGTTTCGTTCTCGCTGATTATGTGTGCATCAATAAAGCTTCTAAGCCACGTAATAACGATTTATCTGCTGACGAGAGGGAAGAAAAAAGAAGAAAGAACGATTTTGATAAAAACATTCAAAATAATAGTGGAGCATAAAATTCTTGACAGCTTCTTTTTGAAAGCCTTCGAGGTTTTGCTTGTGTATTTTTACTATTCAAGATTTCTGGGTGAGATTTCTGGTACTAAAATTTAACCATAATTTGTTTTAGTGCATGGAAGCCCTGTTTCAAATTCGACGTATATCTCGCTTCTCTGCTCATTCGTCACTTACTTTCCGAAGATCATCCAAGTCATGGTGCAGGTACTCAACAGAGTTCTGAAAGCTGGCTGCGTCAAGAAAAATATCGAGTTCGCAGACGATCAAAAAATGATTGAACAAAAAGGAGCGTATCATGGTTGGGCTCCGCTCGCTCAGAGAGTATTGAAGTTTTTGCTCAGTTTAACAAAAATATCAATCGGTAATTGATTAATCAAAGTCATTCTAGTTATTTATTCTTAGTTCTTTGCGCCTTGTTGATCTCACTGAATGATTATATCATTGACTTCTGCATTGAATTCAATCAAGAACATAAGATGGACAACAGCATTTGCGCGCAAATTGATGATAACTCTTTATCAGTAAGTAAAATTGTATCAAGAAGATTTCATCATTTTGCAGGTTCTGAAAGGAAGAGTGAAAATTGACGGCAACTGTTTCGAAAAGAAAATTCTCGAGTCGGATTATCGAACTTACAAGACCATTGTTCATCCCTTCAGAACAGAATGCATGCTCAAAAGTGAGTTTATCATCATGACATTCACGATTGGAATCCTCATCGCATCAACTCTTATTTCCACCGCGATTTTCTTCAATTTGCCACCAGCTTCTCCCGGGAAATTGAAGTTCAACTTTTGTCTCGCGATCAAAGATGAAAGTCAAGAGAATGAAGAAGCAGAAAATTCAATAGAACCAACCGAAATAACTCCACTGAATCCTGACAATGTACCATTACAAAGCTCTTTTAATATGTTTTGGGATGGTCATCGGTTTTTGATTGGCTCTAAAAAGGAGCACAGGCCTTCTCTTGACTAAAATTTTTTCATCAAAATAAAGATTCAACAAAAATGGACAATATTTTTTCGAATTTCTAATTCGTATGTCAGTATTTATTTAATTTACTGTATCACCAGTTTTTGCTGCATTGAAGAATATTCTTGTTGTCGAATATACGTGGCTTTGACGAGTTCTGTGATGAGTTTCTCTTCTTTGTCATCAAGCGGGTTCCTGAGCATTTGTCGGATGTAGTAAGACTGCAAAAAACTCATTAAATCAAGAATAGACCTAGCTTTTACGAGAAATTTTAGAGCGTCTGAATAAATGTGAAAAGACTTCATGAGCTTTTCATAGGATGGGAATAAAAGTCATCTCTTGAGTACTCGCATTTAAGCAAGAGAAAATTTGGAAAAAAGCTGAGATTTTATTAACAGAAGCACGGAAACATGCTCGAATCTCTGCGAGAGTTATATTATCTTTATTTGATTCATTTTTTCTTAAGGATCAGAATGTCGAAAAATTTAAAAACGCGCAGCTAAAATGATATAACTTCTTATAGTCGGGTGGAAAATACACCGGCATCGACCCGAAAAAATTTTTGTCATCAAATTTACGAGGCATTTCTGAAGCTGTGCAAACAGAAACTGCAAAAAATGTTATTGTCAAAGGATTTCTTCTCCCTTTCCCTGGGAACATTGATGAAATACGAGAAGAAGCAAAAACCTTGAAGAGTTTTCGTAAAAATGAGGCTTGACATCAAACCGGTGTTAATGCTCCTTTTTATTTTAAGAACACCGTAATATTGTCAAATTCATTGAATTTATTGACGAACATCGGCCAGCATGGGCACAAGTCAATATGTGTTTCATAATTATGGAAAAATGCGGCGCAGGGAGCTTGGTTGATTGGATTTCTGAGAAGAAACAAGCAAAGGAAAAAACTTCGATAATGGAAGCAACCATCATTGGAGCACAACTAGTCTCTGCCTTAGGATATGTTCACGAGCAAGGGCAAATTCACCTAGACATGAAACCAGCAAATGTTTTTATGATGGAAGATCAGTTAACAGTAAAAAATATATTTTATGTTTGATATTACTTTTTAATAGCTTAAATTGGGAGATTTCGGGACGACGAGAGAATTTAAGGCATTTGCTGAAACAATAACAGCATCAAATTCGTCGACAGAAGGTGTTTTAACGCATACGCCGTGTTATGGAACAGCCGAGCTATATAAAAATGAGAAGGTCCTATTGTCTCCTCGGATCGATATTTGGGGCTTTGGTCTAATCTTACAAGAAGTCATTACCCTTGAACATGCTTTCGGAAGGGTCAAAAACGTACCTACAGATCATTATGACGAGATAAGTTATCTTTTACATGATTCAATATATTAAAAATCTGTCAAGTTTTCAATATCCGTAACGATAAACGAACAAAGCTCTCTTCAATATTTGGATCGAATCATAAATTTGATAAATTTGAAGTTCTTCTGTCCAAATGTCTTAACGCTGAAAAGCATAGAAGACCAAAAGATGCAACAAGATTGATGAGCGAGGAAATTTTCTCGTCATTTTTGACCGCGAACAATAATCAAGAAGAAAAATTGAAGAAAACGATCAATAACCGCAGTCAAATTTGTGAGCCTACAAATGAAAAACAATCAGAGGACATGACAAAATGGACTCTTGCTAAACTCAACAATTTTATCAATACAAATCAAGACGTTAAAATGATGAGGAAATGCAGGGAAGAGATAACCCGAAGACTTTTCCTCCAAGGATTGGCAAAAAGCCCTGAGAGAGTTAATTTTTCATTATGAAGTCTTTTAAATAACAGTTGGTTTCCGAATTTCCGGAGTCCGAATCTGGACATTTTTAAGATTTTAAGGCATCTTAGTGGGACAATTCAAAATCGACCATTGTCCAAATTTCCGGACTTTTTTTCAAATTTTATTCATAAGCCATCATTTTCTCTAATTTAAAAAATCACGGTTAAATTAATTTCTTTTTTTAGGCGCAAGCTGAGCTTGTTCGCGAGGTTGAAGAAAGGGAGTAAAAGTAAGAGTTATTTAGTGGTTTTTCTTACATAATCTCTTTGTATTGAGCCCGTACCAACGCTGTTTAAGAACACTTGGTGGGACATACAATTTTTTCCGGTGACCCAAATTTCCGGACATTTTCTCGGAAATCAGGGGACAAAATTAGTCCGGAAATTAGGAAACCAACTGTAGCTTACTTAAAGAATACATCGTCACCAAAAGAAACTGGTCTTCACCAAAGAGGCCCCCTTGCTCAATCAAAAACCCCGAGAAAACAGAGTTACTATAAGTTTCGTATGGAGGGATCAACCAAAGACTTTTGGTATGCTCATTTTGATGGAGAATATGTAAAGCGACAAATTGAGACATATAGCCACAGTGACGCTGTTACCCTTATTCGCGGAAAAGACAATTCAGATTTATACAACTTGAGTCTTCAAGATACAGATATAAAAATGTCAGTTGCTCTCATTTTCAAATATTATTTTAAATTCAGGAGACGGGGAGCTGAAATTTCTGAGGAAGAATTCGATGAAAAATGGAAATTATATCACAAAAAATAATTGCAATCCTGATCATTTTTCCGCTGATAAAATTATTCTCAGAAATACAGATTGACAATCTGGGATTGTGAATTTTGATTCAAAAAGAATTTTAACAGTGTATTCAATGTTAGTGATATGTATTTACAGGCGATAAGGCATTATAAAAGAAGGAGGTATATTTACTGTATCACAAGCTGTTCTGCATTAAAGAATCTTCTTATCGTCTAATATTCATGGCTTTGATGAGTTCCGTGACGAGTTTTTCTCCCTTGTCATCAAGCGGGCTTCTGAGCATTTGTCGAATGTAGTAAGACTCTGGGTTCATCAAGTCTTGGAGCATTTTTGAGGTCATTTCTTCTTTCTGCATTTCCTGAAATAAAAATTGTCTTTTTTTTCCAAAAAAGCAGAAGCTTACGTAAACTGATTCTTTTATTTCGCTCTTAAGTTGAGCTTGAAGAACGATGGATTCTACTTTCAATTGCTCCTGGACTTCTTTCTCGAGCATCTTGAAGTCTAGTCTTTGTTGATGGCGCTCGGCAAGGAGCAAAGATTTAAGCTCTTCTACTTCTTTGCTTTGCTCTTCGATCTTAAAATTGATACGTTCAGTTCATTTCTAAAATTGCAAGGATGAAAACTTTATAAAATAAGTTCTTGGTCAAACCAATCGGTAATTTCCGTTGTACCGCGTTTTATAATCGCAAGGGTTTGATTATGAGCGAGAAGTGCTGTAGAGTGCGGCCTTCCGTTTCTATTAATATTCATCATGAAAATTAGTCAACATCAAACTACGAGGGAACATATTCTGTTCGAATATTCAAATCTATCCCTCTAAATTAAATTATTGCCCCTATATACCTATAATATGATGTATAAAATATGTTCATTTCATATCGAAATTTCGATAATGCCCACTGATATCCACCTATATAACCGCAACCCATTTCAAATAGATTATTATTGATTTTTTTGAATTCCTTGTAACTTACAGGCTGTCAGCAAAATTCTCTTCTAAAAGTATTACCTTTCGATTTTGAGCGGCGATCAGATTTTGAATTTTTCCTTGTTGGATGATATTCTGGACTTCTTGCAGTGCCATCGTCTTTTTAACTCGCCCTATGTCTTCTGAAATATAGTTGTCGAGTGATTTGTTGTCCCAGGCCTCCAATTTTGCTTCAATTAACTGAAAAAATTTCTTTTTATAAAATGAAAAGGCACGTTGTCTCACCTCAATTTCGTGAAGAACATCATCATGGCCAGTTTTCAACCCCTCTATGTCATCGTCATATCTATTTGGGTCAATGTCCTTTATTGGGTCAACTTCATCTTGAAGCTGTTGGATGGCTTGTTTGAGCTCTTCGATGTCATGGGCACTTTCAGAACTGAAGCTGCATCTGATTCCGACAACAGACTCTGCAATTGCGCCGGGAATTGCTTTTGTCATGTTTTAAAATTAATCCCTAAAAAATTCTTGATTTGCTCTTTTTTCGATGTTTTTTCAAAACAGTCCTGAAATTCCTCGTGCCAGCGTGCTAGTATTATCATCGCTTAGACAACTCGTAGTCATGAGCGCACCGTTTCTACTGAATTGATCTTTCCTTCCATCATCAATAAGTAGAATCGCCGATCTTGCGTTCTCCGCATTTGGGTCGATTTGAGCCTCGAAAGTTACTTTGAAAAATGAATTCAACGAAGTGTCTGGATTTGGAATGTCGGCGAGGCTGATGAATTCAGATTCAGTAATGGCTTCAATGTCTTGAACTCGGAACATTTGAATTGCTGGATTATCGACCTGAATTTTTTATTAAAAAACCCTTCTCTGCCCTCCCCTCTCGCGCTTTGGATCTTTAAAAAGGTGAGAAGAAAACCCAATAAAGGACCCGTTCTTGACGCGCAAATCCTTAATCCATTTTTACGCTTGACTTTTAGACGTCGCGGCCATAATCTCATTCATAACACAAGATGCTGGGCAGATGCGATAAGCATAATAACGCTCTTAGTTGAACTAGACTTCGCCCTCTTACATTTTTATGATAATTCTTACGTATCAACTGGCTGATTCAGACCTTGGCACTTAGAATCCAGCTCACTGCTACTGCCAAGTGGAGCTTTTCTAAAAAAATGCACGACAACAATTGTTATTCAGAGTTCAGCAGCTTGTACTACTCAAGTTCGAACTTTGAAGACAGTCTACGGACCAGAGACGATTAACGAGACTTTACGCAACTCAAGTCCACGTACTTCTATGATGACGCAAATGCATATTAGAACACTGATTTTGTAGAAGAGACTGTAAAAGTTTTTCGCGAAATCCCCTCTAAAGACGCATCCCCGTAAATTATGAGTGTACCTGATTTTCAATAAATCGTTTTGACGCCTCTATATTTTCATCACCAATAATAATGAGCTGCAGCGATGACATAACGAAGAAACCTTCTATGTTCTCTGTCTGTAACTCGTGATGCGACAGAAACTGCGCGGTTATTTCTTCGATTTCAGCCTGAAAAAATACTTCGTTAGCAGAACTGTCTTTTTGGCAGTAAACTTGACGTCAATGTTCAACTTTTCTGTCAAACTGGTAGATTTGAAGATAGTTCTGATGAATGTGTCTATATTGTTTGAAATCAGAGGTTTTTCTCAAGATAAACGTCTGACGTTCTCGATTCAAGAAATTTCTGACACTGTCATGACTCATGAGTCAGCGATCTTTTAAAACTCAATATGTTCGAGGTTAGAAACAACTCTTACACTGACAAATTACAGACTAAGCGCGTCAAATAACCACAACTAGTAATTTCGTTTGACTAGAATACATCAAATTCAGTTTTACTCACCGCTAGGTCTTCGACTTGTTGCTCTAGAATAGCGATTTCTTCTGAAGAAGGTGGATCGACTGGTTCTACTGTCGGTGGTTCTGTAGTTGGAGGTTCTGTTGTTGGAGGTTCATCTGTACATTCTCCATCAGGATAATCATAATTGCAACCCATGAATATCCTCGTGAAGCCAAGATCTTGATGGGAGCATACACACTGTATCGTTTTAGTTTCACCACTGTTTTGTGCTCAGACTTTATCCAATCGATTTAGTCAAAGCTTCATCATGGCTTAGTAAAAACAATCTGTTTAGGCGATGATGAGAACGTGTTGAAGTCAAGAGCGCATATGAGCATGTCAAGTGGCTAGGATAATTTACGGATTAAAAAAGGCTTCAAATTAGTAAAATATTTTCATCGTATCTTTTAATGACTGTTGCGAGCACGGTCCTGGTGCATGAGACTTGACATGTCTCGTCATCGTCAAAATCGCCGGTTGGTTTCGAACAGGAATCTGAAATTGTACCAAGGGGAATATCTGGAAGCGCCACACAGCCCTAAAGAATAAGATAAATGACCATCGATGAGTGTACTGAATATTCCATTTTTAGAAAGCTCAAATTCTTGACTGATGACTACTGCTAAGAATGTTTTGAAAGAAGAATGTCCACGTTTCAAAACGGAAATTCTATTAAATTACCCTCCATTTTCCCCTAATAAAGGAAACTGCTTATACAACTTTGGGAGCGCTTTCTGTTGCCGTTTTCCTGGCTGACCATTGCTTCCAAACCTGACATTCTTTGACGGTTATAAAAAGAGTGTCATAATTTGAGAAGCGATCAGATTAAACTTTGACGATTAAGCTGATCCTTGGTTTATTTCCGTAATCCTCCGTTTTAGAGCCATTGGGTTTTGAGTGCGTGAGGAAGGTCCATTATAGTATTATAACAGGATAATGTCATTTCCTTTTCAACTCATTTTTGGCATCAAAACTACTCTTACCCATAACTTATGGGCCATAAGTCTTACTTATAAGTCTCCTTCCTCTTATATAACGAAAGAAAGAGTAGACATTGTGGCTTTTCTTTTGAAATTGATTATTACTGAAATACAGAAAAATTCAGGGGTCGCTAGAGACAGATTTTTTCTGACGAAACACTTGTTTATGGTTACCCTTGCAAGGCCCCGAAGCTATATCAATAAATTTTACCCGCGACATAGTCTTGCGTTTTTGGTATTTTCTGGTGCATTCTTTCGGGCTATACGATGACGGTCATCGCGTCCACTCAATCATGGTAAATTACAGTCTTGATCTCCCGAGTTTTCAGCGCTAGAATCAAGTCAATCTATCAATGGAATAACATCCCATCTTGACGTATCTTTTTTGTCATTTCGGGAAACAACTCTCCATTCTTTGACAATCTTGGTAACATTCAATTTTCATAATTGAAAAAGTCTCCTTTTATAACTCATGTTTGGCCGTTTACGTGTACTTTTGATGTTAAGGGGCTCTTGAATTTAGAAACGTTGCGACGTAATGATTAGAGCCGAGGATGTTCCGATTTATGAGTGGCTCTTTATAGTTTATACTTGACCTGTGGAATGGATTTTAAGGGTTGGTACAACAGTAAACCTAGCTTTCTGCCACTTATTTTCTCACAATTAGCCAGTAATTCCCTTATTTTGAATAAATTTATATACATTCAAAACGATTTTTGGTAGAATTAGTCATCTTTATGTATAAAAGTATCCGATTTTATTGTCAAAATTGTCAGAAAAATTGAAAATTTGAGCTTTTTTAAGAAATGTGTGAATTTCGTCAGCTATTTTACTCAAGAAAACCGCTGAAAACCTGCTGACAACGTGAGATTCAACATGTTTATACGGATGTCAAACAATAACGTCATTTTTGAGTTCCAGAAAGAAGATCGAAAAGCCTAAAAAAACGGTATCTCCAACGAAATATGGGGATTAAATGAAACCGAGGCGACATTACGAAACACGCCTCGGCATGTGATTATGGTCGAGATTTACCAAAAAACTTTAATTTGAAAACGAACCGGCGGTAGCCTTCCCTGGCCATATTTTATTCTCAGGAAAGAATTATTCAGTGGAACTTACGTTTTTGTTTTGACTGTTGAAGTTGACCGTCGTACTTGTTTTTGCTGTACTTCCATTTATTGAAGATGTCCTTGATTTTGCCTTCGAACTACTTGATGAAGGCAAAGCTCTTCCTTTTCAGGGATCGAGTTCTTTATCCTTTTGTATTTGAAAAAGATAGGATCGACAGACAGCAGTGGAGCCTGCAATTTTTTGAATTTAATATTGGATTAAGGCCAATCTACTTATTTCTCGAACCAGACCTGGGTGCGGCACTTTTGATACGTCGATTTCTTGTCCCTTTTTGTCTACAGGTGCAGTTTGACCAAGCGCCGCCAAGTACCATAATTTTTTGTACAGCATAGCTGTTTGACCTTTAAAATCGAGCATGAAAATGAAGATAAAATATGATCTGATACAACTAATGGGTTTGCGACTAAGCATATTTGTAATAAAATAATCAATGATAACTAATCATCCCTATTTATTTGAGTACGTACCATTTAAAAGGTATTGTTTATTCACTAACTATTGAATTAGAAAGCTCTGTCAGCTCAAGCTTGACAAAAAGGACATTCTTTCAAAAGCAGCGGAAATTCTTAAGCGCAGAAGTCACAGAAGAACTGCAGATTTCACCAACAACCCATCCCAATGAAAAAAAATCAAATGGAGCAGTTGTCAAATCAAAAAGAAATATGATTTCTATTCAATAGCGTGTTAGAATCAATTTATCATATAAAAAACATTGAAAAATCGTTGATTAATTCTCCGAAAATTGGACGAAATCTAGATTATCCGTGTTGTATTCCGTAATTATGAGTTGGCTTTTCAGACATTTCATGTTTTATGATGCAACAAGGTCCAACAAGCGATCCTAATCGTGGCAACTCCTTCAGCGAATGAGCGCGCGGTTTCATAACCTTTTAGAATGCCCTTTTTCTAAGAAAATTGAGCGTTTTCATTTCCGCAAACTTTATTCTTGTGGTTTCAGAAAATTAGCAAATTCGACTTACAATTATTTTCTTTGAAATATTTCTTCTTTTATTTCTCTTTTTGTATTTTTCTCTAAAGCTATTTTATGAGAACTTATTCGTTTGTATGCCAAAAAAAGACTGGAATTTTGATCGAAAAGAAAAAAGTGCGATTTGTTTATTACTGGTTTTATTCAATCAACCATTTGCTCAATTTCTCGAGTCCTTAACGTGGCTCACTTTCAAGTTGCTACGTAAGAGATCCCGAAAGCTGAGCGAGGGCGCCCTTACGAGAACGCGCGGTTAGGTTCATGAAACACCTTCTATCAGCAAAAAGGACCATCTCTTACGTGCCAGCGCCACTGCTTCTTGAAAGTGTGCGTGCGAAGAACGTTGTGGCACATAACTCAAAATGAATTCATTCCAATTTTTGATTCTTAATTTCTGTAAAAATGGAAATATTAAACAAAAATTTCCAGGGGTCTAGATCAACTGTAACCAAAAACCATGAGTCAGTTTCTGAAAGCTTAAATTAATAACCGCGAAGCGGCTTTTTTAAAACGAAGCCGCGAAGCGGCTTCGCAAATATTACATTATTATCTATGAAATATTCTGGCGAAGCCGCATAGCGGCTTCGTTTTTGCAAAAAGCCGCTGCGCGGCTTTTCATTTTAGCTCTTTAAAACCTGACTCAGGTTTTCTACACAGGACTACTCGATTAATCAACCCGTTCTGCCCGTTGAAAATCAATATAAATTCGTGGAAAAATCATTGAATAAATAAAAACATGTTGAACAAGATGAAAGTCACGAGAGAACTTCCAAAAAGAACGGCCAAAAAGTAACGTGAGAGTTAATTATAGAGCCCCTAGAATCGAATATAATGTTCCACTTCTAGGTGTTGAGCGATTGACATTTTTGGATTTGATGCGCCTTTTTCTGATCGCGGATTAAATCCCGAGCTACGAATTTGGCGCTTGACCAACGAATACAAGTGCATCTGCCAAATTGTAAAAAAGGAATAAATGAAGGGCTGTAATTATCGTATGTTTCATCGAAATTGAATTTCGAAGGATTTGTTCCTCGCGAAAACATAATGAGAATATTCGCACCTTTTTTGCTTTCCCATCTGCGCTACCCAAAATAAAGCAATATGGGTTTGGCAAAAATATCATGGAGTCCCATTCAGAGAATCCAGAGCTCGACAAACGGTGAAGTAATCCTGAGTCAGGATTATAAAAAAAGCCGCAAAAACAGATAACTAGAAGTTAATTCTTCCTTTAATTTTTGAATTCTGGCGAAGCCGCTGTGCGGCTTCGATTTGAAAAAGCCGCAAAGCAGCTTAAGATTGCTAACCTTAACCCTAACCCTGATTCAGGTTTTCTACACAGGTTGTCGAGCCTAGGGCAAAATTTTTCTGCCAAAAAATTAAGCCTTTGAAAATTGAAATTCCTGTTCTCGTCGAAAATAAATGTAAATTTGCACCATGTTGCGCGGTACTTGATAATTAATAAAAGAACAAAAAAGAGCGAGAGTTATGAAAAAATAAGGTCATTTGAGGTCCCTTTTGTCTGAGGCGGGAGAATCGAGTTTATAGCGCTCGAAATGAATTTAGATTTGATTAGTAAAATTTACGAGAGGAAGCGAAGAAAGCGATGGAAGGGTCAAGAGACAGTTTTCTTACGTCAGGTTCGTTACAGTAGTCGTGCAAACGTCTCGAATACGTTCGTCTGCTCTTTGAGATTTACATGAGTTCACAGGGTCAGAAAGGTCATTTACCATGAAGCAGGCATTTTTTATTGATTCTATTAAATAAATATATATTTATATTAAATATATTTATTCAATTGAAATATTTTAATTGAGTATTTTGAAGTAAGAAATAAGTAGGCCAAAATTCAAAACATCAATTTGTTTTTGTTTAAACATGCTCTTATATGTACTTATAATTAGAAAATTCGGAGCGTACACACCCATCTCGAAACTCATGCGATATTTGTTCATAATGACCTTGCCGAAAAATCCAAAATCTGCTGACCCATTTTTTGTTTTATCGAAAGTCAAACTTATTGACTGTCTATACTTGGTAAGACTTGGGAAATTCTGGTTTGAGCCGCAAATATTAGTGACATCGCAGTAAGATTTTTGTTTTCAGTGTGTTCAAGAAAAGGAATAAAAAATAAAAGTAGGTAAAATAAGAGCTAGTAGGACCTGAAAATCAGCGATTGAAACGAGTATGGTTTTTTGCTTTATCCCTCGCTTTCGAATCCATTTGTTAGAAGGGCAGAAGGAAGTCGCATCTTAGTCTTATTACAAGATACGGAGATTTCCTTTTCAACTTTTGGTTTGTCGACAAAAACTACTGACTTTCAAGAAGTCGCAGGGTTTAGTTATATCAAATGATTATGGTACTCTATTCTCCGTGTAATCTGACAATGACTTCTCTAGTATCAAGAATTGTTATTCACAAATGGCTTTTAATTAATGATCAGGGATCGTATGTCTCCAGTTTTGACAGATCGACAGAACGTAGACATGAATAATAAAGGTTCTTTATTTTATTAAAACTGGCCCTTACTTATTTTTTACTTTGGCAAGATAAGAGAGGATAATTTTGCCCGTGGGAAAACCTGAAAAACTCCTTTGTTCAAAATTTTTATTATTTCATTTTTCCGTGTTTTTGCTCGAAATATCGTTCCGATCTCCCAGCCGAGATTCAGCGAACAAAGAGTTTAAGAGGTTATGAACTTCACTATTTTTTCATGCGGCCGATTTAGTGTTCGTGATCCAATTCCTGCCTGTTACGAATTGTTACGCTAGAATATGATAATCCAATTTATTTTAATATAAAAGTCCGTGAAAATCAAGTTTGGCCAAGTAAAAAACCGACTTTTTAGAATTTAAAAATTTCAAATTCAACATTTTTCAAATTAAGACGAAGCAAAACAAAAGCGTGAAAAGATGAAGGCTTCGACAGTTAATGCAGTCTCGCTATTTTTGGGAATGATCGAAATGCTGCTTTTCGCAAATATTTTCTACGGCTTTCCCTTTATTCAAAAGATTTTTGAAGAAGAAAAGGTTTACATGAACGAAGTTTGCTCGCCAGGTAGAACATCATTATTCTCCTCGAAAATGACCAAAAATTCAGATGATATTGTCAATGGCACGTATTGCAAAGAAGCAAAGCTAGAAATCGGCAAAATTTGGACGTACGGCGTCGTTTTCTCCTGCACCGGTCCGCTCGTTTTTGGAACGCTTGTGAACGCCATTGGTACTTCTTGGACTAGACTTATCGCTGGAGGTTCTGCTACCGTGGGTCTCTTACTGATGAGCTTCTACAAAACTTATTCTGCCCTCCTCCTTCCCGGAGTTATCTTAGGTGAGAAAAAAATAAACGGAAATAATTCTCATCGTTGATTTCAGTTGCTTTCCCATCAATTGCCTGGATCATGCTCAACACTTTCATTTCGCCAGTTTACAAGAAAATCACTGTCATTCTCATCGTCATCATTCCTGGTTTGATCAATTCTTCCGCTACATCAATGCTCATCGCTAAGAAATTATATGAGTCCTCAAATGGAGAAAGTAAGTCTTTTGAAACAAATTATCTTTTTGATCGCTTATTTAATCCTAACCCTAACCAAAATTCGCCATTTAACCCTTTTAAATTTCTTCTTATAGTTGGTTTGGAAACTGTTTTCTCCCTCCTCTGTATCCTATCAATCCTGATCCACATCCGAACTCTCTTCTTGATGCCATCCCGCCCAATTCCGAAAAACATTCATGACAACTACAACTTGTTCAAAGAATCCCTCGTCATGAGTTTCTGCAAAAGCACGGTGAAGACAGAAAAGATGGAAAAGCCAAAACGACCTTCTGCCAGCTCACATTTGAAATTTTGCAAAACTGGGGCATTCCTGGTTTACTTGGTTTACTACACCATCGTCACTTTCAGGTAAAAGATAGCCACGAAATCATGTTTATTCATGGATCCGTTCAGAATCAACACCATTCGTGGCTGGATGACAACCTGGATTAAACATGCATACGAAGGAGTTAAGACCAATTGTTCGACAGAAGAATGCGTTGCCGAAGTCGATGGGACAATTTCTTTCCTGATCGATATTAATGGGTACGCTTACTTCTCTCTTGCCCTGATTCCGCTTATCCCTGCTTTTATCATCAAAGCTATTGGCAACTCATACCCCGAGGGATACAAATTTGGAGAACTCAGAGCCAAGGTAAACAAAAATTCAAAGAAAAAAAAGTTCCCTTTCAAAGTTATGTAATCCGCATGAATCTCTTTAAAAACTCTACAGTTCTTTTAAAATTCTCTTTTCAGCTCGGAGGCATGATTTTTATGATGACATTTTGCGCTGGCGTCTCTTTGTTGTGCTCGTTTTTGATGACCCTGACCGTCTCTTCCGCAGATTCATACATCCTCGCCATTTCGAACATTGCTCTGTCCGTTTTTATCGTCCCGCTTCATTATTCAACACCTTGGCTGGTAAAAATCATTATTTATTTTGCCCTTTTAAACATTTCTTAGCTTCTTTTCTCCTACTTCCCGCCGCAGTTCGTTCAATTCCTCTACGCTCTCATGACGATTCCCTCCATCCTCGTCTCCTTCCTCAACACTCCTCTGTACAACATGATCCTCGGGGAAGAGGACTCCATCAACTTTGGCCCAGTTTCTCTCTACCTCGGTCTTTGCTCAGCGCTTACGTGGATTTGCTCCGTCTACCTTTGGTTCGACTCTCGAAAACTGATCAAAAAGAAAGAAGAAGAAGAGAAGAATACTCTCTATTCGCCCGAAAAGAATCTAATTGACAGTAATCGTGATGATGAAGTCGTCAAAGCCTGAATCATCATAACATATTCCTTTTCTATTTATTGTCTTATAATAAATGTATATTTCTTTATGTATCTGATATTGACTTATTAAAATAACAAATTCAAGGCTTTTTACAAGTTTATTTAAACTCATACTCATGGCTTTTGTCAGGTTTACCGGGCGAGTAATTTGTCAGATGTCGGTTTTCTTTCGATCTCGGCGAAATTGCAAATGCCCATAATATGTTAAGAATCAAGCAAAGTCCAAAAATGATGAAAGGTGTGATGTTAATAAAAGGATCGACGCCTCTTACAAATTTCATAAGCAGGTAGGTTCCGACGAGGAATGAAATATGCTCGAAATGAATAAGAACTGTATTGAAGATTCCCTAAAAATTATAAACAAAAATCAAAATCTGTGGATTACCAAAAAGCGAGAATCATCATCCAAATCATAGTAAAGTATCTTCGACAGCGAGTTCATCTTTTCTTCCCGAGGATTCTTGAGATTAATAAGGAATAGAGCGAGTAAATGAAACAAGATTGGAAGCCCAAATCCAATAAATATCCCGAGAGATCCCCATATCTCATCGATTTCGTTCAAAGCAAAAAGGAGAAAATAGGCTCTTGTGAAAATTTGCAATAGAAACTTAAAATAATTAAACAATATGATTCAAGTCTTGACAAACCATAATAAAAATATATCCAACACGAAAGGCACTCAATTTGTTCTCATATTGTAGTACTTTCTTTTTTGTCGTGATTGCCCAAGAAAGAGATAAAAGAGAAAAATATAACGACATCACATGCAAGAGAACGTCAATAGCATTTCCTTCTTTAATTGGCTCACAATAAAGATTATCCGGTTTAACGGGGTCTTCGGGCCTTTTGCACACATTCAGAATATGAAATTGTAGAAAAAGCTACACAAAATTTATTCTTATCGTTATAGTGGAAATTTGTATACCTGAGGAGCAGATTCAAGTGATGCTATAATGAACTTCACACTCATTAATTCTTTCAGAGCATTTAAGTCCTTTTTTGATTCACCATTTTTCCAAATTTGATAAACAGGACCCATTAAAACACAATGAAGAAGTTTAACCAGAAAGGATCCTCTCTCCTCTTCCGTCAAATTTGTTGATTGATAAGATGAAATACCAGATAAAATCCCAGCAAATAATACGATTGTAATTGTTATTGATCCCCATAAGTAATTCTCCGTGACAAAATATTTTATTCCAAGATAAATATCGGATCTTAAAAACTTTAAATAAAGTTATCTTTCGCCGCTGTTTACCCGAAGTCGAGAATGTAAAGGGCAATCGCAAAACACACTTTCGCAGTCGTCAGGGCATTTCGATTTGATCGAGTAAGAAAAACAAAAAGCGTCAGAAAAGATAATATAATAAAGAGTGGCATGAAAAGATATGATTGACTTTTTTCCATCAAAAAATTATTGATCCAATTTTTCTTGTTACCATAAATACTCTGGTAAACCGCGTAAAGTTCGTCCTTTGGATCAATCGGTTTACAGTAGAGATCTGCATCTGTTTGATTGTGCGGAATATTTGGACATCTTCGCCCAAGAGGGTCGATGAGAAATGGCAAAGCAGCTCCACTTCCCCTTGGACTATCATCGTCATGCACATACCATGAATGAACCTGAATCCAACCATCGTCGTAATAAGGAAATAAAGCCTCCTTAGGGCTTGAGTCCACTCGGACTCTGCTGAGTCCTCGTGGATAATGGTGTACTCCCTGTCTTTCTCTAATAATGCTGGCTTCTGCTGGATAAAAAGATATTGTTGTTTATATAGCGCTTTATTAGACCGATGTTGAAGGTCTTTGTTAATCAGATAATAACTGTATAACTTGATAATAAGCTGATAATAATCTGATTATAACTTGATGATGTTGACAGTGAAGTACAGGCTTTATATAGTCAGTGAATGGTGGGGGTACAGAGTAAAGTGTCGCTGTTGAGTGACTTATTGCTGCCACCGGAAGTGGACAGGAGAATCTGACAATAGGATCAGGATGAAGCTGGAGTTGTGATAGGCGGAAGCGCGCGCCGCGGGCCGGATGTGATAAGGCGGCGGGCGTCCATTGTTATTATGATCTAGATGACTCCTGATGTTATGAGTCATAGGAAAGGAATTCGCGTAGATGGGATTAAGTGGCAATACGTCGAATACAAACGTAGAATACCGTGTGCCAGACCGTGCCATGATACTCTCTATTTTTTTCGATAATGTCACTTTTTACGCCAAGATGCGTTTATTTTTATGTACCTTATTGTTATTTCGGTGAAAAGAGTCCCACTTTATTTTACAATCTCATCGCCTCACCGACCTCATTGGCTAGAATTTAATTTGAGAATCATGAATCTTATTCATAATACTCGACCCAAAAATAGGCACATTTAAATATCTGTCCCGTTCTAAGTCCAGAATCTAAAATAAGAGCACTTGTCAAACCAGCCCCTCAGAAATCGCCGCTGAACGCGATTTAGTCAGGATCGAGGCATATTAAACGCGTCGGACGTGTGGTATAAACTTACTTTTCACGAATTAGTCTTTGCATATATTAATATTGCAAGAAAGAAGGCCGTTTGGCAGGATTTGAAGAGTTGATATTATCTTTTTCAAAATAAGTGAAAGCAGTGAACATGGACTTTTTGAAGCTTTTAGGCATTTTTGTTGCAGTTCTTTCAGGTAAAAAGTGACTAGGGCAAAATTTACCGTACTTACTGTAATCATTCATACTTAGGGGAAACATCTGGAGAACTAGTGCAAAAAAGATGGGGAGAAATCAACCCTTGGTACTCTAGAATGCACTCTCTAACAAAAAATGGCAGAAACACGAACCGCTATTTCCTAAATTCTTTCATTCTAGGTTTTATTTAAAAATTTGTCAAATTTCGCGATATATAAAACCTTGATAAGAACTCAATTCGTCAATTCGAAGAACCCAAAAGCGAAGTTTTTCTGAAGCTCCCAAGAATAAACCAATCACAAGAATAGACATAATCTCTCCTTATTTCTTCCGTGACATAATTACAAAAATATCTTTTATTCAATCAAACACTAAAAATATATCATCGCCACCGGCATTTTCTTTCATCATATGCTGATTGCAACCATTTCATAATCACATTCACTTTTGCGAGAAGAAGTAGCATCGAGAAAAAAAATTGAGAGATGAAAAATATTATCAGCACAATTTTTGTCGCTCTCGCAAATGGAGAAAAATTCGGATCATCAGAGGTTTCAAAGGACTTGAAATTTGGATGGGACCTGAAAAATGTAAGTTTTTTCTATCGATAAAATGAAAAATAAGGGTCTTCTTCACCCATTGAAAGGACATTTCTTCACAAAAAATTCTAGAACTGCGGACCAAGGCCTCAAGGACCCCGCTACCCAGAACCTCCGGTCGCCTCCTCCGGCGACCCAAATGAAAACAAGTCATGTGACATCATCACCGATGCTCAGTACATTTCTGGTTACAAATGCGAAGCGCCTTGCCAAGCAGATCAGGAAATAGTCGTCGAAATCAACTGCAACTGCCACACTTCGATGGGTCCCCTGCAGTTTATCAAACAATGCGAGTGGGAATTCGTCGACGGAAAGAAATGTCCTTCTTTGAAGGTAAAAATCATCCATGCTTTCATCCTCTTATTCCTCGATTTCAGCCTTTTCAAAAAGAATTCGACTGGGAGTGCGACCCAAGATTTCACAACTGCCCTGGTCCTCAGTACAGATCGGTAAACCGCGGCCCTTTAGCTTCTCCGAGACCTGCAGTTCAATCAACCAGGGACAGGCCTGCTTTTCAACCAAAAATTGCGGACCGTGGTCAAAGGGTCCCAACCGATCAAGAGGAAGGATCCCTCAAAATTGAGCCAATTGGTGATCATGGAGACCTAATTACTCAGGTACTTATTTCGAAATCGAAATAAAAAGATGATAAAACTGGCTTTAGAAAGAAAAAGTTAATGGAACGACTTCAATCACGAACATCATCGATTTTGCCCCAGTCTTCTCCAAGCTCTTCCACGGTCTCGAAGAAGGCGAAAAAGGAGAAACCGAAGAATACAATCAGCCTCGAAAGCGATCTCTCCGAGACCACTACGAGTCAGAATACCCAGATTACGACATGAACTACTACGGCGATTTCTCCACGCAGAACATTTTCAAGCAGATAACCAAAGAAAGCCTCAATGTCCAACGAAGAGTAAGCCCATTTTGATCTCCTTGAAATTGATTGAAAAATTCTAGCTCGCTCGAACAATTGCTCAACGAAATCACCTGCGTCATGTGAAAGAATCGTTGACTAAAAAGCTCGAGTCGGTTCTTGATCTCGTAACAGAATACGAAGGTTCTTCCGGAAATGAAGATTTAGCGACTTTGATTGCGGAAATTCAAGCGACCTAAAACTGATGAATCCTTTTCTCATTGTACATTCATTTTTTGTCAGAATTAATAAATATTCCTTTTGAAATATAAAATACGTCATCATAAATTTGAAATAATTGTTGAATTCATTTTTCCTGAACCTCATCATAAATTATATTGACTGCTATTACTCGTTACCTTTCACCTAAAATAAATAACTCAATTATTAGGAAACCTGTAAATTTATATTTCATCAAAATGACCAAAGGTTTATGGTGTTCATATCCGACTAAAACTCGCGTGACCTAAAACGCTTGCTTTACAATCCAAAAATCGGTTGGATTTGTCGGCTCGTTAAGAAAATCCAGGTGCTTGTTCCTCTCCTCTTCTCTCTAGTTTTGATAAGAAGTCTGCGCCAAACCTGCGCCGGTATCGTTGCCCGCGGCGAGCCTCGTCCCTCCTAGCGCAAGTACAAAACATTCGATTTCAAAAGCCCAAAATACACCCAAATCTCACAATTTTTTTAATAATGAGTTGATAAGAGAATAATTTTAGTAATCAGAAGATAATTTAATAAAGAAAATGCCGAAAAATTATATAATGATGATGCCTAAAAAGACGAAGAAAAAGAAGGAATGTGTTTTTTATTCTAAAAATTAAGCCGAAACCTGATTTAAGTATTTTATGCGCGAAATTTGACTAAAAATTTTTTGAAAATCTACATTTTTGGAATTTTTTTTATGTCTGCAAGAATAATTTTGAGCATTTCGGACCAAAAAATTAAATAATTTTTTTTATTTTAATTTAAAAATTTCTTTAATTTTTCACTCAAAAATTTTAAGAAAATGAATTTTCATGAAAATTTATAAGAAAAACACAGAAAAAGCGTGAGCATCCCGATTTTATCCGTTGGATGCTGAATCTCGTTGTCCCCTTACTCACGCTCTTCGGTATCCTCAACCTTGTTATCTCCGGGGAAGCAATAGAAGGCTTCTTTAGCTATTTCAAAGACAGCAGTCCGGGCGCTGCGACGAATTACGTTGGCTCAGACGGAATTATCATCCATGGAAAAGCGGCTCCGGCGAAAACGGACACCCAAATCGACCCGAGCAAACTTCAACCTGTCGTTCAAGAGCTTCTTCTCAAATCACAACAGACGGGGCAAGATCTAAATCTGAACAATCAACAATCCGATTACGAAAAACAGCTTCAATACCAACAACAGCAGTTCCAGCAGCAGCAGCAACAGCAACAGGTTCAAAACCCCCCTCAATATGGCCAAATCGGCTCTGGAAATGCAGCAAATATACTCAACTCAATGACAGAGAGAAATCTGCTGGATCCATCGCCGATTAAAATGTCCCAATTTCGAGAACTCGGAGCTGATCCGGAAAATGACCTGGATGAGACAAACACAAACCAGGATGATGATTTCCGACCAGGGCTGGATTTTGATAACATGCAGTTTCCAGAGTCCTCGAAGGTTCAGTCGCATGAGTGTCCCAATTTGGACGGGCATGACTGGAGCGAGAATATTCAGCCGAAATACGAAAGCCATCCGTGGAGATTTCTCATGCCAGTGCTTTACTATGGCCCGAATAATCAAATCCACGGCCTTCGAGAATCGATCATTCTAGCGATTAAGCTCAATAGAACTCTCGCCCTTCCTCCTTTCCACAAACATGCATCTCTCGTCGCAGAGAACACGCCTTTCTCAGACCTGGTTGAAGCGACTCATAGAATCGACGAACGAGCGTTGAGACATCTTGTGAAAATTGTCCGACTTGATGAGTTGAGGCAAAAATGCGGAACGTGGTTTGGAAATGCGTTTTTGACCAGACAGTTGAGCTGCCAGCCGAATATGTTCGAGCGACTTTTCTCGTTTGAATACTACACTCAGGTTCGATCCTTATTTTCTTCAATGATAGTATTTCTATTCTAGATCCATCTGCTGAAATACCACACGTGGGAAGATTTCAAAAAGAACCAGGGTGCCAATTGCGAGCTGCTTCATTCCCCGTCTCTTCCTCCTCAAACAGCTCTTGCTGATAAAAGGGCAATTCAACTCCCAAGGAGCGTTTTGTCAACAAATTTTCATCATGAAGATCATTTTCTTTTCTTATGTTCTTTGTTAAAAAACGCAGAAAAGCTCGACAGAGGACTTGAAAAAGATGTATTTTTCGAACGAAAGATGCGCCGCGCTAGTTTTTCCGTTCAAAAACTTCAATTTCGATCCGATCGTTCTCAAGGCGCAGGGAGATAAGCTCACGCCAGAAATGAGGAGCTTGATGGAGGATGTGATTAATGCCACTCCTCGGCCTCCTTACATCAAGGTAGTTATTTAATAACATGAAAAGGGGTTGTTAAATTGAGTTTGTTAAGGACGTCGCAACGATGTTTATCGACGAAGTAATTCGACAAGGGGATTTTATTGGAATCCACTGGAGATACGACCTCGATGATTGGATGACTATCAATTGCAAGGTAAGGTCACCAGCTTGCTTCTTGAATGCTCATATTGTAGGATGGCGTTCAAGGCTTCATGGGACAAAAATGTCAACAGATTCACAGCGCAAGAGCTGACCCGAGCATTCTTGCTAGAGGAGTCGCCAAAATCGTCCAATATCTTGGAGAAAAGGGAGCAACAAGGTAAGAATTGATTGTTTTCTATTCAAAAAGGGTCGTTTTTAGGTCGAAAATTGTATATATTGCTACGCCGCTCGCAGAAGAAGATATGATCGAGAAGATAAAATTATGGCTTGAACAAAATTCATCAATAAAGGTATTAATTAATACAATTATTAAAATACAATATGTATGTATTGACACCGGACTTTCCCTGCTTGTTGCCTACAGATGATTTGTAGTTTGTTAAATTCAACTTATTAGGAAATTTTAAATACAAAATTTCTGCAAAGTTTCAGGTCTTATGGTCTCGCCATCTGCAAACTTTTTTCGACCATTTTTATCAAAACTGCGATGTTGTGAACAGAGACTGGTTGGATTTACTCTCTCTTTTGGAACAAGAAGTTGTTTACAGGACCGGGCACTTGAATTTTACTGACGAATATTTTGTCGCAAAAAGATAATCATTAACTTATCATTTCGACCAAGAATATTAAGCCCTGCAACAGAAGTACAGTATTCATCCGATCAGTAGTCTCAAGCTGGTCCCTGAATGTCCAGCTCCAACGATCCGTGGAAAATCGAGACAAATTCGACGTCACAAATTGGCGTCTTCTAGGGACATAATTCTAGAAAAAAAACAACAATTCATATGCAGAATCAACCGCCTCAAGCCATCAAAACCGTATCTATAAGAAAATAATTTGTACAGTCAACATGTACGAACCTTGTAAACTTTGAAAAACAGCAAACTGCTTATATACAGAAAAATGCAACTGCCAAAAACAATCAACCTGTAAAATATTATTTTATTTATCTATTGAGTTACACCAATAATATACTCGAAACTTCTTCAAAATTTATTTCGATTGACAAAATCAGTCAATGCAGAAAATATGTCCATTGCAAGTTCCGGGTCCCAGTAATCTGAAGACTCAGAAGAGTCGGAAGAATCAGAAGAGTCAGAAGAATCTGATGTCGAAGTAGTTGTTGTCGTTGATGTGGTGGTTGTTGTAATTGTGGTGGTAGTTGCATCAGCTTTATTAATTTGAGCAACACAAGTTTCGAACATTCTTTCTGCTTCTGATTTTGCTTGTCTTAGCTGAGAAATTTTCGCATCACATTGAAGCTTGGCTGCATTTTGAGTTGATTTTAACTGTTCCATTTCACTTTCTCTATCTAAGAGCTCAAATCTTAATGTTCGATTGGAACTTCGAAACATAAATAAGACTTTCATTTTTTATAATTTATGTAAAAACTTATGTATAAGCCCGATTCTTGCCGAGGAAGTTTTTTCCAGATCTCTGTATTTTCTTCTACCTGAATTTTTATTAATAATTTTATTTATCTACTTTAAGTATTTATGGTACTTATTCTAAGTTGTAAGACCAAATTATTTATTCTTGTCTTAAATGCGGCGTTATTCTCAGCCAATCGCTCTCGAATAATCCTCTCGATTTCGGGTCTCAGTCTTAAAATTATTGAAATCGGTTCAAAAAGCAGTTATTCTTCTTACGAATCGAGGCTCGGTGTGCTTTGATTATCAAGCTTTGTACAACTGCATTCTCCAACAGCAATTTTCAATTCAGAGCTGAAGGAAGTTTTTCGTCAAAAACTGTCATGAAAATAAGCCCTCCTGTTGATGAACCCCCTACCTGCATTTGTCACTACATTCTTTCGAGGAGCAATTTTCAACACATCCCTTGAATTCAGCATTTGCTTTCTCTTTGCAAATACGTCCACGCTCTCGCACTCGGAAACCAAATCCATCACTCTCGCAAAAATTTTCACAGGAAAAATTTTCGCTACAAATAGCGACATTTTCTGATGAAAGCGTATTTATCAAAAGAAGGAATACTATTCTCAGCATATTTCTTATCCTCAGGAAAAATCATTCTGAGCGAAATAAAAGCGTGTTTATTTGCTCAATAATTTTGGAACTTCCTTCTTTAGTTAGAAAAAAGCGCATTCCTTTTTTAAATTTATTTTCTTGAGACAGTTTATAATTGTTCTTGAAATGAAAAAAACTGCGCTTGTTACCAAGACAAGTCTCTTTCTCCGTGGAGTACAGTAAATGACAGTTTATGTAAGACTTTCTTTGGCAACTTGAGTGTGAGGATTTCGGAATGCACCGTGGTACTGACTTGGTCCAGACCAAACAGAAGATTTTGAATTGCTTGGTTGCGCTAAGAAGATATTACCTTCAACCGGTGATCCATTGAGTAGTCCTGTGCAGAGTTGTCATTAAAAAGGCAACGTTGAGTAATTTGAATCAGTTATAGACAAGCTCTGCCGTTCAAAATGACAACTCTGTTCCTGAAGATCCAACCGCACTTTTGAACGCCGTTGCTGCAACGTGATTGCATCCTTTAGCATTGTAGTCCAAATACGGATCGCAGCAATAGTAGCAAACACTCTCAGTTCCCTTGCCTCGGTGTTGCCATCGTTCAATTGACCCAAATCGCCGATCTCCCCAACCATTTTGCGACGATTTTCCATTTCCACTTTGCGTATCTTCTTCCATCCACGAAAATCTTCGCCAGGAATCGCTAATTGAACCGCTCGGTATTCCGCTAGCATAATCCTGCCACGCCCGGTAGTGGCGGCAAAGTCCGCTTCTGACTTCCGTCTGAGATCCTGCTGGAACATACGCTTCATCTACCAGTGTTGCATTGTACCCGTGATAGAAAGATTTGCCCATAACAATTTGGTAGTTTTGCCATTGCTGTCTTAGACAGCTTAGGGGTTGCTGACAACCCATTGTTACTTTGATCGCGCCATCTGAATTGGCTGGGAAGCCGTTGAGTCGTTCTTGATGATGCCTGGCTTCATCAGCGGACCAAGGAGCGCCGTACTCGAAGTTGAAGTCGTTCTCGTCGTGTCGGATGATTCGCCGCTCACTGATGAAGCAAAAATAGTCCTCACCCTTTTTTCGGATCAAAAATCATGAAAATCAAACAAATTACAAATATTTTGATCCATTTTCCTGACAGTACGAGGCTCCATGTCGGAGTGCATCTCCATTCTGAATCGTGTCCGCCAGACAAGCCGTGTATCCAGCGTCGGTGTCGCAGGTCCAGCAGATTCTTCCGTTCCCAAGGGCTCGAGCAACAGATCCGACTAGTGTTGAATTTCCACCAGATTGGTCAACTTGGGACTTTTGGGTGATCTCTGGGTACCAGTTTTGATAATAGTCGACAGCTGCTAGTTGCGATAAAACAAGACTTATTTCGGCTTAAAAATTCTAAAAACAATTTCTCTTTTTTTGTTAAAAGCCGTTTCCTAAAAAGAAAAAGTAAGCGTTTCATCCTGAATTTTATCAATTCAAAAGGCGAAATGGCGAAGAATGAGGATGGAAACGAGGTGATACGGAGCATGAGCCTTGGTTTGATTGACAGAAAAGTTTACAAACAAATATCTGGCCAACAAAATTTTCAATTAGAAGTTTCACGGCAGTTTAGAATGGAACAAATGACAAATCTGAACGAAAGAATTTATTCGCATAGGGTTTGAAGATAGGGCCTGAAAGTGCGAAGTTAGTGGTTGACCCCGACGGATCAGAATAAAATAACAACCTTGGCTCCTCTCCAAGTTCTTACAACTACTCTAGAAAAGTCAAGCTTTTGCAAATCAGAAGGCAAGCCGATGCCTAATTAAAAAGACGTATGAAAGAGAGAAATGCATTTGTCATTGTCATCGGTGGTGATGAGGGGGTCGGAAAGACCCTCATCAAATGCATGCTTCAGAAGAATCCAGGTATTCGCAATAATAAAAATTGTAAAATTGAAGCTGAATAAGGATCGTATTTTATGTTCGCTGGGCTCGATATGACAAAGCTTAGAAATGCTCTTCGAAAATTTCGAAAGCTTTCCTTCATGTCAGATATTAATTACATCCAGGAAAAGACAATAAAAAACGGAAAATAATTCCTTTCTTATCTTTGCCTTGATTTTGACTTGAAAAGAGCTTTCTTCTGACGACAAAAGCTTCCTGGAAAACCGGTATTACGTAAAAATGGCGGCTGTTGCTTCAAAATTTGAGTGCTACACTGGAATGCCTCTTACAGAGCTTGTACTTGTCTGTACAAATAGCACCAAAAATGATCCAATGAAGGAGCTTGACTTGAGTTCAGCTCGGTCTTTCTACTCACAGAAATGATTTCAGATAAGTTTTTCGCAAGTTCTCTGGACACTTTTTCTGAAATCAACGAAGACAACATCCATTTATCTTCCGATCCTTAAAGCTTTCTACCGACTCGCAGCAAGATTTTCTGTCGACACAACGATCATTTCCGCTCTTTACGATTTATCAGACAAGGCAAGGGTTCAAGCATCAATACTCAATATCATGAAAATTTTTAACGAACCCGCGATCGCCAGCCAAGCACATTATCTGGCCAAGTCGAGCGAGAAATTCTCAACGGCCTCATGGAATCTTCTTTTCGCGAACATCGTCGTGACTTGCGCCAAGTAGCCTTGGTTATCCTCGATGGAGTAGAAATCAATGCAAAGAACAAGCAAGAAAGCATCAAAACCGGCGTTGGAATTTTGGACTTGATCGAAAATCACAGCATCATTGGACTCGCAAGAGAACATATTGGTACCTGGGCCCAGTGTGTTACCAAAGAGACTGCAAAAGCAGTAGAGGAACTTTCCTTTGCGAAGAAAATGTACAATCTCATGGTCGGAAAAGTCAGCAACTTTGTTCAATTGGAATCATTTATCAAAAAAGAAGCGAGCTCTGGAAACAAAAAGGTTGGGAGAAGTTTTCATGATTAAAATCATTTGAATTTAGGTGGAAAAGAAGATTCAGCGGGGAATTTTGAATTACTCGCTGATTGACACGAACAACAATCGTTGGCTTAATCGTGCCAGGTCCATTACTTCAAAAATTTCAAGCAAGACCTCACTGGGAACTGATGACAGCTCATCTCCGGAAGGGCTCCGGAAAGGAAATCGAAAAGGGAAAGCTTATCCCTCTTGAAAGCCATAGGAAATCTTTATATTCAATTAAATAAATTTTGATATGAAGTTAAATGGTTAGGCTTATAATCAAAAATAGAAAAAAACTGATGATTTATGTATGAATCGTTTCCTGTACCAGTTTATGAAGCCTCTCAAAGATTTTCTTTATCGCAGAAGAAGACAACGAAGAATACTCTGATGATGAGGAGCCAAGTTGTCCCCTAGAAATTCGCCGCCACTCCACAGATTTTGCTGGAACTCATCAACGAATTTCGGGATGCAGGCAGCTCAAAAAGTAAAAATATATTCTCTCAGCCATAAATGAAATTTTAGCAAAACATCGCGAGAAATTCTTGAAGCAAAAGCGCCAAATGTAGCGAAGAAAATTATGCGTCAAAATACCATTTCGTAAAATGAATAAATCACGTGCTTTTTTATTCATCCTCTTTTGTTTATATATCATTTTTTGTTGCGTAATTATGTTTTTATAAAATTTCCTTTGTCTAAAATTCGCGCCGCATTTTTTGCTTTCATCCCGATTCTGAGTTAGAAAAATGATTCTGAAAACGCTTTTGTACTAATTTTTAAAGTTCACGATTTAAATTTATTGAAGCGGGAGATTTTGTCGATCGCGCCATTTTTCTTCAAGAGATATTTCTTTCACACAAGAAGAAAAAAGAGACACTGTGCCACACAAAAACACCCCACCCATTTTTGGTCTCCTCCAAAAACAATTTTTTGGGAGTTTGGTCAGCCAAATCCTTTCTCACTCGCCTTGAGCAACTCCAGGCGACAAGAGCCTAAGAAAACTTTTCAGAGAAATTCCTTTTTAGACATTTTTAAAAAGATGTCACTTTCGAATACGATCAAGCGGGCTCTCTCTGCCTCGCCCAAGGTCTTGGCCGCTGATAACCCCAAGTTCTACGCCATGGTTTTGGACTTTACTCAGTCCTCCGCTGATATTCTCGAGAAGGAGCTTCTCAAGCAGAATGAGCTCAAGATCGGTCATGATCTCCAGATGCGGGAGGACCAGGTCAAGGCCATGGAACGAACTGTTGACCAGAAAAAGAAGGTAAAAGCCGCAAAGGTCAATTAGGTTTTATCTTTTTTTTCAGACCATCGAAGGCATCTTCGACTTCATGCTTCCCTGCAAGTCCATCATCGAGACCAACTTCCGAGTTCGAATGGACGACGGTTCCCACAAGGTCTTCTCTGGCTACCGAGCTCAACACTCTCACCACCGACTCCCCACCAAGGGTGGCATGCGATACGCCCCCGACGTCGACATGGACGAGGTCAAGGCTCTCGCCGCTCTTATGACCTGGAAGTGCGCCGCTTGCGACGTTCCCTTCGGTGGTGGAAAAGCCGGTATCACTCTCGACTCGAAGGCTTACTCCGTTGCCGAGTTGGAGCGAATCACCCGAGCCTTTGCTCAGCAATTGAACAAGCACGGTTTCCTCGGACCCGCCGTCGACGTCCCTGCCCCAGACATGTACACTGGTGAGCGAGAAATGGCCTGGATGGCCAACGAGTACCAGCGATTGAACCCAACTGACCTCAACGCCCCTGCCTGCGTCACTGGCAAGCCCATCTCCCAGGGTGGTGTCCATGGTCGAGTTTCTGCCACCGGACGAGGTGTTTTCCATGGAACCGATCTTTTCATCAACAACCAGGTTGATATCCAGAAACCCATTGAATCTAACATTTTCATAGAAATACTGCGACATGATTGGCCTTACTACTGGATGGGAAGGCAAGACTTTCGTCATGCAGGGATTCGGAAATGTTGGCTTCCACTCTGCCCGATACTTCGCTCGAAAGGTAATTTTGACTCACATTCCGTTCGATTTTCATTACGCTTGATTCTAGGGAGCCAAGTGCATTGGTATCTCCGAGTACAACGGTGATCTTTTCAACGAGAACGGCATCGACATTCTCGACCTCGAAGACTACAAGCTTAAGAACGGCGGTTCCATCGTTGGCTATCCCGGGGCCCGAGCTTGGAATGCTGAGACTGAAGGTCCTCTTATTGAGGCCGAGTGCGATATCCTCGGTGTTTGCGCTAAGGAGAAGGTACTTGCTCTTTTCATACACTTTTTCCAACCCTTGTCTAGGTCATCACTGCTGACAACGCCCACAAAATCAAAGCCAAGATCCTCTCCGAAGGTGCCAACGGACCCATCACTCCCAAGGGACACGAAATCCTCGTCAAGAACAACCAGCTCGTCATCCCCGATCTCTACCTCAACGCTGGTGGTGTCACCGTCTCCTACTTCGAATGGCTCAAGAACCTCAACCACGTCTCTTACGGTCGACTCACCTGGCAGTTTACTGAGGACCAGAACAGAGCTATCCTTGGTAAATTTCAAAAGAGAAGTTTTTAATTTTAATCTTATTTCAGGCTCCGTTGCCCAGTCCCTCGCCGCTGCCGGCCAAAACATCCCCATCAATGCCAGTGAAGAACTCGAGGTTGACCCTTATAAATGTCGCTTTTCTCACTTTTATTTAAGAAATCCATCCACGGCGCTTCTGAAAAGGACATCGTCCACTCTGGCCTCGCCTTCACCATGAAAAGAGCTGGTCTTAAAATCATGGAAACTGCCGATGTGAGTCATTCTTTTCGATTCTAGTGCTTCACAAAGAGTCCAGTTGGAAACGCATTTGCACTCGATAAATTTAGCGAGCTTAGCGCGCGAGTGTCGAAATTGGGCGTGAACTCGAGTTGACTCTAGAACTAAAAGTGCGGACACCCATCAATTTACTTTTTAAGGAATTCAACCTTGGCCTCGATGTCAGAACCGCCGCCTACATCTCCTCGCTTAGAAAAGTTTACGAAGTCTACTCCCAGGCCGGCTTCAACTAAACCAGATTCAAATAGCAGAGACTTTCCAGCATACTTGTCAGATTCATAAACTGTTCTATTTTTCAAATGATTGTACAAAATATATATTCACAAAAATAATCTTTTTATCTGATTTATAAGGCAATTGATGTCGGAAAATTATCATTGGGGCTAAACCAAGCATGAACTTTAAGAACCTACTTGACAAAAACGTATATTTCTGACTTAACTAACGTCAATAAACTCTTGTCAAATTTTAAACAATCTTTCTGCTGATAATCTAGGGATTACTGAAGTAACTCGGCCTTCAACTTGTCGCTTGTTTGGCAGCTAATGACCACGGATCTCAGAAAGGGCAGTTCATATGAGCATTTCTGACCATTTTGGGTTATTTTGGAGAAGAAAGCCAAAAAATTTATTGCAAGATTCATAAACGATCTTTCAAGACATTAACTCAGGATCCACAAAGGTTTACGAGCGAGCCGGTAATACCGGTCCGGTATTCCCAATTCTCACTTTTACCGTTTTCCTCAGCCAGAGTTCAAATGAAGCCAGAGCTCATGAGAAACTGTTCCGATAGCCTTATTTTAATTCGTTAATTTTATTCGTCCTTCAATATTTACGTGTCTTTGTTCATTTCTAAATATTGATCTTATTGATGACTTATCGTGATCACTCGCAAGAGTGGGAGACCCCGCGCGCCCTCTTTTTTTGGATTTAAAAACAGTTTTTACCGACTTTTCTACATTCCTTCATTATTTGTTTTTTTTCGAGCAAATTTTCTGAACAAAAATCGTAAATGTTGCTTAACATTGTAGTGATGATGACAACCGCTGTGGGTGCTCAATCTCATGTAGAGAATCTCAAAACCTGGATGCGTTTTTATAATCCTTCTTTTGATTCGAGAAAAACCTGGGTATACGGTTGTCATTGTATTTTTACAGGAAAAGGGCTACAGGAAAACGAAAGATGTCTTTTCGTAAAGATTTGATTTTATGAAAGACAAGGATTTTAGCCCACGAATAGCTGATGATGGATTTAGCCATCCGACGAATGGACTTCCAGTTGATGCTCTTGACTTGTCTTGCAAAGCATACAAAGACTGTCTCAAATGTGCTAGTGACATCTACGGTGAATTATGTAAACCTGAACTGGAATATTACAACTTCCGAAGCTTCCTGAGCTTCGCCTTGAGAGCACAAGAATGCACTGATTCGGAGGGTACTTGTGCTCGGACTCTCTGCGAATGCGACGCTAGGTTTGCAAAGGCTCATGCTGATGCTGTCGGAGTATTTAACGAAAATTACCACATGTTCTGGTCAACATCGGGATGGAACTCTGACAACGAATGCGTTTCAAGTCCTCCTTCCGTAGGGCTCTGGAGCTTTAATGGCGTTAAATCCCGGCGAAAGAAGAGTTGTTGAAGAAAACTGCAAAATCTATGCAAAAATGTTTTCTGAAATTAGTTTCTCTTTTATTTAAAAAACAAAATATTCGAAAAATCAACTCGTTGTTTGGGACAAATAAAATACTTTTTGTTTCTCCTTCTGAGAAAAATTTATTCCCTGAAAATGGGAAAGAGATCGAATAAAAATACGGACCGTAGGTCGAATCAATTAAATGCAGCGTTGGAAGGGAAAGAATGCGCGGTCAGATAATTTTCGCAAAAAGCAAAAATTAATCCAGCCAATTTGCAAACAGCTCTCTTTTTCCTTCAAGTCAACTCTCAAATCATCCAAACTTGAGAAATACTTCAAAAAGATAGAAAAAATTGGCAAAAATGACTGATGATTTTGATACAACAAAAATGTACGCAAAAATTTTGCAGGTAAAAAAAGCAAAGGAAGTGAAACTTATTGCGAAAGACTCAATGCAAAAATTTAAAGGTAATAATCATCGGAGGATATATTTTCGTCTGCATCTGTGTGATTCTCTACGCTTGGGTCGAGTTGGCCAGATATATTCGAGAAAAAATCAGGCCGGAACATTCGGCAAAAGGAAGCGTTCATTATTTACTTGCAACAGGTACATTTTCAAACTACACAGCAAAAAATAGGGGAATTTTAGTCTAGATAATAATGATAATCTTCAGTTCACGGCGACAATACTTTCAACTGCCAGAATTTCAAGAAATATAATTATGTTCACAAATAAAGTTTTTCTTTTGCCTTCACTTGAATTAAAAATTCTCAACGAAAAAGTGAAAGTCCAGATGATAAAATGCAAAAAGCAGGTTAACTCAAAATTTTGGGGAAGCCAGGTGTGAGGCAGATGGATCGCGTGGTCAAACTCTTGCCTTATCGATTTTGGTCAAGTGGCCATGTACTTTTCCGAAATCAGCGAAACTGAGCTTGATCTTCGCATAATGAGCTTTATCGATGGATTGCCCTGAAATTCTGAGCATGGGTAACAACTCTCTCAGAATTCTCACGATTGCTTCTCTCCCAAAAAAAGGGTTAAGAGGCAAGACGTTGAACATTTATTCTACTTTTAGATTTAAGCACTTCCAAATAGTCTATTTGAAATAGATAGGCTTACCAGACTAAATTTCGGGCCATTTTTCTAGCTTAGTTGGGGGGAGTAAGATTGAAATAAGTAAAATAAAGAAGCCACTAAAAATATTTTCCGATTTTAACATCATCAGTCAGCAAGTATCCGAGTAAGAAGAATTGGAGTGTTCATTAATAAAAATAATCATTGTCAAGAAATAATTGGTTCCAAAATTGTAATATTCTTTGATAAAAACTTTTCTTGTAGTCTTTCGTTTTTTATGTTCTAGACTTGTTATTTCTTGAGCGGTCTGATCATGTGACATGATTCATGTCTTTTCCTCGAAAAAAATGCACGAAGCTGAATTCAGATTTTCGGAAAATTCCTTTATTTCTTTCGTAAATAAACTCAGCTAAGTGAAAGATGACAAGTTATGATTGATAATAATCCGTTGCCTTTTTTGTTTGATTTAACGGGGTTGCTTTCCAACTGCGGTCAATTTCATGAGTGAAAGGAAGAAAAAGTCGCCTCCGTTTGAGCCGTCGAGTGTGGATTTCACGGCCTCTCGGGAGGTTTCCTGCTTCGGCTTGTCATTTTTTGCAATCGATATCGCTCGTGCGGCGGGTGCTCCTCCTGTCTTCGCGCTCGGCTGATGGCGCCCGTGCAGCTCCCCTGGGTACCCCTCGCTCCACCTAAGGCGACCACCCAAAAATAAAAACCTAGACACCCTTACATACAATCCAAAGAATTCATCGATCGAGCAAGCTATCAATTCTCACAAGAAAAAAAAACACCAAGAAAAACAACTAAAAAGCCAAACTTACAGGTAAATTAACGATAAGAGAAGAAGGTTGAAAAAAAAATAATTTTTTCCAGAGAGAAAAATCTTTCTTTTTTTATGATCGAAATTTTCTTTCATCAGTTTTTCTAGACTTCCTTGCCAAACCGCGCATTAGCTTATCGAAATTCAAGTCTGAAAATAGAATTTACTAAATTGATTATTTTTAGCGAAAATGATCGAACTTTCGTATATTCCAACCCAGCCGCCTCAACTCGAGCCTTCCACCATCAAAACAGAGAACTTTTCTTCCTACCTTCCAGACTTTCAAGAAATTAAGGAAGAAGCCTTTCAATCCTACGACAGCCATTACGTAACCGCCTTCCCCGTACAAAACACTTACGCCTCATTTACTCCGGATTACGGGCAAATTTACACGCCAGAAACGACAATTCAAAGCGGTCAAGAGCAAAATCGAACTTCGCCGCCCTTGACCCTTGCCGCTAGTCTTCCACCCCCAGAGAATGCCAATTCCAATAATGTCGACCAAACGAAGATCTTTCTCCAGACTCCCCAGACGCAAACTTACATTGCGACTTCTATTCCCGAGGGAGCGTACACTGTTTTTGAAGAGATCCCAACTGACTTTTCGAACTCGTCGAATTCGAACTCTTCCTATGCTTATCCGATTTCCCTCTCAATCAACCCTCCTACAACAGGTAAAATTTAAACAAAAAGCCCCTTACAAAAAATCGCGAAGCCGCTTGCGGCTTCAAGTAGAAAAAAGAAAATAAGCCACTTTTTTTGCGGCTCAATTTTTTAAGATCCGAAGCCGCAAGCGGCTTCTCCATCATTGGCATTGATTCATTGCTTAGAAACCTGTGTTGAAAACAGGGCGGTATAATTTGCATTCTTGTAAATAATCTCGAAAATTTGCGAGATTAATCTTCTTTGGAAAAAGATTCTGAGATTAGTCAAGACTGGACTAGTTTCGAGATTAATCTTTTTAGCGAGGGTCGCGTGGCTCGGGGGAAAAATTTTGGTGGCGCTGGCGAGCTGTGAGCAGTGCGAGGCGGCGCGGACAAAATTTCAAGCTGCGCTCCAAGCATGTTTGAGTTTCATTTTTCTCTCGCGCCGTCGGCCATTGGTCCACCAATCACAGCGCGCGTTTCAAGATTATTTGAAATAATCTCGGAACTATTTCGAAAATTTCCCGAATTAATCTTTTTTATTCAAACAGACTAATCTCGCGTCGAGATTAATCTTATAAGAATAAATGAATAGTCTTCGGAAAAAAGACTATTTACAAGAATGCAAATTATACCGCCCTGGTTGAAAACCTCAGTCAGGATTGAAAAAAGCTTTAATAAAAGCTAATTCTAGATATGCTTCCCCAACCAACTTTCCAAACTTCCACTCCCGACCACCAACATTCCACCCAGTCCTCCAATGGTCTTCCGATGGACACGAAAAAGGTCGCAGAAGACATTCTCTCCGAACTGAAGCGCTACAGTATTCCACAAAGCGTCTTTGCGAACAAGATTCTCGGCCGAAGCCAGGGCACCTTATCCGATCTCTTGCGAAATCCGAAGCCGTGGGACAAATTGAAAGCAGGGCGAGAGACGTTTCGGCGGATGGAGCAGTGGTTGCAGCAGCCAGAAATGAAACGAGTTACAGAGCTTCAACAGGCAACCCGTCTGGCGGGGAGCATGAAACAGCAGCAAAAGGATCTCAATTTGCCCAGACAAAAAGCGAAGAAGATCAGAAGGATCTTCACTGATTCGCAGAGACGAGTACTCCACAATGTCTTCAAGGTAACATTTCAAATCACTCTTTTCCTTTCCTTATTTTTCCCTCAGACAAACAATCGCCCAACGAAGGAGCACCAAATGGCGTTGGCCGAAGAACTGAACCTTGAACTCTCCACAGTTTCGAATTTCTTCATGAACGCGCGCCGCCGCCGCCTTTCGCCCGTCTAAACTGCCAAATTCCAGCCCGCAATCCGTTCTTTTCTTCCTCCTATCTTTATCAAGCTGTAAATAATAAACACGTCCCTATTTAAAACCAACCACAAAGTCGTCAATAATAACTGCTTGAGCTTCTTCTTAGGCTTAAATTACGATATCTTTCCGTTTAAAAAAAGCTCATTAACGAGAGTGAGTCGGAAGAATAAGGTGACAGAGAGCATGAAAAGATGTTAAAATTCATAAATAAATAGACCTTCAATGAGATAAAAAATTAGGAAATATTGAGATTTTCTTTTGTTTTAGAAAAATAAAGTTGGATTTTTTTGATTCAGTAGCATCTTGTGGTCAGATAATGATGAAATGATGTTTGGCGGACTTCCGGCTCTTCTGCGCAGCGAAATTTTCTAAGCCTAATTTATCGGTTGGCAAAAAATCGATAGTCGCTCCATCTGGCTGTCGAGGATCGGCGAGCTTCACTGAATTAGGAGTCCCCTCATCGGCCCCTCCCGGGATTAAGGCGCTCCCCCGCGGGGACAGAAGGTCTTACAGGCCATCTGCTCCCTTCGCGGAAAACTTATTGCCGAGGGTGACATTTTTGTTTATATGCAATAATAAATAGGGAGCGTATAATAATAAAAAAGGCGCTGTAAAAATGACGAAACCGAGCTCTAACGAAAATTTGACATGTGAAAAAAATCTTGACATGACTTTTCTTAAAAATCGTCCCTGTCATCCTTAGAAGGTCATTTCTGCGATTATCCCACATTTTCAGACCTAGAATTCCTCTCAAGAAAAAACAATGAAAGTAAAGAGAAAGAGAGCTCAATGCGCTTTTTGCAGGAAAAAGGGCCAGTTGAGAGTAACTTTAGTTCCTTAACCCCTATACGGTATAGGCTATACCCGAAGTGTACAATTTTTGTCGATTTCGGGATATAATCGCCCGCCGAATAGAGCTGGTGGGTCAGAATGACCTGAAAACTCAAATGAGTATTTGCACAAGACTTGCGCACCTTTCCGCAAAATTTCCGTGTGATAAGCCCAGTGAGCACTGCACCAGTACTGATTTTCTCACGCCACCTCGCGCGCTCCAAGGAAGAAAAAAATTTCCTTTACTTATTTTTGCTTCAGTTTTAGTTTATTCTTAGGTTTTTTAGTATGGAGAATTCGAAAATCACCGTTAAAAATGGCTCAGATGAGTATTTTTCATAATTATCACATAATAAATTTTATAGTGTTAAAATTTCTTTCCCCAATGTCAGCACTAAATATCAATTTTACGGAAAATGTAAAAGTGCAGTTCGAAAGAGAATGGTGAACTTAGTATAATCTGATACTTTGAAAAGATTATCTCGAGAGGAAGGCCAAATCGACAAAAATTGTACACTTCGGGTAAGGGGGTTCTTTAGGCAGCTTCGCGTATAGGGGTTAAGGAAGGTCTTGTAATTTTGATTCCAGGTGATTACGAGTTGAAATCAAGGAAGAGAACTCTATTTTTTCTAGTGGAGACGAAAAAGCTAAAATCGTATGATGCGGAAAAATCGAAATTATTTGCTAATCATGGTTTCGGAACTTGGAGGCAAAAGAAAAATTATGTTGTTTATGGGAGCATTTTCTGGATCATCGTCATGATTCTTGCGAACATCATCAATTTTGAAAGGACAAAATTTCGACCTGGAATTGGATCCTTTTGCGTGAGAGAGTATAAACAGTGCACAGGGATGTACATTTTGAAGTTCGAGTACAACTCGTGCTCGAGTCCATTGTACAGTTGTGCAAGCATATACAGTGATGATTATGGCATTTTCAACTTTCCGGAAAAGATCATTTTACCGAATGAGAAAAGAACAGCTGTCAAAGAGGTCTTCACAGACGAAGAAACAGAGCTGAATCGAAATCTTTGTTTCCAGACTGCTGGTTTATCAAGAAATCTCTGTGAAAACTTATGTTTCCAAGGTCACTTAAGTTATTATGAAGATGAAAGATATTTGACCAAGACTTATGACCCTTCTGGATTTATTGATCAGGCTCCGACTTATAATCACACAAAGAATATCGAGTGTTTGGCGATTTGCAAGTACGCTTCTGGGATTCAAGACAGGGACGATTGCCCGCTGGAAAAGCGATGTCGAGAAGGCTGTCCGTGCAAAGGGTACAAGTGCGTGAAAGACTACCCGAGAGATGACATTGTTTTAATCAGAAAATATCACAAATACGATCAAGTTGCATTTCACGATGAGGTCGGCTTATATAAAATGTCACCAAGTCCGTTTGTTATTAAAAGGATCCAAAGTCAATATCTTCGACATTTTATAAGTAGGGTAAACTTACAAAAAAATCAACTTTTAAACGGCAAATGGTAAGGGAATGAAACTTGGCCAGATGATAGATGGTCAAAAACGACTTTTCAAAATTTTTTTTTGGGGAAGAATCTCTATTGTTTTTCATCCCTTTTTCGTCCATTTCCTTCTAAAATTTTTTAGCAATAAGATAGAAAAAAATGAAGGCAACCAATAGATTCGCCTTGAATCACTGATTATTTTCCACTAAAAAAATTTAGTAATCGGCCTCACATGACTTCAGAAAAAGGAAAAGAAGCTGTAAGTCTTTGTTATTGTCTTGGAGGACCCCCTTGGAGGACTTTATCTGCTGGAAGACCCGATTTTTAAAAAATTTTTTTCAAAGGCCAAATCTACATTTTGGCCGAATATTTTGGCCTTTTTTGGCCGGAGGAACCTGGAGGACCCCTCAAATTGAAAACAAATGCTGGAAGAATTATTTTTTTTTCATTTAAAATAAATATCAAATATTTTTTAATTCAATTTATTATATTATGTCGGTAAGTAACGAGGCCTTCTTGATCACCATCGTAGTTTTTGTTGAAATTGTCGAAGTCGAAGTTGTAGTAGAAATCATCGTTTTGTTGCAACTCCTTGTTGTTGAACTGGGAAAAGGCTAAAAATAAATTAATTTTGTTTAAAATATTCTTTCATATCTTACCATGCAAATAGCCTCCAGCATAGCAAAGACCTCCAAACACCAGAATCAACCCAACTGGGAAAAAAAATTTAATTAAATTAACAATATTAATCTTACTCATCAAAAATTTCTTCATTTTTGCCGGTTTTTTTTTCTCTTCCTCTTCTTCTTCCAAACGACTTGTAGTCGAAAAAAAATCGTCTTCCGACATTTTTGAAATTAAGAAAAGAAAGAGAAAAAATGATGCGATGCCAAAAAATCTAGAAAAACAGCGTCCCCGCAATCTGGAAAGGTTTCGGCGCTTTCAAAACAAGAATTACATCAGTTTCGTTTCTAGAAAGGGAGCGACAATAACATAAAGACAAACATAGTGACACCCTTATTTTGAAAATGGAAATATAGTGACACCCTTATTTTCAAAGATAAATATAGTGACACCCTTATTTAAAGTAAAATTTTGATACTGCGACACCCTTATTTTCAAAAAGCGGAATTCAGTGACACCCTTATTTTCAAAAATCGAAATACAGTGACACCCTTATTTTCAAAAATCGAAACACAGTGACACCCTTATTTTCAAAAAGCGGAACACAGTGACACCCTTATTTTCAAAAAGCGGAACTCAGTGACACCCTTATTTTCAAAAATCGAAATACAGTGACACCCTTATTTTCAAAAATCGAAACACAGTGACACCCTTATTTTCAAAAAGCGGAACACAGTGACACCCTTATTTTCAAAAATCGAAACACAGTGACACCCTTATTTTCAAAAAGCGGAAAACAGTGGCACCCTTATTTTCAGTAAGTGGAAAACAGTGACACCCTTATATTCAGAAATCGAAACACAGTGACACCCTTATTTTCAAAAAGCGGAACACAGTGACATCCTTATTTTCAGAAAGTGGACCACAGTGACATCCTTAGTTTCAGAAATTGAAACACAGTGACACGCTTATTTTCGAAATTCGAAACACAGTGACACCCTTATTTTCAAAAATCGAAACACAGTGACACCCTTATTTTTAAAAATTGATACACAGTGAGATCCTTATTTTCAAAAAGCGGAACACAGTGACACCCTTATTTCAAAAATCAAAACACCCTTGTTTTCAGAACAAAAATAAAGTGACACCCTTATTTTGAAAATGGACATAAAATAGAAATTAAAATTAAAGCAAAGAAGCTTCCTTTTTTTTGACATATTATATTAAAAGTCAGAACATTATTGAATTTGAATTCAGCTTGAAAAGCAAGTCAAGTCAGGCGAACAAGTCGGCGATTGTTCCATCTTCGAGTCGATTAATTAATATTTGCGTTGCTTTGTCAAATATCTTGTCTAAATTATTGTGGTATCATTATGTATATTTGTCAGCTTACGCATAAGATCCAATTCAAAATTCACTTGCGTACGATCAAGGTACCAGCCGTGCGATCCACCTGACTCACGTTTATGCAACTCGTTAAAGTAATCTGAAATTATCGAGCATAATTTAAACAACCAATTAGAAAGTCATCAATAGACAATAACTGACCCATGCAAATCACTTCGAGTACTTGAAAAAGGTTTTAATATCTGTCAATAAATACTGAATATGATTCAATAGATAAAAAACCTCTCCTTCAATACTATTAGTTGTTTTTGATTCTCGAACTTCCGGATTTTCATGATCAACATAGAATGCGGCTTCAAGGTATTCGAATCTTCGATCTAGTTATCGGGTTTCATAGATAAGTTCAAAGTCAGATTAAAGCAAGTGAAACCCTTCCAGTAAACGTAAGCAACCCTTGAACAACGGAATACTGCTCATCATAGATTCTAAGGATCAAAATTTTGATTTAGCAAAGTCACTTGATTAAGGTTTTTTTTTATTTTGTTGAAAGCATCCAAACTTAGATCCCTTAAAACTGTGCTTTCTTAGATTGAGTAAAGTTTTCGTGAGAAACGGGCGCGCTCGGTGTGGTCGTCCTATCTTAAGGAAGACGGTCGAGCGTAATGGCTTTTGAAGGAGTTGATCAAATTATATCAGACATTCCTACAGAAAAAAAAAAGCAAATTTATCACATCGTTCCTTTTTTATCCCATCTATTTCCAGCATATTCGCGATCCAAGGCTGGGTCTCGAATCCATGGCATTTTGTTGGAGCACGCCGTGCTCTTGGGCGCCAAAAACTCCACGCGCCCGGAGCTGAAAACCGGCTGCTCCACGCGCTGGAGCAGCAAAAGTGACGGGCAAGAAAGTGAGGGGCTTATGCTTCATTATGAAATATTGAATATAAATTGTTTCAATCATGAAAACTTGATGAAAACGCAGGTGATTGAGTGCTGCGCGCAAACACTTTTTGGACGCCCGCGCTGTGCCTTCTTTGTCACCGCTGCTCCGGCGGCCGGATCATGCTCCAGCCGCTGGAGCTCCGCCCTGCTCCAGCCTCGTGGAGCTTTTTTCGCACTTGCCCCGGGGCGCGGAGCCGCGAGCGCCCGAGAGCAAACCCTGCTCCAAAAAAACGCCACGGATTCGAGACCCAGATCCAAGGTGCAATAACAAAGAGTCTCTCAAAAATGTGAATGCAAATAAAGACAGCCGTTAAAGACAGAAAAATGAGATTTGCATTCCGATTTTCAGAGACTCGTTGTTCTTCAAGGAACGAGCACGTCTGATGATCTATAGAAAGTTTTTCCACAGTTTTTTTATACACATAAAAGCTCAATATGTGAGATAACAATCCTCTGATCATCACTGAAAAGGCAACCAGGGTGTCACAATTAGATTGGAATCCAATTTGGAACCTTGTCCATTTGGAATTGGATTGGAAATTGGTTGGATTTCGGGTCTTTCCAATTGGAAAATCGAATCCAATTGGAAAATTGGAATCAAATTGTTCAATTGGAATTTGAATTGGATTGGCAGATGGTTGGATTGACCAAAAAATTTTTTCTAATTGTGCCACCCTGAGGCAACCGACACATCTTTTTCTCGATTGAACCGACGTACTTCAGCTTCGGTATCTTTGCATAATGGTGCAAACACCTTGATTTCAGCTGTGAAAGAAAGGCTCGAAATCTGATTTTTTCAGTTGAGCCAAAAAAAAGATCGACACCAGTTTTTGGAAAATTGGAGTGATCCCTCAAACCAAAATTTCGAGCCTTTCGAGAGACAATATTTCCAAATCGGGTGAACTTAGAAGAGATTAAAATATCAGTCTTCGAGGGTTTTTCTTATTCAATAAAAAGATGAATTTTAAACTCCAAAGCTGATCCCTCACGTAAGGATCAGTAAGGGCTCTGGATTTGAGCATTGAAAAATTAAGAAGCATAAGCGGGTAAAGCTTTTGCATAATATCTTAAAATTTAGCAAAGCAAATCCAGATCCCTAAATCAGCAAAAGTCAGTTTTCTCGGGTCATATTTAAAAAATAATATACAGTCGTTACGCACAATTCCGGAATTTTTTTCTCAGCGAAATCTTCGGAATTGTGCGGATTTCTGAAGAAAAATTTTCTCCTCTCAAAAAATAAGTTTTTATGGGGTCAATCTCAGAAATGCCTTTTTGATAGACAGCTTTGACTTCATTGAACCTTTTGTTATTCTCATGCTACGATCACGAGATTATTTATTAAATATGTTCAAATTCTAGTTTTGGGCAGTAAGGGAAATGGGTTGATGACTAGGTTCGTGGGACTAGGTTCGTGGGTTTTTGAACAAGCAAAATGTAGGATTTTATATCCCAAATGAGCCTAGTCTTCACGAACCTAGTCCCACGAACCTAGTCATCAACCCATTTCCTTTACTGACCTAAAATGGGGAAGATACAAAAAAAACATATAATAATTCAAAATTCACGAACCCAGTCACACGAACCATTTTTTCCGACATGGCATCGACGAACCTAGTCCGACGAACCTAGTCCTCACAAACCTGGTCATCGGTCTCGATTTTTTGTCGGAAATCTCCTGAATTGTGCGATTCGAAATTTTTCGGCTCACCCCGAAATCTCCGGAATTGTGCGTTCCGGAATTGTGCGTAAGGACTGTTATAATATATTTATTGCATAATTGATTATTTTTAAGTGATACTGTATTTCCGACCCGAGATCATTGTTAGTTCCACAGCTTTCAATTAAATCAAAAACAGTTTTCTTAATTAATCACAAAATTGTGACTAAGCTTATTCAATTCAATTTTTGAAATCAGCCTGTGTGACAATTTTCTCCATCGCTTCTGAAAGACTTCAGAAAATCTTGAATACTGCTTAGGGTCGACATGAGGCTTTTTCCCTGCTCTGTGGGAAAGTCTTCGATCCTTCACAGAATGAGAAAATGCTTTTACTTTCTGGCATTCTTTTATCATTCACTCTTCCTAAACTCACTTTTTCTCCAGCGGCCTCGCTGAGATAAACTCAGTGCTACGAAAAAGCGATCAGAAGATAGCGCATTATTCTGAAAGATAAATTATTCTTTTAGATTCATATTTGAATTATATAAAAACACTTTATTTTGATTTGAGAATATAAGAATGAAAGAAAATTCAATAATGCAAAGAAATTTTGAATTAATCACATTCGTCTTCATCGATTTCGCCCTTCTCTATGACGTTCACATTATTCAAATTTTCATTTCGCTTATCGGCTAAAACATTCTGTTTGTTTCTTTGATTGAGATCTCTTCTTATTTTCGAGACGCTTTGTGAGCGATGCTTAGTGCGGTTCACGTGATTCTTTTGTTTGAGCCTCAAATTGACTCACGATGCGGAAGAAAATTATTAATTAGAACATATTTTACGATTAAAAGAGACTTTTTAAAGAAAGATCCTTCCTTGAACGAAGCATTAAAAACATTAATTCATCTTTTTCTTCTTTTGTTTCTATCTTCTTCAACCAGTTAGTCGTTTTTGAGAGCTTTGCCAAAGACACAGTCCATAAATTATGGTTACAAAAGGATGAATTCGAAAAAAATTACAATTTAAATAAATATATCTTTTCTGAAATTCTTTCCTTATGGCTGTGTTTCTGAATTCTGTGTTCTTCACCAAGGAAAAGGCACGCTCCCTATAAGATTTAAGTAAGTTAATTTCAAGATTCAGTTTCATACGAAATCCTATTGTCAACGCTGAGAAATTGTCCATCCGATAAAGCGAGTTTTA